TTGAATTAAATATTTTTAGGGAATTAAGCAATTATTGCTAATTGTTTAAACTTAGTGGCATATTCTAAGGCTTTTTTAATTTGCTTAAGGTTCCAAATAATTTTATAAGCGTTTTCTTTTTTAAGTAAATTACTAAATATTAATCACATTTTATTTTCAAAGTTAAAATATTTGTTAAAAATATATTAGGATTTTTTTATTTCTTTTTAAATATTATTAAAATAGTTATTTATAATAAATTAAAGCCATTTAAAGGTATTACTTTTTAAATGTTAACATATAATTAAAACCTTATATTTGTTCTTATTAAGGTTATTTTAAAAGAAAATTAAGTAAAGTTTAGCCGTATTAAATTAAGCTTTTATATTTATAGTACCATTATATTTAAATAACAAAAAGGGCTTAAATCCTTAATTTAATAATAATAGAACTATAGGTTTTTATTATTTTATAAATTATAAGTTAAGGTCCTTATTAGGGTTGTTATTAAGGTTATTATTTAAATTATTATTTTTTTTAGTTTTAAGTTCGGTTAATTTCTTTTTAAAAGCTTTAAACTTATTTTTAAATTTTTTATAATCTTTATATATATTTTAAAGCCTTTTTCTTAAAAAGTTAATTTACTTTCTTTAAGTTAAAGCTTTTTCCTTTCCCTTATTAGTAATTTCCGTGATTTCCTTTACCTTTTTTTTAAATAATTTAACTTAAGATTTAATTTTAACAGGGATTATATTATTAATAAATCTTAATATATAATTAAAAAATAATACATTAAGTTCATTATATTATCTTACTTAATTAACTTTTATTAAAAGTTAATTTTTAGGAAATTTGTTTAATAAATATTTTAAAATAAATAAATTATAATTAATTTAAATAAATAAAAAAACATTATTATTAATACTTATATTATATTTAACTAATAATAATATTAATTAAAGAGTTATTAAAATATAACAAACTTATATTTAAATCCGTTAAAATATAATAATAAAGGTTTTAATTTTAAATAAATAATAATAATATAAGTTAAATATTAAATAAATATTAAAAATATTTATTAAAAAAGCTTAAAATCCTTCCCTTTATATAAGTTAAATATAAGATTTAAATTAATAATTAAAGAAATATAAATAAATGTTTAAATATATAATAATTTTAAATATTTATAAGCTTTTTCCTTATTTAATGTTTTACTAAAAGCATTATAAATTTTATAATTCTTAAGGATTTTAAGGATTTTATATTTCTTAATAAAATCCATAAAATCCATAAGATCTATAAAATCCATATATTTAAGGTTTAACCGAAACGTTATTAGTTAATATCCTTACTTCTATACTAAATATAACTTCGTTACTTATTAATTCGTAACATTATTAATTTATTTATTTATTATTTTATATTATACGTACGTACTTATTAACATTATTAATATTTAAAAAAAAGTAAATTAAAAAAAATAAAAAAAAACTTATTTTAATATAATTTAAAGTATATAAATACTTTTTTATTAAATATATACCGTAATAAAGTACGTATATATATTACATAATTATTAATTTTAAATTAATTTTTTTTACGTTTAATATTAATTTATAACATATAATTATTAAACATTTTTTATATATTTAATTATTTATTTTTAAAATTCATTAATTATTAATTTAAATTTTATATTTAATTTATATAAAAAAAACTTTAAGTTTTTTTAACAAATATTTTAACGTTTATTTAATATTTAACTTATATTATTTTTAGTTTATTATAATTTATATAATAATAGTATAATATTTTTTAATTTCTTTATACTTTATAATTATAATTAAATATAATATATTTAAATTTGGGATTTTAATATATAAAATTCGTAAAGTTATGAATTTTTAACATAAAGCCACCCTTCGGGTAGCACAATAGCCCGAACTTGCTTACGTTATTCCTAACGCGCCACACCCCCCGGTGGCGGCAGTACGTATTTTTAAAGAACTTTTGAAGTAGGGACAATTCCAACGCTAGAAGATGCATCCAATAAAAACGCTTCTAGCCTCGCAGCCCCTCAACGCCACACCCCCCCAAGCGGCGGCACTAAGTAGTTGAAGGTACGAAGGTCCGGGCCAAAAGTCTTGCACATCGAAGCTTAGGTAAGCTACCCACTTAGGCATTTGTCAATAAAAAAGACTATACCAATAGCAGCTAACTTCCCTGTAGCTATAGTGGTAAACCCCCTAAAGTTTAGCGTACAAGCCACTAGCCACCCCTAAAATTAGTACTAAGCCAATACAGTGCTATTATAATCGTGCACGTTATATTTCCTGGACTAAAAGCTTGGCATGTGCAAGACTTTTGGCCGGGACCTTCGTACATAAGTGGTATTATATACCTGGGCTACTAGGTACGTATTTTCGAAAAAGCCCTTGAAGTGGGGAACATTTCAACACTAAGGGATGTATCCAATGAAACATTTCTTCCCGAACGATGCACCCAATAAAAACGCTTAAAGCCTTATTTAATGGTTAAAATTCCCAGGCTTCTGCCGCTATGGTAGGTAGCTACCTAATCTACTAGGTATAATAAACTGGCAGGTGTTGTATATACCTAGGTAAAGGTCGTAGTGGATGTGCAGCATATAGATACCAGCAATACACATTCCAGCACGTAAAGGGGTAAGATGGTTTGCGCATTCAAGGGCGCCGGTGCCCTTTGACGACATCCTCTCTCCCTTACTAGTATATTTTCCAAAGCCATTCTTGATTCATCAAAATCTGTTGCGGGTTGTGCCACAAGTGGATTTCGTTGTCCAGGAGATCGCGCGTCATGCTCTCCAAGACAACCATATTTTAGGTATTTACGAGGTCCTCGGACAAGAGAGTTGTGAGTGGTACTACTGATGGGTCAGATAGACTGTAATAGCAATTATGCTATTAAGAAATGCACTTTCAGCTCAGCGGTTTGCATTTGAGAAGAGTCAATTCGGCTCCATCCAATGAACTTCGGTACGTTGTAGGATAACCTGATGCAGCTTTCTTCTGAGAATCCAGGTCGACTTAAAGTTTGCCCATAACTGTGGCTGATCAAAAGATCCAGCATCCCCAAGTTATCAAGGACGGTCTGTGCTTGGGTTCTACTTCGTTGGGGGGCTCTGCTCGGAAAAGCCTTGGTATAACCTATGGTTTTGGCCGACATGGGGGTTGGTGATGTAGAAATTCTAACGGCGAAAATGTCTGGTCGCTTCCCTGTTTGACATTGATATATGAAACGTTGGAGAGTATCGTGATGCGTAATATGTATCCTGATTGTCCTGTCTGATTGATGTGTATACTGTGTTCCGAATCGAACGATGGGGGAGAGATATTTCTTAAGCAGTTGCGTCATTCAGACTGTCCAAGCCACCCATGATAATGGATTCCAGATCTTGATATTGTCCTTATACGAATAGCACGGCAAGACTGGACCGTTTTACAATAGTATGCGGTCAGGCCATGGCATATGTCCCGTGTGGTAATCTACCATACATTTGGTGCCCCGAGGGTCCTAATATTCCACCTCGTCGTAGTAGGCTGCTGCATTGAAATTTATATTCCAAGAGCATAAGGGGATGGAGAGTTGTCAGATAGACTGTAATAGTAATTGTGCTAATAAGAAATACACTTTTGGCGCAGAGGATGTATCGTGAGAAGGTCTTAGTGTCAAGACTTCACAATGGGGTAGTTGTCGTAATCTGGGACCAAATGGTGAGCCATTTATCTGGATGTCATCTTTTGAATTATTTAATAAGATACCTACTTAAGTACAGTACAAGCATTTAAGTATGATGATGCTTACCTTCGAATTTTCGGTTGTTCAATGGCGCGTTGGCGAACGGTGTTGTCAATATTGGCAACAACGCCACTGGGCGCGGAGCGACAAACGGAGACAAGGAAATAATAAGAGAAAGTTGATCAAAACAGCATATAGAATAGGAATCGCGTGTTTTTCAATTCGTTTTTAGATGTTTGGTTTGTTGATTTTTGTCGTGTTGTGTAAGTGAATTAGGTTGAGTAGAAAACGAAAAGCTACCAAAACGGCGACAGATATTTACGTGTGTGCGTCCACATTATGAGCAGCCTGTCGTTGAAAAAAAAAAAAATTACTGCACTAATTAGCCAAGTTGTTATCAACTCTTTATGATTTCGTTGCTACCAGGTGCGTCGCTTATTCTGTGGTTGCCGTGGTTAAATATTTCAGTAACCCTAACGCCTGGTTGCCTAAGGGGTTGCACCTCATAGGCATCAATTTTAACGCATCGCGTAGTAATGCTTTGTATGGCGTGATTTCCAAAGATGCAGAGATGTCTACCCTCTAGGTACTAAGTGAAATTTGAATAAAATGAATTTTGCCATTTATATGCACCTTAAACTACCTGCCTTTCATGTACCTAGATACCTCCTATGCTGTGGACGTGCTGTTCTATCTATTCTTAACGAGTCTTTGAAGCTTAGCATTTTGCCAGAGCTACCCTTTATAGATAAATCCTTAGTAGCTGACGCTTTTTCGTGTAGTTGACCGATATGCGTCACGTAGTTTATTAATAAGTAGAAGTAGGTACTCATTTTGGAGTGTTGGTGAGATCATCTCCTCTTAGCATTATGAACTATCCCAGCAGCCCTATGTAAATGTCTGATTCAGGGTCTTTTTAGTAGCTGGAATAGTCCTTCTGATTTGGGGTCCTTGGTCTAGGACCCTTTCATAGTGTTTTCCAAAGATAGAAGTAGGCTTCGTCCTTACTCTTGCTTAGTTGGTATGTATTCTTAACTAATGACCCTGCCTAAAAACGGTACTGTATGGAGACTATAGCAGGTACCTAGGACAGGAATCAATAGTAAAGGTAGCCTCTAGCGCATGGAATTGATAACATCTTTGCTACTCCCTGTGCCTCTGTATCTACCACAAGGCCATCTAGCTCTTCGTCTCCAAAGATCCACAAGTATAAGTAAAACGTAAGAGTAGACTGATGGCGAGATTCCCGGGGACTCTACTTGTAGACATGGGGGTCGGACCGAGTATTCATTTACCTAACTCATACGGTGGCGTGATGTGGCCAGTGTCATGTTGATTAAGGATATCGCATTCAGTAACACATCGGGAACCTTGGTCAATGGCTCGATTACAACTTTGTGTCTCCACAGAACCAATATTAATTCCTAGGCCATGTTATTCGAAAATGTCAATAACATAGGCTTGAATTAATGCAATTAGGTCCACTTGTTGAGCTCCTATCGTGGGTACGAACGCGATGACATCGCAAATGTTGACAATGATATCGAGTATATCATACAATCGCATCTGCTAGCTCACAGCGGTATTGAGTATGAAAATGCCTCTCCTAGGGAAAATCAAATCATATGTAGCATGCCACAACCAAAATTTTAACCCTTGGTAGTAGATCCGATATCTCCCCATCGAATGTTAGAAAAGACGACGTGAGTATCGGGATACTGAGCCTGAATATTGGACGGGGTACTTTCTTGGATGCTGCAGGGTCCATTGTTGCCGGCGTCGAGCCAAGCCATCTGCTGTGCAGCATCATTCCAGATACTCATCGCCAAAACCACTTTAAGTAATATGTCAGCCCCGTAAGATGCATGTATGTAGATTTCAAGCAAGAAACTAAGTATTACTTACTTCCTCGCCCTAGAGCTTGGCCCATACCAGAAAGCCCGCCGAATCCACTGTTGCAATTGCCAATGGAACCGCCGTTTATCTGCCTCCCATTCTGAATGTAGGTCCGCGTGATTTGCGTCAGCGTGCTGCTACCAACGAACTGCGTTACGACTGTGAACGGTCTGCTCGTGTCGACAGATCCTCCAGTTGCCCAGAGGTTACGCTGGCCGCTCGCGTACGGGTTGTACCCGCAGCCAGACTTATCGCAGTTATTCCCGTTGCATGGGTGTGGCGTCATCGCCGTAGCCTTGGCATTGGCCTCGAGGATATCCATTTCATTACAGCAGTAGCCCTGGCACTGGGCGTCGCAGTAACCTTGGCCGGCTGCCGCACCACCCGAGGACCCCCCGCCGTCGGCCTTCATCTCCGAGAGATAGAAGGCTCCGTTCTCTCCGCAGGGCACGGCCGAATAGTCGACGTCCACGGAGAGCTCCTGGTTGAGCAGGTTCATCATCACGTATTTCCCATTGGCATCCAGGAGGTAGATTCGAGGAGATGCGGGATTGAGCGTGTTGTCCGATTTGACGTAGTGACGCAGTGTCACGGCGTCGCCCGACGTAGATACTCCCATAGCAGCATAATCAGCCCCCGTTCTTGAGCCGGCGCTACCTCGTGCATACTTGGAATCTTTATCTAGAACGACGGAGGTATTCTGCTGAACGCAGCCTCCCGACGTGGTGCATTTCCAGGTTGTCAGAGGAGGATGTTGCTCAGAGCTTTGCGCGAAAGCCTCGCTAGTGAACAAAGAACCTACCAAGCCTGCATATAGGAGCTTGAAAGACATTTCGTAAATCTACCTAATACTTCATAAACCTATAATCAAAATGAAATTAGCGAAGAGTAGGAAGCATAGGAGAAAGATTCTCACCTTATGTATCGACCGATTGACCCCCTTTCCCGCCAATCATCACCTGCCTTCTATCCAAGGAACACACCTCCGCATTTCTCATCTATTTAGGCTTGGTGTTTGACAATTATAGACAGGCCGGCCCACCGGGACTATTCAGCTCAAAATCCGGAATATACAAGGAGATTGTAATATATTACGGCTGAATGAAACTAAACCGGCACATAGTCGGGAAACATCCTCCGCGTAGTTACTCCTTACGGCAGCTTGACATCAGCTTTTACATAAGTAATTGCATTCAGTCTTGTCTAACTACCTCAATCGATAATCAGAAACTCTAAGAGAATATATCCAAATTCTTTGCAGGTGTTAGAGGCTCAGTGGAGGACCTAATGTATTGCCATAGGTAATTTTTCCAATCTAAAGGCGCACATTAGCGGTCAGCATGTACCTATCTTGGAGGTAGGCTGATTATGGGAAAGTGTCATGTCTTTGTTTGAAACGGCGCAATGCTACACAGTATTAAACAACTGAAAAGTATAACTTGAAACTCCATCAATGGATGGGTATTGGATACGTCGACAAGTATTTCAAGGAATGTGAATGGGATTGTGATCCGTCCATGGCCACCAATATACCTCTTGCTCTTTTTTATTTATGTAAGTAGCCTCAGGGTAGTCCTCCTAGTCTATAGGAAGGAATATATTGTACAGTAAGGAAGCTTCCTGGCTGTCGAAGACAGGATCTAGGTCGTTTAGTAGTGTTCTGAAGCATTGGAGTCTCTTGTTATGCGGAGTCCATGTAGGTAGTGCAAATTCCAACGTCAATATTCTATACGTATTTCGGTGAGCATCATTTTTTCCTGTACTTTTTTCTAGTCGTCCGAAGGAAACCTGTTTGTTGTTTATGCCGCGGCCTTTATCATCTGTCCGAATTGTTCTTTTCCTTCTCAGTTCCATTCACTTGCTTAAATGTTAGCTGATGGTATTTAATATTCAAAGTGGGCCATTGCTAACGTTCTGTTTTTTTCAGCACTTTGCCTGTATCCGCAATGTTTCTCTCCATACGCTCTCGAGAATCTCTAATAGCTAAGTCGGCGTCGATATTTTTGTCAGGTAACATGACGTTCCTGTTACCTTCGCCAAGGGGTTCTTCGATAAAATCATCTAGGCGTGGATGAACCGCCTCATTTGGAGAAACTATTGGAGTACGATCGGGAGCTGCTTGCTGGTTTTCGGGATTTCTATAAAGCCTGTTAGTTACAGTCACCAAGTTCATGAGATTCTATCAAGTAAAAGTTGGCACTGTTTCAGCGACTTACTTACCTAGGTGCAGAGTTCACTCCGTCCAGGTAGTTCACAGACGACATATTGAGTTTGGGACATGCATAGGTTGTTATTGAGAATTGAGGTATACGGAGTACTCACATGGTCAGAACGTCGGTAACGGAACAGTTCTTATATCACATGTTGTTCATGGAAATATCGCACCCTTGGTTGGGAAACTATAAGAGTTTTTTTCCTGGAAGTTTTACAAAGCTCGGTTTCAATGTCCCTGCTCAGTATTAAAATTAGATGCCCGGGGTTTCTACGTAACTAAAGTACTAAGTAAGCAAAGCACAATCGAATTCAAGCTACTTCGGTCTCATACTTGCGCATATCACTTACTGAAGAGATAAAAGCTCATTACATTGCATCCCAGCTGAAGAATGCGCGACTGTTAATTCGCTATACACTATGTTCTCATTTTCTGTACCCCTGTTACATAACTTTGTGCTGTTGCCCTTACTTGTGACGCGGACATCTCGAAAGGGGTAACAGACGATCTACCTACAATATATCCAATTATAGAACGTAACTACGTGGCGTAAACACGGCTTTCCCGCAGTACATCTTATAGGCCTCCAACACATATTATTAACTTAGTACTTCTGCACATGCAAGTTCACAGCCTACCAAGTCTTAGCAACCAAGCAATGTGCAGATACCTATCCAATTAACGACCTTTATGGCATGCAACGTAGTCTCCAGCCACAAAGCAACGCTTTCAGCCACAAAACGTTGTAATTTGACATTGCATACAATAATATGAGTCTGCTCCAGCTTCCTGATTGTTCCATGGTGTTAGAATTATCCGGCGGTTACTGAGCGTCGGTACGGACTGTAAGTAGGTAGTAAGCATAGAATTATTAGTGTGGCTTCACAAAAACAAGGGCTTGAAAAGATGGGTGGCAAAATTTGGATGATCTCAGTACCAGATTAAAGGAGGCCGTTACTTCAATATTCCAGGTACTGGAATAGTGGCTACCTAGTGTGGCTCTTTATCACTTTTGTCAAGGAGACATTGTAAAGAACGTAATCGCGCTAGTATACGAGGAGAGAAACGTTACTAACATATTATAACTCGTTTCAACCCATTTGGCAAAACCCGGCTACGGAACTTGGGGTGGCGTGGACAGGGGCATTGCTCAACTTGAGTGTGCCACATGAGAAGCCTTCCCCGTTTCAAGAAGACGGTTCCAGTATTTTCATTAAAGTAAGGCATCCGTTATTATGACGAATGTAGCTTGTAATGTAACATTAATACCGTCCGGTAGGCTCGTGGTCTATGGTTGAGCAGTTATGATTCGTTTGCTTAATGTGGCGATCTGTTCAGCGCTATAGATACACCGCGGTAATTCGACAATTCCAACTTTACCTAAATCTTTATATGTGCCATTTAATAATTCCGTTTCATGTTCTAGTAGTAACGTATTAGAGGAGGTGTTGTACGAAGTGGGACGTCGTTGAGACTGCAAGGCTGGAGGATGTATGGGGATAGGTAGATTTTGGATTGGTATGGTGGAAACGTAGCATACATCATGCGGTGAGATATTCCTGCAAATAAAGGCCCGATCATCCTATAGCCTTCGAATCATCCATGCGGTGAGAATGATTGCTAAGTGATACTTATCGAATCCTAACTACGTCCAAGTATAATGCCATGATGGGCTTATGAGCTGAATTTCGGAGATACGTAGGCGACATCTGATTGGTAAGGGAAGTAATTACACTTCTAGTTGTTACAATGCTTGGTTAGTAGGTTCGTAGAACCTTCCTTCTTCGTTCCTCTCAGTTACCGAACCTCACGTCTCACATTATTACACACCGTTGTCAGCCCGTCCATCGTCCAACTTGTCCAATAGGTAGAACCCCATGAATCTAAGGAACAAGCAGAAACAGGTTTTAACTAATGAGATAACAAGGGTTAATATCAGCCAAGCCTTTCTAGAATAATGTCTTTTAAATATGAAACTTGAACCCGAGGAGATGTTAAAAGCTACTGGTTTAAAAGGTTGCTTTCTCCCACGCTTATGGGGAACTCCTATTCCGTAAACCGGGAAAATACCGAAGAGTCTGTAGCGATGGTTTCCCCCAGCCTTTCCCGTATTTGATACTACAAGCTAAAAGCTAAATGACTTTTCAAAGGAACACTGGGTAATCTACAGGGAAGATTTATGGCCCCGTATGTATTACCTCGCTTATATCCTCAAATACTGTCATGGTGTAAGTTAGTTACAAGTCTAGTAGGGTTTACTGTTAAAGTTCTAGATAGAATAATTAACACAAAGAATTAGGTACCTTAGATAGGATTAGGTACCCAAGGTAACCGAGGGACCCTTACGGTACGATACCTAGGTCGGGGTTTTCTTTAAGCAGGATAGCTCATCTACAATATCTTTTGTAATAGGTAGGTACCTTAGTTACCTTCCTTGTGACATACGCCAACAGTAAAATTTAATAGGTACCTATTTACCTAGGGACCTACCTCTAATATATCCCCAAACCCCTTCCATGTGCGATAGATGGCCACGAGGCTTCATAGAAGAAAATATAGTACTACCTACGTACCTATATTACGTTTCTTATTGACAAAAGGAGTAAGCAATACCTAAGGGGTAAGCATCGGTTAAACTACCTAGATCTTGCAGGAAGTCCTTTGGCTCACTAGCCGAGAATTCCGAACCCGAGCTGAGAGATATGTGTAAAATGATATCAAAATTTGCACAGTTTGTCAGATAGTCTTTTATCATATCAGCTTTTGCTTGAAAGCTCTACAACCCTGATGCCATCATAGTAATTCCTATGAACTACATACAGAGCTGGTATTGTCTGCTGTTTAGTTTATCATTTGGTAATTTTGGATATATCTGTGAGGAGCACTCGATACAAGATGGAATGCAGCCTCCCGAGTCGAGATATAAATCTTCAAACGGTCGGATACATTAGGTACCTAGGTACATAGAACTTAGGTTACATGGATCTTAGAGGTACATATATGTACGTAGGTACTTTAAGGGGGTCTGATTACATCATTCAAGTTTATCCGTACCCTCGTACAGAATTCGGAATTTGTTCAGCCGCAAAAAGTACATGTTGCCCAGAGATCCCTGGGCATTTCCTCAACTTGGATTCCCCCACAGATGTACCGTGCACGTGTGTATACCTAAATCTATAACCTATCACAGGTCCGATTTTGGCCAAGACATTTAGGTAGGATTTAGATTAGCATTAATTCATTAGTTGATCAAGTACGTAAGCATCAACCGATAACTTGTCGGACTTGTTCAACAACCGTCCGACGACGTTCAACTTCACATAATTTCGCCGTCCTCATTAATTTTTTCAACACTTCCGCCATCATATCCTTTGTAAAAAAATAGAATAAAAAAATAATGCCACCAAATCCTAGCCAAAAAGGCACCGGCAAGAAAAATGCCGGCGCGATCGGAAAGCGTAGTCGAAATACGACGCCCATGGCCAGCTTACCTTCTAACGCGAGCATCCCACCTGTTGATACTATAGAAACCGAATTCCTAGATCTTAGATTAGATTCAGTGCGTACTATAACCTACGATGACCTAATTGATTCTACCACTTCGAATGCCGTTATCCCCGATTCTAAGAGCCTCGACGGCTTAATTACGCGATTAGGGAAGCTTAATGAGATAGTCGATCGGCGAGGAACGTGGTGCGATAAGGGAATGAGACTTGTCGCGGCCCAGAGGAAGACTCATTACGATGAGGTGGCTTCTGCCGGTAGAAGGGATGATGCGCGTAGAGAAGGCGATGATGATTCGGAAAGAAGAGCGAACAAGAAGAAAAGAAAAGGTAATGACAGTCTCGCTCCTGGGGATGCGCATACTGGTGAGTGGCATCTATCCACGTGGTTACATGACAGCTACATACCTACGTAGGATCCGTCTACCTTGTCTTTTTTCTTTTCTTTTCTTTTCTTTTTCTTTTTTTCTTTTTTTTCTTTTTTTTCTTTTTTTCTTCTCTTTGGCTTGTGAATTACAGCAGTAAACTTCAGTTGCGTAGCAATAAGTACGGCACAATTTGGAAAAGCCTGACAATGCGCGCTTCCTTTTTTTTTTTTTTTTTCTTCCTCTCCTTGAATGTTGATTCCTCCCTCTCCCTAGGTGCTAATCAAGAAATGCATGTTAACACTTTTCATATTTCATTCCTATCCAAACTATCACGCTAAATTTTCATGATTCTTTTACTTACCCACGCTAACAAATTCGTCTAAGAGCGCTCATCTCCCCTACGTGGCTCCAGCAAATCGAGAAAACATTCCCGAGACAACGATTCTGCCAGTTCTTCCCTTTCACCTGTAGCACCTGCAACACCCGGCGCAATGGAGGTAGACGAGAAAGCGAAGCTCGATAACAAAGCCGAAGATGATTCCGATTCAGAAGATGAAGGGGCGCCTCCCCGCCGAGAGTCTCCTCAATTCCAAACCTTCGGCGAAGACCCCTCGACTTTTCCAGATCCTACGGTTTATGAAATTCGTCCGGCCAAACCTGGAATGACTGTCGATGAGCTGAAGGAACTATATTCCGTTGCCGTTTTCCCCAAATCGGACCTTTCCGACATGATTGCTGGCGATCCACCTGATAAAGACTTCAGCAACGCTAAACCGTCGAACCAGATTAGCTTCAGCACTTTCTCGACATATATTGAGCCATACTTCCGCCCATATGTCGAAGAAGACCTGGCTTTCCTACGGGAACGGGGCGATCGAATTACACCCTTTGTTATGCCAAAACGAGGAAAGAGACATTATACTGAAATATGGGCAGAAGAGGATGGTGCTATGGCAATTGATTCGAGTGCACCTGGTAGGGACAAGCTTGCTCCTAATCAAGCACGTGGTACGATAGACAACATGGATGATGATGTGGCAGAGAGCGACAAGCTATCGGTTGGTCCTGTGTTATCACGATTGCTACAAGCTATGCGCCCCGAAGCCCGCGTGCAACCGACGGAAGATAAACCGATGACGAATGGAGTTAATGGAGACATCGAAATGAAGGAAGAGCCTAATGGCGATTCCAATTCGGGCATCGCAAACGAGGAGAGTAAAAGCATGCCTCCTGCCACTTTCATGACTGAGTCGTCAACCGAAGCATGGAAGAAAGCTACACATCCCAAGTTAGACTACTCGCAAGTGGACGAGCGTATCAAGCTGGAGCTCCGTAACATCGGATTCCTCCCTCTGGAAGGGTTCGATGGGGATTACGACGGACACTACGATGATGAAGTCGCGGCTCGTCTGCGCCTCTTACAGGATCGTTTGCGCGAGCAGATGCTCATTAATGGCGCTCGAAAGACCCGATTAACGGACTTAGTGAAAGAAAGGATGGCTCATCAGGAATACACCACCATCCTTGAGGATCTCGATACGCAAGTCCAGGGAGCGTATCTTAAGCGGACGCGCACGATGGGCAAGAGTAAGAAATCTAAACGACCAGGCGGGGCTGGCGGTGGTAATCACCCGGCTGGAGGGTCCGGAACGGGCATGGCTCGACCAGGTATCGGCGACGTGACCAAGACTCTGATGGAACGCCGAAAACGATGGATCGACGCTGTCGGTCCGGTGTTTAGTGATCCTAGTCTCGGCAGGGTCCCTCGTTCGTCTGATCCTGACAGTACGATCTTCAAGCCCGAGATAATGGCTGATTTGATGAAGAAGGAGCGGCAGGCCTGGGACGAAGAGGTTGAGGATGAGTGATTACGCATTTTATATTCTTAGGTACCTACTTTATGAAATCTTATGGGCGCAGGGCGGGTTTGCATGTACCTTATGATACCATATCGGCGTTTAGGGGCTGGCAAGAAGTTTGCGAGAATTGATATTGAAGGAGTGCAGTACTTGTGCGTCATGGAATTTCTATCGATACAACAGGTTAAAGACTGGATCCTATTTTAAATGAAGATTCTTATTGGTTTTATTTATCTGTTTACTTCACCTCATCTCCACGGGTCTTCTTATAAGTCTGATATGGCATGTTTAAGACCCATCCTCTCTATTAGGTACTCAGACTAGCAGCCGCGAAAATTAAAATGAGCAGTCGTCCAACAAAAACAAGACCACACATACAAGATTGACTATTTTGAATTGAAAAAAAATCACATCAATAGTATAGAATTTCACAATTACTTTTATATAATCCGTGTATTATTTACTGCTGCTTTAGCTATAGAATTACTAAGTGACTAAAGTACCTACACCTATGTACCTAAGGTTATGGGTTCTGGTAGGGCTGCTCAGTCAGACTGCGGGGTTATCAAAAGGGTCCAGTGCTAATGCCATGCATGTGGACTGTGGACATGCAAGTGAGCTGGGCTGAGAAGCTTGAAAACCCCACATTAGGTAGATAAGAAAAGCAGTTGGTACCGTTGGTTACCAGTAATTAACGATAAAAGCTACCTAACCTACCTAGTATCAGTCAGTCTAACATGGAGCTACCTAATCTTGCAACGGTCTGGTCTCTTAATGGTTCTCTTTATTATCCATCTTGCTCCACGAGAGTTGAGTCAAGTTGAGTTAAGTTGAGTTGGAATCGCCTTTGTGATCCAAAGTAATAAATTTAATTCTATTATTGTTTGCTTTGGTTGTATCGTTGCGAACATGCATCTGATACCAAAAGAGGTCCGTATTATTTACTGCCCATTTCTTACTTATTATTTCTCTACTATTATATCTATATCTATATCTATGCCTGTTTCTATATCTATCCAGCCAAGACCAATAATGAGATGGCTCCTAACTAACATCATACCAGCTTGATAAGCTCGTCATCTCCCAACTCGGCTTCCTAGCCCAGAAGCGACTTGCTAGGGGCGTTAAGCTAAACCATACCGAAGCCACTGTAAGCTCCCCGACCACGATCTTGCGCGGAAAGAATACAGCTCCTATCAGCAAGATCATTTTTATTTTTATTTTTATTCTTATTCTTATTCTTATCGTCGAGCGTCGTCGAAATGAACTTGGTCTAATCCCCTAACCCTATCTTAGGCTCTCATCGCGAATAATCTCCAAGAGCTCATCCGCGATGGCCAGCACACTGTCGCCGACCTCATGGCCATCGGGTCCACCATGCTAGGCCGGAGGCACGTGCTCCCCTCGGTTGTGAGCACCCTCCACGAGATCCAAGTCGAAGGCACTTTCCCCTCGGGCACGTACCTCGTCACGGTCCACAACCCCATCGCCACCGACGACGGCGACCTAGCCAAGGCGCTCTACGGCAGCTTTCTGCCCGTCCCCGACCAGAGCCTGTTCCCGCCCGCCGACCCGAGCGCCTACGAGCCCGCCCGCCAGCCCGGCGCCGTGGTCGGCGTCAGGGGCCGCGTCACGCTGAACCAGGGGCGCCGGCGCGTCAGGCTGCGCGTCACGAGCAGAGGCGACCGGCCGATCCAGGTCGGCAGCCACTACCACTTCGTGGAGGTGAACCCGCAGCTCGAGTTCGACCGCGGCGCCGCGTACGGGTGCCGCCTCGACATCGCGGCGGGGACGTCGGTGCGCTTCGAGCCCGGCGACACGCGCACCGTCCACCTCGTCGAGATCGGCGGGGACCGCGTCGTCCGCGGCGGCAACGCGCTCGCCTCGGGCAAGGTGGACTTGTCCCGCGTGAGCGCCATCGTCGAGGCGCTGCAGAAGGCCGGGTTCGCGCATCGCCCCGAGCCGGCGGGCGATTTGCAGGTTGCCGATGCTTTCTCGATGGACCGCGAGAAGTACAGGACTATGTTCGGGCCGACAACGGGAGATGTAGTGCGCTTGGGCGCGACGGATCTCTGGATCAAGGTGGAGAAGGACTTCACGACGTACGGCGACGAGTGTAAGTTTGGAGGCGGCAAGACGTTGCGGGAAGGCATGGGGCAGATGACGGGATGTTCGGACGCAGATAGCTTGGACATGGTGGTGACGAATGCGCTGATTGTTGATTATACTGGAATCTACAAGGCGGATATAGGAGTAAAAGATGGGTTTATAGTGGGGATTGGCAAGGCTGGTAATCCGGATGTTATGGACGGCGTAACGAAAGGTATGATAGTGGGCAGTTGTACCGATGTCATTGCGGCGGAGGGAAAGATCGTAACGGCGGGCGGTCTTGATACGCACATTCACTTCATATGTCCCCAGCAGGCTTATGAGTCTATTGCTTCTGGTGTCACGACGATGCTTGGAGGCGGTACTGGGCCAAGGTAAGGGTATTTCCTTTCCACTTTCATGCTGAGGTGGTTTCAGATGGTGCAAGTTGGCGTGGTATCAGTAACTAACGATAATGTCTTCAAGTGCTGGAACTAACGCTACTACTTGTACACCCGGTGCCAACTATATGAGGCAGATGCTACAGGCGTGCGACCAATTGCCCGTAAATATTGGAATTACCGGCAAGGGTAACGACAGCGACCCAGGGGCTCTGCGTGAACAGATTTTAGCAGGTGCTTGTGGCCTCAAGCTACATGAGGACTGGGGCACAACACCAGCCGCTATCGATTCTTGTCTAAGTGTATGTGACGAATTAGACGTACAGTGTCTGATCCATACAGATACACTCAACGAGTCCGGGTACGTGGAATCAACGATTGCGGCGTTCAAAGGACGAACAATTCATACCTACCACACGGAAGGCGCGGGAGGTGGACACGCACCTGATATCATCCGAGTCGTGGAGAACGAAAACGTGCTACCGTCTTCGACGAACCCGACGAGACCATACACTCGTAACACTCTAGACGAACATCTTGACATGTTGATGGTGTGCCACCACCTTTCGCGGAATATACCCGAAGACGTAGCATTCGCCGAATCTCGCATACGCGCCGAGACTATCGCAGCTGAGGACGTACTACACGACCTGGGCGCTATCTCCATGATGAGCTCGGATTCCCAGGCAATGGGCCGGTGTGGCGAGGTCATCCTCCGAACGTGGAATACCGCGCACAAGAACAAAGTCCAGCGGGGGCGTCTGCCGGAGGACGAGGGCACGGATGCAGATAACTTCCGCGTGAAACGCTACGTTAGCAAGTACACTATCAACCCGGCCCTCGCGCAGGGTATGGGTCACCTTATCGGTAGCATCGAGGTTGGGAAGTTGGCCGATTTGGTGCTCTGGGACCCGGCGTGGTTTGGCACAAAGCCGACAACAGTGGTCAAAAGCGGGTTGATTGCCTATTCGCAGATGGTATGTCTTCTTCCTATTACTTTACCCTTCCCATCTCCCCCATACTACTATAATATGTACCTAGGTACCTAACTAACAAATCCCTCTTCCCCTCCTCCTAGGGTGACCCTAACGCTTCGATCCCCACGGTGCAGCCGATCATAGCGCGGCCCATGTTCGCGCCGCTCGTGCCGAGCTCGAGTGTCCTGTTCGTCTCGGCGGCGAGCCTGGACACCGTCACCTCGCGGTACGGGCTGCGCAAGCGGGTCGAGGCCGTCCGCGGGTGCCGCTCCGTCGGCAAGAAGGACATGCGGTTCAACGACGCGATGCCCAAGATGCGCGTCGACCCCGAGCGGTACACGGTCGAGGCCGACGGCGTGCTGTGCACCGCGGAGCCGGCGAGCGAGTTGCCGCTTACGCAGGCTTGGTTTGTTTATTGATGTTGGGGATAGGTATATACGTGGACAGACTCTATGTCGAGGGAGAAATGGGGGCTTGGCGACATGCTGGGACTGGGATTGGGAAGGGGGATGGTTGCTTATGTTGGAGTGAGCGAGTTGGGTTTATTTAGCTTTCGGTTGTGGGAAAGGGGATTAGGTCTGTAGGTAGCTATGGGTGAAACGATGTGTGTTGACCGACACCTAGCTTATATAGCTAGGTACCTACCTAGGTAAGGATTTAGCTGAATGGGAGGTATTCAAATGAACGCTAAGTGCCTATTCCTGGCAGATTTAAGGGTAGCTGTACTGCAATACAAACAATACCTAGGTAGGTATTTATACATGAATGGGATTCTCTAGTGACTGTTGGATTTCCACTGCTGGTATCAATCTAGGTACGTATATTAAGCACCTACCTCCTCTAAGATATGGGTATGAAGCAGGGCTGTTATTTTAATTGACCATATCAAGGCTTACTGTGTTTGTCCCCCTATTAGGTAGTGAAAGGCGTAGCGCTGATATGCTAGATAAGTAGCCTAAAGTTTATAAGACACCTGTTTTTACTGAGGTATGTACCTACCTGTTCCTGAATCCGGACGACTTCCAAGCTGGTAGAAGATTGGTGTAAGTTGATTGGTCGATCCGAAGCGTGCCCTATCCCAGCACCTACGTAGGTACAATATGGACAGATGGACAGATATAGGGGGACGTAATGAAAATTACCAGATCGTAAGAGAATTCTGACAAGGCTCTACTATAATATACAGGCCGGTTCTATTCATGGATTCATTTGTTCGGCCTATTATTATATCCTAAGTACCTAGGTACCTACCTCCTAGGCTGGCCTTCCGATTTCAGTGCGTGAGAAAGATACCGTACCTTAGGTATGTAGGTGCCTACCTAAGGTACCTAATGTATCAATGAACCCCTATCAAGTGAGAGAGAGAAGTAAAATACGGTTATTAAGGACCTGGAGACCTAGGTTAGAATAGACCTTGAGTTATTAGTGAGTTAGTCTTCTCCAAACCATCCTTCCACTAGCCATTAAAGGCATCTGTCCTCCTTACTAGCTCCTTACCAGCTGTAACCTGTTACCGTCAGACCTTATACCGCGAGCCAGCTTTTTCAGTCTCTATTTGGCGAATGGGAAGGTTATGAGCTTCAACGAGACGGGTGGCTTAAACATCTTTTACGTCCCGAATCAAATATCATTATTGCAAGATGTCCATAGGTGCTACATCTCAGAAGCTCTCAAAAACTACAAGGCGTGCCCGTTACACACTCGGGCGGACTCATTGACACGTCAAAACCACGGGGATGAAATAGGTACAAAAACACGAAATGAAGAAATACGGGTTTTCAATGCACAGCCATGTGAAAAGCCATGTAAATACAAGTTAATCGCGACACTTCAAAACCCCCCTCGAATAAAACTCCTTCCCTCAGTCCGCCGTCCCTTTGGTAGGTTCCGCCATCCCCCCTCTCAACGGGTACCTGTAGGATCCTCGTAATTCATAATGCAACGTCAGAAGAGTCTGAATAACTACTCCCCTGCTACTTCAGGCCCTCATCCGCAAGGCTAGGTTTATCTCTTTGGCATCGAGCATATATTCCGCTCCTGGGATTCTTAAATCCCCCCCTGTAGTCCGCAAAGCAAGCTAAAAGCACTGCCCTTCTTACACACATGGACGGAGAAGTGTGATGTAGTCGGGTATACCTCTAAACAACGAAGGGAATTTGAAGTAGTCAACGCACTCGTGTCTAGCGCAATTCGTATTGGTACAATCACTAAGCCTTCTTCTTCCGACTGGACTTCTTAGGTTCCTCCGGAGTCTCGATCACTTTCGAAGCCCTCTTACGCTTCTTATCGGGGCTGGCAGGCGTCGCGGTCTTAGCAGCGCTCGCCTCGGCATCCTCAACTTCAGCTGCGGTGCTCTTTCGCTTCCTAGTGACCTTGGCTTTAGGAGTTTGGGTTTCAGGCTCGGGCGCGGGCGCCACTGCCATCTGCAGCTGCTCGGCGATAGCATCCTGGTCATTAGGAGCATATGCCTCTTCTCCGGATAAAACGGGCTGGGGGATTCCATTCGCGTCAGCGTAGTTAAGCGCATCCGGATCGCTCATGTTTCGAGCGTCAAGATTGCCAGCCTTGTACGAGTGTACTCGCGCGTTATATAACCGGAGGTTAAACTGGTATGCATTGTTCCACGCCTGACAATAGCATTAGCAAAATGAATACGTCGAGTTATTGGATACTGTAGACTACTCACATTCTTTTCGGCAGGGGTCATAGATGCCCAGCGACGCTGACCTTCCTCCTGTACAGCGCCTTTCGGGGCATCTTGACCAAGGTCATTGGCGATGATGGGACGGGCAGTTTGCATGTACAAGAAGTAGGGAGTTAGAGGTCTCTTAGGAGCGTTAGGATCATGAGTCCTCTTCTTGCGTTCCTTCTTCTCTTCGACATGCCCAAAGTCACCCAGCTGACCAATGCCATCTAGGTTAGCGATCAGATTTTGCATGGAATGGGTTGTGCCATTGTCAAAGGGTGCAGGCTCTCCGATTAGAAGATTGGTTTGGCGTAGGAAGTCATCTGAGAAGCTCTTCATCAATCCTGTTATGGTGTTGAATCTGGCGTGGACCTAGTATGCATGTTAGCTTTCATATGCATCTTCACCTTGGAAAGTAACGAATAAATGGGCAGAATAAAATAAAAAAGGTGACGATAGTGGGTGGGTTATAAATCAATAGGCTATTGTACTGCATAATGGTAACAAACTATGCAAGATGCGGCGAGTTCTGAGATAAGATGTCCCAAGACCATCCATGACCGATCTAACAGGCAGAGATGGGTAAGGGAAAGGGGTAAGCAAAACTGCGGAGTTCAAGGTAGGTACTTGGGTATTACTTGAGCATTATCGCTCAGTAATAACCCATAACCCATAAGCCCTGTGTCATTCTCTCATCACCGTAACACATCTTGTTACTAAGGTGTGTAGAATATTACATAGTCGCAAATTATATCCGGTTGTCTTTCTTTAGATATTCATATAAAAAGAATGATGCCGAATTTTTCAAAAAGCAAAATGACAAAAAGTTAAGTTGACTTACGCTATCGCGAACTCGGATGAACTCTTCAATTCCAATCGTTCTAGGAGGTTGGATTGCAGGTCCAGCAGCTAGAGGTTGTTGCTGAATGGGCTGAGGCGCCATCTGAGGGACGGGTTGCATGGCCATAGGAACCATAGTCGGTGCGGGTGCCACGGGGGCGGGCTGGCGGGGAGGATCCGTCTTTTTTGGGCGAGGCATTGTGGTTGATTAGTGGTAGGGTAGGTTAGTTGTGAGTGTGTGTGTATTTTTCTTTTCTTGGTCGGTTGTTGGCTGTTGAATGTGGTGCTTAGGTGGTTGCCGACTGATTGGTACAATGCCTACTAAAAGGTAGTAAGGTAGTAAGTAGGGCAGTGTGGTGTGCTGTACTTTTTTGACGCGCTGGCTGAAATGCTTTGCGTCAAAAAAAGGGCACCTATGGATTGGTGATCCAACAATTTAAAATAAACTGTTCCGCGTCAGGTTGTGTGCTGTGGTTATTGTTGCTGGGCTGGGTTGGTCAACCTAGGCGTCTGGAGCCAGAATGCGACCGCTGGAGATCAGTGAGGGAAAAGGGCAGGAAGCGCGAAATTTTGGCGGAAAGAAAGTTTGGGGGGTAACGGCGCTGGAAGGAGGGGCAGGGCACCGTCTAAATATGCCAGATCTCAGGCTTGCTGATTTTCCCAAATCACTGATCACTGAGGGGGGAGGGGGGGGTCTGCACTATGGTAGACTAGGTACCTAAGTAACTTTCCTCAGCGACGTTACAGGTACATAATAGCAGGTACTTAGACCCTTGAAGAAACACCTATTTTACTATGGCAGCATCACCAATGCATTATTACTGAATTATTTCTTGTCATTCAAGACCATTTGACCTATCATCTCGTATATCTTGCACTGAAATTGTACAATTGTACGGTGTTTTATGTAGATTCTTGCTGTCGAGTCGGCATTGATTTTTGTAGTGTCACCCGAAAAAAAAATATCGCACCTGGACTTGGAGAGGGGCATCAAAATCAGCCCAGCCCCATTACCCATAGAAGGAAGGGGCCGAAAAAAAAATAATTAAAAAAATCAGCAGGCACAAATGGAACCAGCCCGACTTGATACATCTTTACGGTACTTCCCCCTCTACCTCATTCTGTTATTCTCGTAAGTCACCCGCTATCTACTTCGACATGTCCAGCTTGAAATTAATATATGTTGGCTCTGTAGCATATTTTACATATTATATTTCGATAATCAGTTTCAAAAATTCCTTTAACATCTTAGCATTTAATTGTTGTTGATAGCTTGTTGCTGAGATCGCAAGCGCTGTTCTAAGTTCGTAAGGACCTTAGAGAATGACTTCTAAAAGTTGCATCACTGGAGGGTGCTGAAGGTGCTTAAAAGTACCTGAAAATTTTGGTGTTCCCAGCGTCTTGTCATTCTCAATTAGATGGTTGCACCCGCCCAGTGCTAGCTGCAAATCGATTGGCTCGGCGGGGAAAGTGCACCTGTAGTTCATCAAATCACATCAACGCCTCTAAGTAGCGCCTAAAGCGGCGGCAACTACCGGTTCTTCCATCTATCTCCCCATCACCTACCGAATTTTTCAGGGTCAAACCAACTCCCCCCGACACCCTCTCTCAGTTGTTCGCTCCAGTGTTGCTCCAGTGTACGCACACAGTAGATTTCAGCACCTTTCTGAATTTTGACCTCCCTCTCTTTTTTTTCTTTGGCCCCATCCACCACCAGCACAGCTCCAAATGTTACAGTTACTAACTAATAAAATCTTAGCAGCTGCTGCCCATCCTTTATCAGCGTACCATTATCCACCGTGTTACCCCACCATAGGCTTTCCTAGGTTAGGTACTTACTTAATTTTACGTACAGTTCACAGAATAGCAATACCCTTCGTTGGAAGCGGACCTAATCCTAGTATTTCCAGTTGGCGAAATAGTTCTGCTGGCTACCTCATCTCTGTCCATTAGGTCTATTAGGTAGGATGAGCGATTAGGCTTTTCTCTAGTAACCTGTTGTTTTCAATCTCCCTGCAGGTGATCTATTATGTGCTTCAAGTTCATTAGCGGGTTCAAAACGCCCTACGACATCCTTACGTCCTAACATACCTTTCAACACCTAAGATTAGGTAGGCATTTACACCATATCCCTTGAACTGACGAAGCCTTGAATCCTTACCTCCTCTAAAATCCGCTTAACAGGGCTCTAGGAAATTCCAAGCTGCCTCTGTCGATACCTAATCTCCTTACATTAAGTACCTGGGTAGGTATTCTCGTGCCTTGCCCTCTTCAGAGGTACTGGCATGTAGGATCCATGGCCCAAAGGTTCTTTTTCCTAAGGCACGGGCTGAACACTTTGGTACTATCCGCCCACAACCTGTGAGCGGTTTAACAACACGATGTGCCTTGTGGCGATTTTAGCTACGACCTGCCACGCCAGGTGTTTGTTACCCAGTAGTTTGGCTAGCTATTCGCAAATCATTTAACCTACTAGATTATGACTTAGAAACACCGGGATTTCTCATGTAAATGGAACGATTAATTACCTCTCAACGAAAATCAAGACATGGCAGGACTAGAAATGCTATTTCGGAACCTTTTCTATCACAATCTAGGTATCCGTTAGCACTTAACGATTCTAGTCATTGATGCCATTATCGTATGTAGAAGTAGCAGTTATTGCTGTCCTTGATACGATTACGTTCGCCATGTTTCAGCTTAAAAATGTACTATTTACAAGTAGGAACTATTCTCGAGCCATATATTCTCTTACCTAGAAGTAAGTAGTCATCTAGGGATAGTAGAAGTTAACACTTTTTGGAATAAGTTAACTTGAACAACCCGATCCAACTATTTCATGATTAGAGACAGTTGAAGTTGTTAGCTTTGCGAGTTAGCGGAAACTTATCCAAGAACACAAGGCAGTTACATTGAGCGAGCCCTACTATGCTGTGCCTTGCCAGTTGACGATTTGTTACCCCTCCTTTACCACCTACTAGAAGCTCAACGTCCGCATCTATAACACATTATGCAAAGCATCGGACGATGGTCACGTAGCAATAGCCTATCTATTACGAAATGAAGGTAAAGAAGGAAATATTTGGTCACATACCTAAGGTCTTATAAGACATTATATTCTTGTCAGTTGAAAGTTACTCCCGAGACTCAAAAGAGATAGAATAATGGAAGAAATATTTAATGAGCCGCCTTCACGACAAACTCAGTATAAATAGGTAGGTACCTGAGACAAACGATTATCTGCAAAAGAGGTTGCTATCAGCAGAATCTATGTCAGGTCTTTTCATCCATGGGCCGCTTGAATCATATGTGGGAGGTATTTGCGGCCATATCAATACCTAGGTACGATTTCCATAGTAATATCTTTGCAATGCGACAAGTCTGAACAGGGTTATAGTCTTGATAGTTGATATCCAAACAACCGAAAAAAAACAACCTTTTTTTTAAACAATACTACAAGTCGCGTCAACGTACACCAGGTAGACAAGGACGCGGGAAATCAACCTTTTTCGGCGTTTACATTACATGTCAATTTCGCGTTACACAACAACATTACCAGACTTGCCCATTCGGGGCTGACGCCATTGCAGTTTTCGGAGAATCCACTTATCCGTTCCAGATCTTTGCTGCAGGTGGGATCCACTTTCAGGAACCCGCACCGCGCTTCTCATCCGAACATGCACGTATGCCGGCAGACCGACAGCAGCACGAAGGCTTTTGAAACGTTGATCTCAACTGCCAATCATACATCTGATTTATTCCACTGATATGTAAAGCATGAGGAATGACGGGGAAAATGAGGAGAAAAAGACAAAGTGTGAAAGAATTATAGATGCGAGTCATACTGAGCCAATAGATGAATGATAGACGGTTGGATCTTTCAAATTTGGTTTTGATCTTGTATATGTTTAGCACTCTTTACAGCAAACGCGTAGGTGGGTAGTTTGATGAATCTATCCAGACTTTGAAGCCGGATTGCCGATTGATTTACACAGTACGAGATTCAACGGGATGTGCCGTTCTTCTTGTACTTTTAGGAGCTCAATTCAAGCTTCGTGATAGTAAAACAATGGTCATAAGTACATCAAATAAGCTTCCTCCTTCCGTCTTCGCATTCATCGTTTCAGTTGTGATCAAATAGGATCCACTTAAAACAAGTATCGCGGGCTTGGCAGACATATGCATAAGTTACACGAGTTGAAACACGAGCCAGCCAAAGAACCCCTCTTTCTCCCCTCTAAAAAAAACTGATGATCTGTTGTACCAAATAAAAAACAGGTAACCAGCTAACACAGGGATGACGCTAACCGTGACCTAACACAGCTAGGTAAGCTCTGCTACCCCTCCCCCTCTTTTCTTTCCTAACTCCTCGAAGGCCTCCAAATGCAAAGGTCACTTAATATCACGTCACCCCGAACACCACCTGCATTATCACTAACTTACCTATCGTTGTGGTATTTTCTGGTATTTTTATTTTTCTTAGCAAAATCGAGTTGACCTCTTTCCTCAGTTGACCTGATTTTGAGGTCAAGTCTCATTCCAACCGGTTATAGTATCATTAAAACAGCATCAACATCAACACACACACACACACACTATATACACACACACGATAGACATAATTACTATCGAGTATTTCGAAAATGATCACCCTGAAGCCTTTCCCCGCCTTTCTGGGGTTGGTGTTCCTTTTCGTCTTCGCTCGACCGGCTCTTGCCTTCGGTGCTGGTAACATTGCTGGTATGTTCTAACTGGTCTACTATGTAACTTAAATCAAATGCTATAGCAAAATCGACTCGTTCGTAGAGCTAACTGTCTCGTTATAGGTATCTCCAAAGTCGAGGGACAAAACTGTTAGTGTTCCTCTGGCGCGAAGCATAAAACGATTTATTCGTGTAATATCTAACCTTCATTTACATCTAGGGCGTCATGGCGATATTGAGGACACTCTTCTTTCTATATTAATGGCCCAAGCCGTTGGAGGCAAGAAATTCAACAAGCTTATGGTCTCCCGCGTCTACTTCGGTAACTGGCTTCGAGATTACTCCCAAGCTATTGATGTTGGTACGGTCAAAGCAGTCTCTGCCGAAGCAATCCGACTCCTTCTATGCGTTCTCGGCTTCTTGACTTTTGGCTACGGCTCCAAAGAATTCGAAGTCACCGCCGAGCGTCTCGGTTGCTACCGACCTGAAGACCACATTGACAACCCCAAGAATTACGCCGACAACGAAGATGCGCGCCAGTATGACCGGCGACTACGTGGTCCTATTGATGAGCGTGTTGAACTCGCCATTGACCCAGAGACAGGCCTGAAGAATTATATTGCTAATGAGGGCGTTAATATCATGACTTCGGCACTGCACCTTAGGCGCCTATTCGGTCGCTGCGTCGAACTTGCCCGATCTTACAAACAGAACAACAGGAAGAGTGATTTATATGAAGCTTTGCGACTACTTGGAACTGGCCTGCACTGTCTTGAAGGTATGTTCCATCTCGTCTCATTAGACCTACTCATCCTATTTCTAGGACGTAGGTGAAACTAATTTGTGATCGACCAGATTTCTTGGCCCACAGTAACTATACCGAGTTGGCGCTTATCGAGTTAGGCGAGCGTGATGTATTTCCCCATGTCGGTAGGGACACCAAGATCCAGATTCCCGGCGCTCGACACGATGTCTACCCTTGCGTCACTGGAACTTTCGGTGGCGTCGATTTCCTGCACTCTGTTACTGGAGAAGGTTAGCTACGTCTTATAACCCCTACCTGGAATATTGATTTAGTAGATCTAACTCGAAATCCTCTTAGTCTCGGACAAGTTAACGCAGAATGAAATCCAAGAGCTGGAAGGCGCTCTAGAGGAGAACTCGAAGAAAAATGATACAAGCATTCTAGAGGGTCTCATCGACAAGATCCCCGATGGTATCTTCGGCGGTGACAACAAAAAGCAAAAGATGGAGGAAATCCAGAGCAACGCCGCCAATGCGCAGATGGAAAACACGTCGATCTCCCCGAGAGACCCGGAAGAGTTCACCCAATATATCCAACAAGTTTTCCAACAGATTATGCCTGCTATTGAGTTCCACGATGACCTTATGAAGGGTATCGGCGAGGCCATTGAGAAGATCCCTATTCTACCCCAAATCATTGAACAGCTAGAAGAACAGCTTTCTATGTGGACATTCTCGATTATGGCACCTTTTGTGGTCCCTATCATTCAACAGGTCAAGAATGAGCTTCGCACTGGGTCGTCAGAAATCATCGAGAGCAGCAAGAACGAGCAGCATATCGTCTTTAATGATGACGAATGCTCCGATCCGACGCACTCTATGCTATCCAAGGATCACTTCTCTAACGTAAGTGGCTCGTGCTTACCGTACTTGTTTCTCGTGCTGACTATATTGTAGATCCTTAACGAAATTGCTGGAAAGACTGCTAGCAAGGTTGTTTACTGGGTCGTTCCTCAGATCATGGAGGCCTGGGATGATGAAGGTGTCGATGTCGATCGCCTGCTAAACCGCATTATCCACGGCGTGTTACACCATCCAGCTCAGCGTGATATGGGAGACGATGGAGCTCGTGACGGGCGACAAATTATGTTCCGTTCTGTCGAAGAGTGGTGGAACCAGATGGATGAAGGCGCCAAAGATGAATACCGTCAGAAGCTTTCTCGCGACGGCGTGTTTAACGGCGAAAATCATAAGGAGGGTGTCCATGATTCCGGCCATGGTTGTGGAAAGCCTCTTGGAATGCACAAGAACTTCGCCGAGGGCGGATCTATGGAAGATCGCATCGCAAGCCAAGCTGCTAGCGCCATTGTCGGGGGCCTCACTGGTGGTATCTCGGACTTCGTCAGTGCCCAATCGGGTGGCCAAATCAACCTACCCAACCTTGGTGGGAACCAAGAGTCTAGTAGTTCCGGTGGCGGCGGACTCCTCGGGGCTATTGGTGGTTCTCTTCTAGGCGGAGCCTTTAAGAATAATGAAACGGAATCGTTTGGAAGTAGGCGTCAGGACAATGACGAATCCTACACTGAGAGCCGCACTGAGTATGGTCGCTCTGGTAGTCGCTATGGTCAGGCTGAATATTCTGAAAACCAATATTCTGGAGGAGGCGAAAGTAGAGAATATCACCGTTATGAACAAGATGACAGTAGCGGCCGAGGTTACGGCTACGAAGAGCGAACTGATTCCCGTCCCAGCTACGGAGGCGGATATGAGGAACGAACTGAACGTCGATATGAAAGTAATGATGACAACTACCAAGAATCTAGCGGCTGGAATCGTCGTGGTGGCGATGATGATGATCGTCAAGAGAGCTATGGCAGCCGACGTGATTATGACGGCGAGGGCGGTTACGGACGCCGTGAGGAAAGCTCAGGGTATGAACGTTCCGGTGGCTCTGGTCGTGAGGGATATGGCCGCGAAGAGAGCTCAGAGTACGGATTTGAAGAGCGTCGTGATGAGCGTCGCGATCGAAGTCGCGATAATGATGACACTGGGTTCCTGGATACGGTTATAAACCGAGTTGGGGACGCCCTTGACGAAGGTAGTCGCCGCCGTCGTGACGAAGGAGGCAGCGGATGGGGATTTTAGGAAAGGTTTCGTTCGCATTAGATACCTACCTTTTGACGTACGACTGGTGGTCTCGGCGAGGAGTTCTTAGGTCCTTGGGGTGTGATAAGTTTTGGCGTGTGTTGTGTTAAGGATACTCCTAAAAGTTACCACGTAAGGTTGGCTGCAATGATGTAAGCTTTTGTTTAGCTCTCTGTCTTTCTAGCAAGTCAAACAAGCCTCATAAGGGATAATACTGCTACTCCGAGTACCTTAGGTACGTAATTATAAAATATGTGACTTTGGAAGCCATAGACAAGAGTTAAATAAGTGGTGATTTAGGTATCGACCTAATATGAGCTGTTATGCCTTTTCCACATTAAGCTATGGTGGAGTATTGCCAAAGAGGTTCCCTCAACATGACCTCACGGAGCTAGATTTCCGACGGCTATTGGACATTAAGTCTTTTTCCAGATAAATATCCCGATTTTGCCAGCCCCTGACTCCACCCAATTAGGCTCTGTACCATAAACATGGCCTTACCTGCGGCAACCTCTATATATCACCTATATGATGTTATGCAAGATCCCGCCAGGGCGGGTCGCCACACGATTCAATCCATCTCAATGATAATGCCCAGAGATTTCACGAATATGGAAGCAGATTAGTACCTCCGGTGGGACATATTGAGGGGATAAGATCGGCGGCCTTACATTCCGGCTGGTGAATAACAAGATACCGCCGTGGAATCTTTAAAAGCCGACCGGTTTCCGGATTGCGTGTTCCTCCTCCTCATATTCTTCTTCTTCCTCATCTTCAACCTCATACGATATACTATACTTAATATTCAAGCATATATAATAAGTACCTTAGGTACCTAAGATATATCAGAGACAGCATGCAGCTCACGACGATCTTGGGACTCGCGGTCCCCATGCTAGCGCACCTGGCGTCGGGGCAGGGGGCGTCGGGGTCGGGGCAGACGACGCGGTACTGGGACTGCTGCAAGCCGAGCTGCGGGTGGTCGCAGAAGACGGACAGCGGGAAGCTGGTGGGGACGTGCAGCAAGGGGGACCAGCCGCTCAACGACAACGGCGCCACGAAGAGCGCCTGCGACAACGGCGGCTCCGCTTACATGTGCAGCAACCAGAGCCCCTGGGCCGTCAACGACACCCTCAGCTACGGATGGGCCGCCGTCCGCATCCAGGGCCAGACCGAGACCACCTGGTGCTGCGCCTGCTATGAGTTGACGTTTACCAGCGGCCCCGTCAGCGGGAAGAAGATGATCGTGCAGGCTAGTAACACGGGCGGCGATTTGGGTCAGAACCATTTTGATCTCGCGGTACGTGATCTCCTCTTTTAGGTGCTTTTATCATATTTAGCACATTGTACCTCCCTCTATAATACCTACGGGCGTATCGCATCCAGGCAAAACGTAACGATTAATAAGAACTACATCATTAACATCATCACCACCACCGCCATCATCATCACCATCATTATTATTATCGCTAACAAACTCCCTCGCACGCACGCAGATCCCCGGCGGCGGCGTCGGACAATTCAACGCCTGCACGGACCAGTACGGCGCGCCGGCCAACGGGTGGGGCGAGCGGTACGGCGGGGTGTCGTCGCGGGCCGCGTGCGACGGGTTCCCGGAGGCGCTCAAGGCCGGCTGCTACTGGCGCTTCGACTGGTTCGGCGGCGCGGACAATCCCGGCGTCACCTTCCAGCAGGTCACGTGCCCGGCGGCCCTCGTCGACAAGAGCGGATGCTCGCGGAACAGGTAGACTTTTTTTTTACGTCGGGAATGAAAATGGTTAGTTACTTGTGTGGGTAGGTACTTATGGTATCTAACCTAGCTAGTAGAGGATGGAAAGGTGAAAAGGGAAGGTGATGGTGAAGGGGAAGGGGGGAAGGGGAAGGGGGAAGAGGGGGGGGAGGAGATAGGTGCATGGTGAATAGGTTGGTTGGTACATGCCTAGATGTGACAGAAAGTATATATGAACTCTAGAGTCTATACCTATTAGAAGCATGGACTTGAATGCAGAGATGTCCTTGTTGTAAGGGATGGCTTCTTATTTTGCCCGACCCAACTAGAGATGTTAACTCCAACCAGATCAGCACCTCATGTTATCGTCGTATCTTGGCACATGTTTACGTAGCGAATTTATCCATAAAAGATGCAGGCCAAGCTACTCTAGAGATCTGGTGCAACCCCACGTGCTTCCTTTCAGAAACATTGTAGGATCTCCGAGTCGGAATTTCCCCCCTGAATCAGAAGCTTAATAACGAATCGCGTGCGGTAAAATTAAGTCGTGATCTCGGGAGCGACCGAAACTTCCCCGGCCCCTTTTGGAGTATAAATACATAAATGGGTCGAGATTTTTAAATGAATTTTAAATAGGTTGGAGCATATTTGTTTTATAGTGGTCTATATCAAGTACAACTCGCCAAGATGAAGCTCCTAGCTGCCTTGACCAACTTCCTGACGACTACCAGTGTGACCATGGCAGCAAGTGTACCCTTACGTATCGTCTCTTTTAATATCCGATATGCCGCAATATCCCTTGAAAAAAATGAAAAGCCGTGGTCGGACCGTCGCACAGGTCTCATCAATCAACTAAAGTCGGTTACCGCCAATGCATCAGAGGCCGGAGCCGTCCTAGTGCTGGGCCTACAGGAAGTTCTCGACGCCCAACTAAACGACATCGAGAAGGGTCTAGGAAGCGACGTCTGGGCGCACTTCGGCTTCGGTCGCGACGACGGCAAGAAGAAGGGCGAGTACAATCCGGTCTTCTACCGCACCGACGTCCTCAAGCTGCTGTACAGCGAGCAGAAGTGGCTATCCCCCACCCCGGACGAGGTCTCGTTCGGATGGGGCGCCGGTAGCCGACGAGTCAGCGTGATCGCCGTGTTCGAGCACATCGCAACCGGGAAGCGGTTTATCCACGCGAACACGCACCTGGACAACGTGAGCTCGCAGGCGCGCAGCGAAGGGATCAAGGTGGTGCTGTCGCGCATCAAGGCCGCGCAGGACAAGTACGGTCCCCTAGGCGTCACCTTAACCGGGGACTTCAACTCGGAGCCGGGAGGCGACGCGTACGCCGCGCTCGAGGACTCGGGGTACCTGGTCGAGCTGTGGAACTCGGGCGCGAAGAGGCTCGGCACCAACCAGCTGACGTATACGGGCTTCTCGACGACGGGGAAGAGTCGTATCGACTTCGTCTGGTTCGGGCCCAAGGGCGAAGATCGGTATGCGGCGCAGCAGTTCGAGTTCCTCAATAACGATATAGATGGTGTGTTTATCAGCGATCATAGGGCCGTGGTGGCTGACTTGACGGTGCTTTGAGAGAGTTGGGCTTTGGGGGTTAGATAATGGACGGCTTGGCTGTCTCAATCAGGAGAGTCCGTAGTAGATGCAGCCTTGAGAATTACAATAGGTGCCAATGAAAATCCTGCACGTTGCTAAGGTAAAGAGTCTTATATATTATAATCAAAACAGGTTATTTAAAGGCGTAAGATGTAAGATGTCTGTCTAGACTTTGGCACGACTTGAGTAGGTACCTAATCTTGTGACAAGTTGATCCAGCAGAGGTAAAGAAAGAGAAATCTTCAGTTTATTACTGTATTTATCATAGTTAATTGTATTATTCTAATGTACATTTAATACATTACTCGCGTTGATCCCACTAAGTTAAGATGCAATATCACTAGGCCTAGGTATAGCAGTTTCTCACAAATAGGGGTAAAGGGGTAAGGAGGTATGGGGATACCGGAAGATAAACCGTACTAGAACATATAGTACGTATTAATCTGCTATATTATCGTTTATATCAGCGGTACCCGTTATTGATTCTTAAACTTTGGGTACCGAGGTACCTAATTCTTCTGCGTGAAGTAGGTATCCGAGGGGAAATTTAAAGTTAGGTTAGGTACGCACTTAGGAGACGTAACGAAATGGCACATGACCTAATCGGCACCTTCTAGCTGATGGTACTGATTCTACGTCCGACTGTCATTTCTATCCTACCTAGGTACTTATGACAGGCGTTGCAACTTCCTAAAGATACAGGTACAAACGTACCTTAGGTACCTAAGGCTAGGTAGATACATGGACACCTGCAGTTGCCTAGGTGTAGGTATGTCCGTAACGACGGGAAGGAGCGGTTGGTTGCCTTAGGAAGCGCATTTACAACGCACGCACCGAATAATCAAACAAGGCTACCTATTTCCCTCAGGCTACCTAGCTCTACCTCTTAAGGTACCCCTCGAGCTTCCCTCTCATCATTATCTTATTTTATCAAACTCCAGTCGCGAGTCAACATTTCATTCCAAGTTAATAATAAAAATACGAAAACGGAAGCAGGAAATAGAACCGCTTCAATCTCGGCATTTCAAAATACAGCGGTCAATGCTGCTTCCAAAATGACGGACAGTCGACCTGAATCCTCGTAAGGCGCCTTTTCCTTTCCCATCTCTATTCGTGACGCGATGCTAACCCGTAGTTACAACTTACAAGCCCGTACGCCGGACCTCATACTACCTTACGCTGCGCAGATGGTCTACCATTCAGCGTCCCTACGTCATTAGTTAATAAGTTCTTCTGGCTGAATCTTCCCGGATTGACCCATTATTTCATAAATGTCCCTAGTGATTGTGGACATGTTATCGTCCACTATCTCTTCACGGGCACGTACCAGTGTCTTAAGCCAGAGGGCGCGTCACAGCAGGACAGGGATATTGCCGAATTTACTACTTGTGCCCGAGTATACAAAATCGCCGGTGACTATCTGCTGTTCGGCCTAAGAAATCTCACTAGGGACGAGATGGAACGTCTGGCACGCCGCTTACAGGTCACGCAACTCCTCGACGTCATGAAGGATGTGCACCCAACCATCAAAGATACCGATATCTGGCTTCGCCATTTTCTCAAATCCCTGGTAGAACGCCTCATCGACAATCCGTGGATTCCTATTTTATATGAATCATCACAGAGACTTGGTAATAATACATCCATTGCCAGTGTCCTCGTTGGAACTTCAATCGAGCTATGTCGTGCAAAACTTCTGACCTCCCAGCAAAACCCTCCTACCGTCGCTAGCTTTCATGATTATATTTGCGGCACCCAAGACCGAGGAACCGAACATTTAGAAGGCATGCTGGGTCTTAACTTTGACCCGCAAAAGGACAAAAGTGCGAAGGAGAAACAAGGCGATTTAGGAGAGAACGGATCAGCAACGGGCTCTAATCCTTCTGCTGTCCTGACAGATGGAAACTCAAAGCTGACAGAAGAAAAGGGGCAACAGAGCCAGCAAACCAAGGGAAGTAGCGAAGCTTCTGTGAAATCTTCCAGCAATATTAATTTGCCCAAGATTTCACTTGTCGGCGTCGAAGCTTCGGATTTGGATTCTGAATCTGATATCACCACACCCGCCAGTGCGGCAAGTGGCGAATCCAACTTTTGTGCACTGAATTCTGTCAACGGGACTGGGTAAGGATATAGGTGCTTGAGTGTCTGGAAATTTGCGTGGCTTGCTAACTCGGACGAAGGTCAATCAGTGATGGAGGGGCAAGAGTACCGATCATTCCCCGTGACAGATCTATATTTGGAGTGCTTCCTGCCGGACAAGTTACGTCGTTCTATGAAGCCCAGATTAACCCGAGGGATTGCATTGAGAAGTTCCTACATATATGTACACATCCAGAATTCAAAAATATGTCTCCCGAAGAACTACGGTGGAAACATATGCTTTGGGAGCAATGCGGACATAAACGGGGCTAGTCAAGCTACGGTGGTGAACATTTCCAAGTACGCTTTTCATGCGCTTGCGGAATAAACAAGGCCTCACTCTGGAGGAGGAATACCTAACGTCTTTACAGATTAGTTGATTTTATAGTCCACTAGGTACCTAGGTAGGCTTGCTTGTTTAGTCACGAGTTAACCAGTCTGATTCTTCACGACCTGAAATTGACGTGGAGATCTGGATAATCGTTCCTCATGTAATCAGATCAAGTGACAACAACATAATAGTTAATGAAACGGCATTTTACAGCTAAGGCGATTGTTTACAGCTCGGCGCTACATATACTTTTAAGTAACATGAAAAAGCGTAAAGCTTTAGCTTTTTTATATCATAATTATTATAGGACAACCTTGTTTCCGAGTGGCTCCGATCGATTGGGCCTTATCAAAATACATACTGCAGGTCGGACAGTTACCTGAGCCAGTTAGCGAACCTGTTTCGGCACAACTCGCGAAATCGGCGTGTCACGTCACAGAGCATGCAGTGGGTAAAACAACTTCGTTGTTCCGCAAGGAACTCTAACTACAGTTGCTTTGAAGCCAAAGCTATATACAGAATAACTCCTTTGTTCCAAGGAGTCTCAAGTGAGACTCCTGACACGGCGTCTGAGATGGAATATACACGGGATGTCGATGGGTTCACCGTGCCGCCAATACCGGTGTCGACCGGATCTCGGCCACAAGAAAATATAGATTTCGCGTCGGTGGCTCCGTCAGATGCCACCAGGTTTACCAGAAGCTCGTCACGAGCTTCTGGAAGAAGCCTTGTCGAGAATCCTCGTTACCGGGACATGAGCTTGTTTATAAACCACATTTACATGCGCTCTTTCCGCGAGGAGTTCCCGAAACATATTGTTGATCTCATTAATCGTTTGCGAAGAGATCGCGACTCTCCAGGCCCCTCACAAGATCAGTTGTGGCAAGATACTACTTTAGAAGAACTTGTTATGGGTGTTGCGGAACCCGAAGTGGAAAGCTATTTTGACTAGAATATTTTCCCTCTACCAAGTCCAAGAGAGCCCCTCAATCGTGCCAACAGACAGCCAATGGTCCGACACGCTGTCCCTAATGTCGGGTCCAACCTCAAAGTCAGTACGCCAGTGCCTAATATGCTTTATGGCTATAACCGCTCACAAGCCTTTCCTCAGCAAGAGGCCCAACTGATCTCCATGGGGACTGAAATGATAGCCAACAATCAGCCTGAAGGTTTACTATACCCTTTCTTTGCTATCGAATTCGAGGGCGATAGTGGGAGTATGTGGGTGGCGACAAATCAATGCTTGGGAGCTTCAGCATCCTGTGTTAAGATTGCTGAAAGCCTTAACAACCGACTGAGGAATTTCCAGAGCGATGAGATCCAGTTAATTGACAGTGCCGCATTTAGCATGGCTACGAATGGGTCAGAGGCACGACTTTACATCTCGTGGAAGCAGAACGAAGTTGATTATTATATGTGTCAGGAGTCCCACTTGAGACTCCTTGGAACAAAGGAGTTATTCTGTATATGGATTTGGCTTCAAACCACTTGTAGTTAGAGTTCCTTGCGGAACAACGAAGTTGTTTTACCTACTGCATGCTCTGCGACGTGACAATATGGCGAATATAAAGAGTTTCTTACTTCAGGACCCTGGGCATTATCTTGAGCTCCGCAAGTACGTCCGGAACATCATATACTGGGGCAAGGGCGATCGATTAAACGGGATTCGAAAGTCCCTGGACGCCCTTCTGTAAGAGAACCGCAGGAGAGTATCCTAGGAGGCGAAGTCTTGTCCGCCACCTTCCCCATTCTTCCACTAGCAGCGGCATGAAGTGTAAGCCTTCGACGCGTAGAAGCCGCAGCAAATCAAATCTCATGCAAGGACAAAGCGACGAAGCTGAGGAGTATTGGGGTTGGGACGACACATACGAACGATAGTACCACAACAATTCGGATGGGACCACCACCTTGGCAACAGATGGGCAGTCTGTGGCACGAATATATATATGGATTGTTCTTTTTGGGATGTATATGTTATTAGATATTACCCGTTGGTCCGTTCGCATCCTTTAAAGGACCAACTAATTAATTATACGGCGAATCATCAACTACTGACGACTTACTGTTTCTTGCCTTTGTATTCATTCTCTTCTTTGGACCTTCAACTTAAAATCCGGCTCTTCGTCTTTCCATCCAAGTATAAGGACCAAATCCTATTAAAAAGTTAATCATCTATATCAGGTCCATTACTATCTGTATGACTTTTTTACCCGATACTTTGCTTAGCACAACTCTTTAAGACGATGAAGATATGAGATGTGGGGAATCGGCAATGACAGAGAAGACAGAATTAGGAGAGGCGAGAGGATGGCGGTGGCACATTTAAATCCACAACGGCCAGTGAAACCATGAACGAGAGGGCGAGGCAAGCCGAATCAAGGCAGTATTGCTGTGGCATTGCGGATTTCGGACGGGGACTCATTTTCGCCCACTTTGGATGGGAACCGTTTCTGGTCACCCCTGCTGGAGTTGAAGCATTTCCCATCCTGCTGCGACACAGCTTCTTAAATGGATGGCTAGAGTTAGGATTGGCAACTCCTTTCCGCGCCTAATTAGAAGCCGTAAAATCCTCATTCTCCATAAAAGAGCTTATTCCGGTAATTCTTATCCTACCCAAAGAAAGTTGGTGACAATAACCCTTTGTAAACTCAGGGCATATATACCTAGGGAACGCGTATGCCATTTGATATTTGCGGAATTATAGCTTGTAGTCGAGTCGGATGTATTATACAAAATCCGTCTCTATGAAATTTTACAAAAGGGTAGATACCTGAATTAACCTCATTCATATGTTAGTTAACACTTCGCAACGAGAACGTGACAAGATATCATGATGTTAAACTCATTTGTTTTGGAGCTTTTCAGGAGCATATATTCCACATAACGCGCTGACTCAGTACCTTCCAAGTCCCTTCACTTCTCCTACGAGAATTTATAACCTTAGGTAGGTACCTTACTTAGGTGGTAGCTTTGCTTCATATATCTTGCCTAGAAATATTAAAGGTACCTGCTCTAGATTCACGTGAAATATAGAAACTAACTCCTAGGTCTCGTAGTGTCAAGTGAAAGTATTGGGGAGAATTATCCAGTTGATAGATTCTTTCCCATAGAATCAGCTTTGAATAGGGGAAGTAATCTTGCGGTAATGCTCCACTTATAACAACTTTTACAGAAATATATGTTACATTCTCCAACACTTACTTAGGTGGGTATATAAGAGACTAACTTTCCTCCCCAATCTCTTGGATGCAGCTAAAGAACGAACATGGATAGCTGACACTTGAGGCATCACACTAGACTCCAGATGACATGGGATCTTCCGAAGGGTATGGAAACCACTCCGCTATTCGATGACGAGCTTTAACCTAACCACAAGAAACCGTTGCTAGTATTACATACTAAAAGTATCCTTTTTTTCTACACGGCACTTTCGGAATCTTAGCACGGTTCGGCACATAGATATACATGAACGAATAAGGCAACAGTCTCCACAATCTATTAGGCCGAATTAGCATCGTTACTTGCTGGCCGGCTTCAGAAGTCAGGTACCCGGAAAATATTGTCCCAATAGCAGCTGAAGGAAAAACGTATAAGGGCCGCCGGTGTATCATAACGGAATTATAATGCTAGCACTCATCACTCTGGAATTGGTACTGTTTGCCATATACGGAGTAGAATGATTTGTACAGGAGAAAACCGTTGTAGTCTACCGAAGCTACCTACCTAGGTAAGTATGCTACACATCAAAGTTGGAATTGAGTCTCTAGATTTCCCTCGGAGACTTATCAGAGTACACTCTTAGATCTAGTCCCTTGAACTAGATAGATCTTCAGTAACTAACCAAATAAAGCCAAATCATGCCTTCTTTGACCCTATCTCAAAAGAAGCTAATTTGCCACAGACTATGCCAACCATTTGTAAGCATTCGGCCCATCGCCGTTATACTCCATCTGTTCACTTCAAGTTAGAATCCACCTTCCTTTCAGATTCATCTCCGCTTACGATTATCTGATATCCTATTTGTTGATCAAATCCAAAAAAAAAGGGGATAGGATGGAGGTTAAGTGGGGGTGGACACGGTTTAAGTGTCAGAACGGCGTAGATGGTCTTGGCCAAGAACATGGTGGTGGATCTCGACAATTGTTCCCCATGCAAAAGACCTAGATGATAATAGCGTTGAAGCCTTGTTTATGCGTACCTATCATAGCGCCGATCTTACAGCTCGCGGGACGCAGGAGAAACGAAATATCGCTCTAGCGCGCCTCAAGCCTTGTATTTCGGATGGGTACTGAGCATGCAACTGTAACCTCTTGGCGCCATCCAAGTATTGGATAGTATGAGAGAGCCGCGCGTCCCTGTTACATCAGTGATGGTAGTGGATTAAAACTTAGCCAGACTACAGATAACTCTTGATTTTAGTCAGGTTCAAAGACAATTAAGAGTTGAGGGTCTTGAGAACCTGTTTAAAGGAGAATCTAGGTAAAGTATCAGGAAGCCCCTTTCGACATGAGCATACACAAAAAGTCGTCTTGGCGGCGCTAATGTCTCTTTTAGGGATCAAGGCCCCCCCTTATCAGGTATCTCTGTTCTTCTCTTCAGACCTACCACCCTGGGTAAAGCATACCGACGTTTGAGATAGAGAAACATGAATTGCCCAACATGGATCGCGAGGAAGGTTGAGCTGCCTCTTGTTATCGTTGACCAACGCAAGAGATAATGTACCACCTAGATGGTTAACAGTGGTTCCTCGACAACATCAAAACAGTAGATAGATATCGGTCGAATATATCCTACGAGTCTAATGATATCCATTAAAGCATTGCAAGCTGCCTAAGTCACGCGACTTCAACATCAACTACTAAGGTAGCCGCTTGGATGTTGGGTATAGCTCAAGCCAGCCTCTTGCATCATTGCGTTTTCAACCGCCGCTCTCTCATTGGCTTTTCCGGACCAACTGGTCTTGGCTGCAATACTGAAGTGGACAGGGTCTTACGATATGATTTGATATTGGATCCCTAGGCGAATCTGTGAAGATCCCACAAATAGCGGAAGGGGGTCCCCGGCGAGGCCAATTTAGGAGGGTGCCATCAAGGACAAAGGAGAATGTGCTACCGCGATCTTGCGTGGTGGAGATTTTTGCCAACGGTTCGAGAATTGGCGGTGACTGATCGGCTGCGTAGATCATATTCTATATACAAGCCGAGCTTGAAGATATAACGGCGTCGATTCCGCCATGCTATTCACTTCTTGACTCTGACCCAACCAGAGCCTTTTCACTCTTTCCATATCTTTCGACACTCCCAAGCTTCCAAATATCTTAAGTTCGGCTCAATATGGTTAACCTCCGCGCAATCACCGCCTCCTTGGCGGCTTCCTCTTTCCTCGGTGTTGCTGTGGCCCATCCTGGGGACAGCAAAGAGGTAGTCAAGTATGAGCGGGCTATGCACAACCATGCTCAGGCAGGAGCTCGTCGAGCTATCGTTAACTACGGCACTACTCCTGCCACAGCCGCTCTCAAAGCTCGTGCAATTGCTCGACGTGCCGCTACCGCTCAGAGTCTCCGTGAGAAACGCGGTCTTAGTGACAGTAAGCCATCCCAAAGGCGTCTGATAACTCCTGTTACTAATTCCAAACCAGAGCGTATGAAGTCCAAGAGAGGTCAGGCTGAGCTCGAAAAGTATTTGAGCGTCACGCACGATAGTACGGAACTGGGTTACAACCTAGATACCCCGTTAGACGTTATCTTCGATTCGAACTCGACTGCTGCTCTTGTCCCCGAAGTTACGATCGGTCCTTACTGGGTGGCAGGAGAGTTGATCCGAGTACGTTTGTCTCATTTCAATCATGCTATCTTTCTGATACCAAGATATGACATTACTAAACGCTAACCAATCAATTACAGACCGATGTTAGTGAGGACCAGGCTGGTGTGCCTCTACACCTGGACCTGCAGTTCATTGACATCAACACCCTCGAGGCTATCCCCAACATGCTGATAGATATCTGGCACTGCAATGCTACGGGTGTATACTCCGGTATCTCTATAATGGGCCAGGCCGGCCTTGACACCACCTACGGCCGTGGTATTCAGAGCACAGACGAAGATGGCGTAGTCCAGTTTGACACCATCTTCCCTGGCCACTACATCGGCCGCGCTCCTCACATCCACATGATGAGCACCGAAAACGCCACCGTCCTGCCCAACAACACCTACCTGACGGACGGCAAGCCCAACCACATCGGGCAGCTGTTCTTCGACCAGAGCCTCATCAGCGCGGTCGAGGAGCTCGAGCCCTACAGCACCAACACCCAGCCCTTGACCCTCAACTCGGAGGACGGCATCGACGCCGAGACCTCCACGGCCGAGTACGACCCCTTCGTCGACTACGTCCTCCTTGGCAGCGAGCTCCAGGACGGCCTCCTGGCCTACCTGACCGTCTTCGTCGACACCAAGGCCAACCAGACTGCGAACGCCCACGCTGCCGCCCACTACTACGAGGGAGGCGGTGTCGCATCTCCCGGAGGTAGCTTCCCTGGTGGCCCCGGAGGTCCGGGCGGCCCGCCGGGCAGTGGATTCCCTCCCCGACCTAGCAGCACCACTGCTCCCTGAAGGGCGTCCGCATAACTCGTCCTCCAGAGGGGAATTGGTACTGATAGAACGCGAAAGACAGTTCGGGAAGTAGGTATTCCATCGACGGAATTTACCTACCTAATGTAGAGTGCGTGTGGCGAGTGTGGAGCGAAAAGAAATAAAAGTAAAACTGTCATTACCGTTAGTTTATGGAAGCTTTAGGTACCTGAAAAATACTAAGCACGTTTATGATTTATATCATCGACCCCGTAGCAGATAAATTCGAATTCAAATATAATTAGCATGATATGACATTATGTCCTTAGGCACCATCCCCTGTCATTGTGAATGAGACCCCTTCCCCCCGCCCCCAACCCCCTTTTTTCTAAAAATTATTGTACATGTGTTATGGTTTGAGTAAATGTAATCGTTGTTGCACAAAGAAAGAAAGAGGGAAGCGGTAAGAGGTCCATGGTCTAGTTACCTAGGTACCTTATATACACGATGATAACCCACTAGGGGTCTACACTTGAGAAAGTCTATAGGGCTATACTGCGACAACATGACACTGAGCTGTGGTAAAGCTCTACTGGCAACGATGGTAACTCGGACCTAACAACTTGATCATTTACCCAAAGAATACCCTTGGAAATTCGACGCGAAAGATATCTGACAAAACCTTAACTTTACGAGGGGCCACATACTCCTATTCTTGGGCGACTGTGGCTTTTTTCCTGTTATCACGAGGCAGAATAAGAGATATTGATGCATGCCTGTTCCACAAGAACTCTAAGAGGTAGGTATGCTACTCTGAGAACCACGGCTGTACGTATAGAACGTAATATCTTGTTGTCCTTGATGTGTCACGATTCGACTGGGTAGACCTCTAGTGGGCCATAGTTTGTGTATATAAGGGAGTTTGAGAGGAAGAGAGAGAGATAGAGAGATCTTTCGTTGCTTTTTTCTTCTCTCCTTGTGTGGCAACGGCTTCTTCTACCAAACCTTGCCAAGATGTCTTGTCTATGATCCTGATATGCGTTTACAAATGACGAAAGGTAGGCGAATAGACAGTACGGTCGAATAAGTTTGTTACTAATAACGCTATGAGATTGCTTTGTAGTTGGTTATTTATAATTTATTTGAAAGTTTACATGCATAGTATACTCGTACCCATGAACCGGAGTCAATGGTTAAAGTTTAGGTTAGGTACCTGAGGCACTTAGGTACTCAGTTGTTGAGACTATAGTCATTTGCAAACAAACTATCATTTTCTTGTCTAGTATCCGTATGTCTGTATCAGGGGTATGAGAGGCTAGAACATATTGGGTGATAGACCCAGGGGTACACAGCTCCTTCGAAGGTGCTTCGAGGGGGCAAGCGCTAATAGATTACCATTCTATACGCTTGCTAGTGTCTCTAGTATTCACTCTGTACACGACATACATCACGGGGTCTATCCGACACCCTGGGGATCAGTACATATTTAATGGAGCTGTTTCATTAGTAGTTGGTAGGCTGATCTAAGCACGACAAGGAAACTATTTCTAGATAAGGAACATTTGGCTAGGGGGTATTTGTCATTACCATAGCTTCATTGCATTAATGATAAGGCTAGACAAAGCACAATCACCGCTGTGTGTTGACTGGTAAGATGTAAGCGTCATCAGGCTAGTTTTGCTTCAGAGATTCCCTTTGAACCACGAGCAAGATCGACGAGTCAGAACTCGCTCATTGGCATAGCTTGAAAGCGGCAATCTAACTACTCCATGAAGCCCTCCCAGAGCTAACCCAATCCAAAAGAAGCTCTCTACTTCCACCTAGGATGGTATTTTTTGATAGTAAGAGCACCTATAGACTCATTTTGTTTTATCTACATGATCATACAGCTGCGGGGAAGTATAATAATAGAAATATTCTCTCAGTCGCCAACTACGGGTTCACTGAAGCTTCGCTTTGGTACACCGCCTGGAATTATCGCTCTATTCGGTACCATAGTTGAGCCAGGATCACGTAGTATTTTCGGCATTTATTTCTAGGCGTCTTTAGTTGCCTAGCACTCGTTTTACCGTCGACTAGAAGGATTGCTAGGTACCTACCTACCTACCTACATAAGAGCCGTTTTTATGTGGCATGTACGACCACACACCTGTATGTTACCTACCTCGCATAACTCCGAGCTGAGCAGTTCAAACGGCCCATTTCCCATATCCATATCTCTGATCTTCGAATTTGTGGCAAATGACATGCGTTTGATGCGGTTGAAGGGTGTGACGGATTTCAGGGGGATGGATTATGGCCACTTAGGTCTTTCTCGTACAGTGAAAATTGATTGCTTATTACTCGGAATTTTTTTTATCAGTTTACGAAGGTATATAAATTCGGCGAATGATCCTGTGTAAGTTATGTTAGGGGTCTTGGTCCGGGTCAAGAGCTAAAATAGCTAAAGTATATACACTTCTAGTGTCTGCCAACGCTGGCCTATAAGAGCAAAGACATCAGGCTGCCCAGTTTCTAGAAGAGCTGTGTTTAAGTAGAAGCAAGATGACATTACTTAAATGCACTTGGAGTATTGAATCTCTGTCGAGAATCATAATATGTACTAGGGTTTGGAGAATACGCACCCAACGTACATGTGCTAGCAAATATTAGTCCAAGCACTCGCTCGAATTATCCACATCCGGCTTTATTAACCAGGGTTTCCCTCTACCGCAACTACCGCTGCGCGGGAAAAAAAAATGAGTGGATTTCCTATTTAGATCTTAATACGTACGCCATTTAGCGAAAGTACGGATGGGTGGGCTGTGTCCCTTGTCGACCTATCTCTTGGTTCTATCCATCCCTCCTTTCTGAGTCGCATTCTAGCTAATAAGAAGATACACAGAACCGGCCGAACTTGTCGGCCCATCGAACGGAATTTCGGGGCCCACACCGATGAGATGCTGTCAGACCTATGTTCTTGGCTTTCCCGGTATGCTCCGATAAGACGTCGGCAAATAAGCTAGGGGTGTAACCACATGGAAAGGGGTGGAAACGAGTCGGAGAAGTGACCGACTGTCAGAATCTCACTTTCGGCCTGCTTGCTTATCATTGCGTTTCCGCGGACTATAAGGTATTGCAGTCCTATTCGAATGAAGACCATTCGTGCATAAGCGAGGATTAGTGAGTTAAATGTGAAATTAAAATGTGCCTCATTACTCTTGAATTAGACCCCAAGCTACGATATCATTACGATTTCTCGACCTTGGGACCGGAAGGCTCGGGGAGATGCTGTAATGCGGTAAGTATCCGAGACGCCGTTAGTTCGTTAGACCAATGGAGAAATTTCTCATCTTAAAACCTGCATTTCCCCGCCAACGAGGCTACCTGAAAATGATGATGGGCAAATGAATGCGAGAAAAAAAATAATAATAATAAATAAAGGATCGAAATTTATCCTACATGTATGTAGAAGCTACCAACAAGTACTATTACTATTATATTACTTAGGTATTACCAAGTAATACCCGTAAGCGCATCCAAAAGTGTCGTCTAAAAGAAAGTGTCGTTGGTTGATATTTCAGACCCGCAGGACCCCGTCGAAGTTGTCGGAGTCGAGTCGATAAGTTGGGATGTCATCAGGGCGCTACTACGTACCGACGTGGAGAAGACGCCATGTGCTTGGCGGGTTGCTGATGGTGGGTCGACTCGTTCATGCACGAGACAAGACAAGCTTTTTTAAGGCGTCCAGCGCGACAAGCTTTTGTTCTGGGCCGGCCTGTCTTAACCTCGGGGTTATGAAAGTTACCTATAGCACGTTTTTTTGCTAGGTATTGTATACATTTGCGAGTTCAGTTATTTGAATACTATAAACTTTATATACGTGTGATTACAGTAGTGTTCGAAGTATCTAATACCAACAATAATTACCTAACGGTAACTACTTGTAATGTCACTACTTTAGTTGCATAACTAATACCTGTATTAAGCTTTCCATTTATCCATCTCTCCCATACCACGCTAATAACATAAGAGCTACGTTGTGTGTGTGACACAAAGAAGGGCTGAGATGTGAATTAACAATGAATCTTTTCTCATACATTAAGTACCTCTATACCTTCGATAGGAGGTACCTATCTAACCTAAGAATCCTAATCATCCTACATCAACATGATTGAGCTGCAGTCATCTAAAGTAAGCTAGCCTGCCAGATTTTCTATCGTCTAGTTCCATAAAACACCCCAACTAACATTAAGCATCCTGGCATCCTGGCACCCTGGGCGGTGGATTTAAGGGCATCCGATAGCCCGAGAAAAGTCTGACAGGGGCTTGCATCGAAACAACGCTGATTAGGTAGGATTGCCAAAGCTTGATGAGCACTTACGTTACCTGCTTATTATTTCTCACTCTCTTTTCCTTTTTGTTCCAGTGGCTTATAAGTATCCGGGCTGTTTTTATTCTGTTAGGTGAGAATGACAGGTATCTAATACATATCTCATGCTAGACACTTATCTAGGTACATTACAATGTAAGTCCGTGCTAAATCCTGACCTAATGTAGCTTTTTTTCACTTCGGAGTCGATCGATACCTGACGATCGGACATACACTAGGTGCTAATGGGGTTGATGGAACACCCTGGCCACCTGGCTATCCAGATGTAGGTACCGTATGCAGTAGGTAAGAGCCATCTGGGCTTTATCAGTCGTATTACGTAGCCACTTAGATGTCTAGTAACGTAGAGCAGCATACAAGGGAAGTGTCTGCCTGCCTCTTAGTGCGTGACAGCTTATGTATGTCTACTATGCGTATTTGACCTATTAACTTATGAATATATGAATAATTCCCCAGGGCGCACAACCCGATTTGGAATTGTGCACCTAATTTGTTACCTAGGGCTTATGTGTTGTATGTACAGGTATCGTATCAGATAAATGTGCACTAGCTGCTGGTTGTATTGTAATGCATTTGAAATCTTAAAAGAAGAGGAGAAAAAAAAAAAACTCAAATTCGCTTCACTCAGCTGATATAATGAATGGGGTCTCTCTCCCCTTCCATCAGTTAAACCCACCCTTCCCACAATCCCTGCTAGCTATTTCCTTGGGTCCCCCTATTATCTCATTTTCTCTTCCCCAATTTCTAACCCCCAAACTTGCCAAGAACATCTTTTTCATCGCTTCCCGCCCTAACACCTGACATTAACTCTCTCTTAACTTAACCAACTTACCTCACAAATTAACTGCTAACCTGTTAATCCCTCCCGCGTCATTTGCGTTTCTATTCCTGTTCCTGTTCCTGTCCCTGAGAACCTGTGTCTCTCTTCTTCCCTTTTTGTTATTTCGTTATCAATCGTAATGTCTCAACCATCCCTCAAAATAGTATAATGACTATAAGAGCATGTGTATGTCTTGGACCCTCTTCTTTTTATTCTCTCCCGTCCCTTTAGTAGCTTTGCCAATTTCGTCATTTTTCTCATTTTTGTCCCTTTTTTTCCCCGCTGCCGAGAAGTTGTTTATTATATAGCCATTGAAAATCTTCTTGGCACCGGCCGAACCCTCCTCTAGAATCCCTTGGCACACAGCTGCTGACGTCTAGTTTACAGCACTCCAAACCGTCCGGAATGTCGTGTACGTCGCCAAGAAAAAGCTTCTTTTTTTCTTTTTCCATTCTGCTGGGCTCTGCCAAGCAGGTACCGGGCCATCAGGAAAAGCTTAGCATCACCGGATCGTTGTTGGTTGGCTGAATGGCTGGTGTGAAAATCATTGTTGATTGATAGACCAGCGTCGATGAGATCAACGATGTAAAAGTGGTGTGTCGCCGATGCATTCGCGATCGCTCCATCGCCTGCGTCGTACGACGTAACATTACACCAAAATGCATTTCATCAGTTTCGTTTTGTCTCATCTCCCGCTGTCTCTTGCCAATGCTAAGCATCACCATCGCTGTCACCATCGCCGTTATCGTTATTGCCATTCCATCCGTGCACTTGTTCGAGTTTAATAGGCCAAGTCTTCAGAGGTATCGTGCTAATATCTGAATAGACTGTTATTTAGCAATCCCAGTTGGACAGGTGGCCATTCGGTTCCTAGCACTATCCTCAGAAATATTACTGCATTATCTGTACGTGTTGAAACCCCAAGAAATGGCGAGTATGTCACGAGAATAAAATGTTGCTTACACATCGTGACAGAGCCATATAGCATATTCCGAGGATCTGTTTGAAAATATCACCACTCTCTCTACCACTTCAGTTTCAACTCCAAATGGTGTCATTCAAGGTCTCCTGTATGTCCCAGACCTTGACGACAATGACCCATGCCAGGAAGAGGCGGCGAAATACATCCCAGCAAATGTCACACGACAAGTGAATTTGCCACCTACGAATTACAATCTTATAGCCCTAGCGCCGTGGATTAACCCTGACTGCACCCAGTCATTTCTTGCATCCGCCAGGTTGGACCCTATCCGAGGGATGCTTGTTTATCGTCCAGATAATGATACCAGTCAACCACCAGACATCGATGACGATGCTTGGGACCTGGGAGATGGCGGTATATGGAAGACGCAGAATCGCTATCCCATTTACGCGATTCCCGGTGCTTCCGGGAACGAGATGATGAGGCAGCTCAGCCTTTATTCTGGTGATTTATCCCAAGTCCCATTTAGTAATCAGATTATTACTACGTACTCTCCAAACCCGGCAGATTACGTACGAGTATGGACGGAATTAACAGTAGTTACCGTGTCAACGACGCTCCCGTTATGGGCGTTCATTTTGATTATCCTTGGCGTAATTATTGCCATCATCGCCAGTACCTCGCTGCTCATGCACTTTGTCCAGAGTCGCCGTCGCGCCGCTTTACGGCGCCGCGTGATGCGGGGTGAGGTGAATCTGGAGGCGCTGGGTATCAAAAGGTTGATGGTACCGATGCATCACATTCTAACTTTTCCTTTATTTACCTATAATTACGACCCTCCATTACCGTCGTCACCCACGTTGGTCAAATCCCCGCAAAAGACAGGGCGAAGGTCGTCGGAGGTTAGTCGAATACCAGACAGTGTGAGGATCGAGAAGAACGATTCGGGACTTGATTACCAACCGGCGTGCCTCATCTGCTTGGAAGATTTTGAATCCAAGAAGACAATCATCCGCGAACTACCTTGTGGTCATATCTACCATCCCGAATGTATTGACGAATTCCTGGGCCAAGTTAGCTCGCTATGTCCTTCCTGCAAAGCATCAATGTTGCCTCGTGGCTATTGTCCAGAAATAACGAATTCGATGGTGCGCAGAGAGTTAGGTACTCGGAAATTACGGTCCAGCGGTACGGTGATTACCGTGGACGTCGAAAGGGGTCGACAGAGGCTATCCTCGTGGAGCAGCTCTATGAAAAAACATATATGCAAAATCTCATCTCCGCAGCCGGAAGAAGCTATTGACTTACAAGAGCAGCCGAGGGATGGTATATCGAGCACGATGGAAACGACACGAGATCACATGCAAGAGCTTGTAGTACCCGTTGACGAAACAAACAGCGACGACGGGCGGCCTCAATGCAAGTCGTTTAACTACACCAGTGGGTCTAGAAGCTAACGGGGCAATAGGGAAACGTACGGCTCTTAAAGTCTTCCCGGGATTTAGGTAAATGTTTAACGGTCAGATATCACATTTCACATATTAAAGGATATTAGTACCATTTAGCATAGTCTGGCGTTTTGTTGTAAGGGAATGCATTATCTAGGCTAATGCAAAGCCTATCAGGGGAGTTCATGGGGAATATTGGTTTTTGTTGCGCGTTGGGCATATGCGGACATTGGGATGTTTGGTTGTATGGCATGGGAACAGCATATGAAGACTGCATGGATATACCCCCAAGGTTCGGCGCGATTTTAAAACCCAAGGAATAAAAAGGAAATACTATTGGCCACTTTCCAGCATAATATCTATATTTGTACAGCTGCTTGTGTTATCCCACAGTGCGGCTCGTCACCTGAAAAGATGCATATTGGAACATGTGTCCCATGGTCCGTGCACGTAATCCCCAGCCGTACAGAAGGATTCGTCATTCTCACAGCTTGGAGCTCCAACAAACACCTACACACCTTCGAAGTGCCAAATCAAGCGTCTGGCGTAAAATATCATCTCGAATTAGAAGAAAGCACGCCTCGTGGGCTTTCTGCCTCGAGATGAAAGTACGGATCATCTCGGCCAACTTGCAGCGCAGATGACCTTCGTGCTCGATGAGTGCGAATTTGAGTAATGACGAGATGTCGTCAGCCGTGGAAACCCCAGAGGAAACCCAAGAAGAAACCTCCTCGCTCGAAGTAGTGGAGCATAAGCTCCTGGATCCCGACCCGGATCCAGCCATAGCTGACGACGGAGCGACGGCGTCTCGACCACTCATTATCTGCTTCCACGGCTCGGGCGAGTCGTGCTCGCCGTCATGGGACGCACTGGCGCACACGCTAACAGCTGTACCTCACTGCCTACGCGTCCTGCTGTACTCCCGCGGTATCCTGAACCGTCGCCCGCCGCAGGCCACCTCCGAGCTGAGGGAGTATCTAATAAGCGAGGGGCTGAAGGGGCCATGCGTGCTCGTCGCGCATTCGTACGGGGGCGCGTTTGCACGAACGTTCCTAGAGCGGGAACAGCAAGAACAGAAGCAGCAGGGCGAAATCTCAAGGAAAGACGAGGGCAAGGACGATGACGACAACGACAACGCGGTGCGAGTCGTGGGCATGGTGCTCGTGGAAACGGGCCAGGAAGGCGGTCTCGACCCGGAAGTCGAGAGGGCCCAGTACGCGCGGCGGGTCCTGGGCACGCGGCCGCTGAGCGTGGTGCGCGGGAACTCGCTGATGAGGCAGTGGGCGGACCTCGCGGCGGCGGAGGCGAGCGTGGCGGCGGACGACGAACTGAAAAGGGAGGTCCTGAGGCAGAGGCGGGAGATGTTGCGGGTCTACGACGCCGCCGACGAGCGGCTGAAGAAGAAGCAGCTGGGCCTCGCGGCGCCGAACGCGAGGAAGAGGTACGTCCGCGTTCCGGACTGTGGACACCACGTCGTGCGCGATCGGCCGGACGTGGTGGCGCGCGAGGTCGCGTGGGTGTTGGAGAACGTGGGTAAGGTAGAGGAGGAGGAGGAGATGCAGGAGACGGGAGAGGCGGATAGACGGGAGGATAGAAATACAGGCAATAAAGGTACAGTGGGAGGGAAGATCTGGGGGGTTAAAATTAAGAGGATATGGAAGTTCTGTAGAGGCGTTGTGGGGAAATGGCTTGATAAGTTGGGGAAATGAGTCTATTGCTGTTGCTGTTGTTATCGCTGTTCGATGGGATACCTCTACTGCGTTACGTTACTAACAGTCTAAAGTTACCTGAGTTGTAGGTGGTGTAACTAATATGAAGTTCACAGATGAGATAAATGTGTCTGTCGTATAATGGGTTTTGCTCCGTTAAGCGATAATAATAATTATTGTTATCATTATGCTAGTTGTTAAAGGGTGGACTCACTGTGCGAGTACCGAAGCTTTTGTTGTTCCATAAGTCTAATATTACGAATTCCATTGACAAGAAGATGCTATTCAACTCGTTGATAATAACATGAGGTAGTCTTATGTCCTTAAGTGGCAGTTAGACACATGTATATCACTCGTTTAAATCGGACTTTGTTAAATTCTTCTCTACCATCTACCATTCTTACAATATTATCTCTGAATCTTTTTAAGGGTTTTGGTTCGTTAATATAAATAGAGTATATACTGGTGTCTAGTTGGCCCTCGAGGACATATAGATATTAAATAACACCTAGTATTGGTTCGTATAGAAGCGGCGAGTACTAGGGGTTGTTACGTGGCATAATGATTTTTGGCCTTATTTTAATGAAAGCAACGTAGAAATAAAGTTGAGCGAAAATGCCCCGTAGTTGTGGATTGAGTTGTTCACATTCAGAGGTAGTTTGGGAATGTGTTAAGTTACCTAGAGGTAGATAAGAAGAACTAAAGAGCAAACATCACTTGGGTATAGTGATGTTCTTAGTAGAGGTAATTAATATTTATTAGTGAATCAGGTACCTGTTTTAATGGCAACTAATTAGGTACCTAGGTACTTAAATTGTGTACCTATAATAGCTTGAGAGTTTAGTTGAGTTACTGGCTGATATAAGATCTCGTGTTCGGCAGGTACCTTGCTGGAGGCCTGCAGAAGAGCCCTGACGATCTACGGTTTAATAGATTAAGAGATAAGAAGAAACTGCGATAGGAAAGTCTAATAGTTAACTAACCGGCCTGCCGGCTTACAACGGCTAGCGGGGTTTTTAGAGTTATTTAGTAGCGTGCCGGGTAGCCGGGAATCTTAATTTCTATTCGCAGGCAAGTCTTTCTTAACATTTAAAACGCCTCCCTTGCTTAAATATTAAATAAATACCTGACCTAAGCCTTCTACCTGCGCATCCCCCATTCCTTGACCTACACCCTACCGACTTAGTACCTCGATACGTCTAGGTATGAATTGATTGATGTCTTCCTCATCCCCGGTTAGACGCCACGGAGTTTTCAATTCCTGACACATATTTATACATTTATTTGTATTAGTATTTGTTTCGCTAATGCAGTCCGCACACCCTGACACCGCGCGCTGTCAAATTTAGCCAGTTTTCCGTCCTCCGTCTTTCTTGGCTACCCACGTATCTTAATTATCTTAATTCACTACCTTCATGGTCTTAATGGTCTTAATAGTACCGGTAATGAGTGAATAGTATTTCCTATTGGTTGTTTGGCTGTTGGTTGGCAGGGCTAAAGACGCCTAAAGAGGGTATTTCAACCAGCATAACCCAATTTCTGCCCCCCTCATGTTGGTGGAAAATGTTCAATGGCAGGTCCTTCACCAACCTCACGACGCCATGATGGCACTCTTTCGACGAAAGACACGCGTACTCGCTTCATTATTCCTAGTACTCGTATTATACCTCTTAGTCGGACTTATCCCCGAGCATCGCGATACCCTCTTCGGCTTTACATTCGTTAGGACGACTTATAACTGGTCCCAGCAACCGTTAAAGTATCGAATATCGGAATATGTCTCTTTACCTACCGGTACACCTCGCGCGCTTCCTAAAGTTCAATATTCATTCACTACCGATACCAGTCCCGAAGGTGTTGCGAGGGAAGAGGTCTTAGCGAGTCGGCGGGCGGAAGTTAAGGACGCGTTCGTAAAGAGTTGGACGAGCTATAAGAACGCCGGGTTTGGTTACGATGAACTCATGCCGGTATCTGGGAAAGGGAGGGATGCGCCGGGCTTCGGCGGTTGGGGTGCTACACTCGTTGATTCTCTCTCAACTCTCTGGATTATGGGCCTAAAGGACGAGTTCTACGAAGCAGCCGCCGCAGCCGTGACCATAAATTGGTCTCGTACGAGCGACACTTCCTGTAATTTCTTCGAGACTACTATTCGACACCTCGGTGGTCTTTTAGGCGCGTATGACTTGAGCTTAGAGACGGCATTACTCGAGAAAGCCATTGAGCTTGGCGACATGCTCTATATGGCATACGACACGCCGAACCATATGCCACCGTTCTGGTTGAACTTTGACGATGCCAAGCATGGTAACCAAGAGGCTGGCTATCATGACCCGTCTGCCTCGGTCACGTCATCGTCGGTCGAGTTTACGAGGCTATCGCAACTTACTGGAAACAGTAAATATTACGACGCTATAAACCGAGTAACAATGGTCTTGGACGAATGGCAGAACAAGACGGCCTTACCAGGCATGTGGCCAACATTCTTTGACTTCAAACAGCTACAGCTAGATAGCGATAACAGCTTTACGCTCGGCGCACTAGCAGACAGTCTTTACGAGTATCTACCCAAAACGTATGCTATACTTGGTGGTCTCGAACCGGTGTATGAGAAGCTGTACCGCGGAGCGATGGATACGGTGATAAAGAACTTGCTATTTAGACCCAAAACGCCGGATCAAGACGATATACTTTTCACTGGAACCGTGTTCGTATCAGATGATACTGGGCCCCATCTGACCGCAGAGGGACAACACCTTGCGTGCTTCGTCGGTGGAATGTTTGGGCTCGGGAGCAAGCTTTTCAACATCCCAGAACATCTCGAAATCGCTGAGAAGATCACTCGGGGTTGCGTGTGGGCGTACGATGCCATGCCTACTGGCATTATGCCCGAAATCTTTAACCTCCTCAGATGTGAGACCCTGGATCCGTGTGAATGGGACGAGGACGAATGGCAAGATCAATCGAATACGCAGTTGAAAAGGGGTTTCACAAGCGCACGTGATCCACGGTATCTTCTACGGCCAGAAGCCATTGAGAGCGTATTTCTCATGTATCGCATGACCGGTAATTCCGAGTACCAGGAGATGGCGTGGAGGATGTTCCAGGCGATTCGAAAAGCAACCGAGACCGATCTGGCCTTCTCGTCGATCCAGTCCGTCAGAGATACTGTCACAGTCAAGACGGACTCTATGGAGGTAGGTTGATGTATCTATCGAATATTGCAAAGTTTTAAGCTTCGACTGACGTTATCGTAGAGTTTCTGGATGGCCGAGACACTCAGGTACTTCTACCTGATATTCTCCTCACCGGATCTTATTGACTTAGACGAATTTGTCTTTAATACGGAAGCGCATCCCCTAAGACGACCCAAATGAGCCATGCAAGCCTCGTTTTATCTCCAAGTTCGGAGCCGATCTTCTACACAAGCTGCCGATAGTCAGCTTACCCGTGTACATTGTTACGCAAATCGAACCAAAGCGCGATTCGTATCCCTTGCCATTATTGTGAATATAGCTAGAGAAGCGATCTACCGTCATACGGTGTTATGAAACCGTCTCGAGGAGAGACATATTTTCGAAGGTTACGTTTCTATGTGTCGAGGTCGCATATGATTGACGATCGAATACCATGTATATCGGGCGACGGGGCGTACTTATGGATAAACATAAAGCTACGATAGATTTAATGATAATTATGCCCAACGAATACTTTCGCGAAGCGTAGACAACGCCTAGGTTGCAACAGGATCTCGATCCAGCCGATCTCTTTCATAGTGTCCCGTCGCAGACAGCCCTCTCATCTTACCATATGATGATCTGTAAGGACACGATGCATAGGTACCCACGAGGCGCAACTTTATGCGTTGGAAGACCGGTGAATCACCTTGGGCTGGATTTGGAGACGGTGAAGTTCGCGGCAAGAAGGAACAACATTACTAACGTTCGTGCAACGGCCTGGTGGTGGTGGCGTTAGGTCGCAATATGTGGTGCTAAGTCGCAAAATATTTGCGCAAGGCGCATGCTACTCCATGTTGACATGCGGTAAGACGCTACTCTTATCACCTACCAGCCTAACCTTGCCTGAACGGCTAGGATAGCCGACGGGGCCTGGCTCAAATGAATTCGGCCAATATCAGGAACGTCTTCATTCGTCAACGAAGCACTTTCGATGTTGAATTGGCCAAGCGGAGAATATTATGTAGGCAGGAGGTGGCCGGCATGGGGGGCCGATGAGGTTCGACCTTCCCTGTTGGTACTCTTACTACCGCCTAGATATTGTGTTGTACATGCAAATGCGTGTAATCATGTCTCTTGTTCTGGTGTCATCACCATGCATCAAAAGAGCATTTTTCACCCCTACAGAGAAGGACACAGATGCTTCTTTCTAAGATCGGTCAGTACAGCCCGGGGCTACCTAAGAGGTACCTATGTAGGTATGTGCGTGACATATGTATATCGAGCCCCATTCCCATCTTGGCGGAGTGGGATTGGTTCCAAGACGGAGGTAAGGTAAGCTAGCTGTAACGGCATTCTGCGTCTTCGAATATAGGGCTAAGTATATCGCGATGATATATAATGGAATTTCTACCAAGGGATGAGGAACTATGGAACCTAACGTGATTCTAGATTGGGCGGGCATCTCTGGAACGGTTACCCGGTCCTGCCGAACCTACTACCCAATCTGCCCAGGGTTAAGGCAAGGCTGCGCATAGCTACAGACTTTTACCTACATTAGGTTAGCTGCTGGGCAGGTATTGTAGGTACTATTTGTTGATGGAAAGAGACACTGCCACCCAATTTATTAGTGTCTCAGGTTCTAGCAATGAGGGCTTTTTTTTTTTTTTTTTTTTCTTACATCCTAGGACACCGCGGTCAAATCTTTGAGGCTCTTTTCAGTTGAATTCTCCTTGACTTTGACTCAACATTGAGAATGATGCAAGAGGACATCCTTGCGCCTCATCCTCTCGTCACCGGTCTGTTGGTCAGAGGACGGATTAAAGCACTGTACCATCCTGATTGCTTCATAGAATCGCTTTCACCTTTCTAGTACAACTTTGCTCTACTGCTATACATATATGCTACCTCGTTGAAGTTCCCTGGGTATCTCCTAGGTCCTAAACAAGTGATAGATAATGCTTAAACGGTCTTAATTTACAATGCGACTTAATTGAGCGCAAGGCGGAACTAGGATTGATTTACGAGTAGTCCATATTCTGTCCATTTTGTTTCTTTAAAATATGTCCCCGCATTGCCTTTCCGATAGTGCTTATAAGTATCCTTGGAACTACGGTAAACATCACATCTCCAATTATACCGTGAACTTATAGTCTTGCCCTATAATTTGACTGGATAATAAGATTTTCCTCCCTTCTTTTTTTTTTTATCTGTCATGTTACTATAGCCGGGCATTATTTGGAGGTTGTTCCAATGTTCTGAGCGCATATCTCTTTTAGTAGGGTCATAATAAATTGTATTGTATAGTAGGTTACAGCTGAATTCAATCAGCCACCCCCAGAAGCACCGGTGCCCAATACCTACAGTCTCGGACCGAGAACATTCAGCTAAGTACCTAACATACTCCTACACTAGTTACATCCGCGGCCCAATACTGGTTGCCTCGTTGCCTCGTTGCCCTGTTGCCCGGGTTCGAGCAGTTCTTCTCCCAAACAGTCGGATGAACTGACTGCTACATTAGGTTAGGTAGTAAAGCAATAATTATCAAGGGCCAGGAGTGAATCGGAATTATACCCATAGGTAGATTGAAGATGTGACATGTAATATATGTTATCATCGGCGAATTTCAATGGCTGAGACGTTACTGACATACCTAACTTACACACCTTACGCATTACACATTACACACATAGGATGTAGGTAAGTAATACTCCGAAAGGCTGGAGGTTTCTGGTGAGCGTGCCCTCGTACAAATGGCCAGGCCAATTTTTAAGCTACCCCGCTTCTACCTAACATGATGTTGCTTTGACCTTTGGCCGACTTTGCTCAGTTATACCTGCTTAGATCGTGAACAAGAAGAGGCAGAAACGGCAGATTTGCACCTACGTGGATTCTAATAGTTTTTTTTTTTTTCTTTCTCTCATCTGCCAATGGATACTATTATCACCTAGTTTTACCCTTACTTTTCCTGGTCAAAACTTTTTTTTCTTACCGCCTGGCTTCGAAGTGGTGTGGCTAAGTCTCTATTAGTTGTCAGGACAATGCGGTATGCAGGACACGTTCACCACCCTTTTGACAGCTAACTCACAAACACCAGACTGAGCTCAGGGAAACCTTTCCTTTAAAAAATCTAATAAACTCCCCTGATGTGCTATATTATTTTCACCACAATGGACTTGTTCTTGTCGAAGCACTTCCGTGTGAATTCAATTATTCGGAGACGTCAGGGGCTGAATACATACCCCCCCACCTAAACCAACTGGTTCAGCTCTTGTATCGCGATTTGCTAAACGACACTGTTGGAGTGCAACGTCGCCGAGAAGGGAAAAGAAGAAAAAAAAACATCACAATGGATATGGACACCTATCCGATGGACTATCCGATGTCATCGTTGCTAATGGCACCGCACGGGAATGACGGCGCCAATAGTTTGGGTAAAATCAATTCATTTACCATCACTTGCGAGTTTCTCGATTCTCTACGCACATCAGCAAACAGATCGGATGGTGTGTATAGACTTGATATACCGGTTAGCAACCCACCATCACTAACATTTTAATTAGGTGCATTTGCTACTACCCCCAACTTAGAGCATCTTCATGATTTCTGCCTTCCAGCATTGCGATTCGACCGTTCGATGGGCAACATCTTCCAAGCCTCTCCACTTGTGAATCCTAGTACCATGGACAATTCGTCTACTAGTCGGGACAAGGAACAATGGCGGGTCCTTTCGTGGTTCGTCTGGAAAATCGACGGTTATCGTGACAAGCTTCAAGAATGCCTTAAAGAAAACATACCGCCTGGCTTGAAAGACTGGTTGACAAAACACAATGACTCTACGGAAATACGGAATGTTGGGTTGCGAGGTCTTGGTGACATACTACAAGATATAATACCTTCCGAGTTTGACGAGATCCTCCCTATTATGATAGTCCAGCATGCGATTTTTCACTATACCTGCGAGACCAACACTCTCGGAAGCGTCGAATCCGCATTTACTGGGTGGAGGAATGGGATTCCTATAATCCAGACTCATCAGTCAAGTCTTGACCTGGTATTTGAGAGGTTAAAGTTGGCTGATCGATCTTCTGGGAACGCTCAACTTGCTCGACCCCACATCCAAACGCCCCTTTTCGAGACAGGCAGTAAATTTACACACCTTGACATTACCTCTTATCCGCAGTCCATTACCGACAGCTCTTTATATCCACCTAGGCCCCTTATCTCCAGCCCGGAACCAAATCCATGGACCTTACCAGGGGGTCAAAGCTTTGCTACTGGTCCTGACGATAGATACTTGACAGGCTACGCCATGGAGAATATCCCGAAGCTCAGCTATTATGACCCATCAAGGATAGAAGTTCCCGTGTCTTTCACCCCCGCGGCGAACTTAAACATGTCCTTTTGTACAACCGAGATAAATCCTTCGGCATTCCAGAACCAGGCTCATCAACGCGTGGGACAAGCATATGGATTATCCCCGTCGCCTGGTTATTCGCAATACGAAAACGGCATGAGCTCAATGTCTCTCAGAAGTTCTACGCCTTTCACTGTTTTTATGAAGTTTATAGACAGTAAGTACCCAACCTAACCTATATTAACTTTGTGCGTTGTGAGCTGCGTCTTACATGATACTATTAGACTTTACAAACCAGGGTGGCTTGCCTCACCTTTTCTCCAAAGGATCCATCCGCTGGACTAAACGACCGTTGACTGTGAACGCTATGGTTACCGAGAAACTATTCTTCAAGAATACCGAAAACTTATTCTTTGATCCGCTGAGGAACTTGGTTTCGCAGTCGGTACAGGATCCGATAATTCAAGCCATAATTTCGACCACATCATCACTAATCTTGCTGGGCGGGTTGCATTCACTTCCAGATGTTGCCGACTATATGATCAGTCTAGGAATAGTAAGTGCAAACGAATCATGACCACGCGCGAAGACTAACCGTCGTCAGCACTTATTACCCAGTCCCGATTTGTGTCGCGACTTTGCTCGGATAATACTGCAGACCTGTCCTGAAGCTGGCGCAACAAATACCCCAGGGAGGTCCCCCCGAGGTCGCGGACAGTATCAGAGCCAGAGCATTGAGAAGCGCATCGAGGAAATAGTGAAGAGCTACAGCGGGGCGTATCACCCGGCGCACCTATTCCAGTCTCATAACACTCAGAGAAGCCATCGCACGTTGCATCCTAGGCAACACATAGTTACTTCGCAAGCAAGCAGTAGCCAGCCCACGCCGTCGATAGTCGATTCGGTAGGAAGCAATGGGCATAACTTCATGGATAACGGCGCCGACACATCCATCATGTAAGAGAACTTAGTCACGCCCCATACCCCCTGATATATGATCGAATATATCTAATTATAACAATAGGACAAGTACCACCATACCATCCCTAACCAGCACCGCGCAATGCGAAGAGTGCGGTAAAACCTTCACTGGTAAACACGTCAGCTCGCACTTATCCCGCCATAAACGACAGCACCGGAACATCCACGTAACGATCGAGTGTCCGTACTGCGGCAAGCTGTTCCGCCACGTACGCACCGACAACATACGGACACACTACCGGAACGTCCACGGGCACGAGCTGCCCGAGAACGGAAAGGAGTACTGGTCGCAGCTCACAAGTACAACGCAGCTCAGCGGCCGGAACGACTTGAATCTATAGGACTCTTCATCTGGGTCTACCCTCTCGGAGCTGCTGATACTTTATTCTACCTCGTTGCGGATCGTTCGGTCCATGGTCCCTCGCCGAATATATATGTAATAAGCTCACACGCAACGGGTCATCTCTTGCTTACACCACGCGTTATATACCTCCGACACATCTAGTTCTTACCTGTACGAGTTGTTTTCAACGAATCATTACACTGAAGCACTATATCTACTATATAGGTTAGGTACCTAACCTAACCTACGATCTCACGAATTTCCACCATCGAGATACCCACCTTCTCATACGACTTCTACTCCCTTTCTTTCCTTTTCTTTTTTTTTTTCTTCGCTGCTTCACATACTTGGGGATGGACTTCCAACTTTATTTACTCTTTACGCCCGGCGTTTTGAATTGCTTACGCCTATTGCATCCATCTGATGGGGAGGCTGGTTAAGCTGAGGAAAAATAAATAAATAAGCGGACAGAATAGAAAAAACAGGACAGGACAGGACAGGATACACAGTACTGGATCTTGAACACGAGTCACAAGATTGCGCTATATTATATGATCTGGGGATGTACGATTGGGAGAGGAGCTTTTATGACATATTCAAGTTTTTGCTTTCTTTTTCTTTAATTACCTATATTGTCATCTGGCAGGGTTATAGTTGGGTTTTGTATTTGAATTCACATAGCACGCTTTTAATATTATATTTTCAATGTATATATTTAGGTATATTAGATCATCAACTTGGTCTGGATAGAGTGTAAAAAGGGGCTCGAAAACTGCCACGTGCTTGCTTGTCTATTGCTGTCATATCGTCCCCTCTCTGAGGTAGATATAGCCCGAGCCTGTTTTGCCGGCTTTGAACCTCGGCATGGCTGCGCCGACGCACGACCTGATCTATATTCGAGGTTCGACACTTGGGCTCCAAAGCCTTCTTAAATACCTAGGTAAACAAGAGGCATGCATGGTCATCTTTCATGCATCCACATATGCACCGTGTCCAGATATCTAGCCCCTATCCTTATCCCTAATCCTATCACCTCATTCCCCCGCCCCCCCTTACTCGTCATCCTCCTCCTCCTCATCGCTCTCCTCATTCTGCCTAAAGACGACCTTCTCGCAGAGCTGCAGCGTCTTCCGCATAGGCAACCCAATGACGTTATCGACCGACCCGTCCACCTTCTCGATCAGCAAGGCCCCCCCGAGCCCTTGCACCGCGTACCCGCCGGCCTTGTCCACGCCCTCGCGCGTCCGCACGTAGGCGTCGATGACGTCGTCCGGCAGGCCGTCGTGCTCGCGGCCGAACACCACCTTCGTCTCCTCGACGTGCGACGCCATCGCGTACCCCGGGTGCTGCGCGTCCGCCCGCGGCGCCACGCAGCACACCGCCGTCAGCACCCGGTGCGTCCGCGTGTCCCGCAGGTGCCGCAGCATGCGCACGTGCGCCGCCTCCGACCCCGGCTTCTCGAGCACGCTGCCGTCCCGCGTCACGATCACCGTGTCCGCCGCGATCACCAGGTCCGGGTCCTTCCTCGCGCGGCGAGACTCCAGCGACTCAACATCTTCTAAAGAGGCGGCAGTTTTGTTGTTGGTGGAGGATGTGGAAGTGGCGGCGGGAGGGAGGGGCTCGGATTGCTTCTCGGCGGCCTCATCGACGAGCGCGGCGTACACGTCGAGGGCCTTCTGCTGGGCGGTCGCGGAGACGTAGCCGTAGGCGCCGAGGTCTGTCTTGGGCAGGTCCTCGGCCTTGGTGGAGGCGCGGACCTCGAGGTTCGGGAGACCGAGCTGCGAGAGGAGGGCGCGGCGGCGGGGGGACGCGGAGGCGAGGATCACGCGGTGCGTGCGCATGTACTTGAGGATAGGCAGGTCGAGCAGAGCGCCGGGCGGAGGCCGTCGGAGCTGCTGCTGCTGCTGCTGTCGTGTGGGTAGGCCTTGGCTTTGTCCGTGTACGTGTTCGAGAGCTGAGGTCTCGTAGTCTGGCGGTGGGTCGGAGGGCGTGGTTTCAGGGGGAGGAGGTTGTTTCTTTTCGTCCATTGCGGCGGGTTTTATTAGGGGGTGGGAGTGAGGGGAGTGAGGGGAAGGAAAAGAAGGTGAGATAAGTGAGGGGATTGCGTGGTGAAGAATAAGGAATTTTGAGGAAGATTAGGATAAGGGAGTGGGGATAGTCGTTAAGCTGAGGTTTTAACTGAAGCTATCTTCCCTTTTTTGATGATTTGGAAGAAAAAGTCCAAAAGGGAGTTACAGGCTTACAGCAAGTCGTGGTGGGGGTCCACAATGCAGGTCCGGGGAAGCTTGCGTCACAAGCTTAGGTTAGGTAGGTACCTATCTACCTAAGGTGAGTTAGGTGAGTTTAGGGGGTGGTACCTGTAAAAAGTTCCCTTCATTAAGCTCCCTCGTGGCTAAGCTGAGGCTGGAATTGAGATGATTGACAGGGGTCCCGGCATTGTGTACATCCAATTGTGTACCTAACCTAGTGCATTGTGTAGTGGGGCCAGTGTCACATGCACTTTTCCTGGGGATGAGATGTGCTTTCCTAGGAAGTCAAAAGTTACCTAAAGTAATAAGAATCTTATTATTCAACTTTGGAAATTTATTCGAAATCGCAACTTTTTTTTTCACATCGCCAACAATCCCGAATCTTCTTCCAACCCCCCCGAAAAGCGCTTAACTGCTTCAATTCTCTGGAAGATGTGCACACCGGGGATTCCTACTCTCAAGAACCATAGGCCGTCACCTCATTGCTTCAACTAGCACCTGTCTCATGTCTTCCGATATTTGGTTTGGACATTCGCGTGCAGAGTTTGTCGGGACCGATACCAGCTGAACTAAATAAATCAAATCTTCAACGGAAGCTTATATATACATACCTATCTAATATATAATTTGCGTTATATGCTAAACTCCCGTCTCCCATCGAATAGTTAATCATTACATCTTTCAAGAAACATGTCGGAGCCTCGTTCGAAATCCCCACAAGATGGTGAGCGCGGTGGGTCTTCGACAGTGCACGACGACAAGCCGCGCTTAACCGAAGAGGAAAAGAAGCAAAACCACATCGCGTCAGGTAACTTATCAATCATACGTGTCTAGAGTGTCATAACTATATATTAGGTAGAGCTAATAATAATCCCAGAACAAAAGCGTAGAGAGGCTATCAGAGCCGGCTTTGATCGACTTTGCGAGCTCGTACCCGGCTTGCAAGGTCACGGACGCTCTGAGGGGTATGTCTTGAAGGAGACAGTCAAGTTCATGAGAGAACAGCTAGCTAGACGCCGTGAGCTAGTAGAAGCAGCAGAGGCGCAAGGGGTTACCGTCCCAGAGCGTCTAAAAGAGTAGGTTACTACTTTCTCATTGCTCCCTTACCTAGTATTAACCTTGGCATATTTGCTGACCTATCTAGTCCTTGCTCCAGACCGGTCAAGATTCTTGAAAGATTGGAAGCTCGGCAGAAAGAACAGCAGGAAAAAACGCGACGGGAAGGACATGAAAAAGGCCATGATCCAGATGACTCTGAGAGTTAAGGAGCTGACATTGGTATTTCAGGCCGTAGCTTGCGAAAAACGGTGTTAATTCAAAACGGCATAATTAATTCGTAAATCCTACGAAGGTTATGGTGTTCATTATTGATAGGAGTCAGCTTTATTCTTTAGAATCGCAAATAATTCTTTTGGTAGCATGTCCTGCTTCTGCGATTTCTTCTCGCTATCGCTACTCTCCAACCCGGACATGTCCACTGTCACAGTGCCCTCTGGCACCTGTTTTGGGCCGACGGTAACGATGACGCTATAACCCTTAGACTTGGCCTCTCGAACTTTGAGCGAGACGCTTCGTGGGCTATCGTCAACATCTACTACGAGTTGGGAAGGGTTTACGACCGGACCGTCTGCCGGCCCATCCCTTCCCATTAGGACATCTTGGGCCATCTTGGCTAGTCCTACTACTGGTTCGGTATCATTGACAGTGACTATCATTACCTGCCTCGGGTTCAACCAAAACGGCCACTTGCCGTTGTAATGTTCGATAAGCAGAGCTAGCAGTCTTTCTACCGAGCCCAGCACAGCTCTGTGAATCAGGACAGGGGTTACAAGATCAGACTCCGCTAGCTTGTCCGGGTCCATTGTAACCTCACCTCTTCGCTCAAACTCCGGCGCTGGCGCTAAGTAACCCAACTCAAACCGTTTTGGCAGCTGAAAGTCTAGCTGTATCGTAGCGGTTTGGTGTTCTTTGCCGTCCGAGTCTCTCAACACGATATCGATCTTGGGTCCGTAGAACGCGCCGTCGCCTTCGTTCACAGTCCATTCCTGACCCGATGCGTCCAGCGCTCTCTTAAGAGCGTTCTCGGCACCCTCCCATTCCTCGGCAGTTCCTATGTAATGATCCTCGGGACGTGTCGAGAGAGCTAACCGGTATGGACCTAGTTTGAATGTGGAGTAAACGACGCGCACGAAGTCTAGGGTCTTCTTAATTTCCTCCTCGATCTGTATCGGTCGACAAAATATGTGGCCGTCATCTTGGTGAAAACGTCGTACTCGAGTCAGGCCACTCAAAGCCCCCGATATCTCGTTTCGGTGTAGTGGAGAGAAATCAGCATATCGAATAGGCAATTGTCGATAGCTCCGTAGCTGATCCGCAAAGATCAAGCAGTGGCCCGGGCAATTCATGGGCTTGAGACCATACTCGTCCTCCTCGTCGCCAGGTTTATAACTATCGCTCCGCGCTGGTGACGTACTTGTCACCGTATACATATCCTCGCTATAATTTTCCAAGTGGCCCGATTTCCTCCACAGGGCCTTTTTATAGATGGTCGGCGTAATAACCTCTTCGAATCCATATCGTACGTATTGCTTTCGCAGAAAATCCACTAGGCGGTTAAAAATGCGTGCGCCGTTAGGCAGCAGTATGGGAGAACCGGGACTATATATCGAGGTAGTGAAAAGTTCTTGTTGGATACCAAGTTGCCGGTGATCGCCGGGGGGGTTCGGTGGGAGACCCGGAGTCGGAGTCGGAGTCGCATGCGACGAACAGGATCGATTCCAGGGATACCTCAAAAGGGTTTCGCCACTACGTATTCGGATGGTACATCTGGATACGTGAGGGTATATCCTCAATATCCTTCTTGCGAACATGCCTCCGATGTACGGTTTGGGTTACTCTATAACCATGACGAAGGTTTTAAAGTTTCAGGTAGACCGTGAGAAAAATAAAAAATATTGATTATTGATACTTTTGACTGTAAAATAATTTATTGGCCCATAGCTTGCGGGAGTGGAAAAGTGACAGGGATCTAAAGCTTTCTTATCCAGCCAGCCAGCTTGGCGCGCTTAGGTACTAGTTCTGATATACACTAGTAGTACCTATGTACCTAGAGACAAATCTGACAGGCTCGAATCAGGTGTACCAGGTACTCCGTACGATGACGCTGACTAGCGCGACAATGCCCAACTTGTTATTGCTAAATATAATATAAGATCCAATCAGAAGCCGTGAAACCCCCCCGCGTGACATCAAGTCATCCGCGGCCAGTACACGATACACGATAACACACGATAACGCGGATAAACCACCACCACGTTTCTTCCTGTTTGCGCACGCCTTCATCAAACACGTTCCTTCCTAAACAAAAAATTTTACTTTACTGATTCCCACTATTATTTCCAAATTTTCGAGGTAGGCCTACCTAGCTGCCTAGGTTTGCAAATCATTTTATGAGTCACTGTAAGTGCGCGAATCCTTGTTGACCGGACTCGAAACTACGATCTCCTTGCAGTCTCCTTGCAGTCTGTTGTATCTTGGCACTGATATAAAATAGTTGTTGTCTCTACCTTGTATGCCTTGTCTTGGATTTGGTCAATATAAACTTTATATTACACTTTGTACGAACTTTACTCGGTTACTGAACACAAATACAAGTTCGACCCGTGGACGAAGTTGAACTGGTGGACTTCGTATAACAGGTACCTCCTAACCTAACCTGCTATGAGAATCTATAAAGCTCAGTTCGACCAAACAAAATAAATAAAAATAAAAATAAAACAGTCTCTGTCCAATATGGTACGGACTCGCAAAGGCAACCTCTCCGTCGAGGATTCCTGGCGTATGGTTGACGGAAGTGAGAATGATAGTTTCGACACTACCGTTATTCAGGACCCCTTCGACGACAACCCTATCATATTCAGCAGCCAGTCCCAGCAGTCTCAACTGACTTCGTCATCCCAAGCCCAGAGTATTGCATCTCAAGACAGCATTCGTGACTTCGCCAACAACGCAGATGAAGATAATGTCATATTGCGAGCTCCCTTCCAGCCTTCACTTGCCTCCACCAGAAATACCTCCATGGATAAGGATCTAACACCTGTTCCCGAATTTTTTATGCCCACCGTTGAAGTGGACAGCCAGCAAGGCAGCAGTCGTCGTTCGTCCAGGTCTGCTCATCCCATGATTAACGCGTCGCATTTTGTGAAAAGGAGAGGCAACCGCCGAGAGAGCGATACAACTGCACGACAGTCTCAGCACAAGCCAAATGAATTACCCCGAGAACCCACGCTTTTGGAGAGATTTACAGGTTCTATACCCGGGTTTCTATTTGATCTTGCTGCCTGGCTTCTGGGTATCTTTCGCTTGGCTTTTCGTTACGCGCAGTGGCCACTAGCCATCCTCCTTGCGGTCTATCTTATCATAGGAGCCGGCATAATGGCCAAAAACATGATTATCAGCTCAGTCTCAGCGCCTCTTGCACCATTATGTCGGATACCAGGCGTATCCCTAGCTAACCTTCCGTTCTGCGCAAAAGATTCACCTTCGGGGCAACGGGACGGTTCATCGGTAGTCGAATTTGACGAGCTGATGAACGTGCAAGCCCAATTTGAGAAGGTGCTAGAAGACTCGGCGCAGGGCGTCTCATTGCCTATGGATATGAAGCGCTCGGAAGCGTCCGTCCGAGACCTACGTACAATGGTCAAATATAGCGAGCTGCCAACTCGCGCCGAGCTGGTCCACGAGTTTGATAATTATATCGAAATCGTCCGTGCAGGTGCTAATGGCTTGCAAATGTTCAACACTCATGTTGGCGGCGCAGTCGATAGCATCATTAGCATCAATCGTTGGACATCACGGTATATCGACTCGATTGCCATGAACCGCGAGGCGCATAACAACATGCTATCGCGCTTCAGCGATTGGGTCTTTTCTCCTTTCCAAGTGTCGGTGTTCGACGAGCGTGCTCTATTAGAAAAGTACGTCGAGCACACGGCCCTGGTATCGGACAAGATTGCAAACCTCATTGTCGAGGCACAGGGAATTATGCGCATACTCAGCGAAGCAGAGAATTCCTTGGAGGTTATCAATGAGCATGTAGTGCGTACAAATAACGTGGTGAAAGAGAAGCATGATGAAGTGTTTTGGGATATTTGGACGCTGGTAGGGGCTAATCACCGTCGTCTTCACAACCTGAAAGCACAGCTTGGCCTGCTACAACAAGTCGATACACAACGAAACTCGGCGGTTCAACGACTAGACAGTTTGGTACATGACCTGTACGACATTCAGACGAAATTAAGCGACCTGAGAGATCGAGTGGCCGCCCCAGAACTCCTAGCAGACTACTCGACCATACCACTCGCCGTGCACATCGAGACTATCAACGCTGGGGTTGAGAGACTCGAGTCTGCACGAAGTCGCATCAGGGCTGAAGAGAATGAACGATTACGACAAGCGTTGCAAAGGTCGAGAGAGGACGATCACTTGATCGACGGTTGAATCAACCAATAACAGCATTTCTTGTTAAGCGTATGAATTATAGGTATGATGGAATCCGGTATTAAAGGCAATGGGAGTTTAAGGATAAGTGTTTATAGAAGAACACTGCATCACTGTTAGTGCATATTCTCGGATGCGGGACATGGCAGGTTTCGGCATAGGTCATGAGAGGCTATAAATGAGGTACTGGAATATAAATGTTACAATTATGCCCAAAGGAATGATTTGCCTGGGTATGTGACATGTTAAATCGGCATACAATCATAGTTATAACCATCGTGGATAATTTTCTCTAGTGAATAGGTAGCGATGGAATTACGAAAGGGAGGTGAAATTCATGGAATGGGACAGCGGTCGATAGAAAAAGGGGCCAGTGAGCGAATGCTAGTAAATGACAACACGATTAAAATGCAACCAACCACATTACACCGGGGTATATACTTTTATTCCGAAGCTATTGGCAGTGATATGAATAAGATTTCGACAAATGAAAAAGGCAAAAAAAGACAAAACATTTAGCAAGGGGTATGTATAGGTACTTATCTACTAACTTCCACGGGCAGGTTGTGAACTGGCAACCGCATATCTTTCTAAAAATTCATGCCTTACCCCTCAACGCGAACCTAACAGTAACGTAAAGTCATGACCTTCCTTGAAAGAAGATATCCCCAGCACCGGCCTTCCTAGATCTACCTCCGGCACCGGCGGATTGCCTACCATCTCCAGGTCAAACCTCCTCAGCAGCGTGGTTACGGAAGTGAGCGTCGCGGGCTTCGCCGCGTAGCATCCCGTACGCACTGTCTTCCCGCCACCGGACCGGTTCGGGCGGAAGCGGTAGCTGTCGGCACCGTAGACGTTCGGGTCGAAGTGCAGCTAGCTGGCGGTAGTGGATCATGATGCGGTGGCCCTCGCGCAGGAGCTTGCCGCCGACCACGGTGACGCGGTCGAACACAGCTATGTCCTCGTTACCTACGCCGAGAGCCCTGGCCTCGTCTTCCATCGCATTGATTAGCCAGGCGGCTCCTTCTCTGGCGTTGCGGGACCTCGAGGAATTCCCTGAAAGTTCGCTGGACCTTAGTCCGAGCGGCGTTCATTTCGCGGCCGACAAAGCCCGAGTACTGGTACAAGACCTGCCAGCCGAGGTCATCGAAGGCGAGGAAGTCGTCTGCCAGGTTCGGATTGATCCGGCTGAGCACGTCTCCGAAGTACGCTGCCTCCCCGGAGCGGATGGATCTATCCGAGCACCACTGCACTAGGAGCATTTCCACCGAGCGAAAACCGGGAGCAGGTCCTCTTTAGCTCTGGTAAGCTCAGGCTCTGGTCGAACCAGTTGCGGAAGTTGCCCTCCAGGACCTGCAGGTTCTTCCCGGGGTACAGCTGGTGCGTATGCATCTGCTTGGCGAACGACCTGAACGACACCCCCTGCGGGTTGTCAAAGCCCGGCTTGTCCTTGGGAAGCTTAGCGTACGTTACCCCGAGGGCGTGCTCGCTGTACCCGTTGCTCCGGAAGAGGTCCTGGACGAACATCTCGAGGGAGAGCGTGTCGTCGCTCTTGTACACCTCCGTGGTGTCGTGGGGCTCGGTCACGATGTACAGGGTATTCCCGAAGACGGTGAGGGAATACGGTTCCTTGTTGCCGAAATACCGACTTGTAATAGCCAAGCAATATCAGTTACTGGGTGCTTCCAGACGCTTTTAACTTGTGCAGTTGTCCCGCCTACCTCGCTTTAGACATGAGTATATCTGCGCTTTGGAAGAACGAGAAGCCATGTCCTATGACTAGATGTTTGGCATTAGCGGCTTGGACTGGAGATATGCGGACTGGGCACCGAATTACACGGGATCCAGTACGGTGGCTCCTTAGGGCTGTCTGGATGTAGATATGGCAATATATTGAATCTCCATAGTATCCGTAACAGCAGAGCGACGAGCAGAAAGGTCAGGGCTTGTAGAAGTACATGATTGTTGATCACGGCGAATAGGGTCCGCAGCGAGTAGCTTGCAGGATCGTATAACTGTTGGTACCCCATAATAGCTTCTTCCTAGTAATGTTTGCGATTGGGAGCAGGACAAACTAGACTAGTATATCATGAAAGCGTATACTTAGGAACGACTCGAGGCATACTAGCTAAGTAGGACACAACTACTAGTTACGTATTATACCTTGATGCATTTTCATATTTACTTATTCTGGATACCGACCTTAGCCTACGTCGAGTCTGCCTTAGCGGGTAGGATATCGTGATTGTCTACCGGTGATCAAGCATATCCCCGAATCTCGAATTAGATCTGACTCCCGCCACTTTCTCCTAGTGTCCGGTTCTCTATTACGTTGGTAGCATGTAGCGGATAGCGGGACCCTCTCGGCAAGTCCCCCAACTCATCCTTCAAGCGTAGCCAATGTTAGTATGTCTGTCTGTTAGGTTGTCTAAGAACAGTCTTAGGGCTTTACTGGAGCTGAGAACGGCGAGTCTTACGTCGTATCGGGACGCCGTTTCATTCGTTTTTAGTTAGAGAGTTCCGCCGAGACTAAGCTAGCAATGGCATATGGGATAGCCTTGGCCGAGCTTAAGCGGCATGGGGCTGTGATATAATAGGTAAAATAATGGTATGTAGGTAGTATTGGTTGCTCTAAGCATAATACCAGGTATTCTATCACATGAAAGACCTACCCGTGATTTTTAAGGAGTTGTTTTTTCATATATATTGAATGTTAGGTACCTTCTACGTTGTTTGTTAGATGTCTGCTGAAGCCCGATTGATCAGCATCTTAGGTACCCCAGGTATTGTACCTCCCACCTTTTACCACCTCCACGGTACTGCACATCGCCAGATACAGTACCAGGTAAACAGATGATCAGGTAAACAAAACGGTCGGTCACACCACAGCCGTCTAGAAAAGAAAATGCGAACGACGCAGATTGATTATTTTAATAGGTACCTAACCTAAAGTAAAATGGGGTGGGTATCTCTTTAGTACCTCATATCTTCATCTGCATCTGTAAGCCTCCAAGGCTGTGAAGTTACATTCATTTCCAGTTTACCTCTTAGCACATGTTACACATTACCAATTATCTACCAACTGCATATTGTACATTAGGTTAGGGGTTAGGAGGTACCTTAACAACTTCTTGGTAATTCGTTCCTACAGCAACCCTTTTCTTTCTTTTTTTCTTCTCTTCTTACCTTGTTACAATAGCATCCAAGTTATGATCTATGTTCTTTATTGTGCAACTCGTCTCCAAGACTTCATTCAGTTCGTCTTTTTTTTTGTCAACTGCCGCGCTTACCCCCTTTAGTGAAGTTATCTCAGTCGAATACTCGGCACCAAAATGTCTGGAAAAGGTACTATCATCTTGACAGGTGCAAACGGTGGCATTGGACTTGCCGTGGTGCGCAGGATTTTGTCCCAGCCGGACCTTGTTGCCTACCACGGTCTGTACGCCGTTCGCGACTCATCGTCATGTCAGAGGTTACGAGCCGTCCTGGCTGATCCTGCTGCTGGGCCTCACTCACACGACGTTGTATCCTTAGACCTAACCTGCCTAGATGATGTGCGCAAGGTAGCTACCTCCATTAACGCACGTGTCGCAGCTGGAGAAATCCCGCCGATCCGCGTGCTCATTCTAAACGCAGCGTACCTGGAGTTTGAGGAACAGACGTGGACTCCCGAAGGCTTCGACACGAGCTTTGCCGCATCCTACCTGGGCCACTGGCTGTTAACCTTGATGCTACTCCAGAGTATGGATAAGGATCGCGGTCGTATTCTCGTTATCGGAAGTTCCGCTCACGAGTAAGTATTCCGTTGCTGAGCCAATTGTTCTCAGAGAGGGCGGGGCTCGCTTCTAATTATTGAATGGCTTTATATCATCAGCGTTTGGAAGAGACGTTAATACATATCGCGTTTTGTAGTACAAAAGACTCGCGCAATAACGCAGGTGCACAATATGTTGAGGAGAAATGGCGGACCATATTTCATGATAGCACCGAACCTATAGCTAAGGGCACATGGAGTTCAACTAAAGAGGACCCTTCATTCCGCGGTGGTTACCGACGCTATGGCGCAGCTAAGCTGTGTCAAGTAATGATGATGTATGTGCCCACTATATCTCTGTCTTACCCCTGATGCTCCAATCTATATGTCAAAGCTTACATACGACTTTGATAGACCGGAACTCCAGCGCCGGATCGACGCAGACCCTGTTCTAAAAGATATTTCTGTCCTTGGTATCGACCCTGGCTCAACCCCTACTTACCTTGTTCGCCGAGGTGACTGGAGGATAACCGGGCTTTGGACGTATATCATGCCCTGGTTGGTGGTAATTCTGACATGGCTCTGGCCGAACGGGACCAACCGCACTGTTACGAAGTCCGCCAGAGACATCGTAACGGCCGCGTTCGACTCGAACCCAACTATAGGCGAGAGGCCAAAAGCGCTCTACTTAAATGGTGAGGAGCTAAGGGATATGGCTGCCGAAGCAAGGGATCCCAAGAAGCGATCTATCTTATGGAAAGATACTGTGAAGTATACCGGGCTGAATGGAAAGGAGACCATTCTCGCCAATTGGGAGTAATATTACCAGTTTGTCGTGGTTACATACTGAGGAGTTACTTCATACAGAGTCATTATAGGAAAAGCCAAAATATAGGTATCTAAGGTAGTCTGTGTTTCATATCTTCATCCCTCATCATAGAAGAATATATTTTGTATAATAATCCTTTAACTGAATTAAAACTGAACATAAACAAAACCAAGCGCCTGCATCTGATCGCCATCTTTGGCACCGCCCTCGCGTCAGTAAATCACCTTTTCACGTGCCAGTTCGATATCGCGTATAAGCTAACACAAAGTGACAGTGGTGTGGTCGATAGCATAATAGGTCTTGTATTTCGGGTCTTCCTGCTGAACACGGAAGACAGCACCTGGTCTACAGCCCAACTTTACCCGTGCATGTAAGTAGCAGCGGCCGCAGCGAAAGCATACCTCGATGCGCAAATAGAGACTAACAAAATCTAACCTTAGGCACTTATTAGCATCGTAGAGATTTACGTCGCGCTTATCGTCGCGTGCATGCCGGCGTTTGCGAGATTCGTACGAGGACATATATCCGATCCAGACCGAAAACCGCATTTACGCTTCGTCAAGCATCCAGCCGAGGAACAGCAATGAGTCAGAGTCCGGGATTGCTGTTACGAAGACGTATGGGTTTGCGAACTGATAGGGATGGATGGATGGATACCATTTGCTGTGAAAAAGAAAAAAAAGGGGGGGGGAGGGTGTCATATATCTTCATATACATCGAATTTCGCATATGATCAACATTTTCAAATCGATGACTTGATTTAAAATTCGTATTTTCATATTTTTTCAATGGAGACAGCTAACACGTTAAAATCGCAGGTGGATATTACCCAATTCGTAATCATGTCTTCACCCCAGCCCAACGAGGACCAAGGAGGATGGTTCAACTAATAGCGGCATTGCTATTTGCTGTTTCGCTGGCAGTACCCATGGTAATGTCTGATGCTCTGTAAATCCATGGATATTAGGTTTACTAATAACATTAAAGGCCCTCTATTCGGCGATAATCAACCTCTGCACTCACCGAGGGTATATTTATGCTCTGCGCCAAGAAATACATACGGGCGGTTGAGCAGCAGCAACACTCGGATCCGCTCAAAGGGTGCGACTCCTCGACAGCTTCCTTCGGGAGTCGGGCAGACTTAATCCCCCTGATTCTCGTAAGTCAACTTGGCCTTATTTAAATCTACAAAACTGCAGATAGTTGCTAACGTCGTAGCACAGTGTCTGTTCAGCGCAAAGCTGTGAGGCCATTTAAGTTGTCGGACGGCACTCTAATCCTCGCTGGAAACTTAGTGGCTATTCCTCAATATGCTGTGATGAGGAGCCCGGAATATTATCCCAACCCCGAGTAGTTCAATCCAAGGCGCTCTTATCTAGAAGAAGACCTAACATCGGATAATGCTGTTCAGATATTTACCGACGTCAACATCCAATACCCATTTTGGGGGGCATCTACCAAGTCATGGTAAGTAACTTAATCCATCCTTATCGACGGATGAATCTCTAATATCTCCTATAGTCCCGGTAGATGATACGCATCGGACGTACTGAAACTCATCCTTGTTCACTTGTTAAAGAACTATGATTTCGAGCTCGTGGGACCCGCAAACACGGAACCCTTGAAAATTACAACAGCCCTTGCCCCGAGATTCAACGTCCAAATGAAGCTCAGGACTCGGAGTGAAACTGTAAAGGGGCAATTGTAAATATAGCCCCTTATGGGGTGTGGGTTGGGAACTTGGAAGGTAGAAATAGATGTAAGGGGGCTAAGACAGGCTGAACAGAGAAACGTCACAAAAATAAAACAAAACAAAATAGTTCATAAAACGTCATTACTATCTCTACCCGAGTGGCTGAGATATTTTCACTATAGCACGCTACTATTAAACGCCATTTCCACCTCCCTTGCTTCCTCTCGTGCACTCCGTAGGTCACTGAGTGACTACTGTGACCTTGCATACAACCCATTTTATTTCCGCTAGGTCCTGAACGCCTCTTGACTCATAAGTACGGCATAACCGGAACCTGTGTCGCAATTTGAAAGAGGCATTCGTAAGCCCGCTAGGTAAATTTGTCGTGGTTCGTTGCTCTAAGCTACTTTCGGCACTTCGCCATCAAACCTTATTCCCAGGCCGTGTCTGACATTGTCCCGCGATTTCATGTAAAATGCCACTCTACCTTAGGTACCTACCTAGGTACCTATGCAGCTAGTTCTTCTGGCCTACTTCCCCAGGTTAAATGAATGGACTCAATGCAGTAGCTTACCAAAACTCGAATGTTGGTACTGATTAAGCACCCGCTGTGCGAACTCCTGATTAAAAGTATAAGATAAATTGACCGGTAATATCTTGGTTGTATTTTCCGTCCAGTCTCCTGCCTCGCATTTGGAGGATTGATCAATTTGCCGCAAGTTCCAGGATGGCTGGTATCTACGACGTGTCCTCCCATGGATGGAACAGGAATTGGTATCAAGAGGACTTGGTCGAAGTAAATGAGCCTATCCGCCGACTTCTCGAACAGTATTCCAAGATACCCGGCTCTGAAGTTATCAAGCACATCAAAGATATAGTAGGGAACATCTCTGGACTTTTGTCATGTCAGGCTAATGAAGATACAGCGTGAAAGAGCTTTCGCAATCAGCCCCTATCCCTGCATCGGCCCCTTCTGAACGCCTTGTAGGCCTCTACATCGAAAGGCGACTGCTGGAGCTTGGATACGATCTTTTTCATGATCGGGAGACGCTCAAATCAGAGTTTGTGAGATCGGATATCTTGAAGGGCCAAGGGAAGGAGTGGCAAGATCTTGAGGAGCGCGGCTTCGACGTAATACACTGCAGCGCCGTCTTCCACCTCTTCACCCTAGACGAGGAGCTTGCAGCGGCGAAGAATATTGCAAGGCTAATCAAAAGGGGGGGGGATAGTTGTAGGTAGGCAGATGGGGAGCCTTAAAACCGGCGATTACGCCACGGTCACAGAAGGTTCCGTTAGCTATAGGCATGACTTGACGACGTTTGGTGAGATGTGGAACAAGGTTGGAGAGGCTACCCAGATGCGGTGGAAGGTCGAAGGAACTATGGATTTAGTCAATGTCAATCCCAACAATACTCTCGAAGATGAGAACAGTCGTCGTCTACTATTTACAGTTACTAGGATTGAGTAGTTGATGGCTGGATCTCACTAAGCGGTGAGCGGGGGCTACGGAAAGTCTTGGTGGTTTGGGAGAGCGGCGGAAAATCTGTATTAGGTATCATGTCAGCACGATGGTGCGATGTGTATCATGAATACTAGAGGCAGCAACAAGTGTGTAGTATGGTGATTTATTGGCACTTAGCCCTCGAAGCTCCTTGTTGCTATCTCAATAGATCTATCCCTTATGCGTCCCAGTCTTACTGGGTTAGGTATATATAGGCCTGAGCCCAATTGTCATTATCTTCTATGGATGACTTCGCTGTAAAAGTCGGCAACTATAGCGTTGTCTAACGGACCTCTATAGTCTGCAGCGGCCACTCTGATATGGAAGTCTCCAGGACTCTGAATAGAGAGCTCATTGAATTTCAAAGAACGGTTCCCATTCCAAAACAGACGCTTATTTCCTACGAGCAGGCCATCCCAACCCTCCACGAGATGCGTCGACTCGAGGCCTTCTACATCCCAGTGTACTTTATGTACGCTGATCTCGACATAATTGCCTCTTGACTTCGAAAAGTCTTCCCGTTCGATTATTAGGGAGAACGATTCCCCTTGCCGAAGAGTTGTGGCCTTATCATCTCTAATCCAAAATTTGGGATTAGCTTTTGGTGATGGTGGCTTCGTTCCCCCTAGATCCCAAGGTTGTTTTGAGTGTCGTTGGACGCTGGAGAATAAGTCAGTAAGCTTATTTGCCATGTCTTCTGGCGTCTTTTGGTCTGAGTACAAGCGGATACGGTGATGATGGTAATGATTATTGGGCTAGGGGCGATTTTTTTTTATCTCTCTAAAAGGCCAGCAGCTCTACCTCTGCAAAGATCTGGTTATTTATATTTCGCTCGTGCTTGTCTCGAGTCGCTAAGATCAAGTGTTTGCATTCACTTCACTTTAGTTGCTGTCAGGTTTCAGATGTGAATTATGAAGGACAAAGGAGATATTTGAATATATAGCTCTGATTCCCAGAACTACCTTAGTTAAAGTTCCTTGCGGAACAACGAAGTTGTTCACCTAGGTCCTATCTTTCGCTGCACCTCGTAACACTATCAATTCACTTTGGTTACCACCGACCTACCTTAGTTGGTGTGGAGTCATGAAGTAATTTGTATGAGAATGAAATCAATTAGTAACAAATTCGATGGTCGGATAAGGGTGATTCATCTTACTTGGAAGAACAGATTTAGCCATATGACAAACTTGCCAGCAAGGAGAACACCAGAATTTCGAGATCAAGTATAAGGCCAACTATTACAAAATCTGCCCACTTGGTAATTAACCTGATTCGACCAAAAGTAGCTCATTCTTATGAATGACCCATAGTCAGTCAACGTAAAAGTTCTTGATGTAGCCATCAATAGTCGCGAGAATAGGATTACGACACTTACTGCGTGTCTGAACAAGACGGGATCCTCTGACTATATGCACCAGTACAGTAGCATCGTGTCTAAAGGCTGATACTCAGACGGGCTTTGTTACAGGCGTCCACATTCAAAGCAATAAGGGCCCGCCTAGAGAGCTCTTCGTCCAAAGTACGACAAGAAGCCATTATCTGTGCTGGAGTAGCCTGTAGTCCCCAGCTTCTTTTCCTAAGTGGCATTGGACCTGTACATTCCGCCGAAAGGTTTGATATAACGCTTATTAAGGAGTTCCTGAGAGTAGGTACTATACTATCAGATCATTATAGCATTCCTATCATGCTAAAAGTTCCCAGGAAGTAAACTCTCCGCATCCTTAAAACGATACGAAGAATATTGCACTCTCTGCCTTTTCACCGGAAAAAGTTCCTTCGGCCTCACGTCGACGTCGACTACTGTGTACCTAGGTATGTACGGACTGGAGCTATTGACAGATACTTTTCAAGTCGAGAATTACGACGAAGAAGGCCATGACAATTTGGATGCCTCTTTGTCTCACAATGTCCCAGATATCGAGGTCATAGTTATGCCCAATAGCGCGGTTGAGAGGGCTGTTGAGGGCCATACTTTCATGTCTCTATATCCTATGTTTACCAACGAACATGGCATCGCATCTTTTAGATTAGCTGCTCGCTTTACCATGCGACCGGCCGATGAACTGCAGCGCTTAGGATATCCACAATCCGGCAAAACTTGCATTCGCCCCAGGCCAAAATCCGACCATGCTTGAGCAATGGGAGAGGGCTGCTCCTATCGATTATCTACCGGTGCCGACACCATCCGAATTGCCACTTTCTGGTCCAGTGATGTCTCATTCGGACGCTAAATCCACACCGAATGGCACTACTAAACATGGCTTTCGTAAAAACAAGTCATGGAAGGACGTGACTGATAATGAGATTAACGATTATTTTTAAGGGGTTAGCTACACAAGTCTATGTATATTTCTCGAGTATGTGTCATATGTCCAACGATATGAAATCTGGCGTTGTCGATTCTTGTTTACGGCTTTGACAACTTGAGGATCGTAGATGCAAGCATCTTCCTACAGATACCCAGTTGCCACACCATGGCGCCCATGATGGTGGTGGCGTAGAGATGTGCTGATCTAGTGAAGGCAGGTTATAAGGAAAGCAAATCGCAGTAATGGGTGATTGATATTAGGGATGGAATCGGTAGTGGCTTGTTATTACGCGTATCAACTAGACACACTTCTTTGGCTAGTTGGAAGAATTATCTTAGTCTGACGATTCTTGTCCATTTCCAATACCTAAGTACCTACGTCTTTTTCTTCTACAGTATCAACCAAGGGTCGCCGACCGAGTGTACTGGGTAATATAATCAGCTGCCCGAAACTGTGTTGCTTCTGGGGGCCGTATTTGATGTAGCCAATCCTCGTCGGTATAGGGGGTCGTAATTCATCCCCTACCATATCCAAAGATTGGACCAACTGGACATTCCCTTGCAGCTTGGCAGCCTTATGAATCTATTTAGTTCACCTATCGGATCTCATAGCAGGTATGTGTTCACATGCAGGGTACAATCCAGAGCGGCGCCAACTGTGGTGGTATGGCAACGGTTTTTAAGTAACTTTGGGTGAATCGCATAATCATAAGATCAAATAGCTCAATATCCTACACTCTAATCACTCCTCTTTTACTTGATGATCATTGATAAATAGGTCATCATAGCAATGTCTCACAACAGAGGTACAATCTTAGTGACCGGAGCGACCGGCGGACTTGGTTGTGCAATCGCATCCCGGATTGCCTCCAGCCGTGAATTTGGAGCTTATCACGGTATTTTCACCGTGCGGGACACCAAGACTGCGACCGCGCTTCATGCTGCCTTGAAGTCCGCGAAGCAAACGCCGATGTCGTCGCATCTGCATGAAGATATAAAGATATCATTGGACCTTTCGCGACTTGATAGGGTGCGCGAGGCTGCTGCACATATTAATGGGCTTGTCGAGGCCGGAAGTATTCCCCCCCTGGCTGCAATCATTCTCAACGCCGGCTACGAAGAATTTGGTGAACAGACATGGACAGACGACGGATTGGACACGTCTTTCGTCGTAAATTATCTTGGCCATTGGCTTCTAACGCTCTTGATTCTTCGGAGTATGGATCGGGAGAAGGGTAGAATTGTTTGGATTAGTAGCTGGGCTCAGAAGCAAGTTCGGCCGCGATACATATTTAGGTTCCTGCTAACCGAAACTCCACAGTCCTGAAGATAGACGCAATGTCATGAATAGGTCATTCCGTGACGACAAATACAAGACTATGGTCGACACAGACCTTGAGCCGCTTGCGAAGGGCACTTGGAGTCCAAATAAAAATGGTGAGTCCATATGGAAAGCTGGCTATCGTCGTTATGGTGCATCCAAGGTATGCGGCGTTGCCATGATGTATGTCTCCTAAGTCTCCTAGGTGCCAGAGTGCAAGCAAAGACACGTTTTCTCTGACTGTATATTTGCCGACCAGCCATGAACTTCAGAAAAGACTTGATCAGGACCCGAGGCTGAGTAAGATTTCTGTCCTGGCTATAGATCCTGCTGCAATGGCCACTGGAATTGTTCGTCACACCTCGTGGCTAGTCCGAGTGTTAGTATTCCGGATATTTGCAGGTGTGTTGGCTCCTTTTTTGGTACGCATACACCCCAACGGTACTTGGCGTACACCACAGAAGTCTGCTCGCGATGTTCTTGCAGTCGCCTTAGACAATGGTCCGCCGCCACTGTCCGAGCGACCCAAGGGGCTCTACTTCAATGGCTCGGAGCTTGGGGATTATAGTTCGGAGGCAAAGGATCTCAGTAAGGGTCAAGTGATATGGGAAGGTAGTGTCCGTTTTTCACAGTTGAAGGAAAATGAAACAATTCTTCAGATTTAGCAGTGCTGAGGTATCCACCCCTATTCTCCCCTCAACCCCTTTTCAGCTAGTATTATAATCGGAATATCCATCTATTCCTGATTTTAAATCTTGCTACCAAGGGGTTTTATTCATATCTGGTTTGGAAAACGACTTGAATGGCCACGTTATTGTCAGACCTTTTTTTTCGGTTGATCTTAAGCACAAGCCATATTTAACGGAGAAGCTATTAAACACCGCCTTTAGATAAGTCGTGACTATCAAACTAGTAGTGGTCTGTGAAGCGCTAGTCTTTGGCCCTTGTTTGGGTCCTCGGGAGTCTTGAGATAGTTCCTTTCCTTCTAATTAAGTTAGTGGTGCTCACTTGTTCACCGTACGGGTGAGAAAGGTGAGTCTGCGTAAGCTAGATGAACCACCATAACAGGTAGTCTCTAGTCCTAGGTACTTGATTATGATCAATCCCCGACATTTACCTATACTTTAAAAATCTGAGGAAATGTTATAAAGTGGTAAAGCGACATTTTCATTTTCTGCGCTTTGGCCTGACTTGTCAGTAGTGCGACCAAAGTCAACGCTATCCCGTCGAATAACATTGGCCGTTTGACCCTTATATCGTCCACAGAACCACTTGAACACGGAGGTTCAGCCAATAAGGTTTATTTATATCAAATAGCTAGTTTGATACCCATAATTCTTCACTTTAAAGAATATAACTTGTTACTAACAGAAGCAAATAGTGAGTATTACTAATAGTTGAGTAAACTTACTGATTTACTCAATATCTTTAGTGAGTATTGAAGAAATGGACAGACGATTTCATCATGTTCTTGCCTACCCACTATGATCACCTTTCTCTCAGCCTTCCCTACCAAGAAGTTGGTATAAATGCTACTATACTTTAACCTTGCAAAGAGCGCGAGAGAAGAACCAATACTATCATATCAATGAGAACTAGGGAGTGAAAGTTTGTATAAAGTTAGGTAGATACTGCTCCCCGTTAAAACGGTCCACAGGGATCGGGCAGCAATTTAGGCATATCAAGGGGTTTCAAGCTTATCCTTGCGAACTCCTGTCTCTATATCTGAGGTTATCAAGAGCATATAACAAACCCATCTTAGCGAGATGCGTTATTACATGATAGATCACATATAAGTATAGGAAGTACTTAACCAGAAATATCCTTCCAGTTTCAACGCTTCCCATCAACATCATTCATACCTATGTAAGGCATATGCCATATATCTGCAACACACCACCCATCGCATATTATAGGGGAACACTTGAGTCAAATTATAATTCAAATTTATTCGACAGTGCTGACAGGAGCCATTATGGCGCGTGGATACGATTTGTCGTGGCACGAATCGCAGTCTCTACCAACAGAAACCAAGAGAAAAAAAACAAACGTGGCTACCCAGGCGCACAACTTATGTTTTTTATGCTTATGCTGTAACGGAGTATCTTTGTGTTGTCCAGACTTGGGCGAAATCAAGATAACGTACTCTACGTTGGCGTTTGCTGAACCATCAAAGGGAGAACATGTAACCATTTGCTGAGCGTTCGTACGTTGAAGAGATCTCAAGCTATTCTCTGGAAATGGATAAATAGGGAGTCCAACATCCCCTATGCTGACCCTTTTCCCCAGCAGCACCAAAGACTTCAAACCAGCAACGGCGAACTTTCACCATCTAATCTTTACTCCTCAACTTTGAACATCAATATACCTAGCACCATACTTACGCCAAAAGAGACGTCTGCACATGCATCCCAATTCTCACAGAGGAGCAAGGAAGAGGAACTCCGCAATGCCTTCTCCGGTAAAAGCTTCAGGGGTTTCTTTCAGCCTTTCACCGCCTGCGCGGGTTCGAATTGGCACAGGGTTCCGGATAAGGATTCGGGCGCCCGCCAATGAAGACAATGGTTCGATGGCCATCGTAAGGCTCGTGCGCGTGCCTTCCTGCCGAGACAATTCGTCGACAACGGGCTTGCTCGCCTCCGCGGACCTGTTCCAGGGAAACGTGGTTGGAAACTGGCAGGCCGAGACGAGCCAACCCGCCAGCAACGGCCAGCAATACGAAATTATGGAGTTCAAGTCCCTCGTCGTCAACCAACCGGGCTCCTACTATCTGAGGATCCAACTCTACGGCGCGCCGGCGGCCAGTGGGGAAAGATCTGGCTTCCATGTGGAGCACATCAGAAATCTGGATAGCGAGAGGTTCTATGTGGGGACATGATGGATGATGCTAGTACCAAGTTCTGCAAGAACTTCACGCTAATACAATGTGCACATAGTTTAAAAAGTAAGCCAGTGTGTTAAGAACAAGCTTTCCAGAGCCAGGGTGGCTAACTAACTTCTTGCGTTCAGATTCTGGCCTTGATCGGGAAAAGAGGCTCTGCGCGTCAGTTCAGGAAAAAGCTCTGTAATATTTTTAGGTATTTGATTGGGTCCTTCGGTGGTACTTTACCGAATTTCATTTGTTTCTCCGTTAGAAGGTGGCAAACCCCGATATTTTGTCCTCGTGGAGACATCCTCGTCCTCCTCCTTAATACGCTTATTACCTATTGTCTTCGTCTAATTAATACTCGGAAGGGGCGGTGGCATGGTACGACTATCTCTAGGTGGGTAGTTTATGGGCTTTTTATAATAATCTGAAAGACTGATGAGATATGAATCAATATAGATCGTTGATGTGTTATAATAATAAAAATTAGTTGCACGAAAAAAAACCACTTCTGATAGTGCGAAACGCTTACGAATACCTCCCCGCTTCTCGAATGTATTGCAAGAGAACGTCCTTTGTAAATAAGTAGTTTTTTTCTCGAGGGGAATAATAGACGGTTCGTGGTTGATAAACTGCTTCCGGTGGATCATAAAAGCTGTTTCATCGCTTTCTCCGATAACGTGTGGGACGAAGTATGACACGGTTTGAGATTGTTCATTGGTGGCCTTGTGGGATGCTTACATCTCGTCCGAAGCATGTACTATAGCATCCCAGTCAGAAAACCCAGTAATATACATCTTCTTCATGTGCTTCGGGTTATTGATCGCGTCATTGTGCCATCGCGCCGAGGCCGCGTGTCCCATGTGTCTTAAACTTTTCTTGATTTGTTATTAGCCAGCTTCTTCACGCCTTAAATGGCGAAGAGAAGGCCTACGATACTCTAAGTCAAGTCTAATATGTCTTGACTTCTTTCGTTCTCTAGGACTTTGAGTTTCAGCTCCTGTACGTCTCGTTGTTTATATTCTAGCTCCGTAATGAGAGGGCCATAACTTTCTTGGGTCCTCCCCGAAGTGCCTTAGTGTGAATCTTGCCATACGCCAGATAGTCCTCTTACATGTCTTCGAGCTGGCCAATAAATTGGGCAAGTTTATCTGCCATCCCCTTACACTGCTTGCCATCATGTGCTCGCTGGGTAGTAAACTTTTTGAAACGCTTTGGAACAAGAGAGTATTTGATTGATTGTGAAAGGTTAGGTAGCGACATATAAAATAGGTGGTATAAGAAATACGGTCTGCTCATTCCTATCCAATTACTAAACCTTGGGTCTGTATAGTAGCCACTGCATGGGAGCTGAACTATAACAATTTAATACCCAGCCAATGAGGTTTCGCGCTGAGTATAGGCACTTCGCTGTCTTCCAGTAATATATCAACAGATATCGAAACCAAAAGTACCTAGTAGCTTAGGTACCTCCTATAAAGGAGTCTCTTAAAGGGATGGATGGATCGGCTAGGTATGGGAAGCCAATAAATCGTCTTATTAATATTAAAAGCTCAAAGTCAAACGCCTTGACGATTAACAATGGCACCGCACGATCTTGTTACACGAATATCTAGACTATGGAATAAGGCTGAGGATAGTTTGCACAGGATTTGCGGATTGTGTTAAGTCCGTTCACGGGGTAAACTCTTTTCCCAATAGGAAGTGAGAAGCCACGTCAAGCATTGTATCCTGAAATAGAAGGGTCGGAACCGAAGGAAAGCAAAGCGTATTATAATGATCCCTACAAACTTCTAAAGGCTCTATTAGTTGCACAGACTTTGTTGAGATATGTTCGCAAACGTATGGTTACAATAATATGGTACCACAGAACCGTTTGGTGAACGATTACCCAATATTAGCCATACGTGTTTATACACTTGTCGGATTGGGCGTCAAGGCTTCCTCTTCACATCTGGACCCTTCGTATTCAAATGTCCAAAGGCAATAGGCGTCCCATCCACATATCAAATCTGGCTTGGGTTATTACCTAGGTACTTAATACTAGTTCTTCAATTTTGACTTGTGGTTCGAAAGAAAAGTTTGCTGGCGCGTGATGTCGTGTGAGGTGTAACACCGGTTAGTTCCAGGCCACGGTTGAGGCTACAAATTAGAGCCTCCTCCATAGCAGCCTTATTAATGGGGAACATTATCGTAAGGTACCTGATTTACGGACAGAGGCGTGAGATTATCGGTCTCGGTTTAGCGAGAGGTAGCTAATCGAATAAAGTACCTAGTTACAGTTAATGCAGCTAATTTCCATCATGATACTTGACTATCTGATTTGAAGATGACTATACTGAATTGCCCTTTGCTCTATGCAACTACAGCGACTGGAAATCCTATCGAATCAAAGACAGTTATGCCATATATAGCTTATGCCTGCTTTTAGTCCCTTACCTGCTGTGGCTAACCTAATGGTAACTACTGGCTCGCTTAAGATTCCAATCGTAACAGATTGATTATACCACTGTGTGGGAGAATGAGGCATCTATAATATCATAAACTGCTTAAGACTTGCATTTCTATAGGTGTGTTAGGGTACCAGTTACCTTCAGAGAGAGATGTAAGAGTAATTGATGAAACTTCCGGGCCTTACGAGGTTAATGATAGGCTTATGAGAATATCAAGGCGCTAGGTATATAATTTTTCCTCTGGATATTCCTCTCAGTTAAGCACGGGCTATATACGGACCAATCAGTCTTATTTCAAAGTCTAATGCTTTCACGTAAGTGTTAACCGTGAACACTTCAAGGAGTCGAATTGGCTGAATAATAGGGGCTAGGGGCAGGGATAAAAGTGGATTCGACTTGAACGCCACATTTTTATCTTATCTTATCTTATCTCTTTGTAGCAGCGTGGCTGAACGCTAGCCCCCCCAGTATCCACTAAAATTTTTAAGCAGTACCTAGTATCAATCGCAATCTTTGAAGGTTTGAACCTTGATAATTACAACAATTCGTCGCAATCGTCACAATCGTCAATTTACTTCCATGCCCCGCTACCACTGCTACTATTATCCTTGGTAGCAAAGTCAAATATTTTCCTCTTTCTACTCATTCCTATCTCTACCTACCCAGGTATATATCACGATGTCTTCCATAAGAAATGCGGTACAACGGCGCGTTCATCGCGAGCGTGCGCAGCCGCTGGAGCGCCAACGTCTCGGTCTGCTCGAAAAGCACAAGGTACAATGCCTTCCTCCTTTTACCAGCCATTATAGATTCGCGCTGGTATCCCAACACTGCCTTCATTCTCCGAGCTAATATTTTCATCTGGATATTAGGACTACTCCCTACGTGCAAAGGACTTCAACAAGAAGAAAGCGCAGCTGCGTGCCCTACGGCAAAAGGCCGCCGACCGCAATGAAGATGAATTCTACTTCGGGATGATGTCGCGTAAGGGCCCTGGTGACGCATTGTCTCAAGGAAAGCGGTGGAACGGAACCGTCCAAGGCGACCGCGGCAATAAGGTCATGGACCTTGACACTGTCCGCCTACTTAAAACCCAAGACATTGGGTATATACGCACCGTACGAAATGCTGCGCTCAAGGAGGTCAAGACCCTAGAGGAGAGAGTGGTTGGGTTGGGTGGCAGCTTGGATGCTCAAGCTGAAGAGGACTCAGATGATGAATTTGATTTTGGAGCACCGAAACAGACGAAACCAAAGAAGGTTGTCTTCACAGAGGGCGTGGAAGAGCTTGATGAAAAGTTGCGGCAGGAAGTGAAGAAGGAAGAAGACGATGAAGACGACCTGGATTTAGATGATAATGACGAGAAGGGGGATCCGGAAGCATTACGAGCCGAACAGCAGCAGAAACTTCTCGAAAAACTGCAAAGAAGACTACAGAATGCACGAAAGAAGCTACGGATTCTCGCGCGAACAGAACATGAGCTCGAGCTCCAAAGATCCAAGATGGCCAAGACGGCGACGTCTGGAAACATCATCACAAAATCTGGCAAGAAGATAAAGATTCGAGAGCGAAAGCGCTAAAGCACTTGTACATCACGGATTGGAGACGGAAACGAGAAACGAGATTGAGGATTCGGACAAGGAGCCGAAATCCTTCCCTTTTGATCATATTATTACCGGCGGCGTTCAGGCACCGGGCTTCAGATCGTCTAGAGTCATGCGATACCCAGGAAGAAAAAAAATAGACCCATCCTATATTTACATTTCCCAACCTAACCTCACGCCTCGATCATAACTTTATCAGTACCCGTAATCCTAATCAGCTCTCATTATGTCCTGCAGCCCGCCTATAGAAGAGGAAACGGCCGGCCTTCTTCATTAATATGTACTAGGTATCCATATAGAGCTCTGTGATAATGGTAATAGGTATCGTATCCTCTAGTAGGTATCACGCTTCGAATTTCCCTCCCATATCCCCCCTCTTTTCCCTCTATTGCTGTCTTTAACTCCCAGTTCTGATTCCGTATTCATCATGCCATGCTTAAAGTTTTTCGCTGGTTAGGCATTTACTCAAGCCCACTACGACAGCCATAAGAGCCTTAAACGCCAGAGTAAGGGCCCAGATAACGCACTTGAATCCAAAACCAAGCAACTTTACAATCGTTCGCGTTGTCCCCGGGAGTTGGTCTTTATCCTTGTCCTTAATATTCAGCTTGCCGCCCAAACTACTCGCCTGACTCTCAAGATCCAGCTCCAGCTCCTCGAGACGCCCTCGCTTCTTGTTTCCTTTCTTCCCAAGTATTTTAGCGCTAAGTCGACTGCTACTCCTGCGAAAATCAGGATTAGAGCTCGATTTCCGTAGGAGTGCCGGTGGCGGCGGTTCGAAATGTTCGACGAGCACGTTCTTCTCGTCAATATTGGCAACAAGAAGTAACGCACACACTGCCACATCTATGATGTAAAAGCTATCGATGCGCCCTGCTACGAGAGTGTCCAGCTCCATCCAGCCCTCGCCGGTTCCGTCTCGTGTCAGCTTCGCGATATGATGCGGCGACTCGATATGTTCAACTGTGTACTCCGTGCGACTCCATGCCGGATTCCTGTCTATAGTAATGCAGAAGGGTGTCGCAAGGGCCGGATGCACCAAGAAATAGTTCTGACTGTCTTCATCCCAGACCAGCCGTGCACATTCCCGCTCCGCAGCCATCACGGCCTGCATATCGTCAGCCCTCTCCAAAGCCACTTTTGTTGCCGCGCTGGGATACAACAGCGAGACTAAACCGTCATTAGGCGGCAAACGGCGTGATGGCTCTTCTAGCGTCGTCGCTAGCGCTTCCTGCCACACTTTCGATTCGGGTTCCCGAAGCGCCCCTAGGATACCACCAGATGACCTCGGGCTCGCATTCGGTTCCTTCCTCTTATAGGGCTTACTTGGGTCGTGCCGGCTTAAAGTCACATATGCGCTTGCTGACGTCGGGTCTATGCGCATGTGGTAGAGAGGCTGCGTGGAAGAAGAAGTAAGGTTGTAAATCGGGGTATCTTTCTCGGGTATTAACTTCAAACAAAACATGCGCCCCTCTGCTGCGGACGCCTTCCATCCATTCGCTACTTTCCAGAAATCACGAAGCTCCTCCGTCGTGTTCACCGGGGGTATAATAGGGGGTTCCTGGGGCCGTCTAGGCCACCTTTGCGTAGAGCCGGCGCTGAGAGGACTTCTTAAGGGACTCCGAATTGGCGGACTCTGGGCGTTAGGCACATGAGACTGTCTGCTAATAACAGTCCTCGGTATGTGGGTCGGACTCGTCTGAGTTGGATAGTATTCTTGACGGTCAAAGGGTAGAGTGTGGTCGTATTGTGGGAATATCGAGCGGATGGCTGGTTCCGGTACATCTGGTACGGATTGTTCTGCGAAGGGCCTTTTGGCAATTGAGTTTCGTGATCGTCCGCTATCGCTTCTTACCAGCGTACTCGCCCCAGAAAACGCGGTGTCTGCTCGAGGCGGCACTTCTGACGCCGGTATTGGTCTCGATACTGATGGCCCTGCCTGACTCTGGTAATATGGGTTATTAGAAGACAGCTGTAACCCACCAGTCCCCGCCGGTGATCCGTCAATCACGAACTCCGAAAGGTCTTCTGGCGTACGACGACCATTTCTCGGTGGTGTCATTTCAAAGGAAAAGCCCTGCTCCTGAGATGCCGATTGAGGAGTGGCGGCGCGCCCTCGAGGCGTCGGCTTCCGAGACGGCGACCTCGTCGTATTAGGGAAGAGAGAAAGTCCTCCGGGCGGTCCATTCGACGCCATTTTGCTAAACTGTGTTTATTTTTCCCGCCTCGAATAATCAATCCACCTGTTAGTCGCTAGTAAATATCGATTACTAGTTGTGATGTCGGACGAGCACAGAAGCCAAGTAGACCAAAGTAAGCCTCGAAAGATAATTCGTCTGTCACCGGGACATAGCCTCTCGATCCATATCAAGGCGATGTGATCACTCAACACGGCAGGTCGCACAACCTTACATAGACAGTTCGCATATTAGGGGACCGGATGCAGTGATTCGGAGCCCAACTACCAACAGGTGGCATAGAAATTCGAGATAAGGGAATAATAGAACTTTCACTAAATTTTTCCTACAAAGCAAGGGAGATACTAAAAGGGTGTATATACTACCTAAGCATGCAGCAAGCGCTTTGGATATTGCTTGCCGGCGGTCATGATGGGTGCGGACATTGGAGTTACCAAGTAGCAGATCGTCAAGGTTATTTTGCTAAGCGCCTGTGCGCGCCTTTGAAGGTGGGGGGTGTGAAGCATCTCAACCAGCCATTGGGGAAGGGTAGTTTGTAGAATTTGTGCAGGACCGACGAGGATCCCTTGTCACGACTGGTCACGACTGGGCACACTCGCTCACATTTCGATCTAACCTAGACGAGAGCGTGCCATGGAGAAAATTGGAAGAGTGTCTAGGTAGAAAGAGGTTCGGTACTCTGACCTGATTTGCGCGTTCCCGAAATAGAATAATTGCTTGCAGGTTCCGAGCAGGCAGACAATCCAATCAGATGGAGGATCACACTACATCTTAGCCGCCCAGCTCAATAACTGATTAGCGAAAACGGTAATTGAAAAAAAGCCAAGACAGCGTGAAGCGCGCGCGGGGTTTGGGTCGTCGAAAAGGAAAATCGATAATATTGGAGATTGGGACTTTGTAATAATAATAATTCTTCAATGAACGCCTCTTTTCCAAGGGACTTCGCAAATGAGCATATAATCATCACAGATAGCCTACGCTGCTGTAGATCTGGTGACGCTTCAACTCTACTTGATAGATATTCGTTTATGGACCCATTCGTAGATTTTATTCTCTGTAATAGAACCAGAGCCAAAAGTGCCAAGTACGAAGTACGGTTTTTTTTTTTTTTTTTTTCAGCCCGCTTTGCTCATAACAACGAGGTAACCTTAGGTAGGATGAATGAATGATGTATTATTAAGGGACATCTCTAAGCACAAACAGCAGCGTGCTTTATGATAATACGTTATAAGTCTTATAAGTTTGACGCGCAACTCCTGCAGAAAGAGTTGAGTTGGAGATCTAAATCTCATGGGCCGGGGGTCATCCCGCCGCATCTAATCTGTTACCTATCTTCAATCCATTACGAGCGTATCCCCTTTCATTAGCTAAGTACGTTCGCACCTATTTGGCTTTACGCATTTACAGTCCCCATGCCCAGTGCAGCTGCAAGGCTTTCAGTGCAGGGGTTTTAAGCAGCAACATGCAGTACTATATATTCTTTAGGACCCAATCGTTCTGAGAACCCAGATCACCTCTGTGTAGTTGAAAAAGGCATCGGAAAAGGATTATGTGTTTCTGTCGGAACTCCCCATCTAGGCGACACGCTATAACAGTATCTAGACCACCCGAAGCCTCCAGATATTGTATCATCCTCCTCATCGCGAACACTTATAATTTCGTTTTTGTTAAATACGTAGGCTGGATCCTGACTCCCTGTCGCTAACACGCTCTCTACGAATAACAGGGAAGGAACCCTTTCCCTTTTTTCAAACTCATCCCTTCATAAGAATCTCACAGACAATGCCGTGACACGAATAGTCGAAAGGTAGTACAGTATTTATAGCCACACATAATACTAATAGTTATGAGCGTATAAGCCATATAAATAAGAGAATGGCCTTAGCAAAAAAATAAATCCAATCACTAATGTTAAAGTCATTCAGGGAAGGAAAGGCAAGGGATCCGTCGAATTTGTATGTCATTCCAGTCGGTTTGCCTCGTATATCCGACTACCAAGATATATACCTAAGTAGCTTATCTATCTTGTCTCTAGGTACCTCCTATACATCCAAGTGCCCATGCTAATACATACAGGAAGAGAAACGTCGCCTATTCTTATTACCTATAACATATCTCGCTCCGCTCCATCTATCTATCTACCATAGCTAAGCAGCAGGGGCTGGAGAAGCGGTTGCCGCCGGGACGGTAATGGTAGTTGTAGTAGTTCCAGGGACAGAAGCGGCAGCAGATGTAGCGGCAGAAGTGGCAGCAGGAGCGGCAGGAGCGGCAGCAGCGGGGGGAGCACCACCTGGGGATCCCTCCTGTACGGGCGCAGGAACGAAAGCAGCGGCCTCCAGGGGAATGGAGGCTACTGTGCCACCGGTTACCGTAGTACCATCAACACTAGACTTGGTGGATTGTGATGCCTTGGCGTAGTCGACGATTTGTTGATCATCCGTACTACGAGACAGTTAGCAAAGTGCCTAACATAACAACTTAAATGGGAGATGAGTCCGCTTACGGGTTAACCACCATGACCTGTCCTTCTTGACAATGGGGACCCGTCGCGCAATACAGGAACAAAGCATCCGTGCTCGTTACGGGCATGTTGAAAGTGCCAACAGTGGTTTGCCCATCTTGGAAAGGGATATGTCCGCTATGGATGCCACCTGTTAGAGGTGTGCAAGGGGCGTCCTTAGCACTTTGGGTGACGGTATGATTGCCGTTGCTGAACTGGAATTGTATGATATCGCCAACAGATGCCTTCACCATATTAGGTACGAAAGTATCTTGTGGTCCACCAACAACAACCGGAATGATCCTGTTAGCCGCTAGAACTGTTTATTATTAGTCATTTGTTTGCCATGATACTGTCACAGGGCAGCTCATCGCAGGTAGGTACCTTTGAAACCTCCAACCTCAACCGGCGCGTCTCTGTATAATATCCGGGATGGTCGCGCACTGGCAACCGCGGCTAGGAGGATAGAGCTGGCGAAGAACAACATATTTGCTACTGAGGAACTGGTGAGGACGTTACTAGGTATTGACAGGAAGACGAAAACAAAAAGAATTCCACAAGATCTCGGGTATTAAATTAAAAAATATGGTAATAACGGTACCGTTCAACGGCTATCTGCTCACTGGGAGTTCCGAAAGAGAGTGAATGGAAAAACAAAAATTCGACTAGAGGAAAGTAAGGTGATAGAACTCAGTCCCCGAGCCTATGGACTCATCGCAAGCATATATAGCAGGCTACCCATGGGGGGAAAAACATAGCACGCAATCATATCGACTAGGACTGTTTCGATAACCGCGACGCAATCTCAGCGTGCAAGAATCCTCAAAGCGTTTTCAGGGTGGAGTGGCAGTGCTCCTTTACTCTTTTCCAAAAAAAAAAAAAAAAAAGGAGCTCTTAAACCCGTCCCTAAACCCAAGCAGGGGAACAGGTTCGGCAGTTGAGAATCAAGACTTTTCAGTCTGGCCAAAGACGCTCTAACGCAGACTGAGCATTCATTCTGTTCAAATTTTCTTCAGCCATTGGTTAAGGGGTCGAAGATATGGTTCGATAAGTTCCACCCTTTTCGCATTGTGAGGCTTCTTGGTAACTTGGGGCAGATACATACCTACCTACCTAATATAGCCCCAGCAAGCCAGGATCACCGAGGCTCAACTCCACAACGGGAGATCCTATGAGAGATCAGCCTTTTCCTAGGCGCACATCATAAAGATTCTTCGATGCTGGTAAAACAGGATCCACATGCAGACGTAATGTTCAGGCATGCCACGGTTTCTGAAGTTTGTCGGTGCGCGACTTGGCGCCGCTTGGCGCGCCTTGGCTGAAGATGCACGATGTTTCAGACCAACTTCAGATGCTTCCATCTGAAGCATCTAGCTTCGCAACTGTACCCAGTTAAAGAGGATGTCCATTCATGTTCGGCGAATTTATTCGCCACTCGAGGTAGTGGTTATCAGAGCAGAGGTTCGTCTCTAACAAACGCTTAGAAACGCTTACTCGAAGTATCAGTCAGCTATCCTACAAATAGGTACCGTTTGGAGTTATTGTATAACATCATTACATAATTTATCTCTAGCTAACTTAGGTAGGTAGGTATGTATCTGGTATGCATCGGTAAAGGCCTCCGGAAACCACTCGGCCAAAACCACCGTGATCTGCTCCTTCCACCTTCCATTCCTATCACTTTCGGCTATTATACCGGATGGTCGGGGTGAGTAATCGGCCCCATCCGGCCCCGCTCCCCACCTCCGATATTCGGCCGCCGTAGCTGAACCTACTGATTTCAGCTGCTTCTTGGTATTAGTTCATTTGTTCTCTTGACTAAAGTCTTCCACTAATCGAGGTAATAGAAACCTCTATCAGCTATTGCTACCGGGATCGGTTTCTAAACATCATATCATGATAAACATCGGAATATGTAAACATATAAATTAGCTCGTAACGATTCTCTTTAATGGCACCTTAACCTTATGGATTTGTGCCCATAATACGCAGCTTGGTTGACAACTAGATATAAGAAATCACTACTAGGTTACTAAGACTTACTTGCTTCACAATGCCCCATACAGTTGTATTAGGGTATAGTATCTCACTAGCTCCTTATCGTGGTACAAACGTCTAACTAACACCGCGACCCGCAGCGCCGGCGTCATCGGGCTAAGCTCCGCTCTGCGCATCCAGGCCGAAGGCCACGCCGTGACTATCGTAGCGCGCGACTTCCCCTCCGGATCCGAAACCATCGATGCGCAAAGCCAGATCAACTACACCTCGCCGTGGGGAGGCGCGCACAACAGGATCGTACCCCCGACCAACCCCGCGGAGGAAACGGAACATGCCATGAGCCTCCGGACCTTCGACCACATGCGTGCCGTCCAGGCGCGGCATCCGGAAGCGGGCATCACTTTCATGAAGGGCATCGAGTACCTCGAAGCACCCAGCGAGGCGTACCGTACGCTCACCGAAGAACGGGCGCGCACGCAGCTGGGCATCAAGGGGTTTAGGGTGCTCAAGGAAGCAGAGCTGCCGGAAGGCGTGAAGTGGGGATGTGAATACGAGACGTGGTGCGTCAACCCCATGGTTTACTGCAGCTTCCTGCTGCGCCGGTTTGCGATTCTGGGGGGCAAGGTCCTACGCAGAGAAGTGAGAGACCCGAGAGAAATATTCTCCTGGAAATTTGAAGCGGGGCCTGTTGATGTGTTAATCAACGCTTCTGGACACGGGTTTGGAGACGACAATATGTTTATTACCAGAGGTAAATTATTCCTATTTCCTTCTGTCGACATTATCAACATACCCTAGATGCCCTAGTCCTAAACTAAACGTCTGCTGCATAGGTCAAACGTGCCTTGTTGCCAACGCGTGTCCTGTGACCGTCACGCGGCAAAATGCAGACGGCTCGTGGACATTCTGCGTCCCACGGAATTTCGACGGCGGGACTATTATCGGCGGCACCAAGGAGGCCAATAATTGGGACCCGAATCCATCGCTGGAAGTTCGCGAGACCCTGTTGCGGAAATTTGCCGCTACTTACCCTCAGATATTGGGGAGCGAAGGCAAGTTTACTGTGATGAAGGATATTGTAGGTCGACGGCCAACTCGCAAGGGAGGTATGCGACTGGAAAAAGAAGAAGTAGTTGACAGGCAGACCATCATCCATGCTTACGGTCTGGGTGGACGAGGCTACGAGCTGAGTTGGGGCGTTGCAGATGGGGTCGCGCGGCTACTGGCAGAACACTTGGGCGCCGACGCGTGGAGAAAAGGAGAAGCGAAACTTTAATATCTCGCTGGTTGGTTTTGCAACGAACGTGATAAAAATCCACGAAAAGTAAAATGCAACAGAAGCAGCGGTCACATTCATCGGGACCAGACAGTTAGGTGTTACGAACGAGGAGTAAAGGATCAGCTCAGTAGGAATCTTCTCAGCGGGCATCGTTTGTCTGATGCTATAGCAAAGTATTATTGTTGCTGTTTGTCACCTCGTAAAGAGAATGACTGCCTAACCTAAGGATAAGCAGCCCGTGCTTCGTACATCTTCCCATGATGGCGTTTGTGGCTTTCACTGCGTGCATAGGCCCACCCTTTAACGATCTAGCACCTGCAAACGGAGATGGTTGACAGAAAGCAAATTCTCTATGGCTCTCACCTGGGCAACAGGTAACAGGTTGCTGGTTGCTGTAGCAGATACTGCGCACCTGCCCAAAATGCCAGATGCCTAACTTCGCATGTAGCTGCCTGAAGTTTAAAGAGACAATGAGGAGAAAAAAACAAACCAAAAAAAAACCATACTTCTAAAAGTTTATCACCGCCATTACCCTTTACCGCCACTACCTTACCTCCCACTTCACCGGAAGTTACACGTCTAAAACATACACAACGCCAACATATATCGTATCTCTCTTTCTCCCTCATTCTCGCAACCGGACCTTCTCAAATCGACATCAATCCACCACCACCACCACCACCACCACCACCACCAAAATGTCCCACCGCCCCCCTCACAACACCGCCCCAGTCTACACACACCCACCCCCGGACCCGACAGACCCAACCTTCGACTTCGCAGCGTACCGGACGGCGACGCTCGACGGGGTGGACCGGTCGAACGCGGCGTGGGCGGCGGCGCGGGCGGGGCGCCACGCGGAGGCCGTGGAGCTGCACCGGCAGGCGCTCGCGCTGAAGCTGCGCTTCCACCCGCCGACCTCCGTCCAGGCCGCCCTCAGCTACAACGGCATGGGTGAGTCGCTGCTGCGCGCGGGCCGCCTGGCCGACGCCGACGACGCCTTCCGCCGCGCCCTCGCCGTTCGCGAGGGCGCCGGCCCCGTCCTCGACGCCGCCGTCACCCGCGACAACATCGGCCAGCTGCGCGAGGCCCAGGGCCGCTTCGCCGAGGCCAGGGAGATGCGCATCCGTGGTGATGGGAAGAATATGGTGTGCGGACACTACCACGTGAATTTTTTTTTTCCCTCTTTTTTTCTTTTCTTCTTCTTTTTTTCTTTACTAATGTACACCTAACCTAACCTAATATATCACAGTGCCCTCATCAGAAAACGTTCGTCTTGGCTGATCTGCAAGCTTGTTCCGCGTGCCGATCCGTCTTTTACTGCTCTAAGGATTGCCAGAAGCAGGACTGGACTAAACGCCACAAGCCGCTATGCAAGGCGCGCCAGAACCAAGCTGCTTCGCATGAATCTACCTCGCAGTGATTGAACACGGGTTGGAGTTCGGGGAAGAGAGACAGCTACCTATGCGTGAAAAAAAGGGAGGGAATGGAGGGTTAGCTAGGATCATGCCGGATGTTATTATGAGTATGCCGCCGATTAATCTTGCCATATGAGTCCTCGTTGCCTTTCACTTAGGTTTTTATCAACGTATTCGCGATGGATTTTACAGCCGCCAGTCTACCTTAGGTGTTTGTCTAACTTACGTGATTCGTAATAGTTCTCCCCAGTGATGGAGAAGACAGTCGTAGATCTAGGTACATCTGCAGCTATCCGTAGCCTTGAAGTTGGGAGCTACTCTCTCTCTCTCTCCCTCCCTCCCTCTCTCTCATACCAAATCCCTAGACCAAAAACGTCCAGAAACTAGGGTACACAAATTCCTCCTCGAAGATCCGTCTGACCTGCTCGAGGACGAATTTCTCAACCTTGCCTACGTTCTTCAGGCTCTGCTTCGTACCTTCTCTCTGGCCAATCTCACTCTCGACCCTGACCTCTTGTAGTAAGCTCCCTAGTCTCCCTTTCCGCGCGCCACCACCACCAGTTCCCGTGCCTTGCTCGTCCCTACCACCATCGTTATCGTCGTCCTGTCCTACAGCAGCCAGCGCGTCCTCAGGGCTCAAGAAACAGAAGTGCACCCGTTTCCTGATATACGCGACAACGCCGACCCCATCAAACGTAAGTCCTGTGATGTTCAGCTTTACCGGAATACCCACGAAGCTCGGCATTGGGTAGTCGAGCAGAATCTCGGCTGTTATCATCAGTTTCACGTCGCCTGCGTACTTGATGCGGAACACGGCTTGTAGGTCGTCTATCCTAGGCTCGCGGAACTTCTTGGGTGCCTCTTCCTCCTCTTCCGATGATCCTTCACGCGCCCCTTTACCGTCAGGGCTACGACCGGAGCCGCGCTGTCCGCTCGTCATTCTATCTCTGGTCGGAGGTCGCGAGGGCCCGGCCGAAGTTGGCGCGAGAGTTGACACGCTATGTTTCTCTCGAAGCAGATGTGGCGTAGGGGCAAGTGAGGTTGGGGGTAAAGTGGGGGATGGAACTGGAGGATGGTCTGGGATAGAAGCGGAACCTTGGGAAGGCTGTCTGCTGTGATCACGACTCCGCGGGTACCTCTCTGGTGAAGGGTTATGCGGGCCACCCATCTCCAACCAGCCATTCAAATGTTGCGCTCCGGCGACGGCCGCTAAGGGCGTCTGGGTGCCGGACCAGGTGGTCGCTAACTTTGACTGGAAATAATGCATATTGGCTGTACCGCCGGGCACGCCGGGCGTCGGGACGCCGAGTCCTAAGAACGGGTTGGCTATATCGGGTGTCCCGGGAGCGCTGCGTAATCCCGCAACGTGGATATGAGGCGGATAAAGACCTTCCGGAGGATAAGCGGCCGTACCGATTTCACTCTCACCACCCCTACGTCCATTCCCACCCCTTCCTTCTAATCTACGAATTTGATCCGCTCTCCTCTTATGTTCGGCGGCTCTTATCGCTTCGGATACCTCGTCCGAATGCCCATGTCCATGCCCATGTCCATGCCTTCCCCTCTCATCCTGGACAAGTTCCTCTTCTTCTTCCCCTTCTTCATCCTCATCATCCGACACGTCTGGATTTTCCTCATAGAAGTCCGGTAGCGGGTCGCATATGTCCTTTAGCACGACACTCGGTGGTATGGTGCCGAAAGCAAAATCGTGGACTTTGACGGATTTGATAAAACGCGGCAGAGGCACAGCTTGAAACTTGGTATGAATAAAATCACGGATTTGTTCCGCGAGTGCGGCACCGTCCGGCCCGCCTGTTAGCGTCTCCCAATTTAAGTCTATCGACATGATAGTAACCTCGTCGGCGGTGTATGATTGAAGTTTATTATTGTTAAAATGCCCATTATTTAATCTTACACTCGACTCAGTCCGGGATGATGACAAGTCAGGTAGTTAATATCATATTTATGAAACGAAAGAAAAAAGTGAAGATGGAAGATTTAGGTTAGGTTAGGTCTAGGTAGGTAGGTAGTAGGTAGATAGATACCTAGCCTAAGGTACCTACATGTAATAAATAAATATAAGGGCTCTTTAGGTATTGAGTAATTCGCATCAATCAGATGTTGTTTTTTGAAGTTTAGAATAGCAGCCCACTGCCCACCACCGCCCTCTAAATAAAAGTCCACAAATTTACACCTAACCTAAGATACCTGGTACCTAACCTCCTATTAGTGCCTGTGGTACCTGTGGGGCTCTGACGTCTTGGGAGGCATTCTGGCACTGTACAATACAATACAATACAATACACTACAGGTAAAAAGAACACTCCCACCTATGAATTTAGCAAAATCCTCTACCTCAAACACTCTAATAATTTTCATGCCCTCAAACATATAAACAACGTGGTCCATCAAATTCATTATGCTCATCATTTTTAATGGGTATCCGCTAATGACAAAAAAAAAGAGAGAGAACAATGTATGGACTTCCATAACCCTTAGCTGCAAATGCATGCATGCTTCAGCTCATCCGCGTTTCGTTATTTCCAATACTAAGGTTAGGTTGCCCTTTGTTCACATGTTTACCATAACCCTCCCTCCTGCAAAACACCTCGTAAACTCGTTTCGTCCATTAGATTATATATGCGCTCCATACAAATATTATCCTGTGGTGGGCTTCAGGTACTAACATGCAATAGCTATGTTGTGCCTATATCTGCTGATGATGTTGTTGTTGTTGCTGCTGCTTCATCCCTTTTTGCAATATTCGCTTCAGCTCGTAAGGGTCTCGATACTGGAAGCGGTACGCTAGGCTGGTGCCAACAAGTCGGCGCTTCGAGGATGTATCTAAATTATTCTAACGTCAGCATGGTCTTTCCCCTTGCAATGTTGGGGCAACAAAGTACCTAGCCATAGCCTCCCTAAACCTAGACTTGTATTCTTTTGGGCTGGTCACGGTTGGTCTATTCCGGCTGCCACCTGCGAAGCCGCGGTCCTTGATCCAAGTTTCTAGTTTCTTGTCCCATGTATACGTTCGGATGCAGTCAATCATGCCTACCACTATCTCCTTTTTCCCCTCGTCGACGGCAATCATCAGCGAATAATCCATAACGTTCTGGCGGGCCAAGAATAGTGTATCGTTCCACACGGATGCGCGCAAGAGCTTTTTTGAATGTTCCCTCGCGAAAAGAGGCGACTCATAGATATATTCCACCATATTTTCGTCAAGAAGGACTTCATTACGCTCCCCGGTCGACTGAATCTTTCGATTTCTCATCGAACCCTTCAGGTCAAAGATTCTTGTGGCGTCCCGATCGTAGAATAAGTTCTCCATGAGTAGCAAATCGAGTTTGATCTCCGTGTTAGTTACCGGGTTCTTAATAATCACCTGAAAGAACCCTAGCATCTTGGCAATCACCGACGGGAGATCGTGGAAAAGCGCCTCGTACATCAAACTGAAATACGCTGGTGCGAATTTTAGGAATGCAGCTGTCTCCACAGGCGACAAGGCCTAATAAAACAATTAACTTATGCGTCCATATAATGCTGGGGTTCGCACTCTTGCTTACCTTCATTACTAACCGGTCGTCGTAGGTTTTCAAGAAAACCGACTTCGTCTTACCGCCTTTGGAATCCCATGGAAGACATCGAGATAGAGATTCGATGATTCTGTCAGCAACGCCGCATTTCCGTCGCAAGGCGTCGAATTGCTCGGCGTAAAATATTTTAACCAGCATTTTTGCTGTTCCTTCAGTAAACTGGTACTTATAATGGGAACTGGTAGTATGCACGAGTTTAGTTTCGAGTTGGCTTTCAGTAATAACTTCGCCAATATCCGAGTATACTCCAGAGTGTGCATCATCCTCTGTATCTGTTCCAGCTGAAACTGCTCCGCTCTCGTTACCCTTCTTGCGGTAAAATGTGCGCAGTTTCTCTTTATAATCTTCAGAGCTCAGAGCGAACGCAATCAGTGAGCTTGGTTCGTCTTCACGAACAATGATATCGGAATCGATAAAGATATGATCAGTCGCATTTAAGGGGTAGTCAAAAGGAGGCCATTGGCTAGCTGAGCGCTCGTTCCAAAACGTGGTAAGCACCTTCATGAAGTTATTCTTGTCTTGCTTGGGAAGTTCCATCGGAATTTCCGCACTGGAGTCAAATGACTTGGCGATCTCTTCAAGCGTCTTACCGTCGATCAACGAGTGCTCCGTGTCACTCTCCCCTTGCTCGTCGTCTGTGGCTCCCAAGCTGTTGTTGTGCACCTGATCGTCCACTCCGCCTTCATTAGCAACTTCGCCTTGACGTTGACGCCCGTCCTGAAGCAGTTGTATGTTTTCCGCCGACGCCTTGGCCGCCTCGGCGTCTGGCTGCGTGTCATCCCTTCCTAATTTATTGCTTGTTTTAGGATCGTCCTGTGCTGGGATGGTGACATGCTCATCTTCGGCATGACCAGGTTCCTGCACGGCCTCATCCACGTCCTCGTAAACCTCAACTATAGCTTTAGTCGTGGAATGCTGGAGGGAAGGCCTAGAATGAGACATTCTCTGTTTCCTTTTTTCGCGATCTTTCTCGCGTTCCTTCTCGAATTCCCGACTAAGTTGCTCAAAATGTTTACGAATGGTAGACACCCTAGAGTCTTTCTTCCCAACGAAACGGGGAATGGACGACTGGTTGCCTTTGCGGTGTGGCCGAAGACTACTAAACAGCTTCTTCTCACTTTTAGTCGATTCGCTGGTTGGAGTCTTTCGCAACTCGTTTCCACCCGGAACTTCTGTTAAATGCCCCTTATCTTTGTCTTTATCTTTGTTGGAACCAAACATCTTCTTGCCTACTCCAGAATGTAGGCGAGGCAAGGTTGGGATACTGTTTGCGGGGTGTGAAATGGCGCGTACCATAGGTGGCGAGACGTTCAATCCCATCCTACGAGAAGACGTACGCTCTGGTGCCGCCTTTTGAGATTCTATAGCATTCCTTGGTTGCTCATTCCTTGCTGTAACCGTGTTTTCGGATACTGACGACTGCTGGCGCCGACGAAGCTGTTCAACATGTTCGGTTAGTGACATAGGTGGCACTGTGGCAGTGGCCAACCGTGGCACAAGCTCAGGAGATACTGGTGAAACTGTATCAGCGATAGTTGATGCAGATGTTTCAGGGATATCGACGCTACTATCAGGTTGACTTGGGACGAAATTTCCAGGCACAGGTAATTTTACCGTGGCAAGATCTAGTGGCTCAACCCTTTCCAGAGTTTCTTTTTGCGGTGGCACATCCAAGGGGTTTTTTTCTTGGATTACGTCAAGCTGGGAGGTATCTATTGTACCTTCTGATTGCTGTGTGTCCTGCTTAGGGTCATTATCAGACGCGCTCGTCTGTGTTGTTTCTTCCGTGGTATCAGTGGTCTCGTTTACGGCTTCATTGTTGGTAAGAGGCTCTTTTGATTCATCCGTAAACATTTTACGGAAGTGAATCATGGTCAGCTTTCGAATATCTTTGTCAGAAGGAAGAAAATCGGCTTCGAATTTCGCAAATGTCGCATCCCATTCAGCCACCTTAACAAGCATCTCTCGTAAAACTATGTTGAATGGAATTACCTCATAGTATTTAGATTCCATGTATTTATCCTGAAGTTTTCGAACAAGCGAGGTGTGGTCATCCTGTATTCTCTTCGACAGCCGCTCCATTTCTGCTTTACATGGTTCGGCCTTTTCCGGAATAATATTGTCGGTATTAATAGCTTTCAGTCTAGCTTTGACAGATGCTGTAAACCGTGTCCAACGGTCTTGAGCATTGATGAATATTTCGTTTTTCATGTTAAGATCATGCCCAACATTCCAAGTGATGCGGGCACGAGGAACAATGATCTCCAAAAGGTCGATTGGGTCATAGTGGACACGTACGACCTTGTCGTTTAACCCAAAGTACCGTATGTGATCCCGAAAAAGGTCATGAGGACAGTTCCACCCTCCAGCATTCTCCTCTCTGAAAAGCGTTGTGCCTCTAATCCAGAATGACAGTTCAAGGAATTTTCCAAATGAATACTTCCAGGTTCCTCTAGACATCTCAGTCGCACGGGTTTCTCGCTTGCAGTGCTTGCAATAGCTCCACATCGTAATACCATCATCACGTACCTGTCGGCCCTTGGTATCCTGGTCAATAAATATAGTGATCCGCCCTTCACCGTGCACATATGATCGGTGATGCCCATACATTTTGCGGTAGCATCCATTTAACCCGCAGACTGAATCAGCGCCATAGCAGATATCCTCAATGTATTGACCCAAAGTGCAATCAGGATCCATGCCACTGCTTCTATCGACGCGCTCATCGTAAAATCCCAGTGCAATTAAATTTGGTTCTAAGCACGGGATTTTACTTTCCGTGCAGATGACCGAATGTAGGACAACTATGTTTTGGTGAGCGTAGGGTTCGAAGAGCCCGATGTTACCCTGAATGTAATTTTCCCACTGTCTAGCCTGTGTCTGGTAATTGTACAGAGCTTTGTCGTATTCAGCATCGTGTACAGCATGAAGTATTTCCATAACCTGTTTGGGAGCTTTATGGTCAGTTTTGAGAACCATTTCCGGCGTGATAAGCTGGAACTTCGGAGCATGCGACTTCTCGCTATCCGCGCGCTCTTCAATCACATCTTGATCACGCAGCCGTTTCAGGTAAATTACTTTCCGTTCCTGTTCCCGAGCTTTCATAAGCAGATATGGCTGCGGGAATTTAACAAAGGGTGAGGCGGAGAGAATTTTAGTCTCATACTTGGCCACCATATCACTATAGAAGGTTGGCATAGGAATATCATCCGGAACAGAACCGTCATCGACTATTCCAGAGTGTGTTTTATGTAGAGAAATTGATTGTTCGGTTGATTGGTTCGAGGTAAGTTGACTAGGCGGTATATCGCTATTCATTGGCTCTTCAGTCGCTTTTTCAGAGGAATGGTCCTCTTGGCTTGCGGGCGTCTCGTCTTCAATCGTATTAGGCGGTGTTTTCTGCGCGTCGCCTTCTGCAAAAGCCTTTGCATCTAGTGAAGGTTGACTGCAATCAGTAGTTTGGGAGAGATCTCTCGATATTTCCTCATCAGCGGGAAGCTTGACGAACGAATCTCGCATCAAGCATGATTCGAGTTTGAGATTATACACCACATACACCATAAACTCGGTTATATGTTTGAGCTTCGCTAAGATCGGTGTAGATGCACCTCGAAGTGCAATGGTACAACCAAGGTCTTCTTGATAGCTAGACAAGAAGATGTATGTCTTTTTTCCACCTGGAATGTCCTCGTTGACAAATGTTTTCACCTCGTAACCAGCACTCTTGCCTGTCTGGAACTGATGCGGAGGAAGCGCCAACATATCTACGGAAGAGATAATTTCAGTCTCTAGACACCTTGAAACAGCAGAGAGCACGGAAGGCTTCACGTTGTAGGCAACGGAGATCTTCGCGTCTGAAAGAAATTGCAAGGCCAGACCCGAGACACTCTTCTCCGCTAATAATAACTGAGGCCGAAGAGCTATGATCCTATTTACTAATTGCTTGAGGAATTCTCTTTCTTGTTCAATAACAGGTTGAAGGCTCATAAATTGTTGTTGATGCCGCTGGTACTCAATGGGAAATGACACTATGACAACACGAGGCGAAGACATGCGACGGGGCATACTCTTCAATGCCAACTTTTTCGTAAATATCACGCCAGGGACATAGCAGGTGTCACTTGGCCTACCTCCTGGGATTTTCTTGAGTTTGACATAGTGTCGGATATCGATATCGTCTCCTCTATCAACATCGGGATCCACGGATGAAGTGCATTTCAACAAGATCGGCACTAAAGCTTTTTCCCAGGCATTTGCATTTGGAATACCGGAATCCTCCAGTAATTGCCGCAGCAGCTTTTTTAGGTGTGATAAACTCGCCGGGTGAAGTTCTAATCGAGGTTCCTTATCTCCTTTCATGGAGGAACTTCGGATGAGACGTGGCAGTTCGGACCCAGAGGTGTCGAACAACGGGAGTGTCTCATTTGATCCAGTCGGACCTCTCATTGCAGAAGATTTAGGTCGAGGAGAGCGAACGTGATGCCCACTAGCAATACTCATATTTCGCCGTCTGGAGGATCGTGGATTAAAATCGTCTAAACCGCGACTAGTGAAACTTAAGCCACTAATGCTTTTATCCGTTTGTGCTCTGTTTCTGAGTTTCCTTCCGGCGCTCAGGTAGGCTAAACTTGACCTCTCAGGATCCGTTGCGGGTGACGGGTGAAAATCAGCTGTAGCAATAGCTCCCGCAATGCTCATCTGTTCATCGCCACTAGATTCATCCGACATGAATGGGGCTAAATCTGGATCAATAACATTGTCGTCGTGGAATGCATGCAGTCCGGTCTTCTTGCTTGCTTCTTCGGTTGCAGGATTTCGGAATGGTACCCTCTGCTCGGGGGATGCTTTAAGGCGATTCCATAGATTATGCTTCGAATTGTGGCGTCGATGACCAAAAGAATGCGGTCTGCCCGAGGTATTAGATTTCAAGGACCTGGACGAGCTTGGTCTACTAAGTTGTGGGAGATCAATTTCCAGCACAGAAGAACTGCGGTTCGAGGAATCGCCAATGCGCCTGGTAGCAGGAATAGCCATCATAGGCGCAGTCAATGACCTCTTATCATCTTCAAGGTCATCGGCTCTCTCAGAGATACTAGCATCATCAGGATCATCTCTTGAGAAAGGCGAAGATCCTCGCTTAGGTTGAGTACCGCGAAATATTGCTGGGAGAAATGCATCATCGGCCGAGTCGTCAGATGCAGCGCCGTCTTGCCTCTGGAGAATTATATTTAGACATGGCTTACATACACGGAGTGTCCCCTGAACACCAAACCGTTGGCCAGATATAATAGACGTGCATCCGCTGTCAAAAATGCAGCCGCACGTTCGACAATGGTGCTTTCGACGGAAAGCAGTAAATGGAGCACCGCATAAAAAACATTCCTTGCAAGTTTCGTCGGCCATCCAGAAGTCTTTACTCAAGACTTGTTTGCGCATAGAAGCTAATTTTGCGTTGACAATTTCGGGGGCACCCTCATCAGTTGTCGTGCCTGGAATTCTATATTCGCCAGATCGTACCCGTTGAGCGGCGGGACTGTGTGAAAATGACCCATGATGAATATTATTATGAGCAGATGTATTAATTGGGCTATGTTCTGTGGTGCCCCTGGATAACGAAGAAGACCTGGAAAGATCGCCAGAATTTCGAGAATAACTGATTCGATCAATGAGAGCAGGCCTCCTAACGGCGTCCTTAGCAGAGAGCTTCGTAGACTGAGGTTGTATGTAAGAGTCTGAGGAAGTCGAGTTAGGGGCTGTAGAAATAGGTGGCACAACGCTAGATCTCTTTATGGGACTAGTAGGAGAATCGGCATGACTATCTATAATAAACCCATCCTCCCGCTTCGAATGAGTGGGGATTGCAATCTTATCAAGGTTAGAAGGACGCCTATTTCCCGTCGTATCATAAACTGGCGATAGCTCAGAGGCCTGAATAGGCTGTTCCTCGTTAGGCTTGCTAATACTGCTTCTCCCACTTCCTTTACTTGTACCGTCTTCATTCTTGGCTGACGTATTACGGGAAGCCTCTTTGAAAGCATTAACATGTACGGGCGCTACGGCGGCAGTTGCCTTTGTCATGTTGGGAATGCTTTGCCGACTTGACGAGGCGGATTTAGAAGTCGAAACCCCGGTCAAATTAGTAACCGACAAAGCTATCGTCGATTGGGGTTGCTGGGATTGACCTTCGCTAGCCTGAGCTGAGCTTGAAGAAGCTGTTGTTGAATTCATAGCATCGGATCGAGATGAGCTGAAAGTTAAACTTGTAGTGCCCGTATCAGCTCTAGGCAAAGAGGTTGAAGGCTTAGTTCCTGTGGCAGTAGTGCTAGAACTCTTTTTCGATGCAGTATCTCCATCGACCGATTCGGAGTTGTCTTTGCTGCCTGCAGTTGCTACTGGTTTGTCCTTCCCACTCACTCCAACAACCTCTTTGAACCGCGAATAGAGTCCACTCAAGCCATGTTGTACGAGATCGCTCCCAATTCCCTTGGTTTCTACAGTAGCTATAGATTCTGGCGGCGACGCAAAGTCGTTAAAGGTAGTTAGGACATCTCGTGCTTTAGAAGAGGTATGTATCTTGTCAAGAGCCTGGGCGAGTTGGTCTTTGTCGATCTGGTGAAGGGCAATAGATGCCGAGGCAATAGATGCTGAGGCAATCGATTCCTCGCGAGACTTGGGAGCAGATGAAGCTACCGTTAAGGGAGAGTGTGGAGGTTGGGGATGCTTCTTATCAGACATGGTGACGATGGATTTGAGACATGAGCCATGTAGTCAGACTTGTCAAGGTGCTAAGGTCTAGGTAGGTAAACACCAATTAGTACCAAAGAAAGAAGTTTATATAGTTGATACAGTTGCTTTTACCTTACCCCGATAGCTCTTAGACCTTCTATCATATATGCGCTTTGAGTTGCGACTCCTCGGGTGTGAAAACAGAAGCTCCTCCGCAAGCCGATGCCCGAATGGCTATAGAGTAGCGCCTACATGTAGCGATCTGAGAATCATAAGGAATTGAAGAGAGATTATTAGTGAATATTATACGAAGTACAATTTAAATATTAATAAGTGATTTGCTAGCAAAACATGGCGACAGCTGCCATGAAAGAAAAGGCAAAAGCTACTTCTACGTTTTTATGACGAAGTAAGATAAGAAAGAATGATGCAAGAGGCAGGAATGGGAAGGTTTATCCAGCTAAGGTCCCACTCTTTAGCATTTGAAGGAGAGGCAAGCCCCCCAAAGGTCCCCCACAAGTTGCCTTGTCTGCTTGTGTAAGTTCAAATAGATCAACTGTAGCTGCCCACTACCATTAAAGTCAATTGATGATACAACTCCCTGGTATTGTGCAACCCCAAAGCTGACAGGTTGACAGGCTGACTGGCTGACTGGACTGAATTTATGACCCCGCAACGCCAGCTGACTCATAATCACGTGAGTTCGCTCGTCCTTTCATCTAGGTATTGTACCATGTAGCTCTACCCCCCCCCCCCGCTATCCAATTCCTTTTACGCGTCAAACGCGTTAATTGCTCCTTTTTTCCAAACTCTCACCAATCAAGACTCTACAATAACCAGTACTAACCGAACAAAAGAGATGCAAGGATTTTCAGTCGATTAAAATGCAACCTTACATCACCAATAGTATATGTCCTACCGAGGTTGCTAGCTAAAGATGGCAAGCCAGTTAAACCACCTAGACGGACCAACATTTCTACCAGGTTTACTTGGGGAAACGAAGATTCATCGGTCTCTTGTAAGGATTGGAAGCGATCAACAGAAGCTTTTGGACCTTCCCAGTTCCTGGGCACAGTTTCTCAGCAATCTCTCCAAGCCTTTTTTCAATGTCCCTCCTGAAGTACTACGAGATTTGAAGGAATGCTATTCCCGTCAACTGCAGCCAGCACAATCAGGTGAAACTGTTTTGCCAGCCGATGTGCAGACCAATACCAATGATCAAGATGAGCGAAATTCCCAGATTCATCCTGATCCTGATGCCGAGAGTGACAGCGAAGAGAGCCAGGCCACATCCTGGTATTCGAGCCCTTATCATCACAAAACAATACCCCCCAAGACGAGCGATGAATCTCCTCAGCAACCATTTATGACACAAGTACCATCCGTCTCCCCTCCTCGGCCTACGGAGTCTACTCCATCTGAACGGCAGCCTCTTCCACCCTTCCCACCAAGTAGCCAAGACCAAGAAGATCCTCTCGAGGTTGAAGTCCCAACCGGCATTAACGACAAGATTCTTCCTCTGGGAAAACTTACCGCTCACGTCTGTGCAACACCCCCTTCCGCCCAAGTGGTACCGTGTACATATGAGCTGTCGGAGCAATCCTCCACAAAGCCAAAGTCAAAGCCGAAGCAACGGGTGTATAAAGAAGTTCCTGAATTCTATCGCCCGCCAAAGCCTCGTCCTACATCGGCCCATCCTATTCTAGATGCGGCAAAGCCACAGGTTAATGTCGCATCATTTCCTAAAGCACAGAGTTCCGGATCAATAGGTGATCCATCTTCTTCCGTCATACCATCAACCGTCCCCGGTGAAGTTCCACGGAAAAACCCGCCTGCCTGGGAGGTTAACCGACCCAATTCTCCACTGGAAGTCCCACATACCGGACGCGATAGTCCTGAAGCTCCAGATTCTCCGCAAACTCAACCGCCTTCGCCCGAGTACAGCCCTCCAACACCGCAACTCAGATCTTCACCACCCATTTTGCCTGTACTCCCAATCGCATCGCCAACCGTTACGGAAGCGCCTTCAGTATCGCAAACGCCTTTTCTCCGGTACACTATAGCGTATCCAAACTATAATGGAAGCATCAATGACTTTGTGACTGCTTGTATGTACATTCAACTCCGACGACGAAGGATACGAACGTCTCTGTATGACGACTTCATTCGAGCGTGGCATGAAGGCTATCTACCGTATGTTAGAGAATGCGACGATTCTGAGCCTCCTATGAAGGCCCTAAATGCCATTGACTGGTATAACCAGATTGACGATGATCCCGTATTTACATCACGAATTATCACACGACAAAATCTTGAATCAACTCTCAACTTTTATCCGGACGAGTTTCATACTGCTCGGGAGCTTCTAGCCTTGTCGGCAAAACAATCCCGAGAGCCAACAGGTACTCCAGACGGTACTATTCTAGCGAAAGGTCATGCCTCTCCGCGGGACCTTGTTGTCGCAGAGGAGGCGGTGCTTAGCAAGCCAGTCCAAGATCCACCACCAGCGAAGAGAGCCGAAAGTACATCTAACGATATTACCTTAGCGGCCGCATCTACCAGCCCTAAGCCAACTCATAGGAAAATCATCCCGGTAAACCAATCGATGCAGGAGATCGGACCAAGACCAATTAAGGCGAAAGGCCTCACGCGGTCCTTTTCTGAAGCGTCCCGTCATAAGAGGAAATCCAGCGAGGAGCTCAACTTCTCCCCACCTAAAAGACCATCAGTCAACTCCCTAGCTAGACTCGACTCCTGGAGCAATCCCGTCGTAAAGACGGACGTCCCTAAGAGTACAGTTCAAGGTTCTCCTGCACCTAGCTCTACTATGGAAAGGAAGCGGAAGTATGCCGACGACCCGCAGAAGAGAAGCAGGTCATTTGCGAAGTTCTTAAAGAAGCGACAAAAATGGGAGAAGGATAGTATTGCGAGCTCGGCGCCTGTAAGTAATACCCCGACATCTGCCCAGAAAGAGTAGCGATTAGTGCACAAGAGCGGTACAATAATTATGACCCGGAGTAAGGCGACATGGGCAATGATTTTTGAACGAATGGTGTTTCAGGGGTATTTGTACATATGTCGCAAGCTTGAGATACCCCCCCATTTGTCACTATTTAGGTCTTTTGGAAGACATGTGTTAGATAGAGGTACCTAACCTATTTTTAAAAGGGGGTTTTATGTGAAGCAATCAGAGTGTAGTACTACTTACTACCTTGCTATAATATTACTACTACCAACTACAAGTTGAGCGATAGTTGACTCCAAATACTGACTACGAAATATAGTAAGGTGTATTTGCCATAAGATAAGCTAGAAAGCCAGGTATCATGGAATAGTTGAATCGTTCAATGTGTACTGACATGTGAATATTAAAATTGGAGCTTCACAGTGTATTACTTTAGCTATGAGTACTGGTTTCAATGAAGTGCTATCATTAGATATGATCATATAACTATTATAGACAAAAGACTCATAATAGACAATCACGTTTTGCAAAGCTCCACGTACTCTGATCCATGCATTAAATAGGGAAGCCCTCTTGTATATGTACAATTAGTATCGTGCCCACAAACGCCCATCTCCACGCCACCAGTTCCAGCTTTAGCTAGTCTTAGTAGTAGTACTAGGTAGTCGTGCTTTGCTGCTGCCTTTCCTGCCACCTCTGCTCCTCTTCAGGGGTCATGGTGCGTAGTTGTAAGGCGTGAATGCCTCCTTCCCGCTCCATCTCGTCGTTCAGCAGCTGGTAGACGATGCGATGCCGGGCCGGCTGCATCTTCGACTTGAAAGCGTCCGAGGTGATGACCAGTCTGAAATGGGTCTCCTTGGAGGTGTTACCCACCATAGCCTTGTGGTGAGCGTGTTTGGCGGAATCGTTAAAGATCTCCAGTCTGGTAGGTTTGAGGGCGTCGGTGATCTGAGTGTGCGAAGGGGGCGGATTAGTACGACCGCTTACTATATTATACTCATTCGGGGCCCCGAAGCTGAGTGTGCATTTACCTTGGCCCGGATGGTATCCTCCACCGGCGTATTCGACGCCCCGGATGATGCCATACTGGAAAGCTGTCGGGTTACCCTGCCGGTCCAGGCTCGCACGTGTCGCTGCAACATGTATATGTAAGATGTAAGATGTAGGGTTTTGAGATGTAAGGTTACCCTTTCTTATCCTCTGGCCACCCTTTGAGACCCTTTGAAGCCCAAGGATCGAACTTTTTAAATTCCCGATCAGATATGGCGTTGACTAAAATGGATTAGTAGGGTATCAACGAAGGTGGTGAAGGTGGTGAAGTAACGAATAACGAATGATAAAAAAATATACAAGAGATAGAGGTTATCTGCATTAAGCAGGTACCAAGGTACGTACCAGTTTAATTCATCGACCTCGGGAGGTTGCCATGTAGGTAAGTACAAGTATGTACCTAAGCATCCAAACTTAAATGGCGGGGTACAACTGGGATATCTGAGGCCGGCCGATGCGGGACCTGGGAAGAGCTAAGAGTCCGCTGGAATTAATTGGCCAATCAAAATTGTTTACGGCAAAAAAAGCGATCCCGAGTCTCTTAACAAACAAAACAATTTCCATGTTCCACTTTTCTGTAAGCTTTTATTCTTGATCTTAGGTACCTCATAGTAAACAGTACTGGCTTGCTTGATTTTATCACTGAGGATCTCGGACATATTCATGTCTTTCTTTTCCGAAGAAGTCTGGAAGTGTTTACCTATACTATAGTATACTATAGATACTATAGTTATAACACTGATACGCAGTTAATCTGGACGGGTACAACTCAATTACACCCAATTTACACCAAATTTACACGCCACCATCTGACGACTTCAAGTACCTATCACGGATTTGACTGAGCCGACTTACAGACATCTATTCACCCCATTTACCCTCCCTCCCCCTGTTTGCGATTTCTTGGTATTTCAAATACCCGTATACATTGCAGTCGTTACTCATATTCCCCCGATCCATCCTCCGGCTCATCCTCCTGCCTATTCAGAGGGATTTGCATGGGGGTGGTATTATGTCCGAGAAGAAAGGAAGTGAGGAAGAGAGACAGTTGTGGAAGAAGTACTAAGGTTATTCCTTATAGACTCTCCTTCCCTTATAACACCCCGTGATGCGATTGAGTAGTACTGGGCTTCGTCTGATTGTTAATGCTCCGTCGTCGTCTCACTTGTTTAAGTCTATTTCAGCCAAGCATTCTTTGAGCCCTTGTTTTATTGCATCCGGTTCTACAGCTATATATACCCCCAGCTTCGTCCCCCGTCCATCACGTTCCTCGTGTCCCTTGTCAAATTGCTCATCTCCCCTCTTCGGCAGATATACCACGCATGTCAGGATGGCTTCCACTCTAACCCTCCCTAAGCTACCTATCTTCGAAGCCATCGCCAGCCATAACCCGCAGTCGACAGCTGTAGTTCACTGCTTATCTCGACGGACGTTCAAATATGGTGAAATACTTCCAGATGTGAGTCGCGTGCGCGACCGGATACTCGATGCTGCTGGCAAGTCGGACATCCGGGGCGAGCGGGTTGCTTTTCTCATAGAAAACAGCTACGATTATGTTGGTATGCATCATTTTACATTTTAGCCGCTGTACTCACCCGGACTTTACATAAGATCGGTTACTGACTCGCATCATCTAGTCACATACCTTGCTATCCTAGCTGCGCGGGCCATTGCTTTACCACTATCCCCACCATTTCCGGCTCCCGAGCTTCAATATATCCTATCTCAGTCGCAGGCAGTCCTGTTGCTACACTCCCCGAAATATGCCGCAAAGGTCGACGAAGTTCTCACCACGCCAAGCAAGGAACTCGATGTCGCACCGTCACCGATTCCTGTCGAGCTGCCAAAGCACTTCGGCGCAATCTCAGAAACGTTTGAGTCGGTCGAACTTACGGGCGATGGCGATACGGAGGGTGCTGGAATGATGCTCTACACGTCTGGTACAACTAATCGACCGAAGGGAGTGCTGCTACCAGAGACCGCGCTTACAGCTCAGGCTCGTGCCCTGATTGAGGCCTGGAAATACTCGCCGTCGGATCGACTGCTCCACGTGCTTCCTCTCCACCACATCCACGGCACCGTCAATGCCTTACTCACACCACTCTTCGCCGGCAGCAGTATTGAGTTCCTGTTCCCTTTCAACGCCGACACAGTTTGGAGGCGCTTTGCAACGCCATTTGTAGATTCGCCACAAGTTGCTGCGGCTATCGCAAAGCCGAACGGTGTGACTCAACCGGTAAAGGAAGTCGTGAAGGAAGTTGTGAAGGAAAATGTTATCACGAATAGCGCCCCCCAGCTTGTCAAGGCACACAGCTTTACTAAACCTAGCAGCCTTCCAAATGGCATTCTTCAACCCGTCAAGACGAACGGCTTCCATCCAACAGTTGGTGAGGCGAATGGAAGCATCACGCCCATTACGGAAACAAATGGCACTAGCACTCCAGCCCTAGAATTGAACGGATTTGGCCATCCCATCTCTTCGGAAATCAGCCGCTTAGCGGCAGTCATTAACCATCTCGCTGCTGAGGTTAGCAACCTTGCCGCGAAGATCAGCCAGCCTAACCAACCAGCCGCATTGACGAACGGCCTGAACCACGTCATCGCGCAACAAACCAATGGCGTTGCTCCCTCGCCAGCCCTATCTGCTAATGGCCTTGACACACCCGTCACGTCAATCAGCGGCCGTAATACACCCGTTGTAGAAGCCGCCAGCATTGTCAAGCAACCTGAGCCGCAGAAACCTGTCGCCCCTGCAGCCCCCGCTGCTGCCACTGAGCCGGTTAGCGAAGAGAAGTACAAGAATATGTCTCGTGTCAAGGTCACTTTCTTCACCGTTGTGCCTACGGTTTACACTCGTCTGCTCTCAACACACAAGACCTTACCTCCCGCCGTCGCCGAAGCCGGGCGTATCGCCATCAGCCCAGAGCATATGCGCGTATCGATTTCTGGTTCGGCAGCCCTCCCAACACCCGTCAAGAGTGCCTGGAAAGACCTAAGTCGCGGAAACGTGCTACTCGAACGATACGGTATGACAGAGGTGGGCATGGCGTTATCCTGTGGCCTTGATTACGGCGACCGCGTTGATGGCAGTGTTGGGTGGCCTCTCCCCGGTGTGGAAGCTCGTCTTGTGGATAATGAAACAGGCACCATCATCGAGGACCTCGACCCCTCCGAGCCTATCCCTGAAAAGGAGCGCTCTGGCGAGATTCAGCTCCGCGGCGCCAACGTGTTCCGGGAGTACTGGGCCAACCCGACCGCCACAGCCAAGGAATTCGTTCCTTCTGACGACGGTAAGGGCCCGTGGTTCAAGACCGGTGATGTAGCAGTTCGACGACCCGTTCCTGAGGCCGGCCACGGCACAAGTGGCGAATGGGCCCGAGGACCCATGTACTTCATCCTCGGCCGACAGAGCGCCGACATCATCAAATCCGGAGGCGAGAAAGTATCCGCACTCGAAGTCGAGCGTGAACTCCTTTCACTACCCGAGATTGCCGAGGCAGCGGTGGTTGCCGTGCCCTCGGGAAAGTGGGGACAGAAAGTCGGCGCCGTCATCATCCACTCCCCCGAATATCTGCGCGAACGGCCCGCCTGGCGGCCCCTCGACATGCGACGCGCGCTGAAGGGACGGCTGGCGAATTACAAGATCCCGCAGGTCCTCAGGGTCGTCGAGCACATCCCCCGAAACGCCATGGGCAAGATTAATAAGAAGGACTTGCTCCGGAAGGTGTTCTTGGATGATTTCAGTGGGGATGAGATGTAAGGACGTAAGAAACATCGCTGTAAAATGGACGATAGGATGGATACAGGTACCTAAGGAGGTAGGTAGTTAGGGTTGACATCAAGTTTTGGTTTAATAGCGTGGTACACGTTGGTTATCCAGTATCAGTACATACCTAATCCGAAAAGATCGGATCCGGAGAAAAGTGCCTAGGGAACAGGGTGGGTTCGTAGGTACCTAATCATCTCGATTGTCAAAAGGGACGCGTCATATGAATTCAACCCGATCCAATTCAACATGCGCGGAAGAGATAAGCCAGCCAGCTAGGCAGCGAACGATGAACGAGAAATCGGAATTGGACGAAGAGAAATACGAAATGGGCTGCGGCATTGCTGCATGTGTGATTGATTGGATGGATGGGTGTTGGGTTTGTCGAGTTGTGCGGGAATTTCATGTTTATATCTTGTGTCCTCTCCGACGACCTTTTTGTATATAGGGAACTCCTTCCTTTTTTCCCCCTAACTTGGTCGTTTTCGAGACGACTTGTCTCTATTATTAGTAGAGGTAGAATCAACACGGCTCGCAGGCCACTTTTGGACAGACAATGTCAGCTTTTTAACATCAGTAAATCGGTTGCTCCGATCGAAACCACATGCCTTGATATAAAATATTAAAAAAAAAAAAAAAAAGGGGGGGGGAGCTGCTGTTTTTTAGTTTATTGCTATGATTGTATTGCTATGATTGTATTGCTATGATATTGCATTCTATCTGCGGGAAAGGAAATGCCAACGGCGCTACGGGGATAGACCGCAATAGGCTATGATAGACCATGATCAGCCCCCTACTCAATTCTATTATTGTTTACCACCACCTGACATGCCAATTAAGTGAAGGGTATACCGCATGTTACCGATGACGATAAACACCTAGTGTCGGTATGTTATACCTATCCCCTTTGATTGATTCACTAACCGTTGCTTATCCCATACCGGCACCCGGTAACAGGCGATCAGCGGACAGTGCCGAACCCCCTTCCTCGAGGACTACTTTCGCTAAGGTATTATTGATTCCAAACTCTGAATATCTAGATCATCTCAACTGTATCCACTACCTCTATCCGAATGTTTGCTGAGATGAAATGAATGACAGGGGGTAAGTCTAGACTGTGAATTTGGCCTTGGCTCGGGTACTACCGCTGTGAGCGGAGTCGGTGTGACCCGAGAATTCGACAACCTCGTTAGGGGGGAGCTTCAAGATCTCCTTGAACTGCTTGCCGATAGCGAGCAGAATCTTCTGGCCCTTCTCGACGGATCGACCCTTGCCACCCGAGACGTCGCCGTCGCCACGGCCGGGGATGCTCTTCCCTATGGTCCTAGTCCAGACACCGATACGATAGAAAGCCTTGCGGACGTTGACGACGACACCCATGACCTCGCCGTCGTCCTCTTCCTCGAGGGTCTCGCCGATCGCGGCCAGCATGGTGTGCAGCCATAGGTCGTTGATGTCGACGTTGCGCTTGTCCTTGAATTGGTACGACCACTTGCCGCCGTGCTTGTTCTGGGGGTCTTCCCACTCCGGGCGGACGCCCTCTTTGAATAGGTGGTAGTCGGATTTTAAGGCCAATTCGGACACTGGCGCAATGTTATTCTGCGGCACAGGTTAGGCTATGCACACACACACTAGATAAGGCCGCGAGAAAGGATTAAAAATCTTACATAAATGCCCCAGAACTCCTCAACCGAGTTGAATGTGATGACCTCTTTGAGTAAATCGTTCCAGTTGTCTCCCTATATGAGAATCAGTACCGGGGCTTAAGATGTGTATTCGTATAGAGAGTTAAGGGTTAAGGTATGAGCATACCTTGCCGCTAGAGGGCTTGGTGAACCACAACGTCCATTTGTTCTGAAGGGGGTGCTTAACGTTGAAGTTGTCCTTGTCGTGGAAGACAGTAATCAACTTGTCGCTGTCATGTTCTTCGGCCTTGGGGCTCTGGCCTTCGGGGGAGATGGGAATGGTGGTGAGATCGACTTGTTCCGACATGTTGCTTGAATGGCGTGATTTGTACTTGGGAGGGGGTAGTAAACTGGACGCAGAGGGAAAGGTGAAATTTTGGAGTTGAAATACGTTAGGTAAGGTTGACGGATTTGCGATTTCGAAATATGCGGGTCGATATTCCAGGTGGTAGAAAATTAAAGTTGGGTACGTAATCCGAGGAAGGAATAATAAATAATATCAAGCCTTACGTCAGGTACCTAACGTTAGGCGACTTTGTATTTTTTTTGCGCAGTTTCCTTGTTTCGCACGTAGTATAGCAGCAAGGAAGGCGTAAGCTATGAGTTTTTTGAGAATATTGCGAGTTAGGCGAACGGAGAGTTGGAGGGGCAGTCGCAGCGGATCGCTAAGTTGCAGAAGTACCTAATGATAGATAATCGTGATGGACCAACTATCGCAGTTGCTTGTAAATGTATGTGTCTGTCTTCGGTAAGAAATTTAATGGTGACTTTGCGCCAGGCAAGTCGGAATTTTGGGGATTGGCGTCTTATTTCAACGGAAAGCCTATTTTTTTTTTGAGTGATGTTATTTCAATAGTAGTGGTACTTCAATAGTAGTCCAATTCTAGCACCGCCTTTCTCACCGCCTGCCCAAAGGGTTTATTACTTAGAAATTCCCTATTCGCACTCATGTACAACACGGCAACCATTATATCGTATTGAATCTAACGATGTAATATACGGAAATTACATAGTTGGTTCTACTTTGATTAGGGCTTTTTAATGATATAAGCTTCTATTAAATATATGTAGTATTTTAAAAGCTATTAATGGTTGATGTGTACTTAGTATGTAATTGAATGAGGCTCTGCGGGAGGCGCTTTAGCGATAGCGCGCCTATTGAATATATCTTCGAATAGCTTTTGAAATACTTCATGCATTTAATAGAAGCTTATATCATTAAAAAGCCCTAATCAAAGTAGAACCAACTATGTAATTTCCGTATATTACATCGTTAGATTCAATACGATATAATGCTTGATGTAGTGATGTAATTGAATTAATTGAAAATAGGTAGTAGAATAGATAAAGGGGAATCTCTATTTTCTGCCGCTTTTTTCAAAAAGTGGGGCGGAAATTGACTACTATTGAAGTACCACTACTATTGAAATAACATCACTCTTTTTTTTGCAGGAGCATTTGTGATGAAGCGAAAGTTTAGGCATTGCGTCGCAGTGGTGGGGCTTTTCGGAACCTTCCACTTTTGAAATTCGCTGCTCCGGTTTCAGCATGGTGTGCATAACATAGTACCTAGGTACATACCTACCTTCATAGGCACATTAAAGTTCGAGAGTTAATCGGAAGTCGCGATGGGGCTGGCTAGGGTGTGTCTATAAAGTAACACCGCCACAATATATAGTTGGAGTACGTACGCCTACTCAGCCTCAAGTTAAGGGATCGACATTCCATTAGGTACTTCCTACATATCGTGACTCATTCTATGTCTACTCATCCTCTCATCCCACACCCATGAACCTGCTCTGATTTAGAGACATATAAACAAACCATTCCGTCCTACTCGAGAGAACCAAAATCATGTCTCCAACTTACACTTTCAACGTCTCGTCTCAATACATGCCTCGAATTAAAGTATCTTGTTGCTATCAATCATTCACGTGAACTCACTCACCAACACCGTAGATAATTATGAAATTCTATCACACCATTCACCATGGCGTCTCAGATATTTAATGGCGGGGAGCCTCTCCTTAGGCCCCAAGGCCCCGACGGTCCTCCGGTGATAGCGAGGCGCATTGATTTCTCTCAGTCACCACTTGCAGACCACTATAGTTCTTACTTTGCTATGGTCATTGACAATCTTCTCACGCCAGACGAATGTGCCGCCTTGCTCGCATCAGCAGGTTCCGACTGGGAGACCTTAAACATAGGCGATTCCTGGCGCGAGTGTAAGCGAATTCGGCCCGTCTCTCCAGCATGGGCAAATGCTCTGTCCAAGAGGCTTGCTTCGTACCTACCGGAGGAAGTGAAGTCGCTCAGGAAGGGCGATGTGTTATCTGAAAGCATAGCGGGACAAAACTTAAAGGCCAACCAGGGTGCCAAGAAGACAGTGTGGAAACTGAAGGGAGCCAACGAGAGACTTACCTTTCTCCATTACCAGCCTGGCGATCACTTCCAGCCGCATTGCGATTCCTTATATTCGCCTAAGACTGGGGGAAAGAGCTTCTTGACCTGTCAGATTTACCTGAGCGATATGCCTGAAGAGGATCAAGCTGGCGACGCTTCTGGAGGTGAAACACGATTTTGGCCGAGCCGTGAAGGCAAGAGAAAGAAAAACAGGTCCAAAGATCAGGATGGCGAAACAGAACAGGAAGAAAAGGAAGACTGTTTTCTTGACGTCAAGCCCAAGATGGGAAGGGCGTTGGTCTTCCAACAGCGGATGTTATGGCATTCTGGACAAGAGGTTAAGCGCGGCGAGAAGTTCACCGTTCGGTTGGACTTAATGTACGAGCACCACTTCGAAAAACCGACCGATGTGTCCTCCGGGGTTTAACTCCGTCTCCAAACTCCCAGCCTTTCACTAGTTTAAAGAAAAATAGCTCCCTACGCCAAATTGGACTCCTGACATTGACGTAGACATAAATCTGTTTTGAACACTGTAAAATCGAGATTGGTTTCAATGAACACATAGAAAGGGGCGATTTGATAACCCTTTATAAACTTAATGTAGGTATCTAGAGGTAGGTAACCGAATCAATTATATCAGCAATCATAGCTGATACTTTAATCGCCTATAATTGTCGAAGTAATAGTAGCCGTCGTTATAACAGTCGTAGTACATTATCTTGAGTAACCTCAGACTAAGATCTCGGCACGCCTGTATAGACATATCTTAATGAGCCTTAAGGTTCCGCCTCGTCACACCGATACAGTTGTATTAGATCAAGTTTAAGGGAAACCGACCCTCCGCAGTGACAGTTGATCCGGTATCTTTTAAAAACGCATTAGCTGCAATAGCTTCGTCGTAACTCACGTGGGTTTAACGAACTGATACCTGAGCGACATTGTCTCCATTATCCCATTTAAGGATTAACTTTGCTTGTAACTCTGGATAAATGGGACTAAATAGTAACGCTGCGTAACGTTTCCCTATTTTGCAGCTATATATATTTGTCAGGTATGCCTAGTGATGAATGTCATATACAGAGTGAGTGTCAGGGCAGAGTATGCAGGTCCACCTATTGTAGAGATCTAGTAGAGCCTCATACTAGCCAGCGTATACCCCTGCTATACCCACATATTCTCATATCCTTGATATTGCCTAAGAGACGGGGACCTTATGTTAGTTAGTGGCTTGGTGACTTATCCAGGCGCATGTGCTAATAGTCTATGCTTTACATCAAAGACCCAATCGCATGTATATAAAAGATTCTTAGAGATACATGTTTTTGCAGGCAACTGAGACCCAAGTTCTCTTTGCATGCAAAGCCAAGGGTTTGCTATAGGTAATGCTGGGTTAAGAGGTAGGTATCTATCTAATCAACTCTACGTTAGAAGAAAAGCCATTTTGGTGTATGCAACAACAGACCTAGCGGGGATGTAATCCGTGACCTAGGATTTTGAGATATTTCCTTTAATTAATAATACTCTTATTGACGCCAAAATCTGTTGCTAGTGACTTTGTTGGAAGTATTTGTCGTAACTAGCGTTTGGTAATTGGATGAAACATTGAGAACAAAGGTCACATCTAATGTGTATAGCAGCAGAACTAGGTATGCATTTTGATAGGAGTTAGTTTAGATTGGAGTTGCTTGCCAAACAAACGAAGTTGTGTCGTAGTAGTTGGTTTTACCCTGTGAGAACACGGCAACAAGCTTGGCTCCACTTTTCTCTTGACGACAACTCAATATCGCTTCAGCAACAACACCAACACTCTTGACTTTAAGTACATAAAATACATATTTAAGGTAGCAACACGGATAGAAAGTGATTGTTAATATCAAGAATGCGCCGTGGAAATTTTATTGGCCTACGGTTGGATATCTTTTGCAAACCGTAGTGATTAGTTGAGAGTGAATCATCTAGTTTCTACTTCAATTGAATTGACAACCCCACAAGCATAGTAGAAACTATTTTTATTCCAAAACCACATGTCCTAAGCTTGTCCGTAAAGATCTTCATGTATAACATAAACTCACGTATGTTTGGCGGTATCATTCTAACTGTGGGGTTAAGTTCTAATGTTGTCTGACGGAGGAGTATTATAGATACCAACACCGAACAGTGTTAGATAGATTAGTAGGCAGCACGACCCTACAAAAGACGCTGTTCCTTACTGTTACGCGTTGAAAGATTTTCGTAAATTTTCCTGGTCGGAAGGTGCGCTGGTTAAATAATATTGAGAAGGCGCTAGTTATGGCCGGGCTAGTTATAGATTTTAAAGGGGGGTTCGTTTAGACCATCGACGACGACGTCAACGAAAATCCAGCCAAATTCACTTATAAATATAATTCACAACGTAAAAGCAGAACCCTTCGTTATCATTGCGAAAAGTTAGGGAGTCACTGTTTGTTATTTTTGTTTTCAACAGTTCTTACCAACCAGAGAGGTTCTGAATCATACAGTGGGCAAAGTCAAGGAACCTAGTGTTTGACGTACATCCATCATGAATAACGTATCTTATGACTACGTTGCTATAGTAGCTGCCCATGTGCGAAAGAATTTTTCATGCGCACCTGCCTAAGTATGTGTTTAACTGCTACGGTAGGAAAATCTTTTTCAACGCGGACCTAGAGTTTTGTAAATAAGTGAAGCTATAAATATGCCCCCCCCCCATCCACTTGTTCATCTCTCTATTCTTCTATTCTACATAACGAACATCTCAGACTCGTCTCACAGCCGCTGCTTCTTCTTCAACATTACTGTCGCTGCTGCTTCTTCCATTGCTTCCCATCACGATGTCTGAGAACAACGTACGCCCCGGCCTGGCCCGCCTACCTACCGAATTGGTCATTGAGATATTCTCTGACCTCCCCGACATAGAGTCAATGCAGAACTTTGCGTTGGCTTCTAAAAATTATCAAGATATCCTTACGGCAAATCAATGCGTCATAGCCCGTCGCTTCGCAACCAGAACCACCAAGGACACCGACGCTGGCGTCGTGAGGCTAGCATTCCTAACATGCAAAGCCCGCGACTTTCGGTACTTTTACAACGGCTATGGCGATGAAGAGGGGCCATACGATGGCGGCTTGGATTTCCTCGAGAAGTACGGCCAACGTGGGGACTGGCCTAGCCGTTACTACCAGGTCCACGCCCTCACTTTATTGCCCAGACTCAGCAATGAAGTCGAGATCGTCTTGGGTTGGGTTATCGAGTTCATGGCCCCCTTGCCGCCCGGATTGGAGGATGAAGGCTTCACCTGCACGGAGCTCTCGCGCCAGCGCCGACTATTATACATGATCGACTTCATTTCGACATGTCTGGCCAAGAGCAAAGTGCCTCAAGGGAATAACCCAGCCTCCGCTGTGTTCTTCAACGCGCTTTGGGATTCTTTTTCGCAGGTTGAAGTCTTCTTAATGTATGAGCTTTTGAGTAGAGTGGTTCAGTTTCTTGGAACAAGTAAGTTATCTCTATCGTCGCTGTCCGACATCACTAACAGCTTAAAGGACTGGATTTGATCGTGTGGCCTGGAGCCAAAGTTCTCGTGAGGTCAATCTTCGTACTATGGGGCTATAAACAACATCTCGAAGCCTTCATAGTTGCGACACGGGAAGAGCTCTCGACTAGTGAGAATCGAGCTCTTCGGATCCCTCTTACCGACGATCCTGAGGCCTTCGTCAAGGATAAATTGCCCGCAGACCCCGAAGAGGAAGGACATTTAATGGGCTTCTATTACTATAGCCCATTACAGTACGACAGTCTCACGAAGGGATACTTACATCTACGTGGACTGCATTACTGGTTCTTCCTCATAGGGGACAAGGACAGATGCGAATCGGTCCTAAAACGGGGACCGGTTTGGACATGGGAGACTGGCACGAACGCGCTGCAGGCGTTACTCGGCGACCCCGTGGTCGTCTGGCAACAAGACCCAGCTCTCTTTAACTGTCCAGGCAAAATAGGGACGAAGGTGCCATACTATGAGTTATGCAATGAGAGGTCATAACTCATAGATGGAAAGGATGGTAGGAGGATGGACTTAGCGAGATCATTGGCTTCGGAGTTTACATTGGTGCTTTAAAAAATACCACGTATTGGATACATTTGCGGAAATAGCGGGCAGCGAGGAGTTTGGCTTTCAGGAAATTGGTAGCATTAGAGGTCAATCTGCATAGATGGTTGGGGCTGGTTATGATACCCGGAGCATGGCGAATATACAACTTTTCTGGCTTCTTATTTTCTTTCTTATTACCCTGTTGGTGTTGCGCAAGAAGTAGACTCATTTGGATATTGTAACTCGTAACCCCGCCCCTTAAACCCGAATAGGGGTAATCAGGTACCTACTACTATAGCTCGCCATCTTTAACTAATCGACGAATAGTATCAATACTACCGTGAACAGCCACTTTAGCTGTCTTCAATTCAGATATTTTGTTAGCAATAGAAAATAAAAGCAATCGCCTAGTAGAAGCTCACCTTCCAGCTTCTCTCCTCCAACTTTTTAGCCTCCTCACTCCCTTTCTCGACACCAGGATATCTCCACTCGAATGCGTACGTCATAAACAACTCGCCATCGGGCCCTTCGCTGACGATGTTCGAGATATTGCTTCCGTCCGGTTGTTCGAAGTCGACACGGCATGGCGGATAGTGTACACACGTCTCCTTGACCAGGCCGCCCCCGCTAGCACTATTCGGCTCTTTGCCCGCCGCGAACCGGACCTCGCGTATGACAGTTAGGTTTCCTGTCTCTTGCGATTTCTCTTCGGATAGCACGTTGCACTCTTCGATGATGGGCACGAAGTCCTGTGCACGTCGCACTTTGCGCTGTAGACCTGCCCATACCTGGGGAAGCGTAAGGGTGGGTGAGGCGTCGGAAGGGTTGATCGGAGCCGTATAGGATAGGTTGAAGGTAACCATTTTAATTTCTTTGTGATAGTAGTACCGCTAGCAAGTCCGTGTTAACTGGCGAGGGAAGAGCTAGAGGGAATAATAATTAACGGGGATGTTGTTGTTGTTCTTGTTCTTGTCAGACTTGTCAGATTATATCGCTCGGGAGTGACTGTCGGACATTAATACCCCACGAACCTTCCGGACTCTTGGCAATAAGACCGCTGTGATGTCACTCACTACCCAGGTAGTTGGGGAGATTTCCTTTGGAATACGGAATGTTACTTACAATACATTACCAAAAGTCAACAAATTTAACAGACAGTTAGGATTTAAAATAAAATAGTAAAGATACTTAACTACTTTATTCCTTGTCTCTTGGAAAAGTTTTGAAACATATTATGCTCGTGCGGATACTTACAGGTGTATTCAAGGTAAGGGCGAACGTAGAAAGTCTAATGTACTGTTTCATACAAAGTATTAAGAGAAGTACATGAACCCTTTTCTTTTCTTTTTTTTTCTTTTTCTTTTTCTTTTTCTTTTTCTTTTTCTTTTTCTTTTTCTTTTTCTTTTTCTTTTTCTTTTTACACCTATCATAAACGATAATCTCAAAAATCGCTTAGAAACAAACACACAACAACAACAACCCCCCAAAAAGAGAAGTTCAAGAGGAAGAAGACATGGAGAGGGCATATCATGAAGAGTATAGGTAGAGTCTTATAATGGAATGTATATGATTAATAGGTACCAGGCGGACTTGTAACTTTCGTCTGAATGTCCTTTATTATATATTTTCTACCTGGTTGTTTTAAAGTCTTACGTGAGTATTTACTCCTTATTTCTCATAATTTTTGTTAAACAGCATTGAAATTTCATATACCTTACTCTTAATCAATTGTACGATGTCACGAGAATTGACATAATACCGTGACAGTGAAACTTTCCTTCTTGCTTCTATGGCAGTGATAATGCATATTACCTTAGGTAACTAGGTTTATATATCGGTATTATTTAGAGCAGTGTTATTTCAATAGTACTCAATTTTTCAACACCACTTTCCTCACCGCCTGCCCAAAGGGGCTAACTATTAGAGATTCCCTCTTACTGTCAATTAATTCAATTACACCACCATATCAACCCTTATATACTCGTGAATCGAAAATAGGTTACATTTCCAGTTTCGTCTTGATTAGAGCTTTCTAATGATATAAGCCTTGATTAGATGCATGCGGTATTTCAAAAGCTATTCAAGTACAAAGATATAGGTAAATATGTATAAGTGATGGTAGCGCCCCCTTTCCGCAAAACATCTTTTACAATAGCTTTTGAAATGCCACATACATCTAATCGAGGCTTATATTATTAAAAAGCTCTAATTCAATTCAACCCAACGATGTAATTTTCGTATGTTAGATCGTTAGACTTAATACGATATAATGGTTGTTGATGTGGTGGTGTAATTGAAAATAGGGGGGAATCTCTATTTTCTGCCAACTTTTTTCAAAGAGTGGGGTACTATTGAAGTAACACTGCTATCGAAATAACACTGCTCATTATTTAATATCGTACTACTGTTTAGTATCCTACTGCTGCCTAGTATCCTACTGTTACCTAGTAGCTTAAGTAGCTAGGTAAAATAGGAGAAATGATCGACCAATACTAAAAGTGGGCATTAGATTATCGTGTATACCTACCTAATAATACAGAATGTCTAATGGGAGACAGGGATAAGTCAATGCATAGGAAGTTGTAAATCAGGATAAGGTATATGCCAATATATCTGGATTTGTCATATCGGAGACTTAAACGTTGAAAAGTGTCCGATCCTGACGCCGCCCCGCGATTTGTAATCGACCTTTTCATAAGTATAAAGAAGCTGTTGAGAACATTACTACCTGCTCTAGTTGCTGCTTAAATATCCTTCGTTGAGTTCGCTTGCCTCGCTACCACGACAAAATGGCACGCCTCGCTCCCTACCTCGAACAACATAAGACTTATGCGGGCCCTGGAGATGCCCGCCCCACAGCTATCCAGGTTGTAGAGGACCAAGGTCTTGTCTCTAGCTCTGAGTGGGTTGGTAGAGTTGTCCTTGTGACGGGTTGCTCGCCTGGTGGACTTGGACCCGAGACCGCAAAGGCCATTCACTTAACTGGAGCCGACGTCTATATAACTTCTCGAGATGCTGCTAAGGGCAAGCAGATTGCTGAGGAAATTAGGACTGATGGAAAGCCTGGAAAGGTTGAATTCATCGTGATGGACTTGGCTTCGTTGAAAAGTATTCGAGCCGGAGCAGAAGAGTTTCTCCGTAAGAGCGGTAATAAACTCAATATTTTGATCAACAACGCTGGTAGGTACCTATTTATGGGTCGGGGGACAGTTATTGACAATTTTATATCTTATCGAATGAAGCTTACTCCCTTTAGGAATCATGGCCTGTCCTCAGGGCAAGACTGAAGATGGATTCGAGTTGCAATTCGGTACAAATCACCTGGGTGAGTCCAGCACGTGATATTTATAGACATATGGAATCATTAACCCTTAATATAGGCCACTTTTACCTCTTTCATCTGCTCAAGGACGCTCTTCTAGCCTCCGCGACTCCGTCTTTCAACTCCCGCGTCATATCGGTATCATCGGCTGCCCACCGCAACAAAGAAATCAACTTGGACGACCCGAACTTCGAAAAGAGGGAGTATATCCCGCTGAAGGCCTACGGCGAATCGAAACTTGCGAATATATACTTCGCGAATGAACTGGACCGGAAATACAAGTCTCAAAACTTGCGAGCTTTGAGCCTTCACCCGGGGGGTATTCTCACGCCTCTCGCGAGATATCTGCCTACCACCCAGGACATTCTCGACGACAAGGACCTCTACAAGACGCTGAAGGACCCCGCGCAAGGAGCGGCGACTACTGTGTGGGGTGCTGTAGCAAAGGAGTTGGAGGGAAAGGGAGGGCTTTACCTCGATGAAGTTTCTGTCGCCGAGCCTGCTCCGGCAGATGTGCCTTATTACTGGGGTGGTTACGACGAGAATGCTTTCAACCCTGAGGCCGAGAAAAAGCTTTGGGATCTAAGTCTGAAGTTAACAGGCCTGAGCGAGTCGTGATATACTCAGTATCGCAGTTTGAAGCACGGAACATAAGCAATGGGTAAAAGTTTGACCACGCATCGCAGTGTGTTGACACCCTTGGTGTGAGGAGTACCTAGGTGGGTTGCCATCGTTGAGATAGAGGTTAGACCCCCTGCTTACCTCCTCGAAGGTAGGTAACGATATTAGTGTTTATTTAGTAAAATACAAATAGTTGTAATTTACAATTTCACGATAAGTCCAACTTCGGACGCATGAGCGGTCATGATGATATTTTGATACTGAGTTGGTTTACCTATGTTCAGCTAAGGGATGTTTCATAAAAACTAGTTCAGATTATTTGCTAGGGTCATCCTAACTAAGACCGTAAGCTGCCAAGCTGGTGGCGCTCAAATCGCACCGGGGTAATATGGCGGTGATTGGACACTGAGCCTACAGATAAACATCCCAGGAAGTAGACCAACCTTGGCTGAGGCAACCAAGAAGAAGAAGAATGGCCAACAGGTAGCAAGGCAGGCAAGCTGGCAGGCAGGTTGTCAAGCACCATAAAGTAGTACCTTCGAGAAATCTTACACGTACGTCTAAAGGACATAATGCATTGTTGCTACCTACGTCATCGAACTACACAGATATTCTATCATCGTCTCAGGCGTTCTATCAGGACACGCTGACCTACTTGAATACCCCTGGATAATCTTTCGCTACGATGAACATGACGACGGGTCCCTTCCGAAAAGAGTTTCTGTTTCCATAACAGAACTTATTCTATGTTGATCTATGAGCTGATAAGAGAGCCTCGTGGCTTGTCAACCTTGCAAGTCTGCCTACCGTGGGGGCCAACCATGCATAGGACTGCGAATGCGCTGCAGGTGAATTCGCATTTGCGAATTCGTTGCCTGCGTAGAATGTATGGGTTGCAATTTATTTTATAAGAGTACGACGGGTTTAAAGCGCCGGATTAATCAGGTCTGAACTTGATTTTTCTTTTCTGAATGGGCTGCCCCTTTTATAATTATCTCTGAATTGGGTTTGTTTACTAGGTCAGTTTCATCCAACCTCAGCTTTTTTCAATGGCACGATACCAATATCAGCATCTTCAGGACGGCCGTAGTTTTAGACTGTTGAGTCTACTACCCGGAAACGATCCAGCCGATCCTATTCGCTGTCAACTCCAGGTTCATTATCTGACGGAAGGCGGCCAGATCCCGCAGTACACAGCGCTCTCCTACGTCTGGGGTGACCAGAACCTCGACGTTCATGTTGAATGCGAGGATGGTATATTACCTGTTAACAGGGGTTGCTTCCAGGCTTTACGTTCCCTTCGATACTTGATGCGCAACCCTAGTCGAGGTTTGGCTTTTACACCCTACTTCTGGGTTGATGCGATCTGCATCAATCAATCGGACGAACGCGAAAAGAGTTCCCAGGTTCGGTTGATGGGAGATATCTACCGTTCCGCAGAGACAGTCCTGTGCTTCATTGGCGACTCTTTCGCACAGGAAGATCTGTACGTGTCTAATCATTGGGGGCCGAAATCTGGGGCCAGGAGGCGTTTCTTTCGCCGGGATTCTCGTGCTTCAGAAGGCTGGAAGGCTGACAGGGATATCATAGGGGTAAACAACATAAGAGAGTCTGCAGTGCGGAAACTCTTCGAATCGCAGTATTGGACAAGATTGTGGACGTTCCAGGAAGCGCTCCTTTCTCACCGCAAAATCGTGTTATCGGGGACTGATATGATAGAATGGGAATCGATTGGGACTATGCTTCAACAAGCGGCTGTTGTGAAGCGCGAAGGGATCAATCATTCACTGCCGAAAGCAATTCACTTCCATTCTCTTACGACTACTAGTCCTATGCTCCGCCTCCTTCTTGATAGAGACGGTGCGGATATTACCAAGCGATTCAACAAAACTTATACACAGAGTTTGTCGTTGGAGATATCTCGAATATTGTCTTTCTCTGAGGAACTCGAAACATCTGAACCGCGAGACAAAATTTACGCCTTGACAGGTGTTATGGCGGCGTTGGAAGTTGACCTCGTGATCGACTACTGCAGGCCGATGGCATTGATATACAAAGATAGCATCAGAACCTTCTCTACGAAAACATGGTCCTTCGACGAATTCGCAATCAAGTCTAAGGATTTCTCTTTCACACTCTTAGATCTGGGGTTCAGCAACACTTTTCATCGGCCACGCTCGCTCCCGATCAGAACTAAGGAGAGTTCACCTGTGAGCCGACTCGTTAAGACAACCCCTATACAGACTACACAGCTCCTATGTTATGGTGAGGGCATAGCAGAAGCGCTTATGAATAAATCGTTGACTAGGGCGGTCCGAGGTAGAACACCTCACTTCATCAAAGAAGAAGTAAACTCCTCTGAAAACGATGATGAATCCGACTCGTCAATTTCTTCGTCAACCAATAAATCAGTTGAATTGAGCTTTCCTCTACTTGCCCATTCACTCGCTCGCTCGTTCTCGATACGTAAGAGGGACTGGCTCATATCAAGGGTTTCCTCGCAGCTAGGGCCTATATTGAACCAATGTGTCAGAAACGAGGAAAGTGGTAGGCACCATCAAGTTACAACTCGCCCAGGCGAACATATTAGCAGTCAGGAGATACCTCCTACAGATCGGCGTCACAAGAATCAGAGAAGACGGCGGGGCCAGGATGAGCATAGCGACGACGAAGACGATCAGGAACACCCTAGGAAGAAAAACAAAGGAAATGAAGTGGATGAGATCAAGAAACTGCTAGCATGCCCATTCCACCAAAGAAATCCACATAGGCCGTCAGTCAACCGCTCATGCGGCGGTCCAGGGTGGGATCGTATTTCTAGACTAAAGTAAGTTCCCCTATTCCCATTGTGCTGGATACTTCTAACTTTGGTAGGGAACATCTTTACCGAGTTCATTTTGTACACCGCTGTCGGAGATGCATGTCGAGGTTCGAAACGGCCTCTGAGCTAGACAGTCATTATGAAGACGTGACCTCGTGTACGGTATCATCAGTTCCTGTTGATCCAATGGAGGGATTCAATGAGAAGCAGCGAGAGAACCTGAAATGTAGACGCGTACAGGAATGGAAGGAGATTTACCAGATTTTGTTCCCGGATGATGATGAGATGTCTATACCGTCACAACGTAAGCGGCTCAAGACTGTCTTCTTGCTGCTCTTTTTATTAATTTGGCTGCCACAGATTACGCCAGTGTCATCACCATCGCTGATATCCTGGATCAGTTCGATCGCGCCTACCAGGAGGAAGTCGAACGGCAGCTCCCTGGGCGTGTGAGATCTGTTCTAGAAGCCCTACCGTCTAGACCGAGTTCGTCCATCCAAGACGAGATTTTACTCATGGTAAACGACATAAATAGCACAGTGATAAATTCCTTCAGGCGACGAATGGCGGGTGCGATGCTGGACAACTCCGACCCGGCTCCTCGAGAGGAGTCAGAGGTAACGACGTCAAGGGTCGAGCCTAACTTGGATAATCCAGCAAGTTTCTTTCTAGAATACTTTAACAATCTCGGCCATGGATCCAGCATGTCGCAGCACCTAGGCAATGGTTCAGGGTTTGACTATAACAATATCCAGCATCCTACGGCCAACGTGTATGCTAGTGAACCAGACTTCGACGTCAACCTATCACAACTCGGAAATTTCCATGGGGCCTACGACGAGAGACTTAACGCTCTCCCTGTCGTTCAAGATGGAAATATAACTATGTCAGGAGTACCCCATACACTGAATCAGATTGATAACCATGACGGACATTCGACTGATGAATGGACTGTGGTGGAAACTCCTCCAGAGGATAGCTCATGAAGAACTTGTTTGAGAGGAAAGGGGCATGATGGAGGTAGAGCGCCTCATAGTTGGAGCTTGGATAGGTGCGATAAATTACCTTCTAACCGGATCATTTGAAGGCTAAGAACAGTAAAGCAGATACGTTTCTAAGACGTTAGTTGACTTTAAATATCTCTTCTACAAAGTAGGTACCTAACCTAATAGATAAAATGCGCCTTTAGACTGCTAGGATTGGTCAATTTATCTATTATTGATTTAGGTACAAACGCATGCTCGAACTGAAGATCTCAGAAGTGGAACCCGTCAGACGCGCAGCCGTTGAATCAACATCTTCTTGGCGTGTTGTATAACCATTAAATGGGGTTCAATTGTTGGCGAATAGAAGTGAAGTTATTAGTGGGCTTGATTTATAAGTTCGAGATGATTTGAATGATGAATGATGCGTGGGCGCCCAACCCCTGGTGCCTTGCATATGAAGCTTCGATACTACTCTCTTCAAAAGCTTTTCTTGTTAATAATTCGTTTCTTGATAATAACTACTCGTTGTCATAATATAAGGTATTTTGTCAATTCTATAACTAGGGTGGATAAAAGACTTTGGGTAGCTTAGCCCACCTAGCTGGTGTGGTTGGTTACAAGATCTGCGACGCATCGTGAGATAAAGAAGCATGTGAAATGAATATTTCTTTATTACCGAGCTTTTTGCCGAATCCTTGTTTTCTGCCGCGGTAGGAAGGTACAAGTTATATAAGGGTAGGAGGTACGTATTCGAAAACATCCCTACACTTCGCAACGTATATCAGAGATAGACCTGACTTAATACATCTAGGACAATAAGGTGCGCTTCAAATCAACGGAATAGTCCATCTGGTCAGCTCGCCTAGTTGGGGGATTTCCTTGTTTGACGTATTAGCAAACGCCCATTAGTCTATCCCGTAAAGGGGGACGGGTTCTTCCTTTCACGAGACATCAATGATTCTCTTTGACTACGATATAAAATGCTACGATTGGTCCAATTCCCCTCCGGAAACTCCGTAGAGCAGACCACATGGCCACCTCGATCTGAACAATTACGCAGATTCCATACCAGCGGTATCAAACTCCGGTGCCGCAACTCGCCGCGAGACCCTACATCATCCTAGCTCAAGCATACATAATATTATTATTAATTGACATAGCCGTCGTCCTAAACCCAACACGGATAGAGAAGTCCGGGGGCTCCCAACAATGGAGATCGCCAAGGATAGCTAGATTCCCCCATGTTTTCTCTAACTGTCCAGCTGTCGTCTTTCCGTCTAACAACTAACCCAGTAGGGGAGACTATGGAGTTATACCCCACAACCCCACGAACTTCTCCAAATCCTGGGGGCTAATTATTATCCCTCTCCCTCTCAACTCACTTCTCAGCGTTGTGTAGAGAGGGTTGTCGACAGTAATACGAGGTAATTAATTACGATGGAATATGCACCAGCCGCCATGTCTTCCACGACCGTCGAGACAGTCGAGCCCAAACCGAAGGCGGCCGCGAAGATGCGTAAGAGAGCGCCTAAAGCTTGCTTGTCGTGTAGAAGCCGTAAAGTGAGATGCGATGTCTCCCAGCGCGGGAGACCGTGCATGAACTGCTATCTTGACAATGAAACTTGCGTCGTAACCGGACGAGCGTCGAGATTGTAAGTTTCTAAATTTCTGCTTTTACCGCTATTCCGTGCTCATAAGTTTTCTTAGTAGGAGAGGCCAGCGAGGTGAAAACGATAATTCCCAGGCGTCATATCCCCCCTACTCGGTGGAGGACTGTGCACATGGTCGGAGCTCAGAGGATGTAGTAAATTCACGGGCCAATGGGCAATTGCCTTCATTAACGGTAGATGGAGAGAATATTGCTCCGCCGCAAGATGCATCCCATTCAATAAACCGTACTACTGAAAATCAGACCTCAACGGAGCTCGAGACGGAAGGGTGGATTAGCCCGGAAGCGCCGCCGCAAACAACGCAGAGCGGGCTAGATGAGCATCAACATAACAACAAGATACCAAGTCCCGTCCCTCTGGTCCAAGGTAAGTAAAATAGCTTCCATAAATCCGCTGAGCCGATTTAACCATAACTTCAGAAGCCACAGTCTTACCGCTAAATACCTTCAATTCCTTCATGACTCCGGATATTCCGCTCTGGGTTGGAGACCAGCGCATCGCGGTGAATGCTGATATTACATATTCATACTACCCGTTCATAACCATAGGAAACCTTCATAACATCATGCCCCAAGATGTCAATTATCTGGAGTCGCAGGGTTGCCTTCGAGTACCGACCAGGACGATTCTGGATGAGTTCGTTCAACAGTACTTCTTGCACATCCACCCTATCATGCCGATCCTTAACGAGGGAGACTTTTGGGACATGTATTGCAACCAAACTTCCCCAGAATCCGGCGACAAGATAACCCTCGTCTTTTTCCAAGCGCTCTTATTCGCATCTTGTAATGTAAGTTTACCCTCACGCGACACCGAGCCAATAATGAGAACTGATCAGAATGTACCTCATGTAGTTCGTTTCAAAAAGCAGCATCAAAGCTCTCGGGTTTCCAAGTATTCGTACCGCAAGGGCTACTTTCTACAGGCGTACGAAGGTAAGTGAATCACTCCCCCGTCCAACAATTGATTTTACCTTGATGCTCATTTGCGATTAGCTCTTATTCGACTTCGATACCGAAACCTCATTGGTTGATCTAGCACAAACCGCCCTCCTTCTCTCCTTCTGGGCTACAAATTGGTCCCTTGCTTCCAAGAAGCTGAATAGCACGTGGCTTGGAATAGCCATACAGAACGCTAAAAGCTCCGACGCCCATCTCTACGCCGTGAAGCCGAATGTCTCTGTTTTAACGGACCCAGTACAGCATAAGAAGCAGAACATACTGAAACGCCTGTGGTGGTGTTGCATCATCCGCGATCGCATATTGGCACTTGGCGTGCGGAGGAGTCTGCAAATATCGCGAGCGCATTTCGACATCGACAGCAACACCGGGCTCGGATACATCGACTTTGCCGACGAGGTCGACCGGTCCAAAGTGTACAACTCGGAAACCAAGAGGTGTCTCGTCGAGATATTCGTCCAGCTCGGAGAGCTATGTTCGGTTCTGACGGACCTTGTCACCCTGGTATTTCCCCTCGACGATGTACCCGGGTGGGATCGGGAACTGGGCGCGGAAGGGGCCGTCAAGCTGAAAGAGTGCAAGGCTGCGTTAAGACGATGGTATAAAAGTGCGACGCTCCGGTTTCCAATGTTCGGCGGCGGCGATACACCACGGATGACGACTGCGAATAATAAACATTACCAGCACGATTCGGTGATCCTGTACACCAATTTAATGTACATGCACTATCAGTAAGTATTTTTTGTCTTTTTTGTTACATACCTTCGATGAAAAATTACTCACACAACGAGTAAAGTTCCGCAAGAGCAGCTCTTTGCCACCACGAAGTCTTACAGTTAGCCGTGGCTTGCACGTCGCCCAACCTCAGCAACAATCTCCGGGAGTTTTCAAATATCTACGAGAACAGACACGAGCTTCAAGACGCAGCGTGCAGTGTGACCGAATGTCTAAAGGAGCTCATTCAACTGCGTCTTGCCCGTTGGCTACCAATCAGCGCGTAAGTTTATCAAGCCCCCTATATTTAATAAACGCTTCCTCTAACTATGACCTAGTGTTGCATGCACCGCGCTACCTCTAGTCTTGCATATCATCGACGTTAAGCTATCTTCCCAGAACAGGAACAAAACCGCCGCGATAGATTCAGATCCTCAGATGGCAGCGAAACAGCATCGCCTTAACATCCTCATCGAAGCGATGAAGACATACCAACCTCAATACGACGGGGTGGACTACATCAGCGAAACTATCCGACATATCATCAACTTGGCGAAGCTAGACGCCCCCGCCAGCAAGGGATGGTGTTTCTCGGGCCTCTCTACGGACGGCAAGCAACCGGCGCCAGCGGACTGGACTGACATACTAGCCTCGCAGCCGGGTTATTATCTTCGATTAGCCATGACGATGGATTTATGCTTTAGCAAGGGCCGGTTAGCGGAAGAGTCGGACTTCCCGGCGAACTTGCGAGGGTTATTCGCCGCCGATTTCAGCTCGATGAGGGCCCTCGTCGCGGGCGGGAGGACGGTTTCGGGGACAGCACCGGCAATGCAGAATCAGAGCACGAACTACTTTGCGCCGAATCCGACCGTAAATATCACGCCGGGAACAGTGCACTCGCTATCATCGGACGAGGAGTCTAACTCGCCCAATTCCTTCGATGGTAACGGTAACAGCAACGGCAACGGCAACGGCACCTCGGCCGACTCGCACTTCGACGGTCAGCACGCCGCGCTCAATCCCTCCGACATCGACATGTCCGGGGTATTCAGCAACACGCTAGACATCGACCACCTGGCGAGCGAAGTCCTCGCCGCGTACGGGCTCAACGCAGACGCGGGCGGAAGTCTAGGGGGAGACGACTGGATCGAGAGGGCGTGGAGCGACGAGGAGATGACAGACGCGGGGGCGGCGAAGCAAGGCCAGGATAATAGCGGCGGCGGCGGGGATAAGGAGACAGCCCGGGTCCTACTTGACGCTTTACGAGATGATACGATAACGTGCGCTGTATGAGGACGAGAAGGAAAGAAAGAAGAGAAAAGAAGAGAAAAGAAGAGAAAAGAAAAGAAAAGAAAGGAGGAGGGGAAAAGGGAAACAGATTACTCTTTTGGCTGGGCTCTGATTGATTGATTGCTTGCTCGCATGCGTAGGCGTTCCGGTCGGAAAACCAGTAGGGGCAAAGTTTCTGCTGGTTTCGTCATGTTAGGAAACGACCGGGGTATATAGGTAGGTAGGTACCTATTTTATGTATCGGGATGGGATTTTGAGACGGGATCATTGATGGAAGAAAGGGCTTATTATGATATGATGGCGTTGAGCTGTTACCACGAAACATGTTGGCCGACCCATTTGTAACGTTATTCTGTTATTCTATGTGTTCTAGATACATATTTCGGTAGATACGACGTTTGAAGGTTTCAATGCCGCAATATATTAGGTTAGGTAGTTATCTCATTCAAGAGGAAAATATCCTGTAGGAGATCTTGGGTGAAGCAGTTACATTGCTGAAGTAGGTATCAATAAGAGTTCGGGGCTATCTGAATTCTGCCAGTGATACTAATTTTGAAAGGGACGTCGAGAAGTTTTCAATCTACCTAATAGTATTGGGTATTGAAAATGCCTTGAAAATGAAATATTGGTGTGATGTGAACTGGTGATAACTTCTTGGATGAGGTGAAGTTACGAGGGTGACGATGTTGATTGGAACCGTATCATAGAAGTTATAGGATCCACAACTGGTGCTGGTACCCCTCATGATAAAATGGGAAAATCTGATAAGATGTAACTGTCATATACAGCTGTCATAGGTTACATTATCTACCTGTTTATTTAGTTAGCATTGTTTCCGGTTAACTATCGTGTAAATATCAGGTATTAATGCAGATTCTTCATTCATTCTTGAACAATAAGAGAACCAAATAACAGGTACCTAGTACTTGTAATTAAGGTCGAGTTCAATATGAAGTATCTTTGGCATCACGTACTCCTATTCAGCGGAACCAGCCTCGGGGCATGGCAATTCCCCCAGCAGCATATGTCCCCGCCCGGCTACAAGCCGTTAACGGGCGTCGATGACGATGTGGATATCATCACGGGAAGTCAATTTAATGGGTTGACAACATATGCGAACCTGCCGTATCTGAACTGCCTATCCGATGACGAGGTTGAAGGGAAGAAGTATGATATTGCAATATTGGGCGCGCCGTTCGATACTGTAAGTATCCCTGAGTTTAGGTACCTACCCACCCACCCACCTCCTTCTGGATAGACACATAGCTGATGTTGGATGCTTAAGGGTGTTACGGCCAGACCTGGGGCTCGTTACGGTCCTAGGGGCATCAGGGCCGGAAGTCAAAGAATAGCCGCGGACACTGCATGGAGCGTATATACCGGTATTTGCATTCTAAAAGAATGTCTTACCTGGCCTATTAACGATGCCCTAGGCAAAAACCCCTTAATCTCATGGGCGACTATTGTTGACTGCGGCGACGTGCCGCTGCCATGGCTGGATAACAACGTTGCTCTGTCGAAATTAGACAAAGCGCATAAGGTAGAGGGCCTAACTTCACTTCCCCCCCCCCCCCATCAATTTCATCCATATGCAGAAGCTTATAAAGGAGTATCGTAGGTTGTATCCGGGAGGAAAGCTTCTAACGAAAGCTACTCTTCTCATCCCAGGATAATAACGCTAGGTGGCGACCATACTACCACATTGTCGGCGTTGAGGTCCACATACCAGCGATGGGGACAAGTTTCTGTAGTACACTTTGACAGCCACATAGGTCAGTGAGATCTAATATCGTAAAAGTGCCTTGTCTAACTAGATGATAGATACGTGGGATCCCGCTGTACTTGGTGAGTTTGAAAAATCAGCAAAGTCGATATAGAAGATTGACGATTTGATATGGCTAGGGGGTGGGATTTCGGACTATGCGTATGTCTTGACTTGAATACACACATACCACAGCGTCGGATGAAATCTTAATAATGTAGTTGCTGACGAATTCGCTTCAAGGGGTTTGAACCACGGGACATTTCTCCACATCGCACACGAAGAGGTGACAACTGCATACTAGGAATTCGATGATATTCTTCCAAGCACTAACGAGGATCAATACCTAGGGGCTCATCCGCAACACCTCGATACACGCCGGAATACGGGGGCCGCTGGCGCGTAGGAAAGGCGACATGAAGAACGACGTCCGCTGCGGATTCTCGACCGTCAGGGCTCGCGACGTGGATAAGATCGGCACTACGGGCGTAATTTCGCAGATCAAAGAACGCGTCGGAGACTCCAAGGTCTACATCAGCGTGGACATCGACGTCCTAGACCCTGCTTTTGCGCCAGGTGAGTGATGAAGACGACGACGATGGAAGAGACGGGTCTATTGGTAGACTACCAGCGCTAACCGGCGTAATTTATAGCTACGGGAACACCTGAACCGGGTGGCTGGTCCTCGAGGGAACTTCTCACCATTCTTGACGGGCTGAATGGTCTTGATATCATCGGCGGTGATGTCGTAGAGGTTGCTCCTATCTACGATACTGTTGGCCAGACGACGGCTCTCGCAGCAGCCGAGATTGCGTTCTCTTTGCTCGAGCTAATGGTTGAAAATCCAGTGAAGTCATGATTATACATCTTATCATTATCTGTCAAACCTGCTGTCGACATGTTTTTAATATGGGATTGGATTGAAAGCTGTTGCAGTATATCTACAGGAATGCTCCGAGAGGGAAAATAAAATAATGTATACTACCGTCTAGCTTAGAGGAGGAAATCCTAAAACAAAGAGATCGGAACAATCCGACTTATACACCACATTATAAGAAGCCACTTGATGCGCCGCGGTAGAACGTGTCATGTTGTTAGGCGGCTATGGCTTAGTCTTTTGTACAGAGGGACTGGCACTCGTCTTAGACCCGGTCCAACTTACGTCGGGCGTTTCGTGTCCGCCTCATCAGCTTCTTATACTTCTTCTTCTTCATCTTCAGTTTCCTCTGCCTACGGACACTGATGGCGTGCATGTCGGGGGCCTGACCCCGCACTTCTTCGCGCCACCGAATCTGGCGAAGAGCCATGCGCTCGAGGAACGTTCTCGGGGCCGGCGGCTCTTCGACTACTTGAGGGCTATGCGCTACGATGCGAATCTGACCGTTCTCATCGGTAGTCTCCTCAAGAGTGAACATGGCCTTATAAACGCGGTGCTGGGGAACATCCTCCACTTCCTCACGAGCGACCTCCTTCTCGGCAGCGTTCTCGGCTTGAGGTATAGGAGGGGGTCTGAACGGTAGGAATTGACCTGACATGGCATTGAGCTGGACGTAGACGCTCGATTCGGTGCCGTCGGGATGTCGGAGATCAATCTTATGTGTTGATTCGCCGTTGGGATCCGTAATAGTTTCGCCACTTTGCTGAGCGTCGAGATCCAAGTTCTGCATGGGCTGTTCGAGCTCGTCGACGGTCCTCGACAGCGTAGACATAACATCGGCATACTTGTTGTTCTTTGTGCGAGGGGCAAAGATTTGCGCAAAGGCATCGTCGGTGATGGTCTTGGGGAAGCTATGGGTCACGGACATAGGTCGATGCAGAGAGAAGAAGGTGGACAAAGCAAGAGCTATCGTATCGAGGGGGGGTTAGTACTTATAAGGATACAAGATAACTTATTTATTTATGGTTCGGGTCTACACAAACCTTCTTGCGGTACATGTTGCGTGCTAGGAACACTTGGGAGTTTTTGCTGAAGATCCATCCATTCTTTCCCCTTGCGCTTACGCTTCTCTCCGCTTTGTTTTGATGATTGGGACGGAGAGGAGGTTACCTGGCCATCGGAAATGCCCTTCGGAGAGTCTTTGGGACTCGAGGGTTTTGAGGAGGAATAGCGCCTTCGTTGTGGGCCTCTCGAACTGCAACAGAGTGTTAGGGAGGCTGGGGCGCGAGCACTCGAGGGGGTTAAGTTGGATAAGAGCGATGATTGAGGTGCAGCGGTGACCACACGCCGCACCGAAGAGGGCAACATCATGCCCAAATGGTGAATCGGGATGAGGTGTATAGGATAAAGGTGAGTAGAGATATCCGGTAGAGATATCCCAGGGTGGGATGTGGGATGATGGATAGGTGTTGAAAGAAGTTGAAACCGGCAAAACCTGGTCATGCCTCCAATGCGGTTGGCGGTTGCAAGGCTCCGAAAAAGTCGCCTAAACCTTGTTTAGCGCTAAGACGGAGCACGAGGTTTAATGGCAAACATTGAACTGTGGCACTTGTGGCAATGCTACATAGCGTGCAAAATCTGGAAAGTTGGTGGCACCAATGTGGCTAAATGTGGCTAAACCGGGATTGCTTTATCTTTTATCTCTTATCTCTTATGATGTGTCTGTGTGTTCATCTCTCACTCTTACTCAACGGGTCTATTGGCTTCTTAGCTTTAACTTTATCAAACAATATAATTATTATATAAATTTTGCCCCCTGGATATTTTTAGCGTTAACGATTGAGATGCTTCTAGGAATCAAGAATCCTCATCCATGGATATCATTAGCAAGTTTGACTACCTGCCCACATAGTAAACTAACCTTCGGTGAGAACCAACTCTTTAGCCGCATTGCCACGCCCATACCAATTAGCGAAGTTGCTTTTATAGCTTCACCCTTCTCGACATAGAACGCACACCTAGCTTCGTTGGAGATCTGCCGATCTGCTTGAGAGTTAAATGAGGCGAGATGCGACTTGGGAAGTGAAAAATGACCAGTTTCCGCGCCCGATTCGTTGGGTGATTATTCTATCCCCGCTCACCTCCCCTCCACATTGACGGTTCACCCCGCGATAATAGAGACATCCGAGGTAATGCTATTAATATTTAGTTTCTTGTAATGGGTAGTGATGATACCAGGTACCTAGGTCTACATGAATAAATCATACTTAAAATAAAACCATCCGAAATATCTGGTGCCGCTCAAAAAAATACCTACATGTAAAAACTAGCAAAATGGTAGCCCGACATATCAAGACAGCTGGCCTCGTAGCCAATACCGCAAGTAACCAAAAAGTATCCGAGATCGTGAAAGGAATGATAGATGACGTTAAGGCCAACGGCGATAGAGCTGTGAGATCTTACTCTGAAAAGTTCGACAAGTGGTCGCCCCCGTCGTTCAAGTTGACAGAGAGCCAAATTCAAGAATGCATATCGAAAGTACCCGCTCAGACTATACGAGATATCAGAGAGGCGCAGAAGAACGTCAGGAGATTTGCCGAGGCCCAAAGAGCAAGCATCAAAGACTTTGAGGTTGAAATCCAGCCAGGGGTATTTCTGGGTCAGAGAAACAACCCTATTAGCACGGCCGGCGCTTATATACCAGGGGGGCGTTATCCTCTACTCGCCTCTGCTCATATGACTATATTGACCGCAAAGGTTGCGGGTGTCAAGCATATTATCGCTTGCACGCCACCCATTTCGGGTCAGATCCCCAATGCTACTGTGGCGGCAGCACATTTTGCTGGGGCGGATGAGATCTTCTTGCTCGGGGGTACGCAGGCCATCGCCGCCATGGCTCTGGGTACAAAATCGATCAAGAAGGTGGATTTCATTGCCGGTCCCGGGAATCCCTTCGTCGCAGAGGCCAAGCGACAATTATTCGGAGAAATAGGTATCGATCTCTTAGCCGGACCCACCGAAGTTCTCATTGTCGCCGATGAGCATGCGGACCCTTTTACCGTTGCTGTGGACCTGCTCTCCCAGGCCGAGCATGGACCAGATTCACCCGCTGTATTGATCACAACTTCCGAGGATGTCGGCCAGCGGACAATCCAATATGTTGATCAAATCCTGAAAAACATGCCGACAGCAGAACTCGCAGGAACTTCGTGGCGAGATTACGGAGAGGTGGTCATAGTAGATAACTTAGACGAGGCGTACGAACTTGCAGATGTGTATTCAAGCGAGCACGTGCAGATCCTAACACAGAATCCTAGAGAGGCTCTAGAGAAGATGAGGAACTACGGCTCTTTATTTCTCGGTGAGAAGACCTGCGTTTCGTACGGCGACAAGGTGAGAAAGCCCTTATTTTTCTCACACTGGCAAGAGATCCTATAGCGAAATGTAGCTGAAATCCTTACAGTGCATCGGGACGAACCACGTGCTTCCCACGCGGAAAGCAGGAAGATACACCGGCGGATTGTGGGTTGGCAAGTATCTTAAAACCCAGACGTACCAGGAGGTAGTAGATGAGAAAGCGAGTGGCGAGATTGGACGTCTTTGCGCGCGCTGCTCGAGAGCCGAGAACTTCGAGGGGCATGCAAGGTCAGGGGATTTAAGAGCGCACAAGTATCTTGAAGATGCATATTCCTGGATCGACGAAGCCAGGACATAGTATACCTTAGGTTAGGTACCTCTACCTAATCTATGGGAATTTCGAAGGTGTCTATTGTAAGGTAGGACCTAGGTACCTAGGTAAATCGGTTGCGAAAAGTGAACATTGTTCCGTCCAAGTACCAAAACGCTCAAAAGAAAATAGGAGTGCCTCCTTTCCCCGTCCCGCTGTGAACTTTTGCTACTATGCAGTGTTATCTTACAGCTACATTTTTTACATTTTCGACGTGATGCCTCACCAAATCCCATGACCTAATAGACATGCCTTCAATCTGGCCCAAAGTGCGTAATCCAACAACACCGACTCCGCGTACTCCTATCGTCAAAAATGCCAATCTAATCCTATAAACCTCTAAATACTAATGAAATATGCGGCACCACCTGCGACTAGCGCGGCCGATAGCAACGACTGCGTCGACGATAATCCCATAGCCCCGCTGCCGTCGTGGTCGTTAGAACCATTGTTAATGGTAGACAGAGACGCTCTTGCGGGCCCCACGACTTTGACGCAGGACAGAGAAGCCTCGGTATCGGTGGCCAGACTTCCGTTACCTGCCGAGTAGAAGACCGTGATGATCGGCGTGATGGCAAACATAGCCTCCTCTAATTCGCTGGCTAGGTTACCCCCCTATCGGTTTGTCAGACGGCATTTTAACATAAATGAAGCAGATAAGAATGAGATGCAGGCTACTTACGGTATAGTTGTACTGGCTAACTAGGGTGAGATCATCCTGTTTGGGGATGACAGGCCAGCAGGTCGACGATGAGTTTTGCTGCTGGGTGATGGGTTGCGGTGCACCTTCGCCGGTTAAGGCTATTTACGAGGTTAGTCGTTACTCACTGTAACATGATACAAGAGCAGAGAAAAATACGATTTCTCGGTGTTTCTAATGGAAACTGGTCTTTGATCGCGAGGGATACTGTTCGAACTTACCGACACTAGTGAAATTGCTCCAATGTCCCTTGGAGACCCGCGTGCAGGCTTGGTCATTGCTATCTTCCAGATCTTGTTGCAGTCTGGAGCATGCCTCGGAGATGGAGAGGCTCTCGCTGCCGCTGTTATATCCATTCACCAGAGTTCTAGCCCGCGAGACCAACGCGTCGACACAGGACGAGCCCAGGGCGTCCGTACACGTTCCCTGTGCAGGTTCGCTGTCCTCGCCCGGGAAGGCTATATTCTGAGACGCTCCGTGGAGGAAGACGGCGCACGCGCCGGTTGAATTATTCAATTGCAGGTCCGGCGGTGTGCCGAGGTAGAACGTGCTTTGAAACTCTCGCTTGTTGTCGGATGAGCCGACGTTAAAGCCCTTGGACCAGGATATTCCCGAGAGTGCGTCATTGTCAGTCGGTATGCGCGTGAGTCCGACGTAGATGTACGAGCCCGTGTCTGCTACTGTGCAGTTATCATTTACATCCCCTCTGCTGCTAGCAGGGCATTCGAGGTCCGCACAGCCGACGATAGGCTGTCGGAGGTCTTGGGCCCGGGCAGCGGCCGCCGCCAGCGCTGAGACAGCGAAAACTTTGCGCAGGTTTCCCATTGAGATTGAAGAATTTTGAATTGGTGATGTTCAAGTTTGGAGATACTGAAATGGAGAATACAAGAAAACAGGGGAGAGAGATCAATAAGATGATATTAAAAGATTAGGTATGTTCGGAACAAAGAAACTTAGTTGTCACAAGTAATTTACCTTTTTCTTTTCTCCATTAGAAACTCCCAAGAATTCCGTAACTAACCGGTTACTTCCAAGGGGGCACAGCACACATTGGCGCCCTCATATCGAGGCTCCATTGAAGGCTTGCTAGGCTGTTGGGTTAGGTAGATAATTCAGAAGACGATTTGATAGGGTCATAAGCTGAACGGAGTCTCAGGGTGTAGGGCTAGTTCTTGGCAGAGTCCCCCTTGCAGGTATGCTGTCATGAGCAGCATGGCTTATACACGATAGGTTACGAGAAACGTGACGGCGTTGGAGGCATTATACAAAGCCACCTGCCTAAAAGGTAATGCTTGATTGGACCGGTTGCCCGCCCGTTGATATATTAATAGACATGAACAGACGCCAAGATCTACCTCGCCTGTGCGACCAGCCAAGTGGATGACAAAATAATGCAAATTATCTTGTCACCCACTTGCCACCAACAGTGCCCATACAAAAGTCCAAATTATTCGGATCGGTTATGGGGGGTGGCACTGCACGCGATGTGGAAAATGATACGCTACCCCATAACTTCACAATATATACTAAACATCGTCGTCGATGAAGTCAGGGAATATCACAAGGAACCCACAGAGCTGAGGCTGAACTTGTGTAGTTCGTTTCCCTTTTCAGCCTCTTACTCAAACCCCTATTCACCTTTACCTTCCGGAATGGTTATTTGATAATCTCCTGTCATGCTCTCGCCATAACACTGTCTTCGGGAAGGAATTCTCACGCACGAAAATGCCCGTCGTAGATTAAAAAACGTTTCATTGTTTATGCCTCATCGGTATGAGCATTACGGCTTCAGCTCATGACCTATAGTCTGACTGTCAAAAGAACGCAGGCCTGCATGCTCTAAGCCGAATAACCGATATGGCTTGATCCTTCAGTTAATGAGAGTTAGAATCTATCCACTATTGTGGTGTTGGCTTTGAACGCAACAATGTAACACTAACTACCAGTAGCCGCATATATTCTAGGACGTATATATCTTCTCTTGATATCTCTCTCTGAACAGCAGTTTGCAATCTTTCATAAGTCACTTTATGAGTTGTTAGGGGTTTTTTTCCATCCAACTATTTACATTCTTTACGGCCTGGGTGCCTCACATTCGTTAATCTTTGCGAAATATACTACGTTCTTTTTTCTCTCGCCGAATACTCTTATACATCCAATTACCTGTAGTTCGCCATGAGTTTCATAGAAGCTATCGGCGTGCTTTCGGGCGTGCTCGGAATCTTACAATTCGGCATTGACCATTTCCCTAAGGATGACGGCCCAAAGTCGACTATAAGGATAACTGTCGGGTTAGACACCCCCAACGGCCTTCACAACGCCGGCGGTGACCTTCCCGATGTCCGCCTCTGGAACGAGGCCGGAAAGTTCATCGGTATGCACGCAGACCCGGGCCACGTCGCGGACGGCGGTTTCGGCGATATCGAGATCAGCCACGAGGACGACACGAACCAGCAGCCGGCATACGCCCTTTTCTCCGCTAACAACGATGCTATCTGCATTGCACACGCCACCGTCACTTTCCCCGGCAATGAGAGATACACCTGGGTCGGCGACTGGGGTCGCCAGTGCGGTGGCAGTTGGTAATTAAACCCCGCCCCTATAACTACCTAAACAAACAGGGTACTATATTATAAGGTACTCGATGCTGACGATGACGACATTAGGTATTACTCGAACATCTACGTCGACAGCAGCAACCGAAAGGTCGACTGTCTGTGGATTGACGGCGACAACGACCAGCCGCAAAGCGGATTTCAGGTCCACTGGCCCGAGTTCGTGAGGAAGGATGGCGAGGAGCTTCCGGCGGAAGGGGACGGCATGGCCGACAAAGTCGACTACCTTTGCAACAGCGGACCCCCGTTTAAGATGTACAAGTACGACGACGTCAAGGACCCGAGCAGCATCACCTACTGGGTCCTCGACAACAAGCGTTCGGAGGACGAAGGCAGGGACCGCAAGACCGCAACGGCATACGGACCATCCAAGAACCCTACCTCCGCCAAGTTCAGCCGCCAGCTAGCCAGAAATAGCACCGTTCCTGCTATGCCTAAAGGCCAGGCCAACCGTCTCGTCGTCAGCAACAACGAGCAGCACACGGCAGAGGAGCTTTGCGGCAGCGCGACGTCCTACGGCCCCGACTTCCTGGATCTCAAGAACGAGAAATTCTGCCGCATGTCCGACAAGACTCTGTGGCCGATCTGCTCCAGCTCCCAGGAAGCGGAAGGCTGCTTCAACGCCGAACTCAAGCAACTCAAGGTAAATGACGTTTACGCTAGGGACACCCCTTACGACAACATTGTCGACTGGACAGAGTAAATGGGTGGATTCGTGTAGTTCGTATGTCCTCAGGTAGCACAGATGGAAAGCTTGTATTAGTAGTATATCATTGTTGGCGCATGGGACTGGGGTCGTATGTTCTTCATAAACCAATACAAGTGCTTACTTGTGCGGTACGGCAGCATTGTACAATATCCTGGATATTTGGGTTAACATGTTTAGCAATATAAAAGTTGCCATTAGAATCTAAGAAACCCCGAATCACGTCGAATGAATTTTCAGCGTGTAATTTTACAGAAACCCAATACGCACTTGTATAGACCCAGATGTAGTAAGCTTTGTAGAGAGTCTCTCAAGACTTAGAATAATAAGTCTTGGATCGAAATTGGTAGAGATTGGTAAACGCAATAACTTTGGTTGCGCATAACAATTCGAGAAGTAAATAATCGTTAGATATTTCTAGTTAGCTGTTAAACGTGTTGGTTGAAGAGTACCTAATAAGCCACGCAGAGAGATAGGTAACCAATACACTTATCTCACAGTATATGAGTTCGTATTCAATATCATGTTAATCGAGCATGGGATGGATATGATGGACTCGGATTAGCGCTTTTAGTAACAGTATAAGAAAAGTCCAACTACCCGTTGGTCCGTTCGCATCCTTTAAAGGACTAACTAAGCGGGGCTTAGTTGGTACAAAGTATTGTAACTTTACGACTATTATAATTAAACGTTTAAAATTTTATATTTAATTATATAAAATAAAGAGAATTTCGAGGTTTATAATGTGTAATGAACTTACACTTAAGTTTATTAAAATATAATGCTAATAAGTTTTAATTTTTAAGTAAATAATAATAATATAAATTAAATATTAAAATAAATATTAAAGTATTTATTAAAAAGTTTAAAATTTTTTCCTTTATATAAATTAAATATAAAATTTAAATTAATAATTAAATATATAATAATTTTAATAATTTTAATAATTTTAATAATTTTAATAATTTTATTACTTTTATTATTTTTTATTAATTTTTTATTAAAGTTTTACTGTTTTTATACTTAATATAATTTATTAAGTTATTAGTTTATAATATAATAATATATATAATTATTTATATTTTATTTTATATTTTAAATATTGTGACGAACCTACACTCAGGTCCGTTAGAGTGTAGTAACAGGGGTCTTGATTTTAGGTAAACAGTAGCGATACGGGTCAAGTGTCAATAAAACGTTGAAAGTGTTCGTCAGGAAGGCTTGGAGTCCTTCCCCTTATATGGGTTAGATATAAGACTTAGATTGATAGCTAAGGAAACGTAAATGAATGTCTAGGTACATGATGGGTTTCTTATAGTCCGATTGTCTACTCTTCTCCTACCTCCTCTGAGGTTATCGTGATGTGGTTGATTTGGGTGATTTGGTTGATTTGACCAAATCAATCAAATCAGTCAAATCAATCAAATCGTACGAGGTCTAGTCCGTAACCGGGGTTTATCCGTTCCCCTGGGACGTCCCCGCTCCCGTTGCCTGGACTAGTACGTTTTCTGACAAATGTTGGTTCGTAACAAATATTTTTATAAATAAAAATATTTATTTATTTAAGTTAATTACTTAAAATTTAAAAAGGTAAAATATTTTTAATATACGTTTTATTATAATATAATATAATATAAAAACCCGATAATTCTTTTATTTTTATTAAATTTTATATAAAATTTAAATTATTTTTTTAAAAAAAGTTTTAATATATAATAAACTTATGCTTAAATCCATTAAAATGTAATATTATGTTACGAACTAACAGCTTAAAGAACCATTCCGTAATAAAAAGCGGGGTTCCACGCTGTTAAGACCGGAAAAACCCTTGGAATACGTAAAAAAAAGTATTAATCTAAATGATCTTATAGATTTTATAAGATATAACATTAGATTTAACCAAATTAACTAAATATTAAGATAATAATAACTTTAAGCACGATAAAAGGTTTACAGATATTTAAAATATTATATATTTAATTATTTATTTACGTTTTTTTAATTATTAATTTAAATTTTATATTTAATTTATATAAAGGGAAAGATTTTAAACTTTTTTAATAAATACTTATAACATTATTGTTAGTAGGTACGTACGTATAATATATAGTAATAAATAAGTAAATCAAATAACAATGGGGGTGAAACTAGTATATTAATAATGTTTAAGGAGGGAAGAATTTATCTAAGGCCAATTAGCAGTATAATGTCCTTTTATATAGTAATAGTAGGTATATTGTTTCTCCTTTTAGTATTGGCGGTAAAACACTTTATCTTTAATAAAGTACCTACGCGCTAATATTATATAATTATTACTTACTTTATTTTCTTTTTATAATTAATTAATTGCGAAGGTAATTTACGTAATAAAAAAGAATTTTAAAAAATAAATAAAACTTTATAGTAACGTGTGCTTATATTAGTTTAAATGTGTATTAATATATATATAAACTATTTTGCACATAAGCTAATATGCGTTTATAATAGCATATGATTATATTAATATATTATATCCCTTTTATAATAAATTAATATTAGGAATATAATAGCTTAAATTAAGAGCTATTTTATATATTAGTTTATGTTAATTTATAATTGTGCTATCTTATATTTAAGTTAGTTAATAAATTATTATATAATATTTTTTATTATATTAATCTTTATATTTAATTGTAATAGCTTGTTATTATAATAATATATAATTATTTTTAAGTTATTTACGTTTTACTTATCCTTTTAAGCGTAAATTAATTTAATTATTTTTTATTAATGATTTTATAATCTTATTTAATAACGCTTTTATTATAATATTGGTTGGGTTATATATATTATAAATTTAATAAATATTATTTATTTTTTAATTTTTATAAGATTGTTATAAGGTTATTAGGTTAATTATTAATTTCTTTTTGTTAATGTTTCTTATTTATATTAGGTATTAATATAAGGAAAAAAAATTAATATATAAAATAAGGGGAGCTTTAGGGATTAATAATTAGTTTAAAATAATATTAATAAAATAATAGATAATAAAGCTTATGTTAAAACTTTATATTATTTTATAAATTTTATTAATAAATATATTATAAATAACTTATTTATATTTAATAAATAATTAATATATAATATTTTTAATAATTTAAAGTTTATTACTTTAATTTATAAATTTTTTATTGTTTAAAATAATAATATAATTAATTTATAAGTTAAAGTTTTTATTATTTGCAAATAACTTATTAATAAAAACGTATAATTGTAAATTTTAAAGATTTAAGTTAATATAATTAAATTTTTATAATTAATTATCTATTTGTTATTTAATCTTAATATTAAAAGCTTTAATTTTCTTTAAGTTAGGCTTAAGGTATTAAATTATTATTAAATAGTTAAAAACGGCTTCGGGTTAGTATATGGAGGAAATGTACGCTTTTTAAGCCCTTTGTTCTACAAATTATTTAATTATATCCAAAGATTTAATATTTAATAACGCTAATTTTTCAGCTTATTCCTTTTGAATAATTATGATTTTATAATCTTTTTTTTAAATAGTAATATAAGAATTGTTAAAATCTTCAATCCTATTATTTAGGATCTTTTAAGGACGTATTTTAATCCCTACTTTGGTAAATGCTTTATCCTTAGCGGTAAGGAATTTTATTGTGCTTATATTTAGGGTATTGTCCGTTTGAAAGTTAATAAGCTTAAAGGGGTTTATATTTATTATTAATAAATAAGGGTTAAATATTAATGATTTTATATGTAATTTTCGTTAATAATAATATAAATAAGTTTTGAACTAATAGGTGCTTAATTCCGTAAGATTATATAGTAATTTAATAATATATAACAATATTTTTTTAGGGTATTTATTTTTTAATTCCATTAATAGGCGCATAAAAATTGTTTTTTATATTAGCGTTTTTAATTAAATATAAGTTATAATAATATTCTTTATTATAATTTTTATTTTTTATTATTTAAATATAGGGGCTAATATTAATATTAATTATTAATTAGCTTTTTAGATAATAAGTGTATATATTATTATGAATTTTTTATTGGAGTTGCTATATTTTTAGACTATTAAACATAATTTTTCATATAGTATAAAAATATTTTTACCCTTAATTTTTTAAACTATTTATAATTTAAATATTGTTATTTTTTAATATATTATTATATTATATATTTTAAATTGTAATATACTTTTATTAAAAAGGGCATTTAATTTTTTTATATTTAATATTTTATATAATTTTTTTAATATAATTATTTTATTATTTATTTATAATTATAATGTTAAGATAAAATTATTATATTTTTTAATATTAATATATAAAGTAATAATATATAATAAATTATTAATATATATTAGATCTTTTTTTAAAATAATTTAATAATTATTAAAGTTAAAAGTGAAATTAAGTAATTTAATTTTAACTTTCTTTAATAAAATTAAGTTTTTTTTAAATTAAATATATAATTTAATATATAAATTTCGGAACGTAAATATGTTATTTAACGCACTTAAAGTAATTGTAATATCCTTTTCAGTAATTATAATAACTTTATATAGTTCTTTTTAATTACCTTTTTCCTTATAAACTAATACCTCGCTTCCGATGGGTAAGGATATAAGAAGAGTTATTTTAATGTTAGGGCCGTTACGGGTGTTTAGGGCGTTTTGTACGGAGCGTTGTAACTTAATCTTTTTAATTTCCGTTATTGCCTTTTAAATTGTTTATGCCCTTTGGATTTATATGGTAATAAGTGGTAAGTCTATGTTAATCTTAGGGTAGGTGCTGAAAATTAGTAGGGTTAGGATAAGGCCATTTGGATTAGTAATGTTATTAATTATTTTTATAATTATTTAAAAACGTAACGTTTTTAAATTAAAATCTTTAAGTTTATTAATAATAATTTTATATATTTTGTAAATAGGGTTATGGTACTTTTTAACTTTTTTAATAAATTAATAGGCTTTTATTAATATTTAATAATAGATAATCTTAATTACCCGTGCTTTATTGCAGAATTTGGAATTGTTAAAGTTCGTGCCCGTATTGTAAGAAATAATATTGGGTGGTTTAAAATAAGTGTTAATTTAACATTTTTTTAATATTTCCTATATTTCCTTTATAATAACGTTCTTTAAGAATTGCGTTACTTAAAAACTGGTGGCCGTATTAACAATATATAGGACCAATTACCCGTTTAAATATATTATATCAATAATTATCTTATAATTAAACTTTATATTTAAGTCTTTTAAAGTAAATTTAAATTATTAAAAAACTTTCCCCTTAATTTAATAATAATAATAGAATTTATTAATTTTTTTAAAATTATTTATATTAATATTATATTTAACTTTATTTAATAAATTATATAATTTATTAATTAATAAATAATTAAAATATATATATAAATATTATAATTTTATTTTTATAAAATAAATAATATTTTTTAATTAGAACTACAGATATTCCCATTTTTTTTTAATATTAATTGTTATACTATTTTTACATATAAATTAATTAATAACATTATTAAGATATACTTTTAATCGGTTCATATTCTTTAATAATAATAGAAATAAAATATTTAATTCTATAATATAAAAGTTTATTTTATTAAATAAAATATTTATTATAATAATGTTAAGTGATTTAATAGGTAATTTATTATTAAATTAAATATTAACTTTTTTAATATAAGTATTGTTTATTTTTAATTATTTATTTAGGTATTCTTTAATAAAAGTTAGGTATTATTCTTTTTTAATTATAAATATTTGGGCTGCTTTTATATCTAATATAATTCCTTAGAAAATGTTCTTTATATATTAATTTAATATAAAAATAATATCAGATTTCGGATTGTCTAAAAGGAAATTAATAATAAAACAGTGATAAAACGCTTAATTAAATAAATATGTAATTATTATATATAAATTACTATTTTTATCCGGATTTATTATTAAATAAGCTATTTTATCTCCTTTGTGGTTAAATTCCGAATCTAAGTTTTTAATTCCTTTGTAATTTATTAAGAACGTTATATAATTCTTTTTAAAAAAGCCTTATTTAACCTTCCATTTGTCCTTAACCTTCTTTTATTTATATTCTAAATATTTAATAAACTAATATCCATCTTTTTTACATATTTAATATCGTCGTTTCCAAATTTTGGAAGATTATTTTATATTATATTTACTTTTTTTATTATTGTAATAATATTTATAATTAATATAATAAATATAGTTATTATTATTATTATTATTATCTTTATTTATTATAAATTACCTTACTTTTTTTATCACTTTGTATATTTTAATAAACGTTCGGAATTTATTTATTAAGTTTTTAAATTATATTAATAATTTAAAAAGGGCATATTATAGTTGGGGCATAATTTAGTAAGTTTAATATATAATTGTAATAAGTTATTATTTTCTTTTAAAATTAGGGCTTAACGCCTTTTAGTATAATAATAATTTATCAAATAAAATTTAAAATATTTTTATATTATTTTTCCTTTTATTTTACTTTTTTACTTTAATATTAAAAAAAGTGGTAGAAATTTAATTATAATGGTATTAAATTTTATTTTATTTTATATTAAAATGTTGTTTTATAATTAAATATATGTTTATAAAATATTAGAATTAAAATATATTATAAAGAAAATAAATAGCCATTTTCTTTAATAAAATAATAAAAAATATAATATAAAATTAAATTTATTGTATTCTGGCCGTATAATAAATATTTAAAAAGAAACGGAACTTATTTTTAAGAATATTATATATTTTTCTTATATAATTATTTTTATTATTTTATACTTTTTTGAAATAACTAACAATTATTAAAGGGTATATTTCGTTAAGGATTTTTATTGGGGGAATATTATAATAAATGTTTCTTTACTAATTACCAATTGGCATAGGGGCTTATGCTTATTAATTATTTGGTTATATAGGTAATGGAGCCGTTTAGGAGGAGGAAACGTAATTTCTGATAGGTTGATTTCCTCTTCCTTGTCCGGCGCCTTAAGGAGCTGCCGGTGTTATGTATGGACTACCCGGTGGCGGTCTAGGGGGTCCAGGAACATTTCCCGGGACCGGTGGGCTGGTTAATGCTTTTTGCATTGGGCTATTATTATATACGAAATTATACCCTTATCCATACCTTTATTAAGTTATATATGTAAGATCATTAAGGTAAACATTGGTGGCAGTCTGGGGGGGCGCAGCCGTTCTTTAATAGACGGGGGGGGGCAAGGAGGTAAAAGGGGGGCTAGGGGTCTGATGCTAGAGGGGCTGAGTTACAAGCTTCTATACTTAGATAGGTGGCGAAATGTGGAAGATTAATGACGGGTTATTAGGGACAGGGGGGGGTTATTTTATTACCTACGGGGTTGGTAATGGATATTATATGTGGGAAAGGGGTTAGCTAACTGGGGTAATAAATTATATTAAAACTTATTTTACATATATTAACGTTTAAAAGTTATAAACTGTAAATTATTATTGTTATAATGTAATATATATGCGTGTAAATACCCATATATTTGGGTAAATTAGTCCTTAATTAATATTATATATTAATACCTTTTATATTAATATATTAAGTTATTTTTATTTAATTATTTTTAATTTATTTAAATTTTACATTAATAATTTACGCAATAATATAAGGTTAATAAATATTTTAACGTAATTAACATTATATTATTTTATATAAATATTTTATTATATTAATATAATTTAAAACATTAATTATAAAAGTTTTAATATATTTATAAAGTTTGTTATTATAAATCCGTAAAATTGATTTTAATATTTATTTATTATTTCTTTAAAAATATAAATATATGATATATTTATGTTAATAATTTTTAAATTTATTAACGTAAATAGTATTTAAATTACTTTTTACTTAAGGATAGCCGTTTGGGGGTTAATTAACTCTTATTTTACAGCCATATGGTCAAAATACTAAATAAGGGTTATTCGTCCAGGTATATAGTTCATCAAAGCTTGTAACTCATTTATATTTTCTATTTTAACTGGGTTAATTATTATAACACAAGCTTGTGCTTGCGCTGAAGTTTCTAGTTAAAATATTATAAGGTATTTATAATAAATAGAAGGTATTAATTTAATTAATAATATTAATAATAAGTTGGAATTATAATAAATAATAAAAAATTTAAAAAGGTTAAGTAATAAAGTAAAACAATAATCTTTTATAAATTTAAAATATATTTATAAATAAAAGAAAATATATTAATATTATATATATTATTACGATAAAATCTTTTTAATTATTATAACAGTAACTTTTTTAACTTTATTAATTTATATTATTAAATCTTTAATAACATTAATTAATATTAATAAGTACATATATATAATATATAGCAATAAATAAGTAAATTAAATAATAATAAAAATAAAATTAATATATTAATAATGTTTAAGGAGGGAAAAATCTATCTAAGGCTAACTAATAATGTGATGTCCTTTTATATAATAATAATAGGTATACTGTTTCTCCTTCCAGTATTGGCGGTAAGGCACTTTATCCCCAATAAGGTGCCTACGCGCCGATGTTACACAACCACCAATTATATTAACATTTAACTTATATTATTACTATTTACTTAAAATTAAAACCTTAATTATTACATTTTAACGAACTTAAATGTAAATTCGTTACATATTAATAAATCTTAATTTTCAAGTAAATAATAACTATATAAATTAAATATTAAAATAAATGTTAAAATATTTATTAAAAATTTAAAATTCTTTTTTTATATAAATTAAATATAAAACTTAAATTAATAATTAAACATATAATAATTTATATAAACTTACCGTTTTACTTATTTAAAAGCTTATATACTTTAAATTAAAATGGATTTAATAATTTTAAAAATTAATTTATTTAAACTTTTTAAATTTAAATTAATTTAGCTTAATCCAGTTTAATTTACATTTCTTAAGCTTTATTATAGATTATGTTAACGTTTTACCACATCCCTCGTTACCCCGTTTCTTAATTGTTTAACTAATGCTTTTTCTAATAGCTATTAATTTGTAATATAATATAAAAATATTAAAATTTTATTAAAAAAAATATAAAATAATATATATTAAATTAAAAATAATAATTTTCATTCATTTTAATATATTAAAATTAACTTTTTAATCTTTTTAAAATTACGTAATTAATTTAATATTATTAAATTTCATTATTTTTAAATATTTTAACTTTTTATATTTATTTAATATAAATTAAAATAAAAATGGGGAAAATAACGGCTTCATTAATTTAAGTAATAAAAAGTATTAAGAAAATAAAAATAATTTTTCAAAATTCTTTATAATTTAATTTATGTAAATATATTTTTTATTTTTTTTTTACTTTATATTAAAATTTCTATTATTACTAATTTTAATATATATTTAATTTTAAAATTAGATTATATTAAAGAGAAATATAATTAAGTTAAAACTTCAAATTGCATCTTTACATCTATTTTATTTAATTAAATATAAATTTATTTATATTTATTTTATAAATTTGGTTACAGTACTCGTAGAGTTACAGCACTTTGTACCAACTAAGCCCCGCTTAGTTGGTCCTTTAAAGGATGCGAACGGACCAACGGGTAAATCATACTTGACCGCGAACCACCAATACCCCACTTAAGCACTCGGAAATAAACAACAACTTGCTGAGCGGCTGATGTCTTAGAATCCGGGTACCTGCAGGTCAGTATAGATACCTAGATCCCGCACGGAAAGAATTCTCGAACAGCATCCGGGGACGGCATCGGCAACGGAATGCAGTGAACCCTAATAGAACGGCGAGGCGAGTGATTATTCGCATTTCGCATTGCATCATAGCGGAAGCACAACGTAATTTACATTATTTCGCCCTGGTGGGTGCGAGACGATGCTATTGGAGCGCGATGAACGGCGCCCAGGCGCTTGAGGAAATAGAACGGACTCAACTGTCGTCAGCCACGCGCGTCATCTGGGTCAGCGGCTTGGGGAATGAAATTAAACCGTACGTATATTTCAATTCACCAGATGGGAATTTCCGCACCGCCGTAATCATGGACCTCCCATAGGTGCGCGAGCTCTGTTCGACCCTGACATTACGGGGTGAAGCAAGAACTTGCGCACAATAGCAGCGGCTCTGTCCTCTTGTATGGCCGTGACGGTTCCAACGCTCCACGACAGCTGCAATCATCGGCAAGATGACGTGTCGGTACCTGCATTGCTGGAATCTACCAGTGAACCAATATGCGATCAACCACTCAGGGGGGGATTGCGTCAATTCAGGTACCGTGAGGTAGGTATAAAGAAGTTCCTTTATTGACCTAATTAAACCTAAAGAACCTAAAAAGCTGAGAAAGCCTTTGCTGAAGCTGTCTAGTAGCATTCGGCGATATTCAAATGTCTTGGGGACTCGGCGATTTTTAAGCGTATACGAAAAAAAAATATTTATTATTAAAAAGCCATTGAAGAAGACATTCGAGTAAAAGTAACTAATAAGAACTGCAAGGTTGTCGTCCTCTAGCTAGCAAAGTATAAACTTTAGTAATGTACCTACCTTACTACATAGGAGATCTCTTACCGCACATAGGTAGTAGAGGGAGGTAGAGGTAGTATCACCTCTCATGTAATGGCCGGTGATGATCGCATTAGGGGAACACGCTACGTAAGTTCTCTAGCCCTGGCCTGTCCAACTAAAACGGGCTTTGGTCTTGGACTAAAAAAAGCGAACTTAGCAAAGTCGGAAATTTTCCGTACCCCAAAACTTTTTTCGGACCCCTTATTTGATCCCATTTCCAGCTTCCTAATATCCTCTTTTTTTTCTACTACTCATGAGGCAAGCCTGTGGCACAAGAATCTGTCGCATGGCCAAGAAGACAATAAAGTATGCTATCTTAAGATACAATCAATCTCACTCCACTAAGCCGTAATTGACTCTTTCTTCTTTGTGTATCCGAATGACCAACACAAAACCTGCTCGTGGGATTCTTTGCTGCTCGTTGTTCAACTGGTCTAATATCAACGAATATCAACGGCTTTATCTGTTAGCCTGTTAGCGCAGTCAATGTCCTGATCTGGCCGATCGAAATGAATGCGCTAAAAAGCTTGGTTCTGACGAAATGAGCAGAAACTGGGGTTAATACTACTAGTGCATCGTCCTATCATGGCGCAATAGCTATGACCACGATTATTGCCCGCAAGTGGGTAATTGAGAAGAAGTTAAGGTCGTAGCGTTGTGACGATCAGACTTCTCACAGTCCATTACAAGCCCATCGTGGTCCATCGTGGTTCATCTTCATCCATTGGAAATTCACCCATGGAATGAAGGGGTAGCAGGAGAATAAGGCTTTTGACAGGAAATAAAATCAGACCAAAGCTCCAGGAAAGCCTAATGTGGCATGTGGTGTGTTCCTATTGATGGTTCTTGGCTTAGCGGCAGATCCCCCTGATCTTGACCTCTTCTGGGAATAGATGACAGAAATGATACTGAACTATGTATGGACAGATGGACAGATGGGATACATACAATCCCACGCCAAATTCGCTATGTCGGGCATGTCACCGATTCATGCAGGATGCAAGGTACAGAGAGCTGCAGTACCACTCCGGCCACTCTAACCTAGTCACTTTTTTCGTCCATCTTCCAATCATCTCCGTTTCAGGGTCAAGCTATGGTCCAGCCAGCCCAGCTCAGCAAGAGTTTGACAAGATCCTTAGGTAGCAAAGTGCCATACATCCTTGTCCTTTCGTGGCGTTTATCTTTTGAAACTAACATTCTGCTCCCACTCCCTCCATGGCGTCCCCAAGTTCCTGACTTTAAGTCTTTAATCTTATTTACCCACCCCCTTTCCGCTCGTTACTTTGCTTCCCTTCTTCCTCTCTTGTTGACTTTCGATTCATCATTGTCGTCGTCTTTCTTTGCCCGGAAGCAATTCGCTGAGTCATTCATTGTAACGGTGATTCTTCACCAAGTCGCTCCTTAACAAACAAACAATCATTCAATTCACTTCAGGCGAAAGAGGTTCTGTTTAGCGCTTCTTGATTTGCCTTGTCTGCGGGTTTGCTTGTCCACGTTCACTTCATAGCTTATTGTCATTCCGGCCACGTTTTCGAGAGAAAAGGTGTAATCCAAAATCCACAAAAAATACAATACATTCAACGAGTCGAGGGACGCGAAATATTTCCATACGAAGAGTATATACCATCTTTGGATAACTTATCATTCGCAAAGGACAAACGTCATCATCAAGGACTTCCCTTCGATCGTCGCGATGAAGTACTCGACCGCGCTCGTCGTGGCCACGGCCTCGGCGGTCAATGCAGGATACTGTAACGATGCCTTCGAAGAATTCGGAAACTTTTTCTGTCCCAATGCGGTTAAGCAAGTCAAGTACACTGGTCTTGACATTGCGGGCAAGTACCGCGCCGTTGCGCAGATGGACAACAATGGTCTTTGCACGTTCAAGGATAAGGACTACTCTGGTCCCATCGCCCCATTTGACGAGGACGTGAGTATCAATTCCTTTTCCGCGAGACGATCCCCCCATTTCTAACGCAAGCGCAGTTGACTTTGCACTTCCGAGGCCCTCTCGAACTGAAGACGGTTGCTGTCTTCACTCCTTCCTCGGCATCAGCCAAGCGCGAGGTCCAGAGGCCTCACTCTAAGCGTCACGGCCACCAGCACCTTCATAAGAAGCACCACGAACATGCTCAGGCCGAAAAGCGCGAAGACATGGTCGTCGCCACGATTAATGGCCAGGTGGTGTCATGGGTGAACAACTACTTCGGTGGTGCCGCCGCGACACCTGCCCCGGCTCCAGCTTCCACACCTGCTCCTGCTTCCGAGCCCGCTTCTCCGGCGGCCGAACCGGCTTCCTCGGCCTCCGAGAAGCCCGCCTCGTCGTCTGGTTACCCCACGGCCGATGTTCCTGCTGGCGACTTCCAGCGCGTCGCCTACTACAACGCCAAGGACCAGGTTGCCGACGGCCTGGTTTTCCTCGGCAACTTTGGTGACCCGGCTATTTCCGGTACTTGGGATACGTGAGTTGCGAAGTCAAGGATAAGTGAAAGCATTATCACAGTGGCTAACTCGCTTGCAGTGTCTGGGGTGCCAGTTTGGCCTACGCTAACGAGGAGGGCACCGGCGCTGCTCCGTCCCCTACCGTCCTTAAGGACTGCCGTATCGACGACACCAAGGAAATCATCATCGCTTCGGACCAGAAGTGCGATGATAGCTGCGGCGCCGTTCGCCCCGGATCTGTCGCCTACAGTATGTTTTGCCCCTCATCAAGAAAGCAGGAGTACAGTTAAGGTTAGGTAGTTGTTATCCTGAATAATAGGTACTAATGGAATTTCGCAGAGGGATTCGGCGGCTCTAACAAAATTTTCCTTACCGAGTTCTCCATGCCCCTGAGCGGCCAGACCGGGTGGAACATGGACATGCCCGCGTACTGGCTGCTGAACGGAGCGATCCCGCGAACGGGCCAGTACAGCAAGTGCAGCTGCTGGACCGGCGACAACCAGAGCCCGCAGCAGGGCGGTTGCGGCGAGGCCGACATCATCGAGGTTCTCCGGTCCGGCGACACCAAGGCCAAGTCGACGTTCCACTTCGCGGCCGGCACGGGCGACTCGCACTACTTCGACCGCCCGACGGGCAAGACCATGAAGGTCGCCGTCGTCTTCCAGGCCTCCTCGTCCACCGCCTCCATCAAGGTCCTCGACGACAGCTTCGACATGACCGGCACCAGCCTGACCGCCGACCAGGTCCAGGACATGATCAACGACGAGCCCGACGTCAACCTCTTCAGCTTGATGAGCTTCGGCGCGTAAAAGCGGGATTCTTTGAAGAGGGGATGTGGACGGGGACCGGGACAGGGACCGGTCACGAGGGACGAGGGTGATAGAGGTGTGGGGAAGGGAAGGGAAGGATATGACCTAGAGGAATGAGAGAGGAAGAAAGGATAATGGCCTGGGGATGGCGACTGACGTCTGCTTCTCTGGGCTTGCTGTTTCTTTTGTGCTTGCTTGTGTGTGTGATTTCTACGATGGATATAGGAGCAGTTTTGTAACGTGTTTTCCTGTGCCCGATATTCCCCTTTTTGCATATTTTGATTTGATTGGATTCTTCAACGTCTGTGGATCTTGCCCGTTGATCCCAAAGCATTTGCTTTGTATGTCTGTGTGTATGTATACATGTATGTATGTGTGAAGTCGCAATTATCATGAAGTTGGGCTAATTTCGAGATTTCTTGGTACGCGCTCTATATTAGAAAACCTGTTATTGGAGGTGGGCCGGCAACAGATAATGGGTGGTCAAAAGAAGGTTTGCTAGGTGTCGTATTGCGCGGGTCCCCGTCGTGAGACCCTTGAGGCTGTCGGGAACAGCCCGAGACAGATCTGGTGTTCTGTAATACTTCGCTTGACTTTACTTTACCGACAGTGTACACTACCTACCTATCGCTACATCATTTCCCGATCGTAGACCCGTTATTTTCTCTTAGACAGTTAGATTTCTGAGGTACTATGTACTTTGTGTTATATTGACATTTATAACAGGTGCCTATTCCATACATGATAGCCTACCATATGGCTCAAGCAACTTCGATACACCTATTTACAGCAAATAGCCTATTGGAACCAGCTTCCATAAAAAACGATTTGCTCAGATAATCCTACGCCAATCATAATTTACAAAGGCAGGTAGGTACAGTACCGAACATAGCCTTCGTTCCCCTAATCCTTGCCTTCTCCCCTACTCTTTACCTTTTTTGTTTCCTTCCGCAACAGTATGTTATACATCTAACCGCGTTTATTTTTCACTCGATTAACTTATCTGCTACCCTTGACGACCGGGTAGGAAGAAGGATGCGCGGAAATCTCAAGGTTTCCAGATTTCTAGGTAAAGAACGCACCCCAAGCCACGTGCCTTTGTGCGCAGGATTTGCTCGGCGCTGGCCCCCCGTGGACGAGAATAGAAACATGCTGTAGAATATCCGATGCTGCGTCGTGAAACCATGTACCTGCCTAACCTTCCCCTCTTCCTTCTTGCAGGCGAGAAAAAAAAGTTTATCTGATCCAGGTGCCCGGTGCCCAGGTTTGTAGGGATTCTGTCAGCCAGCTTATTTTTAGATGTTTCTTTATGCGGGATTGTTAAAGTTCTTGGCTGTTAGGCACGAGCTTAAGGTTCTCTGCATCACTTCTGGCATTATAGCATGGGTTTAACTAAGAGCATCCGCGTAGCAGATCGGATTCACCTTATTAAATTGAACAAGGTTGGCACGAGGAACTTTGCCTAGATACTTTCAAGACCAGTGCAAAAGAAGCACCTATAACATGATATTTCAACTTTGATCGTTCAATCATATTATCACGACCTGCTACTTTTCGTTTTGTCGAATGGCAACCGAACGTCATAGCTGAGGCAAGATTATTCTTAGCCTTGATATTGAGTGATCTCCGGAGCTACGGCCAGTGAGTCGGCATTTGTACGCCAATATAGGAAATCTACCACCGGTGTCTCCGAAGTGTGGCTTAGTCACGCCGAGATTGCCGGGAGATGCACATAAGGTTAAAAGATAGATGATATAGACGGTACGAAACTTCGCTTTTGGTCTGTATATACCCGGAGAGTCGATGTTAGAAATGATCCATTGCTCTCCTTGAACCCTCTCATATCCAGCAACTCGTAGGATTTAAAGTCTTGCGTAAGCAATTCGATAGAGATGACAAAAGCTAACTAGCAGACTCCGCCGCAGCTTCGTATATTTAGAGTGATTGGAGCGATAAGTACTAACCTAGTGTATGGTAATTCAGGTGTGTGGTAGTTCAGGAACAAACAAGTGAACTAGAAACCCCCAAGCAACCCCCACAGCGAACTGCGTACGGACACTGGGGAAGCGTGTCATCATGATGCGTAGTAGCGTAGTAGCGCAGTAGGATGGAGCAGTAGTTGCAGTAGTTGGCAGTGCTATACTGCTAGATTGTCTAAGGTAATTGGCGGATCAATTGCGGCTCCAATGGTGGAACGGCGATACCAGCGCTTAAACTGCTGCCAGTTAAGCGAAGAGGTTCCGGTACGTTCCAACGACGTCACTCAGATGTAAATAAACGACCATAAAAGAATTTCTGTAATATATGGATGAAAAATATGGGATGGTAGTAATATCGGATGCCAAGTCTGGGCATCTTGTCCGAATGGATAGTATTGGATAAGAGAATTGACTCTAACAAGGAAGTGAGATCGAAGATCGCCCCTATAGCGTTCGAATTACCAAAATGTTCTGCGGGCCGCATTCTCTCTTCGCTACAGTAGTGTGTCTAATGCTTGAATAGTGGGTAAATACCTAGGTATAGAAGCGCCGTACTTGTTCAGATGTCCTGGAACAAAACAGGAACAGGAACTAGCAGTTACCCGAATCCAAGGTAGGTTTACTTAGCTTTAATGATATCCTTTTGTTTGGTCTCCCTGTAGTAAATGCTCCGCCTGAAAGCATGTATATCACCCAAGATTTTCGTATTTTCGTAGATATTTGCAACAATCGAGAGTCCATCGCCACTGCTTTAGGTGAGGTAGGTACCAAGTCGGCCCAAATTTTACGCTTCTTGGAACTTGGAAGACGTCACTGATCTCTGTGCTTGGCCTTTCAAAATAGACGCCGTAACTGTGCCTAATCGCAAAACTCCTAAGACTTGTTATAAAAAGCTTGGTAACAACTTACAAAGATTAAGATCTCCATCCATACTGCAATTTTAACTCAACTGAGCCTGTATTAGTGCTATGGCTCCGAGAAGAACAGATCCCGAGGTCGGCCGGAACCGCCAAGACAGGCATCTCGGGCCTAGAGTACTCGAAGAGCTGCCCGATACTATTTCGGACCAGCTTCCAAACGCATCCCAGCAGAGATCCAACTTGCCTCGTATTATCGAATCAAATCAGTTGAACCAGAGTCAGAGTCAGAGTCATAGTTCGAGTTCGAATTCGAGTTCGGCACCTACAAAGAAGGTCCAACGAGTAAAAGACAGAATACGAAGAAGAGCCAACGGTTCGCAAGAGCCCCCAGTATGGATGGACGATGGATATTACGAAGCGAACCCATGGCATGGCCGATCAAAGAAGAAGCCTATTTTCAGTCTCGGAGCGCCTTTGCCACATAAAGTTCGCTGGGCTAAGGAACCAGTTGAAGTGCCTTCTAGACCCGTGCCTAGGTCCTCTGAAGACTTAGCAGAGCTCGGCGAGGGCGACTTCGACGATGCAGATGGACCGAATGTCGAAAAGTCGCAAAGTGCGGCGGGGAGCGAATATTCAGGGCCTAAAAGGACGGCTGCAGGCGTCACGCACGGCGACAGACATAATGCCGCCGGACAACCCGTCTTCGAATATCAGCCCGGAGAGGAAAATTCCGCTCGAAGGGAGCGCACAAAGGATACGCACGAAACTAATCGAAGCAATAAAGAGGACCTTCGCAACTACGGAATCGATAGCGAACCGTTAGGCCACCGTGAAAACGAAGATGCAGAAGAAGGGGATAGAAACCCGAATGAGTTTCGTAACTGGTGGGCCCGTATACGAGCCAAGCATCCCGAACCTTTAGCTGAGTTTCTAGCGGTATGACTTTCCCAGCCCTCTTTTTGCTTCGTAGTACCGCTTGAACTAACTAGGACCGGTTTACAGACAGGAATAGCCGTGTTCATGGGATTAGGCTCAACCCTCGCCGTAAACTTATCGGCTACCCAGAACGTAAAATATGGCACCTATGAAACTTCATGCTGGGCATGGGGTTTTGCTTGGATGTTTGGCATCTACCTCGGTGGTGGCGTATCCGGTGCTCATATGAACCCGGCCATTTCGATTAGCCTGTCGCTCTTTCGTGGCTTTCCGTGGCGGTCGTGCATCATGTACGTGGTTGTACAATTCGTTGCTGGCCTTGTTGCCGGGGCTCTAGCCTATGGCATCTATAGAGATACAATTATATATGTCGACCCTACTATGACGAATACAGCTAAAGCCTTCTTCTCGAGTCCCCAAGAATGGGTATCGCTGGGTTCAGCTTTCTTCGACCAGGTTGTCGGTAGCGCCATTATGACGATTGCTGTCTTTGCGCTGGGAGACGATCAGAACAACCCTCCTGGGGCAGGAATGCACGCCTTGGTAAGTGGCCCCTTACATACCTACCTAGGTACCTTAGGTAGTTATTGGATGAACAACACTGACAAAGGTGAGGTAGGTACTCGGGCTGTTGGTCACTACCTTGAAATTTACTCTGGGCTACACAATAGGATCGGCATTAAACCCAGCTTCGGACTTTGGTCCAAGGGTGGTAGCTTGGGCAGTTGGCTATCGAGGGCCGGAAGTATTTCAAACAGGATGGTGGTTTTACGGCCCATGGCTTGCCACTCTAGTTGGCTCTATCATCGGGTGTGCCATATACGATGGCTTCATTTTTGTTGGAACTGAGAGTCCGATCAACTACCGAATCAAGGGCGGAGTCAAGAAGCGAACTGGAAGACTGTTTGACTTTGCTAGAAGGAAATGACAGCAATGAAAATCCTAGGATAATGCCACGATACGATAATGTATGAATTCATAGAACTTAGAGTAGGTTAGCTACCTGTAATAAAAAAAAATTCATCACAATCTGTGAAGAGGCAAGAGGCAAACTCATGGTCTCTAACAAAAAAAGATAGGGAGGGATAACTATGAAGTACCTAGGTACCTAGGTACCTAGGTAGCGTTTAAGTTATGTGGCCCAAGCGTCTATGTACAAGCTAGTCAGACTGGCTGACTAACAACGAATCACGTGAAATCTAATGTGCTGCTTTCAATGGACATAGCCGAAGGGAGGTGCGGTGCGGCTGGGTTTTTTGGTTATCAGTTGTTCACCATCAGAAAATACCGAGGTCCTTTCTTTTAACCTTCTCATCTCACTCTTTAACCTGTCAACATTCCAACTCTCAACCTCATTTTTTTTCTCTTTCTTTTGCGCAACGAGCCGGTTCGCAAAGTTTTTTTTCCGTCGCATCTCGTAAACGTTTCTGATTAATTGAGGTTACGTCAATTACGATGGCTTCGCCACCCAAACCTTGGGAGCGCGCTGGCGCGACAGCATCTGGTAGGTTTCAATTTTACTGCAATTTTACTTCCAACTTCACATATCAACACTATTTACACCACTGTTTACCGCTTTCATTTGCTCATTTCTTCTAGCAAACACTGCTGCATCAGCAACGACACCGACTCAGAATGCCATCAACACACCTTTGTCAACAACCGGTTCGCCTTCTACTCCGAGCATGCCGGCAATTCCTCCCCGCCCGGATTCTCTGAACTCAGCTGTGAACCAGAACGCGTCGGCCTACAGTCGGGCGCCATATAATGCTGCGTACAGTCCTTATTCGTCACCCTACAATAGGTATGGAGGTTACGGTTCCGGCATGTATGGTGGCATGGGTGGTTATGGTGGCATGCCCGGCATGTACGGCGGGATGTATGGGGGAATGCCTGGCATGATGCCAAACGACCCGAACAATCCCAATAGTTTGGCCAATCGTGTAACCGATAGCACCCAAGCCACCTTTCAGCTGCTAGAGGGCATTGTTGGTGCCTTCGGTGGCTTTGCACAGATGCTTGAGAGCACGTATATGGCAACCCATTCGAGCTTCTTTGGTAAGTCAATTTGCATGATATCTATCCGAGGATCTGGTCGCTAACCAAGTAACAGCCATGATATCCGTAGCCGAACAGTTTGCTCTCTTGCGCAACACCCTCGGGTCGGCTCTCGGCATATTCACCATCATGCGATGGTTTCGCACCCTTTTTGCCAAGCTGACTGGCCGACCGCCACCAGTAGACGCTATGGCACTCACACCAGCAGCCTTCGCCCGCTTCGAGGGGCGCCAGGTACCACCTGGCGCTGGAGGCCAACCCAAGGCTAGCCGGAAACCTCTCATTTTCTTTCTTCTTGCTGCATTTGGACTGCCATATATCATGAACAAGTTAATCCGATCCCTTTCCCAACAGGAAGAACGCAAGCGCCTTGAGGTCTCGACTCCGAACGCACCTCTCGATCCTAACAATCTCGAGTTTTGCCGTGTTCTCTACGACTTCACCCCCGAAGCTGGCAATGCTACTCAGGGAGTCGATCTTGCCGTCAAGAAAGGCGATTTTATCGCAGTCCTAAGCAAGAGTGATCCCTTAGGTAACCCTAGCGAGTGGTGGCGTTGCCGGGCTCGAGATGGGCGTCTAGGATATCTACCAGCAACGTTCTTGGAAGTGGCTAAGCGACCTGGCCAGCCTATCGCTGCTATCAAGGCAGCCCCGAGCGAGCCCGCGTCATCCGCGAAGGCTAGCGCCACGCCGCCAGTCGTTACCAGCAAAGCAGGGGATATTTCTGCCGAGAGCTTCCAAAAGTCACAGTTTTATTCCTAGGGAGATAAACGTGTGAGTGGACAGCCCTTTTGGCCAAAGATACCACCTAGGATGCATAATGCAATTCCCCCTTCTAAGGTCGATTCTCAGCGGCAGCAGGAGGGGTCCAAGGCGAATGCAGACACGAAATCAGATAAACAACAGCGCAAAATTCCTCAAATGGCCGATCCTCGTTCAAGACGTTCGAAACAAAGCCTGCCCAAGGGATTGCAACCTATACATCCGCTTCTACAACCTCTAGTTACTAATCAAACTATGACGCCTTTCCCTCCAGGCCAAATACCACCATATATGATCCCTCCTCAGGCCATGCACTTCGGACCTCCGTCCCAACCAGTTAAACCCAATTATAATGGCGCCGTTCCTCACAGGATTTACGTCGGCAAACCCGTACAACCACAGCTGCCACCACAAGGAGCATCGCCTGAAGCCATAGAGGCATGGCAGAAGCTTCTACAGAGTTGTGTATATATTCCGGTGCCGGGAGTGATACCAGTCGTGAAGACCCCCAAGGCGCCCCCTAAATTATAAATTCCAAGCTACGGGCGGCATACCTTGGAATTCGGATTGAGATTAAGCAATTATGGCCGTACGCTGGTAATGCATGGTGGAGCATTCTGGGATGACAGGATAGGGCGTAGGGGGTTTGCAATAACAACGACTTTCTTCTAGGGTTATGTTTAAGGGAGATGAGCGAAAACGCGAATTCGGGTTATATGAAGAACCACGATCTGATTCGTTTCTAAGAGTTGACTTCAAAGTTAAGCTTTCATATTAGCAAATGTTTTCCGCGTTGGACATGCCCGTCGGCGTTCGGGATTCCTTCGGAGTATGGGGGATACAACACATACCAATTGCTTTCGTTGCGTAGGGTTGTAGAGGAATCAAAAAGTTATCACGATTCTCTGACTTAATTAACATAAATGCGCCACGGGCGATTAACGAATAAACTTCCATATGTCTGATGTTATGCTGGACACCTTTTTTCGTGACTGAAAGTTGTAGAAGATGTGAGACGAGGTAAGCTCAACAAGTGTAGCACTACCAAATATTATCCACCTTAACAACTTGAGTAGCACACATTATAAGCAAGTGAATGAAGTTCATTTTCCATTTGCTATATCTTGCCAGTGGTACCTAAAGTTAAGCAGGTACCTTAGCTACCTACCTCCTCTACCAAGAGGAGTGCCAGGGAAGATGTAGGGACCTCACCACATAGTACATAGTACCTATATAACAAGAAATCATGGTCAATTCATCCTATATATGACGATAGGTGTTGCTAATCATACATACCCGATGTCCTCTATACGCGAAGGAAGAAAAAGAACAACAATCCGATCAAGTACACCGAAAAAAAAAAACACATATCAAAAAGTCGAACACGGGCATTTCTCGACATGGTATCGAATAAGATTCTCTTTCTATGTTTAACGTTTTTATTTCCATTCGTCATCCTGGCCGATCCTATCTCATCACACACACACGCGCGCGCGCCCCATCTTACAAGTTACAACCGTACTATACCCTCTCTCTCTCTACTTCACCTCTCTCTTCCCTCTAGATAGATAGAACCATGTGTGGCACAAAAAGAAGAAAAATAGCGCACACAAAAAAAAAAAAAAAAAAAAAAAAACCTTTCCCCCTACCCCCTCTTCCCTTCCTGATCGGTAAATAACGGTACTCATACCGCAAACCTGGTCCATATCTAGTAGGTAAGTATGCCTGCCTGCCTGTCTATCTATCTATCTTATACGGGTGAGTGTGAGTGTGAGTATGCGTGTGTCCTACCTCCCCTCTCCTCTCTCTCCTATTTTCTCCTCCCCCCTCCCCCCGCGGCGTTATCGACCAAAGTACGCCTTCTCAATCGCCCTGAGGCCAAGATAGCTCACGGACGCGAACCCAAAGGCCAACTCGAAGCCGGCGTCGCCTCCCGACGGCGCGGCCCCGCACAGCCTGCCTATGGGGCCCGTGAACCACTGCTGGGCCATGCCGAGCACGGCGCCCGCGACGCCGGCGCAGAAGGCGGCGACGGCGGCGAAGCCGGGGGGCAGGCGGGAGGGGGTGGCGTAGTCCTCGGGGCGGTAGCGGGAGAAGGAGGCGCGGCGGAAGACGAAATGTTCGGTGAGGGAGACGCCCTCGTAGATGGCGAGCCAGTAGCCGATGACGAGCATGAAGCTCTCGAGCGTGTCCTCGAAGTGGTCGTACCCGGGGATCGCGATCGCCACGTACACCGCCGTGCCCAGGAACGTCCACACGAACCGCGGCACCCGCTGCGTCCGCTCCGAGAGCACCTGCAGCGACAGCGACACCGAGTACGCGTTCGGGCAGTTGTTCCCGATGATGGACAGCCCGAGCATCACCACGCAGAACTCCCCGAAGCGCCCCAGCCGCGGGACGAGCACCTGCGCGAGCAGCCCGCCTATGTGCGCGTCTTCGTACGCCGACGTGTAAGCTTCGTTCGTAGCCATGGCCGTGGACACCGCGGCTCCGAGCAGTTCGGTGAAACACAGCGCGACGAACAGGCCGGCGAAAGTGCACAGGAAAATCGATCTCCGGGAGCGGGTGACGGGTTGGTATACGGTGTAGTCGGCAGCGTACGAAGTCCACCCCGTCGCAAAGCCGTACACCGACGCCGCGAAAGACAGTACGCCACCAGCCTCCCTGGGCCCGGTCTCGAGAGGGAGCAAGCTGTTGAAACCGCCCGAGTGGGCAAAGGTGCCGAGCACGATCATGAACATGACGAACACGGGGATCCAGGACCATTTCTCGTAAACGTGGACGATTTTGTAGCCAAACGTGCAGATGATCAGCGTTGCGACGGAGATGACGAGGATGCCAGCCCAGCCGGGCACGTCGCTGTTGACTGCGTGGAAGAATTGCGCGCCTACGATGACGTTGACTGCAGACCAACCAATACACGCCAGGATATTGAATACGGCAACTATTGAGCAGTACAGTTAGCAAGGATGTTTTTGAACGGGCGCGCGTATGTATAGTATATAGTATATAGTATAAATAAATAAACGTCAGGGGTAGTTTATCTGATGCGCAAAAGACCTACTTAGCTTGACACCGTAGAAGCCGAAATAGAATCGCGACAGCACCATCTGTCGCAAACCGAATCGGGGACCGAAAGTCGAGAAGAAGCAGACCGGCATGATACCAAGGAGGTTGATGAAGATGATGGTCAAGGCACTGTCTACAAACCCCAAGTTGAAGACAGGGCGCGCAAGAGCGCCAATCGCAAACGACGAGACGACCATATTGGCCGAGAACCACTATTGTTATAATATCAGCAAGGGGAGCCAAAACAAGAAAGATAAAAGGGGCAAGGGGGGGCAGCATATAGCTAGCATACCAGCGTGCCAACCTGAGTTATACTCGAGTCCGTCCTCTCATCGCTAGGAACGCGCTCAATGCCTCTCTGCTCGACACCAAACTTACCCGCGAACCGCTGGAGCTTCGCGTAGACCGACTCGCCTGCCGACAGGTCCTGGCCGTGGACGGCATTACCGTCGCTAACATAGCCGAGGCCATAGTCGATCTCGGGACTCTTAGCCTTATAATCGACCTCAGCGATGATATCGTCGACGTTGGCCTGCATGTTATCTCGCAGCGTCATAATTTTTTTTAATCTTTTTTTCTTGGCACTCGTATGGAAACGCCAAAAAGGAGGGAAGTGGGTGCGTTGAGAAGAAAATTACTGCTTGTTTGCTTGCGTTTCCTGCCTGCTTAATGCTAACTCGTGAGCGGAGGAACGAACGAATGGTCCACCCGGTTGTATATATTGTACCTATGTAAGCCGACTAGCCCAGCTGCAGCGGCAGCAAGAGCAGCAGGTTCAATTCAACCCGCGTGAATAGTAATAATACTAATAATACTAATAATAATAATAATAATAGTAGTAGTAGCGAGGCGCCGAAATAGAACGATGATTACTTAAATCTGCTCACTTAGACTTAAGGTTTGCTGCAGGTCGTCGGTTTAAATAGCAGCTAGTTCTAGCTCTAGCTCTAGCTATAGCCGTAGACGTCTTTTTTCACTTTACTGTGCTTTGCTCTGCAGCACTGTCGTCAATTCCGGTCCTTCTCTAGGACAACTCCGCATCGTAGCTGGCTGGATGGCTGACCGGCGATAATAGATAGGTAGAGGATGGGTAGGCGTAAAAAAAAGGCGTTCGGTAATTATTGGAAAAGAAAGGCAAAAGAAAAAAAAAGAATCAGATCGGAATGTGCCGACCAGCTTAACAAGGCAACAGATAAATATTTTATCTTTTTTTTTCGTGCAGGTTTGGTTTAAGATGGACGACGCCCACTTCGCAAGAAGGCAGAAAGAATACGGCGCCGGTGACACACGGGGTAAGGCGAGCTTTGCAGAAGAAAGGCTAGGCATGCAGCTATATGCGTACCTGAAGGTACACGGCGTTTTATTGCGTACTTACCTAGAAAATAAAAATAAAAATTAATAAGGAAATCAAGCACGTTTGAAAAGAGTGAATAAGATTCGTTGTTATTGGTTACCCATCCAGATAAGAACCCATGTGACGGCAAGGCAGGACGAGATCCGCAACCCAAGAACCTGGTACGGGACGTGGGTTACTGCGATAAGATGTGGGAAATTCATTCACAGCTAAGCTAAGCTATCTTACTGCTACCTTAGCCTAGGTAGGTAGCTTATGAGGTAGTCATAGGATATGGTAAACTGATATCTGGTATAAGAGCCCCCTCCCAGGGTGAATCAAACAGACGCACGAGACAATGGATGAACGTAGATTGCTGAAGCATTATAGACGCCTAAGACCCACAGAAGCCGATGAGAATAAAGAACAAGGATGGATTGGATTGGATTGGATTAGACTATTGAGCCGGTTATTGAGCCGTAGCTGTTTTCACCTTCCCAGTGAAGACTTGTTACTGTTTAAGTGAATCATACGGAAGACAATGTCAGGGTTATTTAGAAAGGTGATAGGCACTGCGTAGTTCACTTCACAAACCTACCAAGTCCAATATAGCAGGGTATTTTAAGTCAACGAGATAAATACAACTCCCTACATATCATCAATGCCAGAACCCCCGGTGAATTACACGTGCATCATGTAGGGCGATCTCGAAATCTTGGCAAGTATCACGGATCTAAAACCCGACTCACTTTTCTTCCTTGTTGCAGACGCCTATCAATCTCCATCTTTCTATCTGTCGGCCTCCCTGTCTTCCCGTCTTCCTGTGTAAGTCTGGGTACCTCACATACCTCATCAGGAGGTATTTATCCATTAATCCGTCCAAATCAGGACCGAATTGAAGAAAGTTGGAATCGCAAGCTGAACAAGTTTTACTAGGATCAAGGATCAATCATAAAAGACACAATAGTACCTAATGTATCCTGACCGCTCTACAACGCAAAACCCCGACGTGATGGTCAACCATGATTGGACGATAAGTAGCAACCCACCCTACATACATGTACCTACATACACCTACATATCGTCCCGAGGCATTTCGTTCGTTATCAATCAAAACCGAACACCCCTCTCCTCCTCGTCTCGTTATCTTTGCCTACCTAGACTTAAAGCCCCAAAGTTCGTCGGCGACCTACATATCGAAAGTCGTAGCTGGAATAGGCAGGCCCGTAAGCAGTAGTGGAAGAAAAAGAAAGAAAAAAGAGAAAGCCCTCGCTCAGCTCCGAATACAGAAACTATCCTATCGAAGCGGAGTCCCCCGGTCTCAGCACAGTGTCGTGTCCATATTAATACTTGCATGTAAACAACCTTAAGGAAAGGTACCTACCTATTGTACCTATTAATATCCCATCTATGTATGGACTGAAGATCTTGGGACCAAAAAAGCTTATTCGCAACCCCAACCTTGGCATCCGGCTCCAGGCCCAGCTGAAAAAAAAAGGAAGATAGGACTACCTACCTACATTAGCAACAAGTTGGAAGTGACGAAATATTCCAAATATCATTGGCCGTCTGGATTCTTTCAAGAAACGTCATATCCATCCCTGCCGTCTGGGATAGATTACCGCATCCTGCAACCTGCAACGCTACCTGAATAAACGTGAGACGGGAAAAGATCAGAGTCGTAGGAATAAATGCATACTTAGGTTAGGTACCTGGTATAGACACGACAGCATGTCGAACGAAGGAGGTGAGCCGGAGGTAGCATGGCATTGTCTTGTCTTGTCTTGCCTATAGCCACGACGCCCGCACTATAACCAAATAACTCCCTATTTTACCTAGCCAATCCCTGCTCGGCTCTATACAATACCTGTAGCTTAGCTAGCAAGAAGCAAGAAGCAAGAAGCAAGAAGACCATCAACCTCTGGTATCAACAAGCTATGGTCTACCCCATCTAGCCCCTATATCATCAGGTCAAAGGTACTCACCCGCATTTCTGTACCATCTCGGAATCCGGAAACCCTCGTGTGTTTCGGTCACGTTGCAAGGCGGCGGAAACTCGCAGCCTCGAATCCTCGTGGTTGTTGTTACCGTCATTACCTAGATACTTACCTTAGGTACCCATTAACTTTTTCCCCGCCTACCCTCTCCCGTCTTACAGAGCCTAGATCTTCCCGAGCCATAGGAGATAGGTACCTACCTAGATTTAGTTCTATTAGGTGAACTTTAGGTAGGTACCAGGTATATATATATGCCGCGGTCTGTGCCAGACCGCCACGTCTATAACCCATGTGCTAAAGCCGCTATCCGCCCCCCTTGGCCAAGGAGCACCCCTGGGTCCCGGGCGGCAAAACGGGACGTCGTCTAATCCAACTGCGCAGGTCTACGTTGCCTGCCAGCTGGACGAGAAAGAGAGGAGGTTTGTGAACATGACCATAGTCTTTATTAAGACGTGATTCTATTCTATTGTATAGCGACCGATGCCTTCTAATACTGCACTTCTGCTTTGCGGCATACTTGCAATTCACACCTCTACCTGCTCCCACTCCCACTCCAACAAAAAACCCCAGAACAAGTCCTTCCTTCCTTCCCCTCTAAAGCGCCGATTGCTCGTCGAGCCAGCTAGCCACCGCGCGCAGCGACACCATCTGCCCGTGCTTATGCGACCAGGTTTCCACGAGCCTGGCTATGATCTGGGCGAAGCCGACGGGGATGAGGTAGGTGCAGATGGCAATCTCGGCCTCGGGCGCGTAGAAGCCGCTCTTCCCCCAGCCCACGATGCACAGCTTGCCCGTCCCGTCGACCAGGAAGCTGCCCGCGTCCAGGTGCATGTTCGCTAGCACGAGCCTGTCGACCCTCATCAGGTCGGCCGCGACCGGGCCCATGTGATACCTCGCGTGGGCCGAGCCGACGATGCATGCGAGGTGCTGCCGGTACGCCTGCATGTCCAGGGGCGCCGTCGGGGGGAACAACGGGTGCACGAACGCGCGCGCGCGGGACGTCCCCAGCGCGCCCGGGAGCTCGCTCGTGTAGGTTTGCATCGTCCTTATCAGCGCGACGATCTGCTTCGATATCCTGTCCTTCTCCGCGGCGCGGAGACGAGGCCAGAGCGCGTAGAGGTTTCCCCCCTCGATGAAGTCCATAATGATGACCAAGCTCCTCGTGCGGCGGTCGCGGAAGACCCGGCGGACCTTGGGCACGTGGTCTCTCAGCCCGCGGAGCCCCTGCATGTACACCAGCATGTCCACCTCTTCCTGGCAAACACTCTTGCCCTACTTGGCTACCAGGTAAGGGGAGATTCGAGATACGTTGTTCCGCGTTCTCGACTGGAAGGACAAGAGCGGGGAACGGTGCCAGTCGGCAATGATCTCGAAGAGGATTTCTTGCGGCATTGCCAATATCTGCTGGGTGGTGTACTCCTCGAGGGGAAGGGAAAAGCGAGACATTCGATGGGCAGTTCTCTTCTAAGGCGAAGTCAGACAACCAGGTGAGAGGTATTAGGAAGGGGAAGAAAGAAAAAAAAGTAAACGTAAGAAGACTCACGTCCGACATCATGAGCTGATTGGGATGTTTGCCAAAGTTCGTAGAGAAATTCCACTGCGGCTTCGTCGTCACTTCCGGACATCGTACAATGGCCGGATACCAATGAGGCCAGTCGGCTGGGAGTTCGAACCAGGTACACGGGCGATGCGGTTCAGGCGGCGGCGGACGCCTGGCACGACGGTAAGAGAACGGGGTGTTTGGTGGATAATCTAACATCTTGTCGCGCTGGACATAGCGATATTGGCTATCGTCGTCGTCGTCCATTGCGTCTAGGTACCTAAAGTTTGTTATTTTGTTTCAACTAAATCAATCGTATGTCGAATACGAAGAATAATGTTATAGACTGAGATAGAGATCAATGAACTTGAGATAACTTTGGTAAATTAATTCGATTAGCTTAGGAAACAATACGTAGGTAGGCAGAGATACTGGAAGTTTCATCTAGAGAGCGATATATGTAACACCTTCCTTGTGTCTAGCATCAAACTCTAAGTGAGTGCTTACCGTGCCTTACCTCACTGTCGCTATAACCCCTGTATTTAGTTCATGTTCTAGTTGCGACTCTAAGAAATGCCTGGTTCTCCTGAAGCCATATATACCCGCACGAGCAAGTTCATTGAACAACAATGACCATTCACATTCTCTCTTATCTCCTGAGATATTTTCCGAGAAGTCTATCCGTGCGCTTTTCGCTCGGAGTTATTTATATACCTAAATAGGTAGAACTATTTTAGGGACATGCCAACACGAAGAAGAAGAAGGGGGGAGGTTTATCAACCGCTTTTACATTATTACTTGTATCGTGTCGTGTTCGGTGGAACTATCGGCGAGGAAAGGGACAAAGTACCTGTTATAGTTCCTCACCGTAACTGTTCTCGATTACAACTTGCTACTGCTGAAGTAGGCTATGAAGTTACTTGAAGTTTCTATAAGTCGAGTGCCTCAAAAGTGCAGAGAATGGCTGACTGATTGACTATTGGGGGACATGTGATAGTGGATATTTAGTTGATGTATTTAGTGGATATTCAGGTCGTATCTTCGATTGCCTAGGTACGAAGCAAACCGTAATACAAACTTGAGTGGTCTGGTTGGGAAACGCTCCCGTTTTCTAACGGAGGGTCTATCTGAATATGGTTTAGCCTCCTTCACGTTGCTATTTTTTTTTTCTTTTTTTCCTTCTCGTACAGACGTGGTAAAAGGCTATTAACTCAACCCTCACCCAGTCGACTTCTCGTATCTCCCTTAGCTATCTCATCATTAGCCCCCTTTTAACTAGTATGTATAGTATTTATTACATGTAATGGCCTTGGCAAAATGGTCGAAGCCCAAGAAGCCTTAATAGAAAAAAAAAAGAAAAAAGAGTCGATGGTGGATTACAGCCACTCGATTTTTTTCGTGTCTTTCACACTTCGGGAATCGTTGGCGCGCAGATGACGATTCCTTGTCAGCAAGCAAAGCCCCCCCGGTTTTGGTGCACGATAAGCCCTCGTCCGCAAACTGCTGGATTTCCCGCAGGGTCCAAGTCACATTTCGTCATGTCCCCCCGGTAATGGAATCACAGCCACAAGCCCTGGGCTCAACTCAGCATCTTCAGCCGCGTCGCCAAATTCGGTAGCATCTGAGAGAACAATCTGGGCGTATGATGGGCTGCGATAAGCCCACTTCATCAGCATCAGCATCATGCTACGTATACTAGTAAGTCATCAGGGCCCTTTCAGCTCACATGTTATGTATATACCTAGATGTATAGCTATACCTATATATGTATAAGCCGTTACTGTGGCGTGCATAGGGCAAAAAGGAGCTACTGCATACTATGTAGCTAGCTATCTCTCCGAGCACTCGGTTCAAGTTCTTGGTTCCGGTCTCCAGTCTAAGCTTAGCGGGTATCCATCCACCCGCTCAAGTTCTTTTTGCCTACCCGTAACCACCTATTCATTATTATTACGGAGTACTGCCGCTCTATTTATTTATTATATGAGTATGCCTTCTTCTTGTCTGATCCTTCTCTTTCATGATCCATGTCAAGTAGTTGTTATCCACTCGTTACGTCTTATATTAAAAGATCGTCAAGGGGGATTCTCTTCCGTCTAGCCTACATAAATTACATTAATCCTTCAAAAACTTAAAATTATCAAATATAGAGCCAGCTCGCCCAACTTTCAAAGTCTCTTTTCTGCGACTTGTTGGATATCTCTGGGTCCACAGCGTAGTATCGGCTCTATATCGAAGATGCACTTCAACCTAGTATTATTACCCGTCATAACGACGCTCTCGCTGCTGGGGTCTCTGGTTCACGGCTCGCCCATCATATGTCCAGACGTAAGTTTTTGCGCCTAAAGTGTCACTCATATTTACCTTTATATAAATACTTAACCTAGGTACTGGTGCTGACAACCTCATACAGTCGAAACGAGATGCAATTCTGAGCGGCGCGATGCCAGCTGAGGCGTGCTGTAGCTACGGAGTCTGCAAGAACACGGTTGTAATCGCGATGGGACGTGCGCAGGAAAAGGAGAGTTCGGCGATTCGGTACAACGAAAGGCGGTGACGAAACGAGAGAAGTGACTGTTTTTTTCGTACCGGAAAACACGGTTCATCAAACATCGAAACTTCAGCATGATATCGGCGTTATTTTTTTTTAAACCATGGGCATCAACCATGGGTATTACCATGGTCAACTTGGCGTTCTGGGTGGGGCTCTCGTCGCCCGAAAAAATGCAAATCTTTGGATGAGATGGGAATAGTCGGTTATTTTTCCCAATCACCGCATGCGGTTGGGCCGATTAGAATGAGAGACAAAAAAGCGTCTTGCATTTTGCATACGGTGGAGTTTTTATTTATTTATCATTTGGCGTTACATACCTCCTACCTAAATTCCATCTTTCGAGCAAAATAACAACTACAACCCTCCTCAAAGAGGTTGGAAATATCTAATTATTATCGCAAGTGGACATCGTCATCATCTTGATAGTTTTATGTACATATTACTACTTCAATACGACCATGAGGCTGAATTCGTCCTCTAATTTGACTTACTGGCCATTCATTCAACCCACACCTTTTTCCTAAACTATTGAATTTATTAACTATTCGTTACGAAGAACTACTAATTCCAGAAGAGCATTAGCTAGGTGAAACGTACGATACCTAAAAGTCCTATGCAATGAGATGACTGTCCGAGTATCGTGTAGGATGCATCATAGCATCATAACCCAATCAAGGGCCAAGCGAGTAGCGCGGATTACGGTTGTGCTTGTGCTATCTTTTCTCGTATCTGCATTGACAGCAGACGGATGCGGCTGTCAGATAATGCAAGCTACAGCGTATACCACGCCTTATGATATATCGCACCTATCTTTTTAATCTATCTCGCATCGTCAACACCCATCCAAGTCGACCCCCGTCGGTACCGGACTGAAGGGAGGTAAGCTACATAGTATGCTCCCATAGAAGCTTATCGTACGCCTTGTCGGCACCACGTGTAAGCCTTCATCCACACTTTCATTTTACTCGTGGGTGATCCTTTCTTAATCTATCAGTGGTAATAAATTGAGATCTAAATAGCCTATTCCACAACGCAGCCTAGCGCCCCCCAAGTACTCGACGGCGTGAGTTTAAAACAAAACGTCGAATTAGACGCGGCTAGTGAACTACTGCTACACTTCTATACCAAACTAACCTACCGTAAACCATCGCATACCGGTGGTGGGAGTCCGCGCTACCACCCTCACTATCACCAGGTTACTTACTATCTTCGTATTTTCTATTTTATCAGAGTCTTCAGCGCCAAGTCAAAGAGTCAGCAGCATCTCGTAACGAAGCGAACGAATCCTGTTCGTACTATTGTATTGTAACTAAGCCCTAGGTACTCCGACAAATCCGTTTAATACCTTAGGCTAGGTACCTAGGTAGCTGGTGTGTTTTCAAGGTACGATAATTGCCGTATCAACGGGGTCAAAGTTAGTACAGCATAGTAGTAAACAACCTAACGGACGGGATTTCCTAAAGACCAAAGTAAGCCTCCCGTCTTATCGGCTTTCCTAACCTAGGTAGCCTAGGCATTCGCAGGTTAGGTAGAAGCCGATCCTGGGCCGCTAAAGCATGGACAAGGAAAAAAAAAAAAAAACACTCCACTCCGGAGCGGATTAGGGCTCATTTCACGTAGACTAATTCGACTTCCACAACAAATATACCTAGCCTAGCCTATGACTTATTAGGTATATAATTCTTTACAACAATCGATTTTCTCACGAATCAGATTCCTTACAGCTTCTGACCACGCAAGAACATCGTGAAGGGCTTGTGGTTTAGTGGTATAATACTCCCTTAGCATGGGAGTGGTCCGGGGTTCGATTCCCCGCGAGTCCATCATTGAGAGGTTAGATTCCTCTTGTACCGCATCTTTTTGTTGAACTTTTTTATATTTTCACTTTTCTTTTCTTTTCATTTTTTCTTTTCGTCTTTGTTCATTTCGCTACCTACCTCTTCTCTTCTTTCGTTGCCTGACTCCTTCTGGAATCATTCATTCTGTATGCTAAGCCTACAACCACCCAGCTTCATTTTAATGATCGGTGCCCGAGTAGCCTTCAACTTAAGTGCCTGTTGTAAGAACATCAAATCATTTGACTATTCCACTGTTGCTTGAACTACCAGCACAACTATATTATATTGTCGGCGTGTTACGCCTTCGCTCTTATAGTCCTAGCCTGAGTAATGTTATACTGGCATGGCTCATGACTTAGACTCAGATTCCAATATCAGGGAGACAGACACTCGTATTCACTCAGTTCAGCTTCACCCCAGCCAGCTCTCTTCGAAACTGTAATATAGAGAGTACGACTAAAGCAACCAAATCAGAAACGGTCTTATCAATTCTCATCGCTATGCTCTGTGTATGTTCATGTCGAGTATTATTTACACTTAATTCCTTTTCTTTCTTATATACTGCACTCTCTTTTTCTCCCCTCTCCCCTCAAATAACACCACGCTTCCCCTACCTAATCCAACCGTCGTAACTTCGTAGTCCTTCATTCTAGATATCTTCTCTGTCTGTGCAGTGTGCACCACTCAAAGCACAACGATATTGCCAATCTTGAGCCCCTGGCTCTCGACGTGGTATCTCCTCCGTATCCCCAAGCTCCTAGTCTTCCTCAGGAGATCATACACTTCTTGGCCACCGCCCGTCATCAGCATGGCGATGGGATGGTGGCGAGGGAAGCCCGCGGGGGTACGTTGCGGCTCGTCGAGCAGGGGGCGGATGAAGTTGAACCCCCACGGCTCGTTCTCGTTCTCGTCCCGCGCGTCCTTGTCGTCCGACACCACGACCACGAGCTGGAGGGCGTTGCGGTTGGGCGCAAACGAGGGGATGTTCGCTAGTTTCTGCGAGAACGAGCATCCGCCCCGCCGCATCACGATCACCTGGTGCGCTTTTGCTGCTTCGTCGGGGAGTTTACCTCCGCAAGCGTGGTCGGCGAAGAAGATGCGCTGCCAGGATAAGGATTCGATGTACGAGGTCGTGTGCGGGTTGGGGGCTTCGCGAATATCAGGTAGGGGAGCTGCACCCACTCCAACTGGCGTAATCCCAGGCAGCTCGACATACTTGTAATCCGGCTTCTGCCCTACCTCCGGCTTAAAAGTCGCCACGGGTTCTCTTAAAGCGGACGTAATCTGTTGCAGAAAAGAACTAAATATGTTGAGACTATCAACAGTAGACTCGCCATCAAGCTCAATTGCCTGTTCGGCCTCAAGAGTGACTTCCCCGTCTGAGGATGTCGAATTGAGAATTCCCGGAGGCTGGGGAGGCTCAAGCTGCAAAAGAATGTCTACCAGGACGGAATCGCGAACGCGGTGGAACAGAGGGTCCGACATATGCTCGAGGACATCGCGAGAAATGAGAACCTTCTCGTCTCGGCCCAGTGCCAAATTTCCAATGCTGTAGACTCGCCATGCCCGCTCGGTCGTTTCTGGGGGGTCTTCTACAATCAAGGCTAACTTCAGCCCGCTCAGACTGTTGATTGCAATGCCGTCGCCCCCCATGCGGACGAGGTTATGCCCGCCAAACATGATATTAAACGCACTACCCATAGTTTGTTGGCCATTGGAAGCGAACTCAATTACTGTTGTCTGGGCTTGTTTTGACACAGCACAAATTCCATCGGCTGGTAGCATGTAACTGGGTAATGTCCAAGGGAAGTAAGTATAGTTCTCTATTCGCTTTTCTAGAGATTTTGTCTGTGCTTCAGATTCGTCTAATTCGGCGATTGGGTCTTTTAATCGGCTGTGAATGTTAGGTACTTGGTGAAGTCGAATTAACGTAGCGGCGTTGTAAAGGTCTGGCCTTGCGGCAGTAGCAGATCCGGATAAGGGGGGGAGAACAGGCGGACGGGGACAGGTATTGGTAAAATCGGTATCGTAGTAGCTCTGAACATTCCTTTCTGGCGACGATTTACGAGCCTGGGGTTTGGATTTCCTCTTTCGAGGGATAATCAGAGGATGTCCTTCTGTAGTAAACACATACGAAGCGTCAAGCTTATTAAGGGGATGATCTGGGTCAAAGAGTAGATATAGGTACTTGGCGGTCTCACCGAGAAAGAAGCTCTCCATTCGATCGCTCTTCTCCCCAGTGCGCACATCCTGCAAGCCTGACCACCCACACTCTGTCCAGCATCGCCTAGTGATATCTTTCAAGACCATTTCGCCCACGTATAGATACCACGGGTCTTGCGTAGCACGATACAAGTGGTAGGTGGATTCGATGAATTCCGGCCGGCCGGGCCACCATCCAAGACCGCCTTCAACATTACCATCGCGTACGGACCATCGCTCCGGAAGGGCAGAATACCGAGTCCATAGCGCTGAGTATACGAGGTGCGTCTCGATGGCTTCGTCAAGCTCCCCAGCTAATGCCAATAGGCCAGAGTAATATGCGCCTAAACTATCTATCCAGTACGCTTGGGGCGAACCGGTCGACATGTGAGCATTTACATAGTGAGGGTGATGCAAGCCAGAATAGAGATGCCGTTTAATGGCAGCGTGTGCATGGTGCCATGCCGACAGGAAAGAATCGGGCGAGTTGTCCTCATCAGAAAGGGGATTGTAGAGCTGGTTAGGGTCAAGCCAGTCTCCATCATGAACTTGAGGTATCGTTCGATTAGGGAGTTCGTGACCTGAGAGCAGGATATGGGTCTTGAGAGCATATTCAAAGAAGCTATCAATGCCAGCGCCAATCCCAGAAAACCCACCAATCCAATGTCCTTCTTCGGCGTCTACGCCAGCTCCGATCAGACCGATGTTGCTTCTTCTCGACCAGACGGCCCAGAAGGCCCTCTTAGCTGCTTGCTCAAATCTCGGGTCCCCGGTGAGACGACTCAATACGGTAAACTCGAGCACCAAACTGCCTGCCCCAGCACTACATGTCTCGGTTATCTCTGGAGAGTCCTCGGGGGGCCTTGGGTCCACATTAGCGTTGTTATGGAGGGGAGAATTCACATAGAATGGGATCCCATGACGGAGGTTCACACGAGGATATGGCAATCCCGTCTGGGTGTAGAAAGCCGGAAGCAAGCGTTGGGCGAGGTCAAGGGCAAGTCGCAGTAGCTGGCCATCATATTTAAAGCCGTTGGGCCAAGGGATAGGGTGCTTGTCCAGGTCATGGTTATCATTGTCTGTTGGTCTCTGTGGTTCATACCCGGAAATGGGCAAGTCACCAACAGCAAAAAGGTGGGCACTCAGCAGCCCACCAACACCCCTTATTACGGTTTCGAAGACTTGGACCTTACTATCGACATCGAAGCCCCGAGCGCGAGCACCCTGACCTGACGGGCCGGGCCGCCCATCACCGTACTGTGTAACTAATGCAGCAACACCATCTTGGAAATCACGTAAGGCTTTGGGGCCTATGTCTCCATCGTCGGGGGGTGAGGAGGCAAGGATGCCGAGGGAAGAAAGGCTGTCGATCAGGGTCAGGGAATAGTTCCCGAGGACGTCATTAAGCGCAATATTTCTCGGATTGAGGGAATCTCGAGTTAAGGGCGTGCAAGACACGGGCCGTAACTGTAAAGTATAAGCTAACATACACAAATCTTCACTTTGAACTTGTATTCTTCCATATATAAAATAAAAAATATATAAAAATCCGTACCTCATCTTCGGGAAAGGCAATGTTCATATAGTTGTCGAACCCGTGATAGAACATATCCACCGTGTCGCGTCTCAGCTCAGAGATGCGACTGGGGCGCATCGACTCTACTAAACCCAGCCATGATGACAACAGCACGAACGGCAGGATCAGCCTGGCAGATAGGCGAGGGGGCCCATGATTCGTTGAGCTGTCCGAGATGGCCAAGGTCCAACTGCCCATGCCTGGCAAGGGCATCACCGGTAGGAGAGTGCAGAAGAAGGCATAGAACCAAAACGCCAGAGCGAGGGACTAAACTCGCCGACTTTCCTAAAGGGAAACAAAAAAAGAAAAAAAGGAAAAAGAAAAAGAGGAAGAAAAAGAAAATGTAATTATTAACGTAGGTAGTAATTACAAGAAGTTTAGAAGGTATAAAGTTTGGGTGCTAAGCTACCTCTCAAAATAGACATATGTAACAATGCAAACGTCGAATGTTGGGAATGCGATGTGCGATGCTATTGCTATGCTGTCATTAAAGGTTTAGGTTGGAACTTTGATGAGTTACAAATTGCACTAACAAAGACCAACTAATAAGAATTAGGCTAAATGATAACGCCTCTTGTACTTTTTCAGCGCTATCGGGCGGATCTAGACCTCTACCTAGCTCTAAATCAGACCTGAGGACACGTGCCAAAGTTGGCACGCAAGCACTTTATGTAAGCACCTTTTAAGCAGTTGATGTCCTTTACCTAAGCCTTTAGGTAATCGAAAGTACGAATATACTTCTATAGGGCTGATAGCTTATCGATAAATCTTGTTATAAGTGATAAGTGATACATAGGTACCTAGGTACCTAAAGGAGGTAGGTAACGTCTCGAAGTGCCAACAACAACATAATCCCACCTCCTCGGTTCTACACCCCTGGGTCTATTCGTGCCCAGGAAGCGCGTTGTGCTGTTGGAGCACAAACACAGGCTACAAATATAAGTATGGATACATATTACGCACACAGTGTGTAGCATAGCGGCGTAGACTCATGCTTCCTTACCAGTACTTACACCCCGTGGTATTTTGTATTTTGGAGCTTTGCTATCACGCGGCCGGCGTAAACCCAAGGGGCTTATCACTGCCACATGAATTATCACAATAGTGAGACTTTTGGTATTGGAGTGGTGTTCCCAAAACCCAAGGCGTCGGGAGACCCGGTTTCCTCGTCTCCCTATCGCTCACCTGCCCCCTTATATTGTAGCTGCAATAGTGGTTGAGACAACGACCAGACGGCATTTGAATAAATGTGGGCTTATATACAATAGTATGTAGCTAATATTAGCGCTGGATGAAGTTCAGATTCGCAATCTTAGGTTATGTACCTCCTAAGGTACGGGAAAGTCTAGGATCTTCAAGCGAAGATGGCGGATGCGCGTCTCTAAAGCCACATGCAAAGTGACCAGCGAGGGTGCCTGTCCGGCTTCTATGCCTTCCCTTACATGCTAGCTTTCCTCAGTAACTGATTGGTAACCGCCGTGTCTACGGGTTGCTTCCTGCGCTTAAAACGACGCAAGGGATGACCTGTTAAGCGATCCCACCACTGGGACTACCCAGCACGTACACCTCAGGAGGCGACGATCCGCCTCCTTTACCAAATATTAAGGCCGTGCTATTTGCTCTCCTTTAATCCACTGGCATGCTCCTTGGCTTCCGCGTTCTATCCGATTCGACACTCCGAGCTACTTTGCCTCTGCGTGACGTCGTCGCTCCTCAACGTAGTTGGAGGAAAGACGGTGGAGACAAACGAGTGCGACTACCCCTTAATGCGAAAGTCCTAAATGTTTCGCAGGTGTAGGATCTCTACCCTTCCACTACGATGCCAATCAAGTCTAGTCCTACAATCACGGAGGGGGGGGGAGGGGGGGGAATGGATACGTTGACGTTACCAGATGCTCAAAACCCGACACTCCTACCGGACCGCGCAATGTTTCCCTATACAGATTGCCTATCTCCCTGTGGCAAAATGTTCTTCTCTCCCCGACGCTCCAATATCCTCTGGAACCCCTTTCTGCTGGACTACCTATGCTATCTTCTTCGTTAGCTAAGAGTGGCACAGCTGGCTAGCCGGCTAAGAGCACCAGTAGTAAACAAGCTTTTGGCGTAATGTCGTACACCACAGTAAACCTATAATTAAACAAATGCTATTGGATATCAATAGGCTACTATAACGCATGATCTGCTCTTGGGGCGGTTGCTTTGCAGGTTACCATGGAGAGGAGGATTCGCAAGCATCGAGAAGGCTGTCTTGTCGATGTTTACTCCTTTTCCTCGAGGAGACGGCGGAGACATTGATCCTTTGCACGACTATTACGAACACAAGCACGTATCTTCCCTCGTCGACACCAGGAAAGAATTCCAGGGAGTTAGACTAATGAGAAAGTGAAGGTTTTTAGTCTATCTAGTATGATTAATTCCAAGCAACTACTAATGCTGTCTACACAAGTTCGACGAGCACCTCAACGGGTGCTGCGATTTAATTAGGAAAACAGGCAAGACTAAGGATTTTGTACCAAGTTTCAGACGCCAATAAGAGGCTATTCTGGCTCGTGATATAGACTTATAAAGGGAAAGGAATAATGAAATTTTATGAATGTTCGAGTATACTTTTGATATAGACGATTGATACACCTGTTGGGAAGTACTTCGGATCTGTCTCTAATTACTACCCGTTCTCCTAATTAAAGTACAGCGCCCCTTAGGGTGCTTGTCGAACTTGTGTAGACAGCAGCCAGTACCCCTATCATAGACGCAGACCTCATATCCCCTGAGCGCAGTTTAACTCCGAGGGCTCGGCTTTCCTCGCCGGAAACCCCCTCGGCGGCTCGGAAACCCTCGGAGATTCGCTGATGTCAGTAAAACTATTCTTGCGACACACATCGACTTTTCGCATGGACCAACAACAACACACACCATGCATGTTGTTTCGATCCTAGCCCCCACGCTAATTTAGACGCCGGGCATCTTTTTTTTTTCGCCATGGAACTTTTTCACATTTCACAGCCTCTCGCGCCCCGGAATTTACTCTATGGGGTTTTAGCCTCACCCCTCGACGATGTACCGTGGAGACTACATACCTGCACACCTCGAAACGTACTTAATATCACACTACACTACGTACGTATGTCCTAGTAGCAACCCCGTGATTTGGCGTAGGAATCGGCATACCCTCCCAGCAGGGGCCCGGGCCGGGGGACCGTTTGGGTAGGATATCTCAGGTTTAGAGCGAAGAGATGAAGCGGACTGGTATTCTTGGTTTATTTCAAACCGCTGCCAAACGTTGAACTAACGGGTCGTGTGTGTACCTAATATTTTCTATCTATACCCGCTGGATACCTCATATAATAATAATAATGGTTGATACATGTTATAGGTGGGTACAATACGTACAATACATGACGTTCTATGTATGTACCGGACTAGGTATGTTAGGTAATTGTGCCCGGCACCCCGTCGGCTCTTTTTTCATGTACCTCTACCAGCTGCATAACCGCCTCGTCACCCATCAGTTCTAGTGTATATGTCTACATGGAGAAAGCCGTATCTCCAAGAGGAGCAGTCGTTGTGGAGGCACACGGCCAGACGGATCGGGGGTTCCACCAAAGCCCGTATGGACAGACAGGGTTTATATTTCGGGGTTACCTACCGACTCTAGATGTTACTGGATTAAGTAAACAAATCCCTTCGAACGTTCCATTCCTATACGTACTTGTCGTGAGGTAGAGAGGAAGTCATTCTCCTGATCGACATGCGGTATGCAGTTAAGGAGATATATCGCCGTCGGAGATGTATGTAAATCAGCGAGATGAAACTATACTAACTCCTAACCTGCCTTTAAACCTAATTATTACCCTATTCCAGGGTGACATTTTGACATTAATTATAAGTCATCGTGAGAGGATATCTTATACTTGTCGAAACCCGCCGAAAACTACCTACCTAACTTGAGCTCCTCGAATAAGCTATCAGATGGAAGATCAACATATCCACGCACCTCATAGGTATCTAGCGTCGGCATAGTTTAGGATACACGTACATACTACTACTAGTATTAGCAGCTGAGCAGCTGAGCAAGTCCCCACTCCTCGAAACAATTTTCGGACCCCATCGTGGATTGGTCAGGGATGACACGTGTACCTCATACCACATACCGTTACATGGCGTTTTTCACCCTTGCGGTACCCCCTACCCCGGCCCCCTTTCCGCTTAGGAACTTTTTAAATGGTTTCCTTTGTCCGCTAGAACTTGAACGTCCGTGCTTTCGTTCACTGCTAGGTACGGTACAATAATGCAGTCAGCTCATGCGGGTTGAGTACCGGGAGGGGCACTAAGTACCGGTTTTGCATCACGTCCCCCTACCTACCTACCTAATGTAGAATGAATACCTTACGTCCCATGTAGTTGTGGATAGGTAAATAGTATACTGGACCCTACCTAATCGGATGGCGTGCGTATGCTAGCGTTAGTAGGTAGGTATAATACCATACAAAAATTCCTAGCTTGTTCGGGGTGCGGCTTGAACTAGGTACCTTGGGTACATGGGATCTATCAAATTCTTGCATAAGGTACCTACCTACATACTATGTAAGCTATCGTAGATACGCTGGTCGCTGATAATTGCCAGGCTATTGACAAATTGCCCATGGCTGTCTACCTACTGTATGTCATCGTCGCGAATAGTTACTAGCACGTACGTAGGCATGTATGTACGTCGTAGGGTATGGTATAATATGGTCTGGTCTGATATTGGCATTGATATTGGCGCCTGTATTGCCAATGCCGCCTTTCTCCTCTTGAAAGTTGACCGCCATCATGCAAGTCTTTGCCAGTCTACCAGTCTCGTGTCAGCGAAAATGTGTTCTGTGTAAGCTCTAAAACCTCGGATCCAAGCTGTCGGGTTAGCACGCAACCAATAGCTGAGAAAATTATTCATCGGCAGTTGCCCAACTCCTTCCTCCACTCCCCTCCCCTCTTCTCTTCTCTCGGTCGTCCAAAAGGGATTTTCAGCACATTACTATGGCTATGGTAATGATTATTATTGTTGCTGTTGAGTAATCCTTTTTGGAGAAAGTGACACTGACGGAGAGATAAGTATTGTAGAATCCACCTGCGAAATTAACCTACCTTAGATAGCTACAGCTTTTATCGTATGGATAAAATGTGCGAGATGCAACGGGAGGCCCGGCTTCGCCAGCGTCGCAGAGGGAATCAGGACCGAATATTGAAGCAGGAAAAGAGAGAGAGAGAGAGAGAGAGTGGTACTTGCTAGTTACTTATTACCTACCCTGTAGTATACTATGTAATTGAGAGTATTATTGCACGTTCTGCCCTACGCGGATAACTTCCTAAGCTTAATAGGTGGATAAACAATAACACGTGTTATGCCTGTAAGCTCTCAGATCATCCTTGGGAACATGCTCTGACCATCTGCCATTCTTTCAGACGCCTGGTCGACATAGTACGTCACGTTATAGTTTGTCTTAAAAAAACCGAACTCGACGTTAACGTCAACATCAACCCTGGAACCTTCAAGATATGAGATACTGTGCTGTAGTGTATCTTACTCTAGGTTAGGTACCTACCTCCTACTTACCTTACAGGGTACTTTTGCCATGCATATCGCTTTACGAACCACCATCAGCTGAGCCCTCCTCCTGCATTGCTAGGTTAGGTACCATAGCGGCCATGGGGGTATTTGTAGAATCGTTCCAAAAGTTCAAACCATTCTATCTCTGACAATCGTTACGTAAGGAGGGTATACGTTCTATCCTTAGAACCGTTCCAAATTTCAAGGCGTTCTACGTTTTAAAAGAAAAATTTCAAAAATTGAGTGCTGCTTTCAGTGGTCCTCGAACCCAGGACTTTCAAGTTTCTTTTTAATTACGTAATTACTTATTTTATTTTATTTTACGGATTACAATTTACAGAGGAAGCAGAGTCATTTCAACTAGACCATCTAATGATTACTAATGTAAAAGCTTATCCGTTTTTTATGTATATAAGCCCCACACGCTCAATGCTCAACCAAGCTAACCACACTCGGCTAGAATAGTTCCAACCGCATAGAACTATTCTATTTTAGTCTACATTTAACCCACCTTTAGAACCATCCTAGCCAATAGAATAGTTTTAAGCCTTTAGAGCGGTCCCTTTTTGAAAAAAGGGTACAAAGAGGACGTACCTTCTAAATTTTTAAAATCCAGCCAATCAGAGGCCGTAACACGTACTAAAATTCTACCCCACCCAACCATTCTACAGATAGAACCGTTCTACAAATGCCCCCTTGGCCGCTATGGTACTCTTACCTTCGCTATCCTTCGTCCCACTGACGGTACCGGGGGAGTAAAGTACGAAGTACCCAAAGTAACTAATAAATCAAGTTGTACTTATTGAGAGTCATCTTAAATTCAACAAGATGTCAATAATAGCTAAACGCTAGGAGTCAGAAGAATGTGGATCTTGGAGAATATAGTATATTACATGCCTCCTACTTGACCTTAAGGTACATAGGATATTATGCGACGAGATTTTCGATGCTATGAGGTATGTACCATCGTAAGTACAACAAGATATCCGACCGGGGTAAGTACCTAACCTAGGTAGGTTATAGTATTGTACAATACATCTGATACGACCTACGGGGACCACAGTACCATTCTCGTTTTGCCATTCTTCCTTTTCCTTCCAGGCCAGTAAGAACCGTTCCAATTTACCAAGGACGCGGTTCGCACGAAGTTCGCTTTCCCGAAAAAAACCATACTACCTACCACCCGCCCTCATCAGTCCGCAGGACAGTCGGCCATAAGGGGAAACCCGGTCGTGGATTGGCGGGTCTGATTATTGCATTGAGGTTAGGTAGGTAAGCTAAGTGCCATCTTTACCGCGTCGAAAAAAAGGGGCGGTGACGCTAACAAAATAAATCGAGGAGGAAACCTTCCCACTTCGTCCCATCTCTACCTTAGGTCAGGTACGTACTCTTTCACGACGTCGATACCTACATCATCATTATTATACCTCCGCATTTCATATTCTCTCATTCCTACCACTAAACTACAAGTATCCTATGTACAGCCATGCCGAGACCCCCAATGCCGTATGCTATAGTAATCCTAGTCATATGGTACAATACTATGTATAAGGTAGCCTTCACCCGCCGTAGACTTTCAAACAAATCCGAGGCTCGCATTTAGGTAATGCTCTCCTATCTCGGCGCTATCTTTCTATCTCCGTAAGCCATGGGCCGTAATGGGACGGAACAGCCACATGGGGGTTTTTTTTTTTTGAGGGGGGTTTATGTTAGGTAATCTGAGCAATCCAAGGCTCAAGCTAGTTGCGAGATAACTTCCGCCGCCGTAGTCTCTTGGCATAATGGAGGACCGTCGCAACGAACAATTTCATCGGACTCTTTACATAGTAAACCACCTGCTACATTAGGAGGAGTGGACTGGTACGATGCTTGCTCGTAGTAGTAGCGGTAGTAGTAGAATAGAGTAGTAGTGTAGTAATGTAGTAATGTAGTAATGTAGTAGTGCATTCTTCTCGGAAGATTCCATACAGGTCGTTTAAAGGCCAGTTATCGATTGCATTGAGGCTCCCGCTGAGTTTAGGATGTGGACGCTCATATAGCGTAGCCCCATCTACGTATTACATACCCTTGGTATCGAACCTAGTACCTACCTACCTACTCCTACGGTAGTCGACCCGTGGGCCGTTATCCTGTAAATAACGCCATCGCACGGCACTGTGCCGCTTAGCGTAACTCCTACTAGTAGTAGGATGGACCATAGCACCATAGCATGTCACGCCGAGCCCAGATCCCCAGTACGCGCCGGCATATCTGCTCCCGGATCTAGGTTAGAGCGTTAGCAGGGTGCAGGACAGGATCTGAGCGGCATAACTCCCACGTGTCGCGGTTTCCACTTCGAGCAGGGCGGTAAGACGTACAATACGATGCTGCAGCGTGCAGCGTGCAGCGCTGTCTCAGTAACCGAGACAGGACAAGATCTCCCCCTTGTGCAGAAGAGTTGGTTGGAAGTCGAAAAGCGAAGCGCGACAGTAGAAGAAGGAAAAGAAAAGGAAGAAGAAGTTGTGATAGAATTAGAAACTGGCGCAGTCGCACCTCTTCATGGTTTACGGGTTTTTCTCATCTCCCTCTCCAGCCCGGCCTCTCTCTGTCTCTTCCCCACGGTTGCTTTTGATGTCTTCTGCTTCCCTTGCACCAACGCCAGATGTTCTAGGTAATCTCGCCCCGTGTCCCGTAAACACCATGTTGAGTTGCCAGCTACCTATGTACCTACCTAATCTAAACTAATGTATCTATGTAATTGGTAGTTCCCACTCAGTGGCTACCTCTAGGTAGGTAGTAGCTACCTCCTACGTCTAGACCCCTATCTAGGTACCTTGCGTCTAAACACGAAAGTTCAGGAAAAGAGATCGGACGGCACAGCAAGTTACCTATAACAAGGTGGATATATTTAGGCTTCTCTTGCTTTGCTTAGCCCCCCCGGGATATGGACGCTATTACCAGGGGCTATAAACCGTAGTCCGGCTCGTTCGCCATCGTTGTCCGAGGGAACCCAGCAACCGCTGAATGAACCGGGGTGCCATGGTGTGGATTGTTCGACCGGGGCAGATCATATCCTGTCAAGGAGAAGGAAGCATCTCGTGTCATATAAGCTTTTTACCTGCGTGCTGTGTAAATAGTTGCTGCGGGATGATGGTGGTCAGACACATGTTTAGATAAGGCCGTATGATATAATTGCTACGAGATGCGTGCTAGGTAACACGCCCTTGTCCCGCATCAAGCTCCATTTCTTCAAAAGTTCCATTGCGGCAGCAGTGATTAACAAACGTAAGAGGTTAGGTTAGGTAGACATGTGTTAGTTACGGTAGAAAGATACCGAGTTTTGATGGATTCGTATAGAAACAACTATGAACATGTATAGCCTCAATGAAAGGAAGGCCGCGAAGCTTGTGTGATAGATGTATGTACCATGAATATTCATAATCGAAAAGCAAAAGCAAAAAATAACACCCCAACGCCTCTGCCATATCGTCTTCATGGGTCTCGTAAGACCCCCCCCCTCTCCTTGACGATGCGTGCGAAGTAGGTAGATAGAGAGAAATGAGACAGAACAAGACAAAACATAACAAAACCAAAAGGCCCTGCCCCTCCCTAAAAAGTTCCCTAGCGTGATCAAACGCCATATTACCCTCGAGAGAGAGCAAACTTGCCTCTCAGGTACCTAACCCATAGCGACGCTCGTGATCCCATTCCAAACATTCGTGAAATTATGGCTTTGAAGCGTCGTCTAATAACGTGTAAGCAACCACCGCTGAGATTTTTCTGAGTAAGATATGGAAAAGAAAATGCATTAGGAGGTATTGTTGAAAGAAAATTGGACAAGGTTGCTTGGAAACCGTCGTCAATGGGCATCGACCATCGAGACGGCACCGTACACATGATGATCATCCCTTCTCGAGAGTATCTGCTCGCACGCCTGTTTGGCCACTCGTTCGCTTCGACTCTCGCCAGGGTATTGTTCTTCTTCTCCATCGGCGCTTCCCCTAGCAGCAGCAGCAGCAGTAGTAGTAGGGGGCAATTGGTGGTAATAGTTCGGGTGGTGTTCCAGAACGCCGTTCATATTATTCACGGCGTCTGGGTCTGAAGATTCGGGGTCCGGCTTACAGTAATGTTCCAAGATATAGTTCTCCTGCTCGGAGGATATCGTAGATATCGTGCGCGTATCCTCCTCGTACGGGAACGTCGCCGTGCCTGGCGTGCCCCAGGACTTGCCGCTGGGCCGCTTCGTTATGGCCTTTTTCGATTTCCGCCGAGGCTTCTTTGTGATGTCCTCGGGGTCGAACTCTTCAATGCCGAGGTCGATTAGGCGCTTCAGGATGTGGCCCTCCTTCCACTCCCAGGCTTGGCACCCTCCATATTTTTCTTTCATCAGCTTAGCCAGGTCCGAATACCGGCGTCGGTCCAGCTCTTCGACAGCCCGCTTTAAGGCCTCGTCCTAAATTTATACTTGTTAGTTATTTCCATAACGGGATTGCCGTTTATAGTTTGGCATAGCTCGTGTTCATGCTATTATTATCTTCGGTACTTACCTCTTCCGCGGGCCATTCCGCGTATTTTAGTACTGCTCGGGTAAGATTCATCTGTAGTGACTCTTGCCTCCTTTTCCCGAAGCGTTCCTCGTACTTCTTTGTTATCTCCTCCCAGATACCTTTTCCTTTATCATTGTCCATCTGACACCTCAGCTCTAGGATAAATCGGTCTTTCTCCGGAGCATCGGGCCTCAGAGTAATACTCCGTCCAGGCGCCTTGGTTGTCGACGCGTTGCCTCCATTTGATGACGACAGTTGAGGGTCCATGAGGTCCTCACCGTCGCGTTTCGAAACTCCCCTGTTCTGTGCTCGGGGTCTTTTCGGGGGCCTACCTAATCTTCCGGTCCTTGACTTGGACTTTCTCCTGTAAGGTGCGAAGTCCATGATAACCTGTGGCTGGTGTACTATATTATGGTAGTGATGGTGCATGCTCTCCATTGACCCCACCGAAGGAGCTATGTCTCGTGGATCCGGAGAATTTTGCAGGACGGGAATTTGTGATGGTGCCGGAAGAGGCATGCTGGAAGGATGCATAGAGATCGCAGGCCTAACCAAGTCCGTGGGCGCCACTGAGAATAGGGACGGATGTGTTATGTGCGTTGGCATCTCCTCTGGCGCTTCATTGCTGGAAACCGTATATTGGCCCCATTGAAATTGAGGCTCAGAGACCATCTGACCATGATCGTTCGAAGAGTGTGATGATTCCAGTCCCTGCATTTCTAAGATGTCGGCAGGAGCACTTATTTGATAGTTAGGCCACGGGCGTGAGGTGCTGGGAGGGGTGGGCTGTTGCGAGTTTGCCCGGTGTTGGCTGTATGGATGCATGATCTTCGCAGTTCGTTCATTCATCGAGGGAGATCCAGCAACAGATACCGGGGTAGGGAGAGAAGTATCATATTGCACGGAGTAATTAAACGGCGCGACCTATCTAGTTAGCAAATCATCATACTCTTGATACCGCAAGCAGTTCAAGTTCAACTTTAAGAGACATACCGAAGGGTAAGTTGTGGGTATGTCGTGAGCGTATCCAGAGCTGGCTGGAGATGCAGCAGATCGCCGGTCTTCAGACATATTTGAGTCTCGAGGTAAACTATGGCGCATATGATCTGTCCTCGTGTGAACGTATATGCTATCTTCCATCTCAAGATAGAGATACTATGCTATCAAGGAAGAAGTAAGTGGCGGTTGGCGATTGTAGAAGAAGAAGGCGTAGATTATTGTATTATTTTTTTCTTCCCTGGGCAAGAAACTGGATCCAGGTAGTAGGGATGAAGGGTCCTTAATTATTTGTACAGACGGAATCGTCAAGTGCTCCACGAAGGTGAGGTGACTTATACTAAGAAATAGAAAATCTGCCTTTTGGAGGTCCCGACCAAGCGCGAGGCAAAAACAAGGAGACGAAGGGGTATTATAGACAAACTCAGAGCCGTGCCTTCTACGGGTGGTCGAAATTGAGGTGGGAACCAGAGAAGATTATGTACGTCGTCGAAGATGTTCCTGAAAACTTAGGTACAAGCTCGAGTCCCAGGTTGTAGGAATAGCTCCACATGCACAATGAGAGGCAATGTACAGGGACAGGAATATACTACATGGTACTCTGGAATTATCCACATCTCTACTTGAGGTACATCCTCGAAAGGTCGACATGGGTGAAGTGACTAGGGCTAGTCTACTGGGGCTTGGATCTAACCATTGATGGGAGTGGCTCCAGTACTTGACGCATGTGGAGACAAGATGGAAAGACGCATGAATAGCCGCCGCAACGAGTTGTATGTGTAGGGCCATCACTTACTAGTCTTTCCTCGTGGGCAGATTGGAAGACACCCCAGAGTGTTCACAGATTCAAGGATTTCATCACTCAAGTCACCCCCGTACTACGTAGATCTATCGGGCGCTTCAAGAGGGGTTACATCGACCATGCCACCAGTATGGAAATAGAGAGACCATCAAGCTCGTAAGGCTTGCTTAGAATCGTGACTGGGAAAGTAGCGGGGGGTTGATAGATGTGGCACCTGGCTTTTAATGGAGCTCTTAGTATATATCAAAGGAGATACTACGGGGCTGTAAAGCAGGCGTGGGAATCTCCTACGTAGGGCAAACGTTCTTTCTTGAACACGCTACCTACTCCCCGTTAATCTTAACTAGGAATTGAATATTAAGCGAGGGTGACGAGAGGTATGTACCACGGACTGAGAATTTGAGGGAGACAGTATCCAACACTGTGCTTGATGTAAAGTAGCCAAGGGTTCAATATCTGTCGAGGTACTGCCTGTGTACTTGAAGCGAATCAGGTACGAAATACATTAAGAAACTTACTATGCATCAAGTAGGTTGCATTTGGTCTGGCGGGTGTGGACCAGGGTTAATGGACCCAAGGACATGGCGTTGAAAACATGTGGGAGTCGATTACAAGAGGGCCGACCAGAACTTTTGGAGATGACAAATGCTTGGCCCATCCCTTCAGTTAACGACAGCGATGACGACTTAGAAAACGTCTTTACGCGTAACAGAGAAGGCATCCGAAATCAAAAGTAGACTTATAATAAGTCTCCTACTTGCAGTAGGTATGAGCTTGGCCTCATAGTTAGATACCTACCTGCTTTTGTTCTTCTGCCAATAAGATGTACCAGCCACAAAAGTCTTTCTAGAAAGGATAGTGATTTAATTGAGAAAAGACTTAGGTAAACGTAGGAGGTAATTACTGATGAGCGCTGCCACCGCTGCCCCTTCCGGTAAGAGTGGAATAGCATCTCTACCTAACGCCGATCAGTCAGTCTGCTAAAATCTGAATATAGAGCATGCCCTCTATACCAAGAGGAAAATGAACTCGTCGCGTAAATGGTAGGATACCTGATCTACGCTCGTAGATTGGTTGTTTTCTTGAGTTTTGTCATTTCCTTTCGCCCGTGCTGAGGTTTGCGGGGAAGTCGAGAAACGTACGTAGCTAAATCAGTTAATAATTGAAAGTCAGGATAGGGGTAACTATGGGTTTCGATTCTAGACGTCTTTGCTACGCCTCACTTGAAATCTCCAGGAAGGAAAGGAAACGATGTAAGACATCAGGCATCAGGCATCAGATTGGCCAGAGTCTGCATCATCGCGAAGAGTTAGAGGTTACTCGTGATGAATCATGCCGGCGAACCCGTTTGAGGCTCTAGCCGTTTCCCGTAGAAATGTAAAAGCCATCTAGCCTTGGTTTAGTCCGTAGCCTCTTACACGCCGATTAGGTATTCATCCAGTTTATTCGCTCAAAAGCGAAATGCTTCGAGAAGCCGTTACATCGTCGCTAGGCAGATAGCGAGTCTGCCCGGCCACGGCGCGGCCCATTCCTCGACCGTGGTGGACACAGCGGGGGTCGGGCCTCTCACTGCGGCTCATAGCCCCAAAGGGTTTCTAGTCCGCCAGAACTTAACCTCGTGTAAGAAGGAGGGGCCTCGGATTAGATCATCATGGAGGCTATAGGAGTTAAGTTCATCAGCCGATGAAGTAGTCAAATGTCGCGGGCGAGCCGTTTGAAAATTTGGGGTCCGACTATTTGGAGTGGGGAATGGAGATTGGAGAGGGAAGAGGAGAAAAAAAAAAAAGCGTGGGACGATCCGATGTGCGAGCTAGATGAGTAAGGAAATGTGAGATGTGGGATGTAGACTACTTAGGTACCTCTCCTAGTAGGGTGCGGGTAAATAAGTCCATGTCCCATGTCAGGTATCTAGCCTTAGGTATCTAAACTATTGATAAAACTTCAGATACTTGGGGACGGTTGTGTGATTGATTGGAGATTGAATAATGAATAATGGGCTGAGTTGAGATGTATTGTACTGTAAAAATGGGGGCGCAGTTTTCCCCCGAATTCCAAGTTCCAAGCTCCATACGGCCTAGTTGAAAACAGAATATCGCATCTACCTGCATGTTAACCTATTGTGCTTAGCTGCTTACCTCTAGCTAGAGCCTAGAAGGTAGGTGTGTAACCTGTTGTGCTACCTATACTAATACCTTAGGTATACTAACAATATAAACGTATGTGTGCGTGTTACCTCTTACCTACCTAGGTACATGGCATTTGATAGTTATAGTGGGCTGTTCTCACCTTGCTTTGAATATTTAACGTAACACAAGATTATAAGGTAAGAGGTATGTAATAAGATTAGTTAATAACTCAGCCAATTGCGGCATCTTGTAAAAAGAAATATTTCTCTACGAATGCATAAAAGTCGAATGTTCCAATGAATGTGCCCGCCCATTAATACCAGGTAACTCTGACAGTTTCTTACTACATTAAGTACATGTATGTTGTATGTCTTCTTCGTTGTCGTAGATATAACTACTTCGTACGTATTATTGAACGAACTGCTCGAGATTCGGTTCGGGGACCATACGTACATAACTAACGTATACTTCGCATATACTATGTAGTGACCTAACCTACGTGTACGACTTCACAGCCGACCACCGTCCCACAGGCCCACAAGTAGGGAAATCGTCCTCGAGATTCCGGTATATAGATCCGCTAGATAAACTACCTACCTAATTCAAATCTGTTCCAACAATATAAGGTTATTAGCGCAATTCGTCGCTTGCGCTAACAGCCCGTCGCGCCTGTACAACATGTTGTAAACGGCAAGCTGTATATACCTGTATTGTACAATACCTTATTTACCTTAGGTAAGGTACCTTCTAAGATACGGGTTACATAGTTACATGTAATTGATAAGATTTTTAAGACTAAGCCCCCAAATGGTATGCAGAGCGAGACCCCCTCGTTCGCTAAGACATACCCAGGTTACGTATTATTACTGATGCTTAATCGGGAGTGATACCATTACTCGTCCCGCATGGCAATCGGCGACTTTGGCCGTCGGCGGAGACAAGGGCAGGTGGGCGACAACGAACAGAAGAAAAAAAAAAGGATCATCTCCCTCCGGAGGTACCAAAAGCCGACAGGCTTACACAATATTATGCAACCCCCTGGTAGGACATAGTCATAGTTCGATGTGTTGTCGGTACCGACGGTATGGGACGCGCACAAATGGATAATCAAAGCTGCAATTCCTATGGGTGGTTTGCGCCGTATGCGCTCCATTCATTACCTACCTTAGGTACCTATGCTGAGTCGAAGCCGACGTACGACTGCCAAGCAAGAGCCCAGAGGAGAAAGCGGGTGGCTTGATGATGCAGTTGAGTGTGTACTACCTAGGTCTAGGTATGTAAAGAGATTGTGACATGCCGACGGGCCGTCGATCAAATGACGGCAAGCCGGAGGGGACGGGTGAAGAGACCCTATAGGTTCCCATAGTGGTAGTTTCCCCCCCATCCCGTTGCATCTCAAGCCGCACCTCAAATGTTCGTATACGGACTGACGATGTACCCCTACTTACCCTACTTACAGCTTGCAAGGGCCGGCCATGTACCTACAAGTTCAGGGAATTTAGGGAACTTTGTGCAGCGACAGTGCGAAGAAGAACAACAAAAAAATAGTGATATGGATATCCAGGTACTATTGGAAGTTACCTTAGCACCTTAGGTTAGGTAGGCTGGCCGACTGGCGGGGTTCAAAAGGTGGATCACGTTACAACATAGGCGCTTAGCGCCTAAAACGAGGTGGCACTGCACATTGACCACAAGCTCACCGCGGGTTCTTAGTGGCTGATCTGACCCCTACCCTCGCACCAAATATTAGTCGTTCCGTCCAGTCGGTAACCAATCATATCCAGCCACACACCTTCTACCCTACGAAAAGTCGAGCCAGCCTCAGTTTTGTACACCATAGTAGGTACCATCGCAGCACTTATGGGAAACTATGTCACTATCTTATGTATGTCAAATGCTCTGCCCGCCTCTGCCCGCCTCTGTCATCTCCGAAAGCTACCTAATGCTGACTTGAGATGTATGAGGATTATATACATGTAAGTAAGATTCACTGATGTAGTAGCATAAATCAAATCCAGAAATTCGATTTTGATGCCAAGCGCTGTTTCCTATCGAAATAATTACTTGGGCTCCGACTTTTCACAAGTCGGCCCGTAATCCCATCTCTTTTCCCTCTCATTCTCCCATTCTCTGTCTCACACACACACACACACTCTCTCTCTCTCTCTCTCTTACAGGTAGCTACCTAGGTAGGAGGTAGCTATACGGGCGTGCAT